ATTCCTACTATTATTTCCGTATTTTTCCGTATTTTTATCGCCCATCATTCTATCCATATTCCTCTATGTATCTACCCTAGCTCCAGAGCCCATACCTAGCCCCATACATCCTCTCCATACCCTGCATCCAGCTATCCTAGCCCTACTGCACAATTACCACCCATTTTCCTACCCTATCCTACCCCCTACCCCATCCCCTACCCATCCCCAAACCACCCCCTACCCCGGGGCCACACCCCATACCTACCCACCCATTTTTTCACGCATTTTTTGCCTATTTTTTCGCCCATTTTTCCAGCCAGAATACCCACCAGCACCACTGCTCTTTAATAAAGAGCCCTTATTAGCATGGGCCAGTAAGATGATGGGCTCTCTGTATAGAGTCCCAGTCTTACTACAGGCACTCTTTATAAAGAGGCTACATCATCTGGTGAGAATCTCAAGGACCTCTGTCCCGTCCTCATTCATTGATGTGCGCCACGAAACAGCGGAAGAGCTCGACTGTCGACGCTTCCCACCAGATCTCGAGGTAAGATCAACCTCCTCGTCCTCGTGTTTAACCCACACGGCATCCGTGGGTTCGTCCTTTACAGTTATGGATGCCCGGCGAGACGGCGGTCGGCGGAGAGAAGCGGAGGATGAGAACGGCGCCACACTACTCGCTCGACGCAATGGCGTACTGCCGTGAGTCTGCATGAATTCCTGGAGGGCGTGGACATCGACCCAGTCGTACGTGAGGAACCTTCCGGGATTCTTACTGATGTACAACAAGGAGAACATCTGGATGAAGGTAAGAAAGGGAGACAATGGATGGCGGGCCACATAAGCTTTTGCTTACCTCCTCACGAAATTTTATCAGGATGTCAACTGGAACGGTGTTGATGAAGTCGGCAGCGTCGAGCTCAACGTCGGACATGGCGGCGGCGGTGTCGTGGGCGAAAGAAAGGAGCACACAAAATTGTATTCGAAATTTTCGGACATTTTTTGGGAATTGACGAATCACAGCAGTACTTGGGTGCAGTCAGACGCGTTGTTGACGCGTTGTTTGTACGGGCGGACAAGCGCAGCACATGCTTATCAATCTGCGACACAGTGTGCAGCCTCCGCCCAAGGTGTCGCACTTCGTCTCGGACCCGCCGTACCCGATCAAGGTGTGGTGCTATACTTTGTATATACTCACTCTTGATTCCAGTCAACTTGGTTTCGCCCTCGCAAGAACACAGTCTCGGCATCTACGGAAGTGGCTGCGTGAAACGTCACTCAGCAGCTATGCAGCAACAGGTATTGTTTGAGAGTATAACATACCTGGGGCTGATGTGAACGAAAGACAGAAACGAGCAAGATCTGGACACTGGAGGCAAAGTTCGATAAGTCTCACGGATATATTTTGAACATAGGTAGCATTTACTTGTAAAGTAATCTGCATGGGCCTCACGAATAGAGCCCGATGATTTTCAGAATAGAGTTCCTGGTAAATTCAAACAAGGATTAAACAGGAAAAAATACGAATACCGTGATCAGAGTCACGCAGAACTTACTGCAGCTCGTAATCCCAAAATACTCCCCCTAAAGGCACAGAATCTATAGCGGAATATATTTCCCCGCCAACTTTGGCGGGGAAATATAATCCCCAGTGGGTGCCGAGCTTATCGGCTGGATATTTTGAGGTTATCATCCAAAATAAATTCTGCGCAGTGCTGATCGCCATATCTTTAATTTCGCTGTATACCTTTGTTTGGATTTATCAATGACTTTATCGACAAAATAGTCCTCATTTCGGCAGTGCATGGATGTAAAATATTTTGCAAGTTCTTTCCGTGTACCTTCACAATATATTCTTCAGACATATCGAACTTTGCCTTCAGTGGGAGTAACTTCGAGCTGGGTGTTCCAGTACTAGAGGATCTTCTCACCCGTAAGTAGACTGCCGGTAGTCATTAGTGGAGCGTCCAGGTAAGCTTCAATAGTGTCCGGATTACGATGGACGGTCACTGATGGCCTTTGCGGCGCCCATCTATCGTCATCCTGTGGTCTGGATGAGGATAGTTTAGCTAAATGACGAAGGAGAACTCAAACTTACGGTGTCATAACCTTTCGTCATTTCCATCCTCTTTCTATTATTTCCTGGTGTGTGCCACAGTTGGGCCACACTTTTCTGAGTTTCTGTGCCACTGTGGCCTGGGTTTGGTTGTGTTTGGTTCTGGCTAGTATATAAACCTACCTACTTCCTGTTTTGCACTCTAGTCTTGAGATCGTCAATCTCCCCCCTATACAACCTTTTCCTCGCCCTTGGTGTGTGTTTCTGAGTGAGAGATCGCCTGCCAGCAACCCCTCTTTGTAGGATATGGTTGTTCTGGTGTGGTTGTGACATACGGAGAGGCTGTCAGGAAGCGAAGGGTGAGTGGCTGGCTGGTTATCGGGGGCAGATTTGTAGTCCTTGTTGAACCGAGCGATCACTCCTTCACAAAGCTTGTCGACTTGGTCATCTGACCAGCCACGATCACGAAACCACGCAAGTTTCCTGTCTGGGCAACATACTGGACGAGTTCTCAGCATCAACTCATGAAGAATCAAAGATATACTGACCATTTGAGAACGCGACGGCCTCGCATTCTTGAAACAGGATGAAATACTTTTGGCATTGAAGAAGCCCTGCATGGGCCGCGACTCTGCAGATGGGCAGAAGCCTCGCATCGTTAGACATGGACTGAAGGCGAAGCTCGAGGTCGAGGAACACGGGAAGTACGTCGATAATGAGGGTCACATGGGACTAAAACACTGCCATGACCTTCTTGAACGGCTGATCGTCAAGTTAGCGTCAACATCATGAAGTGAAGAAGGGGAAGTCAACTCACCGCTAGCATGTCATGTAGGTCACTCGCAAGCAACTTCTGCACAGCTGTAAGCTTGAAAGTCTGCAACTTCAGGTCCTTGTCGGCGACGATGATATCTACAGCATTCAAGAAGGCCCGATGTGAGTTGAGCGTGGCAAATTCTGAGTCCCAGCGGGTCTTGTTACGTGTCGCAAGGTATTTCAAGTCGCCTCCATACTTCGGATTCGGAGGATTAGCCTCAGCGACTCTCCGCCACTTGTACCTTACAACTGCTGAATCTCGGACCTTGACAGCTAAGCCGCTGATCTGTGTCCAAAGTTAGATATAGCGTGACTCGGAGTATCGCAGATCAGGATACGTTGAACACATACCTTGGGAAAGATCTTAGTCGCCGCCTTCATCTCTGAATCCGGAATCACTACACCCCGAGCGGCCATCTCCCTTGTCGCTCGCTCACAAATCATACTTACCACTGCCTCATCGTGGGCAGATTGACCTGCATCGCTCCGCTCTATGATTGCTTTCTCCTCTGCCGTCAAGCTCGCCTCCATGATCTTTGCGAGCTCTGCATCCTCACCATGATATTCTGCTCCTTCACCTGCCATCACCTCTACATCACGGGATTCAGCAGCGCTAGGAAGAGCCATTACTGGCCCTGAGCGAGTACGGTCGGAACTTTGAGTGCCGGCAATGACAACAGTCCTCTTCTTTGGCTTGTAATGTGTGTCGAAGTAGTCGAGGATCACCTGTGTGTGCATGTCTGAGCGTTGACCTCACATACATGAAGAATGAATACATGCTGACCTTTACCATAAGTTGCACGGTATGTGCAAAGCAACAACCGCGTGAAAGCTTCCCACGAAACATTGAAATATGTTCCGGAAGCTCCCTGGCCGTCGTATCGCAGTTTGATGCGTTGTCCATCGTGATGACATGAACCTATAAGCTTTAGATTAGCTTAGACACGACAAGGATTCCTATTGACACCACTTACAAATTGTGTGATCCCGTGGCGCTCGAGGCACTGTGCGATCTGCATCGCAAGCTCGGAACCCTTGTGACTATTATCTAGCCTAGATTATCACAAGAATATGTTAGCATATATTGGGGTTGTCTAAAAATGGGCTCGTGAGGATTACCGAATCATCTCAAGAAGCACTCGATATACGACTCCGTTCTCTTCCCAGACAAGCACAAGCCCAAGCTCGGAGATGTGAATAGGCGCAGCCCAGCCATCAGCAACCAGATGTACATCACGATTGCGTTTCTGGACCAGCATAAGAGAGCGCAGGAGAAGCAGAGAATAGCAAGCATGAACCACAAAGTATTTTGTAGCACGAGGTTTGAACCCCTCATGCAGCCGAACCAAGTCACGTTGCCCAGTCTGAGGAGATGGCAGAAGAGTACTGGGACGAAGAAGACAGACTTCATGGAGGTACAAGGGGTTCTTCAACGACTGGAAAGAGCACTTTGATGCAGCACAGCGAATAGTGATGATGGCGCGATGCATAGCTTCAGAGTATACCGGTGTTTCGTCAGATGTTGTCGAATGGTGGCGACCGGGAGTCCGTTTATCACAGGTCATGGCAGAACTATGCAGATTACCGGTCCCACCCCTAAGTTTATCCCGTGTGCGAGTTGCAGTAGAATGTTTCGGTCGCTGTGTCTACAAGTATAAACGATCATGATGTCTCGAGTCGAGGAGGAGTCCTTCTTGACAGTGATATTGTAGTGACTGAGGTCTGCTTGGAAGTGTTTTCGAAAGTGTTCTGAGTTATAATTAAAGGTCAGCCTTACTATAAATAATTGTCATCTGTCGAGCATTGACGCACCTAGAATTACAGCCTCGTCTATGTCCCACAACTCCTCCACGGACCAGTACCACATGTCTGTCCCTCCTTCTGCACGACGTCTCTTGTTGGGGGGAGGGACAGATGCTGGAGATGGTGCACTAGCATCGCTTGTTCTTCGTGTGGCCATAGATGCTGTCGACGATGTCGACGGAGCTGAAGAATCACTGCCGGTGGCGAAAGTAACCGAGCAAGAATGTCATGACCGTCCTGACATGGCCTATTTGTTTTTCTTCATTTTCCCCCTATTTTCCTTCCTCTATCGTTCGTGGACCGGTTCCCTCTCCCCTTTCCTTTCGGTTGACTTGCTTCCTACGGAGGCCCGGACTATATTTACAGACGCTTACGTGTACACCCATGCCTCTCCGCTCTTCCGGTTTCCATTCTATTCTTGTACTATTACTCATCATGCTTACCCTGCGCTGACGCGTCCTCTCCTTGGCTTACGAATCCTTGTTCTCACGCTTACGCGTCCCCTTTCCCACGCTTACGCGTCCCTTCCCCTTCTGCGTATATATACCTTTGGTACCTCCACCTTCACTTTCCCTTAACTTGATCCTCCTCATTAGTCACCCGGTACTTTTGGATATTTACCAGCCCACTGTTGCACTTGGTACGGTTACCAACAACAACTTCGACTACACATACTCGGTCTATCTCCACGCCCACCAGGCACCTTGGAATATACTCGTTATCTTGGTTCTCTCTCCATCGTTCGGCGCGCCCCGCCAAACTCGAGTGCAGACTAGTCTTCAGGTTGCCCACCTCTTGATCACGCCCAAACCGCGATCTTGACCTAGGAACCACCCTTCGGATACTACCAACGTAGTCCGATCTCACGTAACCCAGCGTCTAGGGTTTTTACGTTCGGCCTTAGCCGCTCATCTAAGCAACGCAGCTTAGAAGTCTGCAGTGGTCGCGACAAAGAACGAGTGTTTGAAGGAGCAGTGTTCTCGTTTTCAGTGGAAGGCATGTGAGGCAGTAAGCTTTAGGTATAAACTACGAATCTAAGTCGGTATATGTGGTGCAAAAGCTGAGCAGAGAGCAGGTACTGTACTTTTTCGACCGTAGGTTCGTGGGAAGATTATGTCAGACGTGACCTTCGTCAAGACCACGGTTCGTTTGGGTGGGCCACGCGTGACGAACCAATGAAATTGTTCGCGGACTGACCCAAAAATCAATTTTTGGGTGATTTTGGCGCAAATCGGTCACAATTTGCTGTTCGTGGGCCCGCGCATATGCGTGACCATCAGGGCAAAATATGTTCGCCGGTGCACCCTGCGTGATGTGTGACGAACCTACGGTCGTAAAAGTACAGTATGGTACACGGAGAACGTCGACGAGAATAGAGAGAACGGCGCGACTCCTTGACGGCTCGAACTCGACGCGACGCGTTCTTGTCACGACCCCGCGCTTTCCCCGCGCCGACAGCCGACCCGAGATCCCCATCCATCTGTCTCATCCGCGCAGATGCCATCTGCACAGATAACGGATGCCCTTTTACGGATGATTATACGCGAACTTCATGGATGGGCCCATCCAGGGAAGGCCCTGGACCCACTACTAGGGTCCGTTCGCATTATTCCTGCTCCGTTAGGACAGGTCTTAGAACAAGAGTCATTCATTGCGGTAACACTAGTCACGTCACGCCCCGACCTGTGGCGGTGGCGTCTAAACTGTGAGGCCTGTCCAGGCCTGTCCTGAGCTTTCTCACTGCGTTATCTCGGAGCATCACAGTCACCTCGTCAGCCCCGCATCTTTCCGTCTCTCGTACAACTCCGACTTGTCTACTGTTTGGTGTTCTCGCCTTCCTCATTGTCTCCTCTTTGCCAAGTGGCGAAGGAGCTTGAAGCAAAGCAACTTAGTGGCCAAATCTGTGGGGACTGAAGGAACATGTCTCACAGCGTAACACCTGAGAATTCAACGGAGGGCGCATTCCAGTCCGATGCCGGGAAGCGCCCGGAAAGCGCCCGGAATACGACGAGAAACCGCCGTTCGTCAACTTCTGCTACCTTTCTTGAAATTCGACACCACCGCGACGAGAATGTGACGGGGTCCTAGATCAATATGACGAAAATGTTCCCGACGTTTAGTGCGTTGCAATTGGTACAGGCTGGCACTCGCTGTTGAAATATTCCATTATTCGTGGTTTTCTGGTACTTATGATGCTTGCTGCTGCTGTTCAACATGATGGCAATGCATTTATATTACCAGCATGTATGTAGCTACAGTAGTACAAACAAAGGGTAGTGAACAAAAAACTTCATAGAGTCCATATACACTATTACATCCATCAAGCTAAGTGACCATCATCAGCAAGGCCGCATTTGGCTAAACCTAGCTATTTCGGTCTATTCGGTCTCCCGGGAGACATGAATAGATCATTTGACAGGATCTATTCATCATAGACCTGCCTTTAGCTAGACATGTTCGGATTCTAGTAGACAAAAGATAGAGGGCGGTAGAGCACGATAGACCGCGAGGTTTTTCCCGTGGATCATGCCATGGTGCTCGATAGATTTCACTCAGACTGCTTGGTTTAGGTCATTAAAAAAATCATTTTATTGCAGAAGATACATAATAACTACTCAAACAAATTGGCTGTACGCTACTGTATGAACTACATGAACCAAACTACTGAAACCTCTCGAAGGGACTCCATGTGCCATGCAGAAGTGCCCAAATCTAGATGAAACAGCGTGCGGAAATCAGTCACGTACATAAACATTCCGGATATCAAGAAAGGGACTCACGAAAAAGTAGGTGACAAGTTCCGAGCAGGCAACCTGTGTATCTCAAACGGAAACAAGGATGTCAGAGTGTGGGAAGTGGAAAAGATACGACTGATGCGAGGAAGCCTCACCCTGTGCGACTTAACGCCGTAACGGCCCCTCAATGACCGCTGGAAGTTGGCGAGGGCACAAAGCCGGTGAGAGCAGGGAATAGGCCAAAAATAAATATGGCCATGTCAATCGAACGAAACGGAGAGTCGCAAAGGAGGGTGTGACTTGCCTGGCATGTTCTGCTATGGGATTTTCTGCAACCTTGACCCGTGAGGTTTCTGCTGCGTCTCCTCCATTGGCGTCGTCGAGCCCCAGTCATGCGCAAGTGCGCGCCGTCGATGTATACTGTCGGAAGAAAATGACGGTTGTGGTTAGACAAAGGGGGGGAAGAAGGTGGAACGAAGAAGATGAAAGCAAGGCCTGAAGCGCCGAGGGGACACTTCAAGAGGGTTTGAGTCGTGAGAGAAATCAACGATGATTGAGTGCAGGTGGTTGTTGAGGGCAGGCGTCCGAGTCGTGACTTGACAGCCTTTGACAGCCCGTGGAATTTCGGTTCCTTCGCATGCCATTCAAGGCTCGGACAACCTATTCGTGCTATACCGGTCTACCAAATTACGGAGCATCGAGAGCGTCCCACGGGTATAGAGCGAGAAGAGTGCCTAGACCAGAATAGACTGAAAAGTTAGGTTTAGGCAGATGCAGTCTTGCTGATGATAGAAAGAGATATACTTACTCTATATTGCTCACTGAAAGTTTCTGTAATGAAGACAGATGTTAGTGCTTGGGTCAGGCTTAGAAATGCCACCATCTAGCTTAGTTCTATCCAGTGTACAATACCAGAGAGCTTAGCTTGCAGAGGCAACACTGGCACCCAGGCAGACAAGGACTCAGACTAAAGACCAGCCTGAGCTATAGCAGTAGTACAAGACCCAGAAAAGCACCATGTATCAGAAGGCAGTACACCCGAGAGCCCGAGGCCTGAGTTCTGTTGTCACCAGCGTGCGAGACGGTGCAGAGAGCGTGAGGCCAATATACAAGTTGAAGGGCGACGAGAAGAAGGGATGGAGAAAAAGTACAAGTCGAGACTGTCGCACAACTTAGCACCATCCTGCGCACGGGCCTCTCTCACGCGATGACGAGCTCAAATACTAAATTCTGGTCACCTTCCCAGAACTTGTGGAACACGACCAAAAGGTCGTCGAAAGGCGACCTCAGAGTGTGGCGTAGCGTTCTTGGCAACCGTCGGCGGGCGGATTCTCGTCACATTTGCGGCCCGTTCTGGGATCCGACGCAAATGTGCCGCGTCACATTCTCGAGCTTTACGCTGTGTGGCCCGGAGGGCGTGGTATAAGCACCTTGTGGCGCGTGTTGCCCCCTCCTCGGCGTGGCGACGCGACACTCGCTTTCTGCCTTTCCGTAACGCGCTGTCCTCACTTCATTCTCGCTTCCTCCTTCTCTAGTCCTAATCAAGTCCAGCGCGCAGAGATTCAAACCATCCCATGCAGAAACGTCCCCTGCCAAACGAAGTGCGTCCTTACCAGCCTTTCTTTTCTTTTCCTGTCGTGTTCTGTTTCGGTTTCGGTTTTGCTTCCGTGTGGCACACCAACTAACCCCTATCCCTCCCTTTCTTCCGCCGTCGCGTCTGCAGCTCCCCACCACCACCACAACTACCAACCCACCGAAACGTCCCCGCCTCGCTCCAGCCGATGGATTTTCCGTTTCTGCATCGACGCCTCCGTCCAAGTCCGCATCCAAATCCACCAAACGAGTCCCCGCGCCTAAGTTTGATAGACCCGACTTTGGGTTGAGTTCGAAGGAGAAGGACGATGAGGTCAAGACCGTAGCCGTAGCTTCAAGTTCCAAATCACGACCACGACCGTCTAGCAGCAAATCTCGATTGAGTGGAGGGCTCGTCGCCAGGGCTGACTTTGATTCGACGAAGGAGGAGGACGATGAGGTTAAAGCTATAGCTTCGAGTTCCAAACCACGACCACATCCGACCCTGGGGTCTGTTAAACCTCGATCGAGTGGAGGTACGACTTCACCAACGAAGCCACTTTCGAATGAATCCTCTATGAAACCACGCAGTTTCGGCGAGAAGAAGTCTTTATTGACGTCTACCACAACTACACATATACTCCCTCGACCCATCTTCGACTCTGCCAGCGATTCCAAACCGCGTTCGAAAGGCTTCGTCGCTCATCACCCTCCGCCTCGTCCTGACCTCAGTTCCACAACGGTATCTGCTAATGTCACGAAGCCCGTAACGCCCCTCCGACCACCCCCAAACCCGCACAAGAAACCCCTCTCATCCTCCTCCCACAAACCGATGCCCCCACCCCCTCTCCCCGCCTCCACATCTCTAACGACGCCGACCAAGAAACTCACCCCCATCTCACGCACGTCAATCGCCCTACTCACCGACGTGATCCACAACCCGTCCTCTGCATCAGCCGAGCTTCTAGGCATGCATCTGCTGCAGAATGGGGTGCCTGAGGTTCCTGCGGGTGTTGGAGGATGGGAAGACGCGGGGGAGAGGGAGATGAGGGTGGGGTTGGAGGTGAGTCCGCAGGGGCAGAAGGGTTCGAGGACGGCGGGAGGGGTCAAATTCCTCAGGTGCGTATCTCTTTCACTCTCAATAATAAAATGGTGATATTGATATCATTACAGAGGAGGTCTCGCAGACCTTGCGCGTCAGACCCTCTCCCGAACAACCATGTCTCTCTCGCTCTGGTACAAAACCATGTCGAACAGTACTGCGTGCCGTTCCCCAGACCTCACGCTTCGCATCAGCCGGATCCTGCAGAGCACGTTGCAGAGCAAGCGATCGGACGGTATCGGAAGTGTGCGATCGAGGCTCGCTATGTGTACCGTGATCGAGAAGGGGGGCGAGGAAGAGAGCGGAGAGGAAGTGATGGTGCTGTTCGTTGTGCAGCCGCGCACTACTGTGGTGGAGGTCGGACGGAAAGTAAGAGTGTGGAAGCCGTGGGAGGTGGTCGAAATGGAGGGGGAGGTCGCAGTTCTGTGTTCGAGATTCATTGTAAATAGCTGATCGTACATACATAGCATGAAGCGTGCGTGTTTGTGCGTGCTATCATTGTGGCGCTAGAAGGCGGCGTACGTAAGTAGAGCAGACGTTGTGCACGACAGTCGCGTTTGTGAAGAGGGATAATAAACGAGCTGGACACATTTTACCGAGTATATTTTCTCTTTTCTGTTTGTAGCGCAATGAGCGAACGCTGACTCCAATGCGATTCTCGCTAGGGCGACTGCTCAGCCTGACACGGCGCAGGGCCCACAGCCAGCCGCCAGCCTTCAAGCCAGACTCTGTCCGTCCCGCTCTCATCTCCTGCCCAGCCTCCCATTGACCACTAACATCCAGTCCATGCCGCCCCACGACCCCGAGCCGACGCCCAAGCAGCGCGCACGGGCGAACACGACGTTCTCCTCCTTCCCCTGGCGCCGTGGCCGCGACTCTGCCGCCAACACCCCCGGCGCAGGAGGCACCCCTTCCTCGCCCTTGTCCAACCACCTCTCCGTCGACGACCTCCTCACGAACCTCACCCCGCCCGCAGTCCCCTCCCTCGCCACAGCCCGTGCGCTCTCCGTCGCTCTCTCTGCCTGTCCGCCCCCCGAGAACGTTGCGTCCGTCGTGAACAGCACCTCGCTCATCCCTATCCTCTCCGCTCTCTGTGCGCCGGATCGGCCGCCGTTGCTCAGACAGGCGGGATATGAGATTCTCGCATCGTATATGGGCTTGGCGGAGGGCGTCCATCCGTTGAGTACGTCAGACAGACTCACTTTCTTTTCGCTCTTCAACGACGAGTGTGCGGCGAGCTGGGTGCCGGAGGTGTGGGAGGCGAGGGCGAGGGCGTTGAAGAGTCTGGTGCGCTGTGGCGAGGACATGCTAGGTATCGAATGTCTCGTCATTGGTATATTGGAGGTATGGCTTGAGGCTGCATACGGTGGTCTGCTCGTGCGGGAGGCTGCAGACCGGACAGAGCGCGAACGCTCCGTCGACTGGCTCGCTGCCTTCCTCACCGAACTCATGTCTCGCTCGGATACACGGGCACGACTGAGCGAGGCCGATATCGCAGGTGTGCTTGCGTTCTTCGCGTCCATCGTCGAGCGCGCCCTTGCCCTGCCCTCCGACTGGTTTGGTACTCCCGAACTCCCCACGCAATCGACGACCCCGACCCGACTGACGCACTCGCACCGACGACACCCATCGAGTGCATCCATCCCGCGGGCATCACCGACGAGCGTAACGCCGCTGACGACAAACCGACGACCCCTCGATATCGCCATCCCGCTCTACCTGGGCCACCTCCACGCGCAGATCACCACGCTCTCGCCCGTCCACCTGCAGTCCATCCTGCCCATCCTCTTCCGCGCTCTCGCATTCTACTCGTCCCCGCTGCCCAGACTGTCCATCAACGACCCGACGCAGTTCGACGCTCTCCCGCTCGAACGCAAGATCGACGAAGCGCTCAAGCCGCTGCTCAACGGACCGTACACCTCGACCTGCTTCCTCATCCTCAAACGGCACCTTCTCCCTCCTCCCTCCCTCTCTCACCCCGCTCCAGATCCCGCCTCCCCCTCTATCCCCACCTCCCCACCCGCCTCTCCCAATACCACTCCATCCGCGCCCTCCCTCCGCACCGCCATCCAATCCTCCACCGGCGCCCTCCGCGCCCTCCGTCTTTCCATCCGCCATACCCTCCGCGCCCGTCTCGCACGCAGCTACATCGCCCGCATGTCCTCCGATTCGTTCACGCATTCGGGTGCTCCGGGCCAGTTGGACTTGAATTTGGAGACGGATTTGATGGAGCAAGCGTGGGCGAAGGATGAGGTCACCAAGGGCGATTTGGGCAAGGTTGGGAGGGTGTTGAGGCGGGCTGCGGAGGCTTGGGCGGGGGTGCGTTTGGATAATGAGGAAGAGGGAGATGTGCAAGCGGAGGACGTGTTGTTGGAGATTGTGGGCGTGTTGAAGGATGTGTTCCAGGAGTATGGTGAGAGGGGGGACAATGAAGAGGTCGATGAGGAAGAGGCGAATGTCGTTGGCGAGATTTTACAGGCTCTGTGCGGGTATATCGTGCCTCTCAAGTACGTCTTTTTATTTTTCTTACTACGTTTATATGCTCATATTTTACTTTCAGGGACCAAGACGGCAATCCCTACATCCTCCCTCTAACCCACCCCTCCGAAGCTCGCAACCCCCTCCTCCGCGAACTCTCCTCCATCCTCTCCCGAGATCCCTCCCCCGCCATGACCCCCTGCAACCCCCCGCTCTCCTCCCTCCTCCTTTCTATCTCCTCCCACCTCTCCGACGCAGACACTGCCAAACTTCTCGCCACGATGTATGACCGCACCGAGCTCTTCCCCTCCACTCTCACCTGGTCCACCTCCTGGGCCCTCATCCTCTCCAACACCAACGATCCGTGCTTATGCTCCGTCAACTCACGACGGCTCACCCGTCGGACGATGTTAGACGCGCTACAGGATACGATCGACGTCGTGAGGGACGTTCCTACGCAGCGGGAAGTCTTGGTGGAGATGGTATTGCAGCACTGGAAGGAGATGGACGTCCGGAAGGGCGAGATGGATGGCGGAGAAGTCGTCTGGAATGTCCTCGCGGACGAAGTCGTTCTAAGACAGGTAGAGTCACAGGAAGATCCCGAAGGGAACCACAGCGACGAAGAGCACGTCAGCGCGTTCATCGACGACGTCCTCGAGCTCATGACGACCTCGGCAACAGAAGGCGAAGACCTCGATGTCGATTCCGGTCCTACGCCCGCTCCAGCACCCCAAGACGTTCATTCGCCCACCCCAGGCCCATCCGTTTCCGTCTCTCCTGCGCTTTCTCGCGTTCAATCCATGGACACCGTCAGCCCTCCAAAAGAAAAAGAACAAGGCCTGATCTCGATCTTTTCTTCTTTCGCCCCATCCAGTCGATCCCACCCGCCTCATCCACCCCCATCCTCCTCGACACCTCTCCCCCTCCCCGATGATGCTGCCTCCGTGCACAGCGTTCCCCTTCCCAACGTCCTCGAAGGCCTCACATCCACCCCAAGCAGCCTCACCGGCTCCGTCGGCGCCGTCGTCGCCCTGCTACACATCTTCACCCAGCTTTCGTTCACGCCACATGCGCTCTCCCACGCCAATCGCACCCTCGCCGTCCGCGTCTTTTCCATCCTCGTCTCGTTATTGACCACCGCCAAATCGAGCCTCGCACGGCTTACTGTGCTCCAATTCGTCTTTAGGTTAAGGGTGGACAGAGACCATCGGTTGTTTTCGAGTTATCTGCGCTACGACCGTTTCGAGCATATTTCTACTCTCGCCGCGCTCATCGGACGACATATTCCCGAGGGTCAGGGTCATCCAGTCCCCGAGACGACGACGACAGAAGATAACATGCCGCCCGACGTCCTCGAGGCGTTCAAGAACCGCGCCCGTGCACCGGAGCGAGAAGAACGCCGTAGTTCTCGCGGCAGAGAAGCCAAAACGTCGCATTCACGGTCAAGTCGTTCTCGTTCGCGCGCCGGCGCGGGTCGAAACCGTCCACCGCCTGTTCCTGTCCCCGATGCGACGACGCACAAAATCAGAAAACCAATCTGGCGTATCCCTGAGCATCTGCCGTTTTCGGTCCCCGAGTCTGACACGCCCAGCGACGGATTGATATCCTACGATCCTGACGGACCTGGCGCGCGCGTTATTCTTCCGATCTCGACGTTGTTGCTCGCGTTTATCGAGATTTTGCAGGCGGAGAAAGACTGGGAGATTTTGAGTTATGTGTTGTGTCATTTGCCTTCGTTGTTGGCGAACAAGCATCTGTTCTGTGGGCCGAAATCACGGCAGGCGATCTCGAAGCTGACTGATCTGTTATGTACCCGCCTCTCGACGGGCGAGTTGGGGAACATCGCGCATTGGCCGCCAGGGTTGAAGGCCAGAGACGCGAACGGTCTGGCCTATCACACGCTCTCCATCCTCATCAGCTACCGGAAGTGTTTCGATCCTCAAAAACAGCACATCCTCGTCGAGGTCTTCATGATCGGTCTCAACGGCCAACAATCCACCATCAAATGCTGCCTACACGCGCTCTCCCTCTCCGCCTTCGAACTCCCCGACTCCACCCGTCGTTTCCTCCCCGACATCCTCACCAAGCTCTCCCAGATCATGACGAACGCAACCATCGCCGTACACATCATCGCCCTGCTCGCCATCGTCGGCTCCCTCCCCGCGCTCTACGCCAACTTCACCGAATCGCACTTCCGGCTCGTCTTCGGCGTCGCATTGCAATACCTCCGCCTACACAACCAACCCGACGAATCCAGTCCAAACACGTCCTGGGCGCTGTCGCAGCACGTCCGCATCATGTCCTACTACATCCTCTACCTCTGGTTCCTCGCCGTCAAGCTCCCCGACCGCCCAAAACACGTGCGGTACATCACGCGACAGCTCCTGCTCGCGAACGAGGGCCGGAAGGATATCGACGAGTTCGCGGAGGTGTGTTTTGATTGGCTTGCGCGATACACGTATTCGTCTGCGGATCCGAGGCCGGCGGACTCGATGTTGAAGGATATGGTGATGAATCCCGCTGATAAACGGCCGGATTCGGAAGTGTTGACGGAGAAGACGTGGATCGTGGGTACGGCGCTGGTGACGATCAAGACGTTGACGAAGATAGGGTGGATTGAGGTTGTTGCGAGGAGGGCGTCTGGGTTGACGAGGGTGTTGGCGAGGATCGAGAATTTGCCGATGGTGGGGCCTGGGGACGTCGATCCGGATATGATCTCTGTGCCGGCGGTGTTGGCTATGGATCGCGAGGTTCCTCCTGCTGAGGGTGAGGCTGAGGGAGAAGACAGAAGGGAAGAGCGGGAGTTGTATCAGGTGAGTGTTGCATGTTATGTTCGACAGAGCTGGTGTGTATCACGCTTCGCTTTTCGTTATTTAGGAAGTGTTGCGGACTCTGTATCCCACCACAGAGGAGCCCAGTAACACGGAAGATGCTGCGTCGAAACCGGATCCTATCACAGGTTATGTCTGGCAAGGCCAAGCTCCGTCTCAGCGTCGAAAAGAGGTCGCCATCGATCCGTCGTACTTCGCGCTGCAGCTCACGCCCTACCCGGACAAGTACGATTCCCGCCAACGTGCAAAAGTCGTGGACTCTCCCGGTCTGCCTATGCTCATTCGAACGTTGGACCGGATGCCCGTCATCGACACGCATTCGGTGGGCGTGATGTACGTCGCGCCAGGCCAGACGAAAGAGCACGAGATCCTGGCGAACACACATGGTTCCCCGGCGTACTCCCGCTTCCTCGAGGGACTCGGCAGATTGATCAATCTCCGTGGTCAAAAGGACGTTTATGCTGGTGGACTCGATCCAGCGGAAGACGGCGAGTACGCGTACGCGTGGTGGGACGATATCGGCCAGGTGCTCTACCACACCGCGACGCTCATGCCGTCCCATCCGCACGATCCACAGTGCACGTTCAAGAAACGGCACATCGGGAACGACTATGTGCGTATCGTCTGGAACGACTCTGGCCTGCCGTACAAGTTCGACACGCTCGCGACCCAGTTCCAATTCGTCAACATCGTCATCGAGCCGCACTCGCTCGGCGCCATCGCAGCCTTTTCGAATAATCTGCACGAGAACGAGTATTTCAGGGTCACCGTCCAGCGCGCTCCAGGCATGACCGAGTTCACGCCCGTGGGGAACTTCAAGCTGATCTCCGCAGAGAACCTGCCTCTGTACGTCAGGCAGCTCAGTCTGCTCTCCGAATGGTTCGCGGTGGTCTTTCAGGGTACGAACCAGGACACGTCCAGAATCGAGGTGCCCACGAATTGGAGATCGAGGCTGCAGGCGATCAAGAGGTTCAAAGAGAAGATACCGGCGCCTGAACGGTTTGAGCGGGTGGAGGGCGTTATGGGCCAGGAGCCCTATAGGGACTTCACGCTCGCGTTCTGAGGAGCATCAGGTTCGTTTTTCTGATTTCGTTGTGGATGTTGTACACATATACCTTTCGATCTTCATCCTTCGTGTCTCTTTTTGTTCAAGGTCCCTTCACCCGCTGTCTTTCTAGTCTCGCTCTTGTATTACCCTTCGCCCTTTCCGCCTTTGTATGGAATCCTTCGCATTCTTCATCTTCGATTTTACTTACTTCTGGTTTGATTGTTCCGATATCTCGTTTCGCGTTTCGTTCGGTCTTCGCTTTTCTTTTTTTTCCTTCCTTCCTTACGAGCCCTACGGTTTCGTCAGGAAACCCCGTCATCATTCACTCACGCCATACGTTGTACTCGCATCTACTTATCTACCACACACCCACACACACACACACAAAAATCTGTCAGACAATCCTGTAATGATCACGCACAGTTCATCATCCCATACATAACGAAAATATTCGAAACGTTCCAGCGTTGTACAGAGCAGGCGTACATGGTATAGTATGATGATGGAAGCCTTCATAATTGAGACAAGCACCAGCCTAAATATAAGAGATCCACCGGGAAAGCCACAATATAGAGGATACATTCTCCTTCACATCAGGTCAAATCAATCACTTCCTCCGACGTCCTGGCCTTGCTCCCCCGAACGGACGTTTGCGATCCAGCCGAGCCTGAAGACCCGCTTGCAGTCGACAGTGCCTGCCTGGCTCGCAGGAGCGGAGGGACGCTCGATCTTAAGATTGTTGAACTCTTCGCTGGAGGTACCTTTGTTGATAGAAGGGCCACAGGCCGACGAGGTGTCTGCTCGGTCTCCGAATCGCTACTACTGCTGGAGATGGAGATGACGGAGTCGTTCCCAGGACTCGTAATCACAGGCATAGGCCGTTTGTTCACGTTCGTACGCGATCCCTGCATCCGGGGAGGTGTCGATCCAACGCGTCTAAACGGTCGTCTGACGTCGCTGGCGTTGTCTACAGGAGATAAAGGCTCGTAAGGCTTTATCTTCCTGGGCGACGTATGTTCCTTCGACCGTCTCTGAGTCTTCCTCGCATCGCTGACAATTTCGATGCTCGTATCCGATCCAGAGCTTCCCCCCTCTCCTTCATGAGCGCTGTCGTCCTCCAAAATCAGGCTCAAGGTCGCCTTCCTCTTCCCGGGAGACGCACTTCCCACTTTGTCCGGAAAGTCAAAGGAATCATCCGAGCTGTCCCCACCGCCCTTGTCCGAAGCATCCGAAAGGCTCATAGGGAAAGGCCGTAGTGTTGGCGCACTGATCGTGCGTCCAAAAGTACGTTCTGAGTGGTGTTTAGGGATATCGTGGTGCTCCGTCGGAGCCGCATACGGAATTCGTGACACATCGCGGGTTGGGAGAGGTTGGGAGGATGAAGGACCTTCGAGGGGTGAGGGTTCAGAGTCCGAGTCGGAGGATACTTCGATGACTGAAGGGACTTTGTGCAAGGGTGCTTGCGTTGGACGTGGTAGGAGCCGCGTAGATGGGGTTGGGACGGTATCTTCGTGGACCGTAGGTAAAGCTACGGCAGATCGAGCATCAGCCTTACCCTTGCCCTTTGCTGGAGCTCGAGTCTTTTTGGCTACACCGTAGAACGATTTGACAGTAGTGGACTGCCGCTCGCTGACCTTGACCGCTGTCATCGATTTCGTCGTGATGTCGGTCGTCGAAGTAGTCGAAAGAGTGGTCTTGCTTGTGGACCGCGATGTCGAAGTGATCCGCGACATTTCGTCTAGCTCCTCTAACGGGAACGGCGCGAGCGTTACCTTGCTCGAAGAGGCCACGGGCGGAGGAGTTCCTTCCTCCTGCTCTTCCTCGGCCGTATCCTCCAGAGGAAACGGTGCAGCGGACGCAGGTTGCTTCTTCCGTCGAGTCGTCGTCGTCGCCGTCTTCTTCGGGGCCTTCGCTTTGACACCAGCAGCTCGTCCCGGGGGCTTGTTCTTCTTCGCCTTCTTCGCCTCTTCCTTTGCGTTGTACTCCTCCACCAGATCGGGCCTCGCTAGCGTAACGATAGTAGCAGGCATCCACACCCTCAAGCCCGCATCCGGATCGCTCGGTTCCTTCTTCTTTTTCCTCTTCGCAGGAGTTTCTTCGTCGTCTTCATCATCGTCGTCGAAATCGGATAGGTTGACGTCGTAGGTCGTATCGACCGGTGTCCGGGTTCCCTGCAGGCCCGATGAGACGAGCTTGACCAGTTGTGCCGGTGCAATTTCCAGCCTATACTCCAGCAAACTGTCGGTAGATGCGTGACACCTCGTGGAATGGATCTTCACAATCACGTCCTTTACCAGCCCCGAGAACATATGCCTAGTCGCCGAGCTCCTCTTCCCCTCGTCGTCGTCGAGCACGGCACGTCTCATGATACGAAACACGGCGCCTGGCCATAGAACGCGACTAAATCGTTCGAGGATGATGTCCTTGAGACCCCACTCGAAGTGAAGTTCGCAAACGTGACCGATTTGGCCTAGGTCTGGTTCGTCGGCCCATTGTGGTGGTTGATGCTGAGTTCGAGAATGGGTCTTCGAGGTGATAGGGTTTGTGTATGAGCGAAGAATAGAAATATCAGGAAAGGTGTTGCCAACAGCTTTGACTAATGAGGGCCTCTTTGACGGTAAGTAGCCGGACGCATTAGTCTTGAGCTCCTCTCGCAACGACTGACGCCACCCGACCAAAAAATCCTGGAGGGCATTGTCGTCCATGGATCTAGCAGCTTGAAGTAATTGGTCGCCCAAACCGCACCGAGCGAGACCATGAGAGAACCCGGGCCCACAACCAGTCACGCCAGCTTGGTGATAGTCGCCTCCACTGAGGAGAGCAATGAGGATCATTCCGCCACGAGAAAGATTGATAGACGGATGTCGCGATATCGCGTCCGAACGGTATACAGCGGTGTGGTTTCCGTCTTCGAGGCCGTCTGAGTTCTTGGTGGAATGAGATTTGTTTCCCGACAGTTTCTTGCTCGAACTGTCATGTATCTGGGTCAGTACAGCTGGGCGGTAAATGAGTGAAGGTCTCTGACTTGCGAATGACCATTGTGGCACCAAAGAGGAAGTTATCAACGTCGTCGGACCAGACAGCATCTATGACGCCAGTTTCGTTGAGATACGCGAGTTCGGCTTCAGCTTCACCAGGAGCCTGTCGTCAATTAGTTCGGCCGTTCAGTCACTTCCAAAGGCTGGTCAATGCGCACTCACCATCCGCCATTCAAACCCAAAAGCTTTAATCATGCCCTTCATCGAGTCCACCATCCAATGCTTGTTTTCTCTCGATATTCTCTTCCCTCGCTTCTCCTCTGGTCTTAGTGGACCATCGAATACGAACACGGGCAAAAACGGCTTGTCCAGCAGCTGTCGACAGCACCGAAAGAACAACGTCCTCAACTCGGGGTTCTCCCCTTCTTTACCCCATTTTGAGTGATAGAACCATATAGAGGCATCGACGCCGACTCTGAGAGCCCTCCTCCCAGACTTGTTCGCCTCGAAGCCCTCTGTGACGGCAAGGTGTGTGAGGGAGTATGTTTCGCCTGCTGGACGTAGCAGCTATGTTACGAAGTGTACCGTCAGCAATAAATTGAATCCAGAAATCGTACGCACTTACATCCCATAGTCCGGGAACGCCCATCAGTTATCCAAGAAAGTAGATCTGTACAGATGAGAGGGAGAAGATGAAAGAATAGTGAACGTCAGTGGCAGCCGCCGACATTGGGATCTCCGCGCGTATCGATCACGTGATCGTGTTCGGAAGATAATGTCAACAAAATCATTTTCCGGGACAATACTTCTTCCCCTTTTCCACGCTTCCTTCCCTCCACGAAGATCGGAGCAGAATTTAGATATTTTCAAGAGTACCTCTCACACAACGTACATACTGTACTACAAACAGCATCTTTGGAACACATATCCCACCAACTTGCCACCAACGGACTCTCAGCTTAGACAGTCAACTTGACAATCTCTCCCACCGTGATGTGGCTCCTTGGTTGCTCCCTTCCTCGGTGGGCCGATAGTGTTAGCAAGCGGTCCAAGACGATTGAGTATGTTCTAGCAGTGGCAGAGCCTGCATATTTTATGATGAGAGGGTAGAGTGTCAGTCGCGCTTGTGACAGAAGAAAATAAGGGTGAAAAGAGAGAGGCCATGATGACGAAGAGGAACATGCAAGAATATGCTCATAGGAAACGAAGACAGCATCAGAATGGAAAGAATCGCCCATGCAGTATGTGTAACCGAAGCTTCAGACCGGGTACTAATCTGCTACTTTTTGAAACCCAAACTGCTGCCTTTTGAAACCCAAACAAAAACATGATGAACGTAGATCTGCGAGCCGAAGGATCGGTCCGACCGAAAGCGGCCATACGATTGATATCATCCCCATATGCTTGACGAGGGTCCTCACGATTCGCGATTCGCTTCCAGCAAAAGACGTAGACACTGTCGGTTCGAACGTATGTGGTGCCAGCCGATTCACGGATCTATCTTGGACTTTGTACGTTCATTGCTGGATTTATGCCCCCGCATTGGCGTACTCTTGGTAGACATATCGCCCTGAATGAATTTCGTCGACGCAAGACAAACCACATCAGTGCAGAGGGTCGAGGGAAGCTTGAATAAGACAAGTATGGTTCAGCATGGTCCCGACATACCGCAATAGACCCACAATCACAGAGCGATAAAGGCATCAACATAAGTGCCTATGCCACATCGAGAACAATGTCAAAAAGCGGGTAAAGTGTGTGGCAAAGGGGGTGTTAGGCGAGCGTCCATGATTCGTGGTGTTATACGAATCTGTACTCTCCAAGACCGGATGGGCCTCAGTTCTGGAGGGTGCCTCTGAGAGACCGGTCAGACAACGAAGCATGTACCCTTGCAAATTGACGCTGAGGTCACGACTGACGATGGCTGTTTGTTACACGAAATCGCGCTGCCAAGTCTAACACAGCCTGATACGGACAGCAGGGTGGCCGTGCGAGACACGCATCGGAAGAACAGGAGTGTCAAAGAATCATGCGTATGGAGCGCATGGTGACATTGAGCCTGATGTGCTGGCGAAAAGATGATGAAGAGAGCGCGGGTGAAGAGGCAAGAGCTGACGTGGCATACGTGGCCCAAACAGCGATTCCAAAGGTTCAAGTCGTCAGAACTTGACAGCTGTTTGCGAAATCGTAGACCGCTCGCGAAAAACGACGTTCAACCAAGAAGGCAAGTAGCCCCACAGCGACGCTTCTGCCGTCTTGGATTCGCGGATGCCGAGTGTGGCGATCCCTTTGTGGCTCCCTCAAATCAACGTAGCGGATGCCAGATGCGATGACCAAAGTTAATCGTGCTGATAATTTGAGATCAGCTTACCCTGCTACTGTTGAGAGGTTACCTGCATTTTCCTCAGCCAGTATAAGCACTCGTTGCCAGAGCTCTGGCAAGTTTCGGGACCAACCTCAGGCTAACGAGATAATGATAACAGAAGTCTATGCATTTCTCTTACTACACGGATATACTGGCTCTTGGCTAGCAGCCCATTTTTGCACAGTGAGTATCAAAAGAACAATCTGCAATAAAAGAGTGCAGGACCGCACGATAGCTAAGTGACAGGGCCACAATACGCCTGACGATCCTCGTCCGGCGCCACGCCGCTCGGCAGAAGTCGTTGTGGAGCCAATTTCCTTCTTCACATGAGCGTCGTTTTCTACGAGCGGTCTACAATTTCGCAAACAGCTGGAATGCTTCAATGAATTTATACGGTTGGAAAGACCGTTCGAAGGCAAAGAGCTTTGTGTTCCACGATTCACAAAGGAGAAGAGGAAAAGGATTGGGATGAACGTTGTTTGCAAGGAAAATGGAAGAAAGAGCGAGAAAGGACGAGCGTGGGAAGGAATACTGCGAAGGTTGACGTGGCGGATGCGACGTGGCAAGCGACGCGTCGATATATAAAGTCGACCGCCAGCGTTTCGCACAAGTCGTATTTACCACCTCCCTCAACATCCTCTCCTCCTTCCGCCGTCGTCGCCGTCTCCCGCGTACTTTCATCACCGTCTTTTACGCTTAACGACCGCGCACCACACAATGTCTCGTCCTTCGCGGACGCACACAGGCCGGTTCTTCTCCGGCCTGTCGTTCCTCTTTGTTCTCTTCGTCGCACTCATCTGCCTCTGCCCGCCAGTAAGCGCAGATTCAGAAAAGCCTGATTATGGCACTGTCATCGGTATTGGTACGTGTCTCTTCCTTCTGGTGCGCTCAAAACTGGCACTGATCGCCTGTTCACCAACAGATCTTGGTACAACGTAAGTCGAGTATTGAGCATCATTATGATGCGAAATTACTCACAACATGTCAACGCCTGTAGGTATTCATGTGTTGGGTGAGTATTCCATGTGCTTTATGGGACTGTACATCTTACTAACCCATTCTTCGATAGTGTTCACCGTGGGGGACGTGTCGAAATTATCGCCAACGACCAGGGTCACCGGATAACACCATCATGGGTCTCTTTCACTGACGATGAACGATTGTGAGGATATTTTTGCTCAGGACCCACCGTATTTTAGACTCTGATCTATTAGTTCGTTGGTAGAATTGGTGACTCGGCAAAGAACGCATTCCACTCCAACCCAGAAAACACCGTGTTCGACGCTAAGCGTCTCATCGGTCGTAAAATGGACGAGCCCGAAATCAAGCGCGACATCAAGCACTGGCCTTTCAAGGTCATTGAGAAGGGTGGGAAGCCGTCGGTTCAGGTCCAATACAAGGGTACCCCCCACGACTTCGTACGCTCATTATCTCGCCTCTCGTAATTTCGTGTCTTGCTTGCTAAAATGTCTTTGATGGGCGACTCTAGACTCCCGAGGAGATCTCCGCCATGGTTTTGACGAAGATGAAGGACACCGCTGAGGCTTATCTCGGCAAGAAGGTCACTCACGCCGTCGTCACCGTCCCAGCTTGTGCGTATCTCACGGTTTTATTCCTCTGACAACCGAACTCACACCTTCTTTTCAGACTTCAACGACGCTCAGCGTCAGGCCACCAAGGATGCCGGTACCATCGCCGGTCTCCAGGTTCTCCGTATCATCAACGAACCTACCGCTGCCGCCATCGCCTACGGTCTCGACAAGAAGGGTGGCGAGTCTCAGATCATCGTCTACGATCTCGGTGGTGGAACTTTCGATGTGTCTCTCCTTTCCATCGACGACGGCGTCTTCGAGGTCCTCGCCACCGCCGGTGACACCCATCTCGGTGGTGAAGATTTCGACAACCGTGTCATCGAGTACTTCACCAAGCTCTACAAGAAGAAGACCGGTACCGACGTTTCTGGCAACCTTCGCGCGCTTGGAAAGCTGAAGAGGGAGGTCGAGAAGGCCAAGAGGACGTTGTCTTCCCAGCAGAGCACGAGGATCGAGATTGAGAGCTTCGAGGGCGGAAACGACTTCTCCGAGACCTTGACCAGGGCCAAGTTCGAAGAGTTGAACTTGGACCTTTTCAGGAAGACGATGAAGCCCGTCGAGCAGGTCCTTAAGGACGCCGGTGTTAAGAAGGAGGATGTCGACGAGGTTCGTCTTTTGTTCCCTATACCTGTTTCTTCAGTACTGACTATTCCGGTTTATAGGTTGTCCTTGTCGGTGGTTCGACTCGTATCCCCAAGGTCCAGCAACTCCTCAAGGAGTTCTTCGGTGGTAAGGAGCCTTCCAAGGGTATCAACCCCGATGAGGCCGTCGCCTACGGTGCTGCCGTCCAGGGTGGTATCCTCTCCGGTGAGGAGGGAACCGAGGATGTTGTCCTCGTCGATGTCTGCCCCCTTACTCTCGGTATTGAGACCACTGGCGGTGTTTTCACCAAGCTCATCTCCCGTAACACCGTCATCCCTACCCGCAAGTCCCAGATGTACGCTCTTCCTCTTCCATTTTATTTGCCTCCATTTGATTGACGCGCTATTCGTAGCTTCTCGACTGCAGCCGACAACCAGCCCACGGTGTTGATCCAGGTTTTCGAGGGTGAACGTTCGTTGACCAAGGACAACAACCTCCTCGGCAAGTTCGAGCTCTCCGGTATTCCTCCCGCTCCCCGTGGTGTTCCTCAGATCGAAGTCACTTTCGAGGTCAACGCCGACGGTATCATGAAGGTTGGCGCCGCCGACAAGGGAACGTACGTATCATCCGTCGATCTGCGCTATATATTTGAGGCTGATTTTCCTCTCGTTTCTTCCATTCTATAGTGGAAAGTCCGAGTCCATCACCATCACGAACGAGAAGGGTCGTCTGTCCAAGGACGAAATCGAGCGCATGATCAAGGAAGCCGAAGAGTTCGCGTCCGAGGACGAAGCTCAACGCCGCCGCATCGAAGCTCTTAACACCCTCTCTTCCTACATCTACAACGTGAAGGGCCAACTCGGCGACCAGGAGGGCATGGGCGGCAAGATCTCGGACGAGGACAAGAAGACCATCTTGTCGGTCACGAAGGAGACGACGGACTGGATTGATGAGAACGGGCAGAGCGCGACGGCGGAGGAGCTCGAGGAGAAGTTGAGCGAGGTCCAGGCCGTCGTGAACCCCATCACGGCGAAGTTCTACGAGGGCAGCGCAGGATCAAGTTACGAGCCGGGTGCAGAGGATGAGGAGGAGCCGTTCTACTCGCACGATGAACTGTAATTGGTGTGTGCGTATTTTTGAGGGGGTGCTCGGTATGGATTTGTTTGGGTACATTCAAGTAATTAGAAAGCACTCGTATTGGTTTCTTATTTGCATCATGTCTATGTGTGATCTGAGTTTGTGTGACCATAAGCATGAGTGAATATAGGTCTAGGTAACATGTTGGACTTGTCATCCTCGAGCGATGCGGTCTTCGTCAACAAACCCCGCCCTTGTGGCGCAGGCGAGCATTTTCACACGCTTGATCCGCAGGAACGATCTGTGTGGCGCAAGCCACTTTCAACCTCGAACCCTAAGGTACTCGCGCCAGCCGTCACCGTCCCCCCGTGTTCAGAGACGGTCACCAGTCTACTCGAACCCGCACTCGTCACGATTTTTACGACGCGTTCTCAATTGGAAACACTATCACGGCCAGGCCATCGACCAAAGCGAGTGAGTGGGACTATTTTCACTGTGATATTCCACCCCCAACACACCGTTCCCATTCTCAGAGTCCTGCAGGCCTTAGACTCGAACATACTGGACTGCGGTGACTGGAAACCCCGTCCTTGTGACGTCGTCAACGAAGAACAGGCGTGAACTTGAAGGATAGATGCGCGGAACCAACGGTGTCATCTTTCGCGACAGAAGGTAGGTACACCTATACATAGTCCAGAATCGGAAACATGATCTCATACACGCAACCGCTCGATGCCACGTCTCATCGTCACTTAGAAAGTGGAATTGTTCTATGGATGTGATATGTCATTCATCACGCGTTGGGGCGATTTGTCTAGAAACCATACCTTGTATGTCGCAGACTCCGTGGCAGTGTCGTCTCCGGTCCCTTCGCTCCCCTGCGGTATCTTTAGGACTATCTACCCACCCTGTGCGATGAAATGATACAGCGTGTCAGACATGACAGAGGCGAAATGAGAGTGTTCAGTGGCATACATGGGTAAATTGGTCTGACAATTGAGGGGTGTCTGTATCTGTGTGTGTTCTCCTGCCGCCAGGCCTGATCGCATTAGACTAAGATTACCAGAAGGAATCGCGAAGTCGAGGGTTGACATAACTTGAGTGCTCCCTCTAACGTAATCACGGGCATTCAGATTTGCGAGGAATGTGCTAAAATATAGGGAGCAAAAGGGTAGCTCCGTGATTGTATAGTAGAGAGTTGTGGGCGAGGCGGCCAACTGCGGTGATTCAGATCCATGAGCGAGTTGATACAAATTCTGCATGGAATACACTTACCAGGATGAGTGTGACTGACGCTGTGATCGCAGTAAGAAGTGTGCTGTTTACGATTAGCACAATGACCCGATTAATCATCTGTTTCGATCTGGAATAAGGACATGTTCGTCAGGATGGAAGGATCATGTCAGACGTCAACACAAGATACTGACCTCTTGAGCTGGGGGTTTTTCATATCAGCGAGTGTCCAAACCATAATAACAGCAACGGCGATGTCCACGGCAACTGAAGCAGCCCGTATGGATAGATTGATGTTCTGTCATGTTGCTCGCATCAATCACTATTTCAATTGCCCAGAGAGCCACTTACGAGTTCACGCGGGGTGGAGAGCGTGGTGATTCGTCGTCCGTATCTAGATACATAGTGAAAGTCAATTCTAGTACTTATACTCAGAAGAGCCAGATTCAGATACCCGAATACAAGGTATACTTAGTATAAGTCCATTCGTTAGTGCATCGACTTAGAATTGCACACGAGTGGACACACTAATTATCCCGACTATACTTATTATATCGATTAACGGTGTCTTTGATTTAGTGAGTCGGAAGGGTACACACCTACGTCCCAGGAGGCGAGGACAACCTATGCAAGGCCACTATGACTTTCACGGTACAAATCTCTGAGAGGAAGCTTGCGTACAAGGAAGATAGGTAATATCCAGTGTTTTTTGTTGACTAGAACAAATTGCTCGATTCGGGAGGATGAAGATTCGAATGAGGAGTAACATACCCAGGTATATTCTTCGAATGAACCATAATTGGACGATGTAAACAACTGCTGCCTATCAAATGGTCGATATGAGCTCGTGAATTGCATGCCGGGTGACTACTCTCATACTTCGATGGCGGAATGATCCTGAAGAGTGTCAACGTGGAGCAAGATATCTCAAAGATAGAGCAAACATACCATTAGTTCTCTGGCCAAAGTCAGACAGAGGTATTCAGTGAATGATATCGAACAGGATTTCAAGGCGTACATTTGTTGTTGATTCAGGAGAGACAAATCTCCCCAGTTTCGTACGAGTACCTTGAAGTCTGTTGCTCTTGTGAGTTATTTCACCTTCTAACCGTGAAAAGTGAGGACACACTCGACTTGATAATCATGACCTCGCTCGCGGTATCCAAACACCTAGATCCAGACGGACATCTTGAGTCTACCCACTTCTCTGAGCAGGGACACGACAGGTGTAGCAGCAATCTCACCATAGGAAAGCTACCTGTATTTGGCATCAATGGATCGTTCGTGACATATTTAATGAAACGGAGTTACCAAAGCCTTTAACGCTCCATGGTCCATACCACAGCTGGACAGGGAGTGAGGCAGTGTCAGCATCAAACCTCACAGACAGACAGCTTGGCACTCACTTCATGAAATAGAGGAAGCTTTAGTTGGTAGCGGTCAAAATCCTGGGCTATTCGATATGATTAGAAGATTGCGCACGTTTGAAAACTCGAACACCCCCAAATGACTGCCGATAAGAACGATCCGACCAAGACAGCACCGAACGTGGACATAAGGTCGAGTATAACTGGATTCTCAGGTGTGGCCATAGCTGTCGGGGGTGATAACGATGTACTGAACACTGTAGTTGTATGTGGGTACGTTGTCGGCTGGATCGAAGGTTGACTTGCGTGGGGCGACAGGAAGCGCCCAGGCTGTACTAAATTATAAGTCATGTTACGGCGCAATGATGGGTGATGCGAGAAAAGAAACCTTTGTATCACTTGACAAGCTTGACAGGCTCGTCAGTAGTTATTATTTATAACGCGGCCATTTCATTGCTTTTTCTTTAAAAAAACACCAGTACCTATCTGAGGTCGTCACACACTTGAAGCATCAAAGGCAATTTAGATTCGATGGTGCTTCAATCTATATTTGTGTGTATAAAAGCGGGAGAAGGTACTCCATTCTTGATCTTTGCCTGGGTAACGCGGAGCGCGCGAAGATGTTATTGTGGGTGATGCTATGCAATGGCGGGTGCCTAGTAGAGTTCGCGAGTAGTCGCTGACTGCAGACCGTTCACATCATGATTTCCTAGAATGGACCTACTAGTACTGGCAGATACTAGTCAATACTCTTCCATGGTCGTCCCCATAACTCTACCTGCCAGGCATTGATATATCTTGGTACAAGGAAAATCAGACGGTAAGCAGGAGCACAACTAGCGATGAACAAGATCAAGGTTGATGCGATAGTGTCCTCGGCGTCGGCATGAGAGGAGAGACGCCATGTCTGCACCGTGAAACGCTTGTAACCGCAATCTGGCCAACAAAGTTGTTTGCTGCTGTTTTGCAACGTCAAGCGCCACAGTAGTTGCACACAGACACCCCTAACCCCATTTTAGGTGCATGTCCGTCGGTTCTGTGTATGATATGAATCATTGTACTTCCTCTTGCACGTTATAGTTCGACGACAATGTACGAGGCTCCCTACCCTCCTTACGACCCCGTCGACACATCAGGGTACGCATTGTACAGTCCTTGATATATGGCATCTCCTCATTCCCCTATTCTCTAGTTTCTCGTGAGTCTACCACTCCGCTTTGCTCGACCGACAGCGCGTCCATATGTATGGCGTTCACTTCGTGCGCCTCTAGTTATCAAACAGTGGTCAAGCGATGGCCCGTCATATTGACCGGAATCATTGACACAATCTATCGCACTAATCACGACCTGTCATTGTCGTCTGATCCTGACATGTCCAAACTTGGCGATGTATCTGCGGTGGACCAGGAAACGCGCGAAAGGATCGAGGAAGGGAAGAGACTGATTGAGAAGTTAAGCAAGTTGAAGTATGAGATGGGCAGGGATAGGCCTCTGGAGTGCGTAATATCCGTGTGCGACATCAACTCGGTGTTTTATAGCTTCGTCATTATCCTGCAGAGCTGTTCCGGATGACGGGGAACCCTTGGTGAAGGTGTACAACGATGAACTAGAGAAACTCTCGAGCCAAGGAAAAGGGACGTGGTTCACGGCACCTTGGCTGTATGCTGAGTGAGCTACACTTTCGGCTCGGCTCATGAACGTCGACTGACCGACGCATCTTTACGTCGTGCGTAGATGCTACTTGTGAGCAGTCTCCACATCGAGCAGTCTTCCCAGGATGGCTCATGTCTTCAAAGATACCGTTTTCTCCGTGCCTACTTCTCCCGGACTAAGTACTGGCGTACCTTTGACCCGTTCCGAGGCCAGAAGGAATCCACATTTCAAGCTAGTGGTACGGCGATATACCGTACGTAGCACATGTATCTCCCCTTGACTGCGAACGATGTACTCACGGGTGCATCCGACTCAGAGCTTGCCACAACAATGCATGAATTGGAGGCCGAAAAATCTGCCCTGATATCTGATCCGGACAAGCTGGTCATCATCTTCCGAGAGATGATTCAGATGTGTCTATGGTATGCCAAATGTTCGCTCTTTATCGACGTTTGTAGTTGTACTCACGCTCTGGCCTTAGGGGTAATGCTACCGTGAGTCTTGCCGCTTTTTTTATTCCCCTCGGCAATGAGTATAACGTTCTACTTCTAGGATCTATCTCTGTTGACTCACATGTCCCACTCGGACATACAAGATCTTCAGACAGTCGGCAAGGATGCCCAAGCCGCTCGCAAAGAGTTCATACTGAAAGATGACCAAGAGCGTGTCTGGGATCATATCAAGACCCTCTCCCCGGATTCCCGAGTCGACTTTGTGCTGGATAATGGTAGGCCGACACTGATCTCTCATTGTGTAGTAGTCCGCGCCTGACTTTAGACTCTACAGCTGGTTTTGAGGTAGATGTTTGTCATTCGCGTTGATGTGGTAGGCTAACGATCCTTGAAGCTTTTCACAGACTTCGTTTTCGCCGACTTTCTCGTAACATACACGCCTTACGTTTCTCGCGTCGTTTTCCAGTACGTTCCTCTTTCTCGTCCCCTCCTGATTCGCTTCTGAACTTACCACCTTTCGTTCACTAAGTCCAAAAATCATTCCCTGGTTTGTCTCCGATGTCACGCCCACCGACTTCAAACAAACCTTCGCCTCCCTTCTCTCTCCCGCATTCTTCCCTTCATCTCCTACTGCCTCCTCGAAGCCATCACCTTCACAACAGCACCTACACGCCATGGTGCTCCGCTGGCAATCGTACCTCGAGAACGGTATATTCGCTCTCTCTGTTCCGCTTGATACACCATTAGGCGGCGACGTCACCGTGGGTACAAATGGACAGAAGAATGTGGTCGTGAATTTGGAGAAGAATGGTGTCAATGAAGCAAGCTTTTGGACGGGTCCATGGCCATATTGGGATATGAAGGAATTGGCTCCAGAGCTTTGGACAACGTTGAGTGAGAGTGGTCTTGTCATTTTTAAGGTCGGTCTCCGACATGGGAAACGTTATGCACAGTCACTCACTACGCTATGTTTTCGTGATCACCCCCGTAGGGAGACCTCAAGTGAGTTTTTGGTTCTTGAACCACATGGACGGAGGAGATTGATAGCACATCTTGCTTCCTTGTTATACTCCTGCAGCTACCGAAAGTATGCACCGGGCACTGTCCCTTATCTTTATTGTTAGTCTGAGCTCACCGTCGACGTTTAATCCATCTAGGTTAACCGGTGATATCAAGTGGCCTGTCTCCACGCCCTTCGAGATCGCCGTTGGTACGTCATTAATCTTCACTTCAATAAGCTACTCTTTGTTCTGATACATTCATGGCCCTATCCACAGGTCCACTCGCCGGCTCATTCCCTCTTCTCAGCCTGCGAACCAATAAAGCAGACGTGGCAGTTGGTGTACCTCAAGCTGTGGCAGACGAGCTGGACAAGAAGGGCGAGAAATGGAGAGTCAGTGGAAAGTACGTTTTTACATTCCTCTCTGGAGCCGTGTCGTATGTGAGCGTATTGCCCGAGACGTCGATGTTGATCGCCCGTCTTCTATCGGTTCAGATACGCGCTAGTATCGTTCATTCCCAAAGGATCTCAAGCATAGCTATCGATCAGGAAGTGTAGAACAAAGAAAATTCTAGAGTACGCCTATCGTTTGTTTATCCGAGTGGGGTAGTATCATGCTGACTTTGATCGGTATAGATAGAGACGCAGTGCGCAGAAAGAATATCCTGAATGTAGCCATCTCGTGTAACGGAGCATAGAAAAAGGTGTAGTCTAGAGAAGTAACAATGAGGTTCTTTCAGATCCATGTCACGAGGGCTTCAATAATAGACCAATGCGGTGGGATCATCTAGTTCTCCCAGATCGATACGGTCCGGGGGAAATGGATGGACCAGAGAGTTCGATGTCGAATACATGGTGTGCTATGTCAGATGATCCAGGTATGCGAGAGAAGTTGGGTGACTACGTCTATAAAATGTGTGTCCTTAGAACCTTGCGTTACCTTGCTCAATCTTGAGATTTGTGCTATCAAGAACAAACTCTTGTTATCATGGATCAACAACAGCGAGGCCTAGTAGTAGGCTACGACGGGCGTTTGTTCTCAAATAAGTCGGTTTGTCTTTGCTCAGCTCTTTTCAAGTGGTTCTTGGTGGGCGTTCACAGTCGTCCAGTTCTAACCAGGCTGAAGACAATCAAAGAACCTAGATTTCATTTCGCAATACCTGAGGGTGGGGAATTGAATGGTTACGCATGAACTGAACGTTGGACGCGGATGGTAGCCTCTTGTTTGAGCCATAACAAGAACTATGGAACAAATATCGAAAACCAACAGAGTACTAGTGCTACCATAGGTTTGGAATGGTGGGCCGTTCGAACAACACAATGAAGAAGGGGAAGGCCGGTGCCATAACGGAAAGACAGTGCGAAAGGCCATAGAGGGATGAACAATAAATAAAATCGAAAACAATGAAAAACGGTTGTGGGCGGATGAGGTTCAGGCGCAATAACGACAGGATATGGGTGGTTTTTACGACCCAAGATATGTATGTCCTATCTCAATCGGTGGTGGCAATAGAAGTGGCGGCCGGCGCTTGAACAGCAGATAAACTGGCTGGCAGAACGGTGCTGTCCAAGGAGGACGAGGTGGGTGCCAACTCTTCGACCTGTTCCACGTCTCGAGCTCAATGATACAGCATTACGGTCTAGTGCATCGAGGAAACATACTGGTATGAGAGCACCTCGGCAGTCTGACATGCACATCCTGCTCCAGTATGAAGAGGATCTCAAGCCACGCAAGAAGCCCATGCCAGCATGCGGTGGCAACGGAGTAGCGAGCGCATTATCAACTGCCATGTAACCAGATCATTAGTCCATCGTAGGTTAACGTTCGTAATGACAGCGGACTTACGCTGAAGGAGAGAAACCATGAACAAAAGAGCGAGGGAGATGTCAAAGCGCATTATATGACAGTCGGGAGATTGCAGAGAATTGAGCTGGGTCGGGGCAGGTTTGTCGAAGGGGCCTGTTTGATTGTGTTTGCACCAGTAGCTCTCGAGCCCTTCTTATACCAGACTTGAAGTCATTCGACTTGGCCCAGGCAGATGGATAGACGGACGGCAATAAAATCTCGGTGGCGAAAGTCCAAATGGGCTTAAAGTTACTGGTAAGCGACCCGTACAACCGCACATGGTTTACTACACGACCGGTCGGACAGAGAATCAATGTTGACGATCGTCGTACATGCCCACGGATGATTTTGCCAGAACCCATAAATATGAATATACAAAAACATTCTATATTAGATTATCAACACACGCATGTCGGCCACCTGAGTGACGAGTCCACTTGAGCTAAGAGCTCTTGTACATCGCCGCGTACAATGTGCTCTTGAATAGGAGTGGATTTCAAAGTCTCTCCAGCACCGCTCGTTTCGAAACACGGGTGGCGGAGATTCCCAGAATCAACGCGGCGCGTAACGTTGATGCGTAGTAGACGACGCAGTTTGCCATCACATCGTGAAGATGCACAGGTAGAGATGCACGTACGTGAAATGTTCCCAACCCCCTTGGCCACTGAACCTACACGTCCGCGTAACCAAGCTCCCCACATCAGAACACGCACGTCAAGGCTTCGCTTTGTCGGGTGCCGACGCTAGAAAGCAAACACAAGAAGGTCAACTCAGCATCGCCTGCTCGCCTATCACAAGGAAATCAAATCAGATGGTTGTCAGCTCTAGAAATGGTAGATTGAATGAACGGACGAAAGAGTTGATCGTTTTATTTCAGCGCCTTCAACCCAACGCGAGGCGAATGCCGGAAAGTGGGAGACGTCATCAGTCCTGAAACTGTGATCTCGTTTGAGACCTTGAGAACTCTCCATTGAGTCCAGAAAAGCCCAGACAGCTTCATGGTGTGAACCGCATGTCGTATGCAACGAGCACAGATAACACAGAGTTGTTGTTTCGTGGAGTGGATAGAGCGAGAGCGTGAGCGTGAGCCCGAGGCCGAGCAAGAAATTGCGCGACCCAGATGATGTTTGGCACGCAGGGTACAATCCACGACCTTCCAGTTGATATTCACACTATCATAGGTTGGAGCGCAGTGAAAAGTATAGCTGCTGTGATATGTGGGGCCGCGTCTGCTACAGATGCAAGATGGATGAGTTCAAGCTTGGTTCAAGCCAAGTTCGAAAGTTCGACCACGTCCGGCGACTTGGACAGCGGAGTTTGAATCTTATATTAGAGTCCGATTCTCCCCGATGTCCGTCGCGTATGGCGCCACTGTTCCTCCTCCACCCAACCTCCACCTCCACATTCTTTCATTAGCCATGTCTTGGGCGTTATGATAGATGAACATCGTGCAGTCCTTTCACACCTCTCTCGTCTTCAGAACGTTTTTATGAATGTGTAAAGAGGAAACACTTAGATCGCTGAATATCGGTGAACCACTAGCAGGCCCAAAACGCTTTGCCGAGTACTTCAGACTGGGTGCTCATCGTCTTTGTCCCTATTGCAACGGGGTGAGCGTATTATGAGACACATCTCCCTCGTCGGGCGCTGTCGTCCAAACTCTCGCCCCACTCATGCGTGTCGTCGATGCGACAGGGACTGTGCCACCATTCACCAGCGCTTACTTGCACACAGGCTACTACAATAGCATCGATAATCTCGCCCTGCTATCGCCAGTTATCAGAGGTGCTCTTGCGGCTTTCATCTTACATGTCGGATTTTCCCAACCTCTACTCCTTCTGGCATGGCCGTCCTCATTGAAAATGCATGCCCGCTAACCGCCGCATCCTCGCAAGAACCTAGGCGTCTAGCTGTTCGTTTCCTCTGATAGCTTACCACGGTTTGAGGCAGAATAATTAATATCGGTACAACCCTTCCAAAGCTTCCAGGCCTCAAAACGCTATCGTGCTCTTGAACTCCACTTTAATGTTGCTCCTATGTGTTCAGATCGGCCTAGCTGGTTCTTCTATCGGATCCGAGTCCTATATCCATCGTCTTCCAACTATTTCTAGGTCGAACCATCGTACCAAATTCCGAGAACAGTCGCTGATCAGAAGACGTTTCATTTCGATAACGGTGAGCTTTGAACTCTGTGAACCTTACCGGAGCCAGTACAGGCAACCCTTCTTTCATAGTCCTATCTTCGCCGTGAGTCTTCATAAGTTTCGTCTGGTATCTAAAACTGTACTTTGTATCACTCAATTGCTTACAGCTTGCGATACGATTCTATGCAGGCTGCAACGGCGGGGATATCTTTCGTTCCCCTTGTTTCGTCATTTATAAGGCGCGCGGAACAGTCAGTCGGATAGAGAGGCGATCTAGGACCTGTGCGCTCCGAAGTGGGATTTCGGTCCATCATCTGTCCTTCCTTTTCGACATTCGTACCGAATAATAGACCCCCTCTTGCATGCCTGGACGCGAGTGAGACTTGGTCACGAGCCGGAAATGTCAAGTCAGCGACCAAGACGATTACAAGTATGACGCAGTAGTTCTCATCCGACTCCATATCATTGATGTGGTAGCATAACGGTGGCGCTATACTGAGATCTCAGAGACGTAAACATCCCGTCCTAGAGTTCTGGGGGAAACCTGGAGGCGAGCTGAAGCGCGTTTGGTTGAAGTGGGCCACGGAGGGATGTTTGCAGTACTCGTTGTTCTGTTCTGTCCTTTGAATGAAGACTCCACGAAGTAAATATGGATGCTATCACCACCAAAATAACCATGATTGCTGGGACATTCCGGATAAGAGGGTACCCGAGAAGACAGCGAGAAACGGAAAGGGGAAAGACGGCGGATGGGAAAGAGTCGCGAGATCACGTGGCTGCCTGTCTCGCTAGGGAGCCACGACTGAAAGGGACTCGCGACTCCTGCCCTCGACCTCCACCCTCACCTCCTCAGTCACTATAAAGACCGCCTTACCCTCAGCCCTCCCCCCTCCTGCTCTTCCTCCCCCCTCCCACATACCTACGACTACCGTCTGCATTGTCTTTACCCGAGCGAGAGAAAGTCAGCATGGAGGACATCGTCTACCGTCCTTATAATGGTGAATCAGACTTGCAGCATATCATTGCACTTGTTCAGAATGAGCTCAGCGAGCCATATGTCATTTACACTTACCGGTACTTCCTCCACCAGTGGTAAGTCTTCTCACATGTAGGTCATTGGGCAGGGCAATATTTAATGACGTTTCACAGGCCTCAGCTTTCTTTCCTTGTACGTGCGGCCGTCGGAGTCAGACAGGAGTTTTCGACTTATCATACGTTTTCCTTTAGGCATATCCAGCAGATGCCACCGCTAGCTCCGCACCTATTGGCGTGATAGTCTGCAAGCAGAGCATGCACCGCGAGCGCACCAACCGTGGCTATATCGCTATGCTGAGCGTATCTAAGTCCTGGCGCAAGCGTGGAATAGGTACGTGCGCCTAATTCACACGTCTTCACCCACCCGCTCACAAGTCCTTGCTCTCTTCTACTTTGCCTATGGCCACGCAATGTCACTTTATCCCGGATCGGATGTCGGATTCAATTGGACCCGTATTGGACGTGTTGTTGTCGCGTTGTTGTCGCGTCGGCGTGCCGTGACCTGCACATGCGCGCGCTTCTAATCGTTGTTGGGGTCGAACGTGCGTAGCCAGCGCTCTCGTACGCCACTCCATGGAGGCCATGAAGTCCAGTGGCGTCGAAGAAGTATGTCCTATCATGAGCTTTGTTCCTGTTCCCTCCTTCTCAACAACATCTGTCTTCTTTGTTGCCAACTACATCCAGATCGTCCTTGAGACCGAACACGACAACGCTGCTGCCCTTTCCCTCTACGCCTCCCTTGGCTTCGTCCGTGAGAAACGTCTTCACCGTTTCTATCTCAATGGCAAAGACGCTTTCCGTCTTATCCTTGCTCTCGACCCGTCCTCCCCCAAGAACGGCATCCCGATACGTTTGAAAGATGCTCGGGCGGACAGCTCCGGCGCGGGCAGCAGCTTGGGTAGCGAGAGCACGCTGAGTGCGGATGGTGACGACGATGAAGAGGAGCCGAACGTGGGGAACTTGGCGAAGTTGAGGTGGAAGGTGAGCAACCTGAGGGCTTCGAGGATGGTGGCGATGTGGGCGCCCGATGAAGACTACGTGTCGGGTCGCTGAATGATGACTGTGATCGAACACTTTCTTCGTCTCTTGGAGATTATGGAATCCCCGCATATCCCCAACTGTTTCTTGCTGACGCGAAGTCTTCCATGCTACTCTTCGTCGTCGATGTCTTGCAATGTCCTTCTTCCTTTTTCTCTTCATTCTCCTCATTGTATCACCTCTTCAAATTCCTTCCTCTCTGTTCTTCTTGGGCTTGCAATCTTCTCGCCTTTTTTTCCTACTGGTCTCCATATCTCCCTGTTCTCATTCAATATGTGATAAGACTGTACTAGTTAATGCTCCCTGTGTCTCGTCTCTTCTGTCCCGTTCCTCTTCGTCCCATTTCTTTTCGTCTCCTTTGTACGACAACTTGTGCCCTCCACTCATATTATACATACGTACGATTGATACCCGTATCAACGAACATTTCCTGCAGCTTCCCACAACCAAGGCTTGCACATGCATGCCCTCTCGCTTGTTCCCATGTAGCAAACCTGTTGACTCTCGGGGGGACGTAACTGTCAGGTCCTGGGTACGTCTTGGTCTTGCACGCAAGTGTTCGAATCGTCTATAATACATGGTGCATATGGTTTCCAATGGCACTTCTCGTACCCTCTGCGGTGCAAATCGGTTGTATCATTCTAAGGCCACATACCATCTTGAGCAGGGAAATTCGCTGGCAGCATAGAGGAGTTTTGACGTACTTCACCGATTGATCTATAGCCATGTCCACATTTCTTCACCCCGTTTCCCATCCCATTCAACCTCGGCCACAACCTCCCTCAACGATCTGACGGTCTCCTCGCCGATGTTACATTCGAAGATGCAAAGTTTATCCAACCGTACCGCGCCTCGATTCGCACGCGTCGTGAGGACTTCTCGAAATCTCGCACACCACGTCTCCTCGTCAACGCCAGGCTCATAGCAGATACGCCGTAATCTGATGGAGTTGAGCTTCAGGGCCACCGTCGTTGTCCATGTGTCATCCTGAAAGGCATATCTAGCGAGGGTAGAAGGGAGATAGGCTACCCATTGGTCGGGGATGTCTAGTGCCTCGAGGTTAGGCATCGCGTCGAGAAGACGCCTGAACATGACTGGCCCTGAGTCGTGGTTGAAGAGTGTGTCATTAAGATACAACGAGCGGATGGTGGACCAATCGATTGCGAAGAGGAAATGTTGAAGAGCTTCAATGTCGACGATCTCCCTAGGTCCACCACAGACGTTTTGTAGAGTGGTGTTGAACACGGAGCGGCCGCCATCAGTCCAGAGACCCGGGGCGAGTTCGAAATGTATGTGTTCGGGAGAAGGGAAAAGATATAGCGACATGAATGAAGGACAAAGAGGTATAAAGACCCTCAGGCGTTCTGTAACCATCTGGGAGAATGAATTCCACGCCTCCTGGGGGTGATGACTCACTCTGAAACGTAGAGCGAGCTTAGCGGAAGGGGGTATTACCAGAGAATGGTAGAACTCCAGCACATCCGATACGTCTCCTTGTAGGTGAAGTGACTGGAGGTGGAGAAGATGTATGGAATGAGGTCTCAGGGCGACTGCGTGGGCAGTAAAAGCAGGTAGGGCGTCGCTGATCTCGAGTATACGCAGTGACGGAATCTCTTGGAGGATGGCTAGGAATTCTGCAGCGGTGGGACGAAGGGTGCCAGCAGGTGATGCTGTGGGAGAAGTAGAAACCGATGATAACAGATCGCTTGAATAATGTGTGATCTTGAGGACTGAGAGGCCTCGGAACAGCGATGTCCGTGCCCAAGGCACAAAGCAATATTGCAGCTCGAGGATCCGGAGGTTCGGCGCCTCAGACAGGAAGTGAAGAGGTAAGTTGATCGGGTGGCGCGGATATAATCCCAGCTCAAAAGTCAGTCTGAACTCCTGCAACAGTGCGGTTGGTTTATCGAAGGAGTCGACCATGTCCTGGATTACCCGCCAGTCATCGGTGCAATTAATGTGGAGTCGTTGAACATGAGACGCGTGGTCGGATATGATAGTGGATACAAGGTCTTTGGCGAAGAGTTTTGATGAGTCCCATGCGATTGTAAGAAGTGTTGACCTCGCCCTCTCCATCATCTGGGTGGCCCAAATGGGCCCGAGACAGAATACAATATCACTCCAAAGAACCGAGGCGTCCAGTGCAATCTGGCGCCATGGACGACAGACATGTGTCGCCTTGATCCAGCCAAGATCGTATTTGCTACCGCCGATACGTGCAATACGATGCGGAGGATCGTCGATGACAAGAAATGAGAAAATGGTGTATACCAGTTCGTTGTGGAGCGTGTGGATGGGTGCCATCATTCTGGGAAACGCGCTGGCTTCTAGTTGTTTATCTGAAAGAAAATGAGTAATGGTGTTTTGAGGGAAAAAAGGAAATGGGATGTGCGTACGTAGGTATCTAGACGATATAGCGCTATAGAGTTCCGGTTCCGTTTGGACACGTCAGGTCTGGTCAGGACAAGTCTTAAATTTATGGTGAGGCAACCGCAAGCGCGGCGTGTTTGGCCATTGTTTGGTCCCTGCGAACTGGTGCCGGCAGCCAGTTCGGAAAGAGAGGGACCGTGCACGCGAGTGGCTTATGACGCGCAGAGCTTTTATAATCGCGAAGAGGCATTGGTATAGCAAGCCACCGGACAGTGACAGGGCTCCTTTCGCAAGGCGAGGGTGGTTTTTGCCAGGGTCGGATTCTTCACCACCTGGTGAATCACCTTCCACTCTCATGTCGCAGAAGATACAGTCACAGTCACCGGTGCCAGGATTTGCAGATCCTTTCGACCCTAAGCCGAGGAAATTCTCAGAAACGCCGAGACCAACCACGTCAGCGACCTCAGACCTCAAGGCATCACCGCACCCGCTGCACGATCTAGTACTGCGAAGTAAGGAGCGGGCGACTCGACCGGGCGTAGCGGCGTTGCAGAACTTGGTCAAGAAAACCAAGCGGTTTAAACCTAGGTAGCGTTTACCATACATTTGTATATTCCTCCGACACACAACCAATAAAGGCATCGTATGTTTTACTTTCCTCAAATCCTTCGATGTTGAGCATTTAATCAGTCGTGCTTTCACCAGTCGTGCCCACTATGCGTATTCTGACTCCAAGGGGGCCATCTCAAGAATCTCGCCCTAGTATGGACCTTCGTTCAGTTCACGCCTGAAGACCATATCTTAGTGTTGCTACGCGACTGTCTATGTGAACTCGCCCGCGGACAACGCGATTGTTGAGCCTCGAGAATCGTTTGTTGGCATGTGACGAGAGTGACCAGGGAAAAGAGCACGGCACGCTTTAAAGTGACCAGTCATTTGAACCTCGGATCACCCTGATGAGCGAAATATCGTCATAACTCCCTGTGTCGCCCATCACGCATCTCTGCTTATAATATGTGGTGCAGAGCAGTCTTGAACTCCTGGGGTGTCATGTGCCAGCAGGTCACCTGGTACTCAGTGAAAGTGCGAACCAGCGGGAGAAGTGGCGCACAATTCAGGACTCCCCGTGTACCTATCCTATCATAAATACTCGGAAAAAATCGAAAGATTTAGTATATACGCAGGTCAGATTGGAACAGATTTTCTAAAATCATTCCTTTGAAATATTCTGCGATTTTGTTCCGGCTGATACGGGCATGATTTGTGCCTTGGCCATCACGGAAAACCGCCGAGTCCTGCAAGCTCATATATTTCGTTCGCAAGGTCATATATGGGATCCAATTGCTGAAATACTACTACAACAAGTAAAATGGGTTATGGTGCTCATTCACATATTGCAAGGCCTATAGCGAGGGTGCCCAAGTTACTACAAGCCCTCAAAATCTGTCCATGGGCCCGTCTCGGCTCGGTTGTACTTTTGGTTCTTCATTCTGACAACGTAGTCGAGTAACAAAAGCGCCGTTGTTAACGGCATCGTGCATTCAGAGTGATGATGAGAAACATTGCTACATATATGTATACGTGGGCAAGTGCGCAAGGTAGAGAAAGTATCCAGGAGGGAACATATACAGGTCGTGCAAAAAATAAAAATAAATGAATGAAAAAGTATCATAGATTGCTGATATCAAAAATTATATGCCTATATGTAGATGCGCACAATACGATGTGCTGAAAACGAGAGGGACAAGAAGTAAAGAACGACAAGGATGAGAGCATCAATGTCTCGGAGTCCTGAGGACGGAAGGACACATACCACGACGCGTCGCGAGCGACCGTGTTCGCGCTGCACAATGATGATGTCATCCCCTATTGCGAAGACGAAGCACAATGTCTGCTTCATCTTGTGCGGAGGGGATGTAGAAAGGGACGAGATTGTGTACGAACAGAGAAGGGAACGAAACAAACTATGTAGATCAAACACCTTCACGTCGACACTCCCTCGTCTTGCGAAAAGTCCAAGGCCATCATGTAGGGCGACACGAAAGAAAAGGCGTCGGGTAGCGTTAAGTGAAGGCCGATGGTGAAGACGAAGGAGGACCAGCGGGAGCTTCAAACTCGAGGGAAGAGCGGATGATGGCGGTACACCTCGAAAGGGATTCAGCCTGAAAATGATGAATGCGCTGGCAAGTCCCACGCTGAGTCCCAAACTGCACCTTCTTTGGTGACGCATCGATCCCGGCCGAGCTCGGCGGGTCTAGAAATGGGGCCGATCCCAAGATTCCGTAGCTTTCTAAACTCTAACGACCTGTTTCAGCGTAAATAAGCATTTTTAAGCGCAATACAATTGCACCTAACCCATGGCCACATTGCGCCACCATTTATCCGGCACAATTGATTGTGAGCCTCGGCGGGAATCCGTGATGTGTTTGCCACAGGATATTCCAGTGAGCAAGTTGTGTTATCCTTACAGTTTTACTTGCACTGACTTGTATCTAAAAATTTTCTGCAATGTTCGCTTTGACTCGTGCACAAGTTGTCTGACTGAAGGATTTACACTGCCAGCTTTCGTGCGAACCAAACAATGGCCAAACAGGACCCCTGCATTTGCGGGTCGAGCTCCCATCCTGGTGCGACAAATTTGGACCCAAAATTCCGCTTTTGTCCCATCCGTAGTGCGGACAAAATGGCCTTCGCACCCTTGATGTCCCATCCGGAAAATGGCCCGTGATGCGACAAAAATCGGTGTCAAAACGACCCAAAGATTCAGATTTAGGGCGAAATTTTGGCATACAGGGCTCGAAAAGGCCATATGCGGAGCGATGTTCCATCCGACCATGCGGACCAAAATAGCCAAAAAGCCGAGGCTTCATCCTCATGCGTACCAAAATACCCCAAAAATCGTGCGACAAAAAGGGCGATCTTTGAGGTTTTCGGATGGGACCTTGATCCGCATATGCAGGGGTCCTGGCCAAACGCGACGCCGCACCTCGCCGCACCTGCGGGAACTGCGCGTCTCAAACTTGAGGCTGAGGACTCTGGATCTGTGGCAGTACGTATTTAATGCATGTACCTGGCTATAGATTGGAGTGTTGTTCTTCATGGGACCGTATTGTACTCTGAGTATACCTTGCTTCCCTCCCCTGGACCCCTCTGGACTCCCATTTGCTATATCATTATGTCATGATCATGCCCTCTTCGGTGGCGGTGGCGTCTTTGTCTTGGGCGCGTTCTCCGTTACTGTGGCGGACTACAGTCCTTCTTGCTCATTTGTCCAGTTTATTGTCTCTATCTTGCGCATTTAATAGTAATAATGTAGAAGAAGTTATATTGGAAGCTCAAAGATGATGTACCTAGCTATGTGATGAATAACAATAATGATTGAGGAGCTAGAGTTTTACTAGCTTTTGGCTATATTTGGTAAGATCCTCTTGAGAAAAAGATGGTATACACCAAAGTAGGCTACACTTTCTCAAATATAATTTAGTGATAGGGTGTGTATCGAAGGGATGTTACTTAGCTCTTCAAGTTCAAATTTTGACATGATGGTATAGTTTTCGCCACCCGGAATCTGCCGAACACGCTCAAACATTTCTCGGAACAGGCGGAGTCCGGCACGTGGCCTTGGTTGTCCACCATATACCAAATGCGGTGTGTGAAGGAATCAAGTCTCTTTACGCCACCGTACAGTGTCGGCAGTGTTCTCGGACTCTACTCAACACTGCATAGACTTTTTGCTCTATCGGCTGCCCAATCACTTTCAAGTTCGTCTTCATTCTGATTAGCATGGAAGCTCACAAGATCGTCACCGATTCACAGTCATATCGAGACCGAGGGCCTTCAAGTCTTCTTTGTGCTGGAATCAGATTCATCCACAAGCCTGATATTCTCATGCAGTGGTCTGCACGGCTTCTATTTGCATGTAGGAGTCACGCATCTAAGGCTGTGCTTGTCTGCTAGAAGTAACAGTTTATCTAACTCACTTGTCCTCAAAGCTGTTTTTGGAGTCATCCCTTGTTCATTGACGCCACCTTCATCTGAACGATACTGCACTGTGTGCGCTCGGCTGAGTGTTATCTTCTACTCTGGGCAGGTGCAGTAGCACCATGCCAGAGACAACCAAACTTAGGTTCTATCTCTTTATGCCGCTTTCGAACGTCCCTTCCCATTGACGACATCATCATCTTGATTTTATTCCACTCTTGTGGCTCGTATCATGCCTCCAGCTGAGTGTTATCTCCTACCTTGGACAGGTGCAGTAGCACTATGCCTGAAATGATCAAATCTAGGCTCTATCTCTTGTTTGTCCTTTGGGGTTTTCTCCTTTCGTTCTCTGTGTTAGTAGCCAGACGGGGGTGGCGCAAACGTCTATAAAACTGGGTGATTTACGAACAAATAGCTCCAGCCCACCACTCCTCCATCCAAACACCTCTCAAATCTCACACTCCAAGCTATCCTCTATAAAATTAACCATGTCCGGCCCTGGCCTCTTCAACATGAATAACCATCCACACCTGCCCACACAGGTCATCAGCGGGATGAACGCGGACGACATCCTGAACTACGCGACAGCGCATCGTGCCGCTCGTGCAGCCATATTTCAACTCGCCATGGACCGTATTCGGCTCCACCCCTGGCCTCTTCCTCAGGGAATTCAGCCCGCCGACTTCTGTCAAGAGTCGGGAGCATCCTTTGATGCTTTACTCCAGCAGGCCGAGTATTTCCCCACCGTCATTCGGGCGCTCTGGGAGCCCGCAGGTCAGGTCCTGTTGGAGAGCTTCCGTGAGCGGGGGGTCACTTCAAGATACGCGGCCCTGGTTTGTCTCGTCTTCACCGTCGCCAGAGTACGAGACATCACACAAGCCACCTCACGATACACGGCCTTTTCCGCACTGGACCTCATTACTGTCTCTGCTGCTTGGGACGGCCGCCACTTGCTAGGAATGCGCGAGTTTCAGACCTTCACTCGTCTTCCGCAGCCTGCGGTGTCAGCTGCTTTTTCTCGTCTCCAGACAGCACGCGACATTTACCGAAGTGCGAGAGCCTTGAGACCGTGGTACCGCAGAACAGATGCAGCAATCGATCCCTTCCGTCAGGGATTCGTCGCTGATCCCGATGCTTAGGGTTTGCTCCTCGAGCATAGCCCTGCCCCGTCGGTGAGCGTCTTTTTCGTATATTGTTTGGCCTACAACTGATGCGCCACACAGGGTAAGACAATTCCTTGAAAGGGCGGCATTTAGACTGGTTTCGTCGTGCTTGCGCATATATGGATACGCAACATGGCTTGGTCTGATACTATATCTCCATGGACATCGTTTATCGTGTAACACTGTATACCTCCTTGTATGGGCTTGCAATACTATTCCGTGGACATTTCGAGCATGGCCCGGCTGCAGTTGAGCTATGTGCTGCATTTCTTGACGGTGATCGCGTAAACAGATACAGGTGCGGTAGTTATTAGAAATCCCTATATTCGGAATAGCTTTGTGAGCCTTTTAGATTTTGAACGTGAACGGATGACCAACAGCCCAGTCGACCGAAACATTCTGACAGATATAGGGAACAGACAGCTACAACGTAAATTGTGTACCACATTCACGAGTGCATTTGCATAGTGCATCGAATACATCCGACATCACCCGTAATCCGAGTTCGAATACAAAAAATAGAGCAAAATTGCATCATGCACTAGAACAATAGCGCCTGATGTCTGGGACGTCTCGAAGTCAGCTGAGCGGCACGGACCAAGAAATCATACAATTCAGACCTTTTGACCGCACTGGACATGATGGATCAGTTTGTCGTCGAGTAGCAGCTACCGCAAAAAAATACACTCACACTAGCAGAACATGTTGACCGCCAGCGCTTGCTCCAATGACCGCATAATCCCTCAGGGCCTTGCAACACACCCTGGTGGGAGTTGATGCCTCGTCCACATCATCGCCCATCCCTAGCTGATTTGTAGTGCCCTCCCCCCATGAATAAAGAAAGCCTTGGTCATCCCAGGCGAGATTATATCGCTCAGCAGAGCGCAGTCCGAGTATTCTCGTAGAAGAGACCGGTGAGCCGTGGGAGGGAACAAGTGGCGTAGGACAATCGACTGTCGGAGGGGGAGGAAAATACACGCGAGTTGGTTCACGTACAATGGAATCTGGCACAAGTTGTGGCAGAGGCTCGTCCATGATGTTAAGTCCGGATTCTCGCGCATTCGCAGCTCGCAAGCTGTAAAGGTCGTGTTGATATTGAGCGGCAATGGCGAGCATGACGGGGTGATCATCGGTGAGACCCAAACGACCGTGATCTGCACGGCCACATCCCCAGACCTCGCCATTGCTGAGTAGAAAGAGGCTGTGATGCTCTCCAGCTGCGATTTGGATGACGTGCGCACCCAAATGAAGGTCCGGGTGTAAAGCTCGAACGGGGGTAGGAGTATGAACGTGGGACTGAGCGCCTCCAACGTCGTCACTGATGCCTGTCTGATGCATCTGATTTAGGCCCCAAGCGTACACAATCCCGCCACTATTCACAGCAAACGAGTGGTGGCTACCGGCCGACACAAGGACTATATCGCGGAGGTGTAATGGCTCAGGTCGAAGACCGCTGGTGATCCGACGAGAGAGGATTTTACGTCCAAGCTGGTACTGTACCCCATCCCCCCAAGTATACACACGACCAGACCGCGAAAGGGCCAAAACATGGTTGTTTCCACACGCGATGCTCGAAATTGGTACCTTTGCGAGGTCCGGAAGCTCTTTGGGTTGAAGAACCTTCTTCGGGTGGCCGATTACTCCGTCGAAACCAAGAAGGCCATCTGACTAGGGAAAGAATTGGTGACCATGAATGCACCATAACCAGGAACAGCTCACATTGAAGGTCCCCCAGGCATATACCTTGCCTTCGGCACTGAGGGCAATGCTCAAGCAATCTCCCGCTGCTACAAAGGCTACGCGATCATCGAGTCTGGGCACCAACCCCGGTGTTGCTTCTTCTGCTTCTCTGTGCAAACCGTCGGTCACCCGTCCAAGTGCCATATCGTCATTGACACCGAAAGACCATACCTAATATGCGAGAGCAAACTTTTAATAACTTTCCACGGTTAAAACCTCACAAAAGACGATGATATTTACCATCCCATTAGAATCGAGTACGAGAGAATGCATGCCACCAGCAGCGACCTGCTCGATGCCATACGGTCCCATGGTGCTGGCCTCGACAAGATCATTTAATAACGAGTGCACTCGTGGCCTGGAAATATCGACTGGACCAGCGCCCAAGCCGAGCTGGCCGCAGTCTCCACAGCCGTGAACTAATAGAACTCGCTTCTGTCCAGATGAATCCTCGCCCATAGAAGATGGAAGAGAGTTCACAGTCATAAGTGATTGAGAGATCCGCTGCCGTTTGGTAGATGAGTGTGTTTTTGGTATTTGGATCTTGCGCTTTGGATTCACCTCCGAGTCCCCATTACTCACTTCTTGTATCGGATTGGTGCATCAGCGCTATGGTCAATTGACAGTGTTTGGGTGACGTACCTAGAGTAGAGGATGTCGCTCGGGCCTGAATCTTGCGCCTGTTCTTCATGGATGGTATCGAGGAATTGATTTGGGTGCGGTAGCGAGATTGGTGAACCAATGTCGTTGTCGTGGGGAGATCGAGTAAGATCAATACTTTTGTTCTCAACAAGAGTCACGTGAATATCAGCCTCGAAACTCCGGCGACAAGTCCACGTGTAGTAATAATAAGCTTAAGTAGTCAGGGCAGAGTCTGCCAGTCTGGTACAATAGTATTGAACTAAATGTCGCGCCTGTGCTACACAATCCCGTAAATGGTACGCTCTTTCGGCAGACTTCAAAGATGGCGTGGCGAGCCTTACGTCGATCGTGCGGTGTGAACTGTTCTTCAGGGCTGGGGCATTGAACAACTTCCGACAGCTTTTGACGGATCAGAGGGTGTGTGCCTGTTGGGAGCCACAAATTAGTAAAGATACGTGCGACGGTGAAGCCAAGAGAGATGACAACTACCCTCGATATGATTTCACTGGCATCATCTGTATACAACATGAACCCGAGGCTTTGCGGACAACGAAACAATGCGTCGTACACATGATCCTACCGCTGCAATTGGACATCCGTCGTCCTCCAGAACTCACACCTAGAGACCAAGGCATCGTCGACCTCCATAGCCACTGCATCGGGATGGAACAGTATCCTAGGCGTCCCAGTCGCCGTATTGACCGGCTGAGCAAGAATTACGTGAGTACTGAACACACACTGGGCAATGAAGGGCATACCTCCCAGGTAGCTTCGTTATTGCTTTCGCCAGTCGCAACGGGCACGCCACCGGTCACGAACGAGGTGAAGTATTGTCTCATGGCTGTGAAAAGCGGCAAAGACGGGTTCGAGAAACTGAAGAACGCCGTGAGATCAGACCCATGCACGGTGAACCCCTGAGCATCAGGGTTGTCATAACTAAGGGCCACATGAGTAAAGCTAAATTGTTGAATTTATAAATAACACGCTTACCGATACTGGTATGCCGTGTTGCTAAAGTTCGTCACAGCTCCGGTAATCAGCAACGCGGTACATATGTATCTCGCCTCCCCATAGATCGCCGATGTCTGAAGCTCTAAAGAATTGTTGAAGCTCGTTATGGGGTACTGTTCTTCGATCAAGCTGAACGTTTCTTGTGTGATATTGGGAAATTGTCCGGCGAGGAAGTTGAAAACGGTTTGACTCGTAGCACCCGATACTCCGACGTTGGCACCCGACGACGTGGGGAGACCTTCGGACCAGTTGTTTCCCTCGTTGGTGTTGGAGCTGAACGATCAGTCAGCTCGTCTTTCTCGATTCGCCTTTTCATCGTTACAAATGAACGTACCCGATAGAGACAGGAACTTGTGCAAAACGTCCATTTGCGAACGCCTCAGTGGTTCTCTCGGTGAGAAACGTTCCGTCTATGGACGGAGCGAAGGGGAAGAGGGCAGCTGGACGGGCCTTCAGCGTGACGCTGCTCGCGTTCGCCAAAGCGTTGACATTGGCCGCTCGCAAGCATGCAAGAGAATCGGTCACACCGCCACATCCACTGACAAGTATTCACCAAAGACGTTAGGGGAGAGGATTGTCTTCTGGTTGAACGGTTGAACGGTTGAACGTACGCATTGATAGCGAGCTGCTGGTACAATGTCTCTATAAATCCATCGGTGTACGGAGGAAGGAAAGACAACGAAGCCGAGTCACCAATGGCTCTTGTGAAAAGTCCCTCGTTGTCCCCTCCAGTAGCAATAAGATGGAACATTATGGCGCCAGCACCGGCGGACTCTCCCCAAATCGTCACATTGCTGATCTCGGGGGACACGCAAAGGTGGTCTAGTCAGTATTGGCAGTATATCATGTTGTGTTGACGGACTCACCCGCTGTTTCCCCCAAAGGCGGATATATATGTTTGAACCCAACGAAGTGCAGCACGCTAGATTGCGACGATCAACCGCTTTGAACACGTTCCATGCAGTTAATACTTACTTGGTCCAATAATCCGGCGTTCCCATCGCCATTAGCAAAGACTTCAGGACCACCTAGAAGGATATATGAGCATGTATGAGCTTCAAGGCCATCCAAAATACTTGCCGAGGAAGCCGAACGCGCCCAGTCGATACGCGAAAGTGGCAAAGATCATAGGCTCTGCCGAAGTATCGAGTAACAAGTCAGGGAAGAACGATGTTGTATCTCCTGCCTGGAACCCTCCGCCTATGGGTACCTTGCGATTCAGTTCTGACTCCCATTTTGGAGAATAGAAACCCAAACATACCGTGAAAGTAGACCAGAACGGGCAGTTGAGAATCGGGTGTTGTACCGATGGGGACATATATCTGCTCGGAAATGATACGGCAATTAGAGTGGATCGATAGCAGACGAAGGAAGGCTTACGTTTCCGAAGAGGCAGTCTTCCGACTGAGTTCCCGTGACACTGGTGGAAGTCGCTTGGATGCAGATGTCCGCAAACTACAATATCACGGCCATATAAATGTGTTGTAACTCCGAACAAATAATGGAAGGAATTTAAGAAGAGGTCATACATTACTAGCATCAACAGTGCCAAGCTGTGTAGTCGGAGGCGATATGGGAGCTCGGAAACGGTTGTCACCAGTAGGCGCATCAGCATAGCGAACACCCTTGAACGAGAGTATACCGCTGGTAGTGTTGCTCGTCCCGATGAAAGTTCCATCTGCAGTAAGCACCGAAAACGTAGCTCTCAATAAGTTGGGTGTGTTGTGAAGAAGCGACCGAGAACGCACAGTCCAAGGTAATTGTGGTGTTCAGTGGGTCCGCATTAGATGCCCGCGCCGAGGGCGTAGAAATGGAGCCTGCTTCTGAGAGGAGACATAGAGCCAAGGTGGTAACAACCACATTCGAGAGTAGACGATGAAATGCCATCTGTACGTTTCAAAGCCGGGTGACCACAAAACACAAGTGTCGATAGAACGTCCGCCGTCCTCGAAGGGAATGGTCCTGTTGAAACTGACCCGTGGAGGATGGTGGTGGAACCTGTCCTTTTATACGACTGAAATAAACGTCATGAGAATTAGGGGACGGATGCCCGATGAGAAATTCTGTCACTCACTCGTCAAGTGATGAAGCTTGAAGTGCACCCCGAAGTGTCATGCAAACCTCTCCGCTCGTAAATACAAACAAAACGATCAATTAAGGGGTCAAGGCGTTGCGTAAGGGTTCTCAAGTCGCAATGCAGCTGGTGACCGCCCCAAGACGTTTCAAGGTTTGTCCCCACTTCCCCGCCACTTTGCGTCACCGCGATCTTCCAGTGCCACCCGCGAGCGCCGCGCCAAATGCCCCTATTTTTGTTGAGCTGAACTTAAGAGCTTTAAGAGCATACGCGTACGGTAACAGTGAACGATCATCTTCACGTCAGGTGATAACGGTTGGTCAGAGCCTACGTGTACGGGTTAAATCTGAGGTTCAGTTGAATCTAGGACAGGTCCGACGGCTCGTCCAAGGCGCCCTGCGACGAGATTGTTCCTGCAAGCGATGCAAACGCGATGGGGCACAGAGCACGTACCTCCAGGTGACCTGCAAGCACATGACAACCCAAGAGTTCAAGGCTTGCTCAGCGACGCTCTGCACCACAAATCATAAGCAGAAATGTGTGATGGACAACGCAGGGAGTTATGATGATATTTCGCCGATCAGGGTGATCCGAGGGCCTGAGGCTCAAACGACTGGTCACTGTAAGGCGTGCCCGTGCTCTTTTCCCTGGTCACTCTCGTCACATGCCAACAAACGACTCTCGAGGCTCAACAATCGCGTTGTCCGCGGGCGAGTTCACATAGACAGTCGCGTAGCAACACTAAGATATGGTCTTCAGGCGTGAACTGAACGAAGGTCCATACTAGGGCGAGATTCTTGAGATGGCCCCCTTGGAGTCAGAATACGCATAGTGGGCACGACTGGTGAAAGCACGACTGATTAAATGCTCAACATCGAAGGATTTGAGGAAAGTAAAACATACGATGCCTTTATTGGTTGTGTGTCGGAGGAATATACAAATGTATGGTAAACGCTACCTAGGTTTAAACCGCTTGGTTTTCTTGACCAAGTTCTGCAACGCCGCTACGCCCGGTCGAGTCGCCCGCTCCTTACTTCGCAGTACTAGATCGTGCAGCGGGTGCGGTGATGCCTTGAGGTCTGAGGTTGCTGACGTGGTTGGTCTCGGCGTTTCTGAGAATTTCCTCGGTTTAGGGTCGAAGGGATCTGCAAATCCTGGCACCGGTGACTGTGACTGTATCTTCTGCGACATGAGAGTGGAAGGTGATTCACCAGGTGGTGAAGAATCCGACCCTGGCAAAAACCACCCTCGCCTTGCGAAAGGAGCCTTGTCACTGTCCGGTGGCTTGCTATACCAATGCCTCTTCGCGATTATAAAAGCTCTGCGCGTCATAAGCCACTCGCGTGCACGGTCCCTCTCTTTCCGGGATACATCCAGTCCGGCAATATCCAACGTGGTGAACGCCTGGAGCGCACTGGAATACACGAGCAACTCGCCTTTGGACATCGGGCGGACGAAGGGGAAGCTGCGTTCGCCCACGAAAGATGTCTGGTGCCGATACGAACGGTTGACTATCGTTCTAGTGGTATAAGCGAGTTCGACCCAGGGCATATAGAGCGCTTTCATCCACTCTATAGTCTTCTCCAGACCTAGGGTGGCCACAAAGTATGTGAATATTGGGATCATCAGCTCACCTATGTCATGAAAGTGGACGAGTTTGGTAGCTAAGTCTACGCACCGAAGCAATGATAAACAAAACCGAATAAAGCCCTTAGGCATTCACTCCTGAGTCCATCTGTAGATGCAGCGTAGTCATGGATTTCATAGGCCTCGCTCAAGAAAGATGTGACATCGACCGAGGTCAAATAGCACGAGAATGCCTGGTAAGCGGGATGATATCGGGCTGATCAGCAATTGGAATGAATAGCGATTCAGACTGATGTATTCACATTCATTATGTTTGATCCCTGGAACTTGGATGGATCAGTTCCAGTAGCAGTGAAAGCTAATTCCCCGGCCACGGCATGTTGGAGAGCGTAGCCGAGAGAAGCAAAGCGCCTATTCAGGCCACTTGTCTTCAGTGCAAGCAATCTTTCGTCAGAAGATGAGGCGAACAATGGTGGCGGAGGGGGGTAACCGGGAGGAAATTCCAGCACTCGATCAAGAGGAAAACGTGTATGGCGAACGTGTACACGGGTGGGACGAGTATCATCGCAGTGGCGTGGGCGAAAGAAATGATCCACGAAGCGGTCATAGGGGGGCTTGATAAGAGATGCCGATGAGTCCTTAGGAACATTGTGCAGGCAGGAGTGGAAGTAGTCGTTGCTACGGTCCAACCATGGATCAAAAAGTAAGGCGAGCCATCGTGAAAGAACCTGGTAGCCTGGATGCATCTATAAGAAAGTTCATGCCAATACCAGATTTAATCCAACACACTCACCGAAGCATCTATACACAGCGGAAATGAAAGCCTCGAATACGTCTTCCAGCATGTCACTCGGAGGTGGCCCCTCAATCTCAACATCTTGAGTTCCTACAACCTTCAAATACCGACCATGGATGTCTAGTTCCAAGAGCTTTGCCATGATAGATAGATGGCGGCCGGCCACGAGCGGAGTAACGGTCGCCTACGCAGAAGTCGCGAGTAAGATCGTGGCAGAACCCAAAAAATGAATGGCACTTACCCATATCTCCGCCGATTCTGCCCGAGGAAATCTCTCCAGTGCCCGCCCAAGGAGGAAACAGCGCAGGATCCTATCTCCATCAAACTCGAGTAACCGGCAGTTCGGTTCATTTCCATGAAGCCAGTAGGTATGTTTTGGCCTCGAAGTGAGCGCAGAGCAAAGGATCCAGATGTGGTGTGGTGCGGAGAATATAGGGGGACGAGGAGGATAGTCGGGTGGTAGAGAGCGTCGTACATCGGGGTCGAGCTCACCCTGTTCATTCCAGCAGCTGTAACGAGGGAGTAGTATTTGACGTCCATGGCTGTCCCTTAAGAAGGCGCCTGAGCTGGCGCCTTGCGAGTCTACAAGGAGGACATCAGTTGGTCTATCCAGGAGGGCCTGTCAAAAACTACGCACATGTATTGAACGTCCATTCCCTATCTGGCGGAGTCATTCGCGTTGATTCACCAGTTGCCCAAGGCGTCTTTAAATCACGGTGAGGTTCAATCTCGGCCGCATGCAGGAAAGTCAATGACAAGCGAGAAGAAGTGAATCTCGAACGTTGAGTGGATTATGGGAACATTGAGGATCTGCTGCTACGCGAGTTCGGTTGTGACCGAGATTAGATTAGATCCTGAAGGTTGCAACTTTCCACTACCGCCTACGTAAGTAGTACCTACTAATAACAAGTTACATGGCAGGAATGAGTAGTAGCTGAGCTTGTTCCACGACGTGCTAGTCAATATCCAAACCTGAATTCCGGATGGCCGTCCCCCATGTTACCCACATCCTTCTCGTCATACCTATAATCTCTTCCGCCCTCCTCCCTAATATTATTCTCCTTCCTCAGCCCGAAGAAGAACACGGTACATGCAGAACCACAGAGCAATAACATGGCGAGAGAAACTCCGTAACCTAGAGGGTACCTCGGAGCTTGAGAGGCAAGGAAGATGTTGGAAGCGATGATGCCACCGAGATTGCCTATGCCAACCTGGAATCCGGAAGCGATGGCCCGCTTGTAGTGGCCACTAACATTCTAGCATCCCTCTTGAGCAAATGAAAGATTCGCAACGAATGAGGGACATACGTTGCTCAGCCAGGCTATCGTCACACCCTGGGTCATGTAACATCCTACCTAGCGTCCGAAGCAACGTCTCAGCAACCATATCCCAATATTCATTCCGACAAAATATACGCACCGTGACGAAGAAACAAGCCATATACCTCACACTACCGCTTACACTCTCCTGGCACAATAATATCACATATCCGGTCGAAGCCACCGCCACGCCGGCCATGCAAAACCCATATCGATGCTTCACCTTATCCGTGGCCCACGCAATCATTAAACTAACCGCCGCCGCCACCATAAATATCGGGATGCTCTTCACCTGAGCCTCCGCACTAGTGGTACCTGGTTTCAGCTCGAGAACGATGGTGGGAATGAAGAAGGAGGTCGCGTAGCCAGTATTGACGACGCCGAAGTACATGAGCATACCGACGTAGATCTTCCAGTCTGAAAAGATACGGGTGAGCGCAAGGCGGTCGAGGCGGGACATCTGGAGGTGCGAAGGAGTTTCGTTGGCGAGACGAGTCTTCAGGAGAAGACGTTCGGAAGGAGAGAGGAACGTGGCGTTTTCGGGCCAGCCAACGATAAAGAATTTGGCGAAGATGGAGACAATGGCTGTAAGAAGGCCTTCCAAAATGAATATCCAGCGCCACCTGAGTTTTCAGCGTGAGCAAGCGTATTGTCTGTACTCAGGCTCTGACAAAACACTTACCCACTATATCCACCCACCCCGTCCATATGTTCCAGCGCGAACGCGAACAGCCCCCCAAACGCGCCCGCCAATATCCCCGACACATAAAATATGCTTAATCTCCTCTGGAATTCGTAACGCTTGTAGTACATCGAAATGAGATATACGCATCCTGGTAGAAGTCCTGCCTCGAAGAATCCAAGAAGGAAACGCATGGCGACGAGGCCCTGGAAGGAGCGAACGAGACCTTGACCTATGGTTGTGATGCCACATAGAAACATGATGACACTGAGGAAGGTAGAAGGGTGAAGTCTACGGAGTATAATATTGTTCGTAACTTCGAAGATGATATAGCTGGATATGAGTGAATATTAGTCGGTACTGGTATAGCACTGATGTTTGGAACGCGGCGTACGGGATGAAGAAGATAAAAAGCGCAATATTGTATTGATGCTTCTCCAGGTTCAACTCTGCAGACAAGCCTTGTATGTTCGCATTTCCGATATTCACTCGATCGAGGAAGGCGAGAAGAAACAATACGAATAGCGGGGGAACAACATGGCAGTCGAGCTTCCAGAGTAGTTTGCGTTCTGTCTCGAGGTCAACGATGGGTGCCGATGTCAAAGATTCGGGCACTGCTCCAGAGGCGGATAACTCTTTCTCCACATCCTGGTCGAGACCAGAGATGGCAATTTTTTCCGAAAAGGGAAGCGGAGCGGGTACGAGCGTATCGCTTGCTGGCATTTTGGATGGTGCTTGCTGACCGTGATGGGCGTCAATAAACGAACGAAGAGAGACAAGAGCACAACCAGAGATGCAAGTCAACAAAGCTTTTATAGCCCCTACGGTAGCAGTTTAAGTGCGCCTGACCATGATTGCAAGAATAGGTTGCTGTCACTGTGGGCTGGGCCTTTCAGTCAAAGGGTCAGACTAGCCGTCATGGGAGGATTTTGCCAAGGAGTATCACCAAAACTAAGAGAAAAGGCCACCCTTTTCGGGCCCAAGATACCAGTAACATGCTGTAGACAAACAAAGTCGATAGTGGGTAGAATTGTCACAGTTCGGTCATGGAGGGGGAGAGCTGCGAGCCTCAGACTTGGCCAGAACCGAGGCTGTGGCGAGAAAATTGAACTCCGTCGGCCATTTGCCGGATTTGACTGAACTATCTTTCTGCTGCTCGCCACGACGACCTTAGCTTCACACAGGGCCTGACGGATTCGAGTTCTTCTACTATATCCACATTATGTCCTGCTCACCTAGGGAATGACGCGAGGTCACTATCTGACACGTTCCCACCATCTTTTGCCGACCATATGGGCACCCTACTATGTCGTGACGCCGACGCCTTCGATAGACGAGGTTGGCCTCACTAGCGAGTTTGGAGTCCGTTTTTGACCTTGCTAGGCCCCTTGTGGCTGGAATTAACCCAACACCACTTGTGATCCTTCGATAAATGTTCCGAATCGGCCTGGTTCAATAAGCAAACTCGTTCTATAGTTTCTCTTTGATGTTTCATCAAAGCGGCGAGGGTCTTCCAAGCGCTCCCACGTTCGACCAATCAACCAACCCAGGGACTCGGATCCTTTAACATACTCTTTCGATTGTCACATGTGGTCAAATCTTCGTGCTCGTCAACCGCATTCGAGAGATCGTGGACCCTTGCAGAAGCCTCTGACCTGCTTATCACGTTTCTCTGTCATTCGTGGTTCGATATCACCCGTCAGTATACAGTCGATCCCGGCGCAAGAAACATCATCTCATGACTTCTTTCTCTCGCGGTGGGCTGCTTCTAAAGCTCGTCCTTTCCCACCTTTCCACTCCATACGGGTACAAGCTTGAAGAAATTCACAGGCTCTGAATCTCTCGTCCGGGCTAGCGTCAGGCTGTATATCAACTGATGGTCTTGGTCTTGCTCAAGATTTTATCACCAGCCCTCTCTTCCTAGGACCTCGTCACTGCGATCCCATTTCTCCCCAACATGCCTGTGAATGATCCTCCTGCTCCCACAGCGCTATCTACCAACATCGAAAAAGCTCTTCCTGATGATTTGGAGAAAGTCCCGCACATCCTCGAAGAGCCAGCCCGCACAGAATCTGCCACTTCCGATACTAGCGTCGACATCGAGGCCGAACGCAAGCTTCTCCGGAAGATCGACTATCACGTCGTCCCTCCGTTGGCTGTCCTCTTCCTCCTCGCATTCCTTGACAGAATAAACATCGGCAACGCGAACATCCAAGGCTTGTCGACGGAACTTCATCTAGAGAAGCACCAATACAACATCGCGCTTTTCGTATTCTTCATCTCGTAAGTCTCGCATACCCCTATTCCTCAATGCATAACCCAGAGCTCATATATCTGCACTAACACCGGATTAAGATACATCATCTTCGAAGTCCCCAGCAACATCATGCTCCGCAAAGTCCGTCCCTCAACCTGGATCTGCTCCCTAATGTTCGTCTGGGGCATCGTCAGCATAGGCCAAGGCCTCACCCATTCTTACCAAGGTCTAGTCGCCATGCGTTTCCTGCTCGGAATATTTGAAGCAGGCCTATTACCTGGAGGCGCCTACCTAATATCCATGTATTACAAGCGGTACGAGTTGCAGTGGCGGATAAGCTGTTTCTATCTCGCTGCGATCCTAGCGGGCGCGTTCGGTGGATTGTTTGCGTTCGCACTGGGCCACATGGACGGAATCGGAGGGTACAGCGGGTAAGTTCATGTATACAACCCATCGTATAACGGAGAAAGTCTAATGGGATTGATTGTGGTCAGGTGGCGCTGGATCTTCATCATCGAAGGCCTACTCACCATCCTCGTCTCCCTCATCTTCAAATTCCTCATAGTCGACTGGCCCGAACGCGCAACCTTCCTCTCCCCCTCAGAGCGACACCTCCTCCTCACCCGCCTCACCCACGAAACCCCTCCCCATTTCGAGATGTCCCGCCTTGACCGTCTCGCCCTCGTTCGCATCTTCTCAGACTGGAAGATCTACATCGGCACGCTCATGTACCTCGGCGTCGTCGACACGGGCTACTCCACCTCTTTTTTCATCCCCACTATCGTTCTCGAACTGGAGCCCGGGACCACGAGCGCGCAGGCCCAGGTGAAAAGCATCCCGATATATATAGCTGCGGCGGTGGGCAGTTTGGTGGTGGCATGGGCTACCGATAGGGTGAAGCATCGGTATGGGTTTTGTATGGCGGGGTTGGTGGTGGCGTCGATTGGGTATGTGATTCTATTGTGCCAGGAGAGCGTGAGTGCGAAGGTGAGGTATATGGCTTGTTTCTTTATTACGGTGCGTACCTGCAATCCAAACACTCGCTTGCTGGCGGGATCTTTCGAAATTAAAGCAGACGCTACACAGGTTGGAGGTTACATGACGCAAGGCATAACGATCGCCTGGCTAAGCAACGTGCGTACACGATAATCCTTCATTCAAGTTATGCACGCTCTAACACCCTCCATCCCCAGAATGTCAGCGGTCACTACAAACGCTCCATCGCCCCCGCCTTTCAAATCGGTGTAGGCAACCTCGGCGGCATAGTCGCCTCCAACATCTTCATATCCTCGCAAGCACCCACGTACCCCCTGGGCTACGGCGTCTCCCTCGGCATGATCTGGCTGTGCGGTATCGCGTGCACGATATTTTATTTTGGGCTGAGGAGAGAAAATAGGATTAGAGATCGCGGTGGGAGAGATTATAGGTATGGGCAGAAGGATTTGGATAATATGGGGGATGGCCATCCGGAGTTTAGATTTGCGTATTGAGACGTTGGAATGGTGGAAATAATGTAAACAGCATAGAGCAACAAAAGGGCGTGATTCTCGCCAAGGAAGGACCACCGACAGGTGACCAACGTACATACTGAGAAAGTGCTCTAGGTGCGGTATCCGATCCACGGTGGTAGGTGAGCAAGACGAGACTACCTGAACATGGTGAGTATCGGCTTCAACTTCAATCATGATGCACATGTACATTTCGAGACCAGTTCGCGCCCGTGTGACCATTAGTAGGAATTGTATTCACTGTTCTATTTTCCCGGGCTGTGACCAAAGGGAAAGATATAAGAGAGAAAATAGATCTCAGGCCAGTATACCTCCCTGCAGAGCGACATCGCCAAAGACCAGAGGAGACTGCGGCGAATATAGGGATCTTAGCTCAGTGAGCGCGAATCAATTGCAAGCCGCCGAGCGAGAAGAATGATCCTTTCATCGGAAGTCGATTGATGGTATCGATTCGATCGACCAAAGCAGGAGCCGCGAATCCGAAGGGATATGTCTCGCACGACTTGCCATGTTAGACCCGCCTTTGTAAGTTCATCTCGAGAACAAGGAAGAAACGGAAGAGGAACTTAATGGCGTCACGATCCCGAGGCGTGGGAAGAGAGTGCCAAGCGGGGAATTTGGTGAAGCGACGCGTCGAGCCGAAATTGATCTCGGAGGCACTGGATCTCATTGACCGCGATACAGCCTTTGGATCTCAACTGCTTCTTGTCTTACGCCTCCACTCGCTCTTTCGACGCACACCGCCACTTTCCATCCCTCGAGGCCGGCCAATTCACGTACATATATTCATACATCCACCGCGGCCCATCTGCTTCTCAACTCTCGCTTAGCTTGACTCTGAACCGGAATGGTCTCGACCAAGCAGAAGGCGAAGGAACCACTTCGAGCGACGCCACGGACGGCGCCACAACCACAACCTCAACCACAGCCGCCGCTGCCCTCGGCCCCTAACACGGAGAGCCTGAACGGGAAGAAAAAGAAGAAGAAGAAGGGGAAAGGGAAGGCTACTGCTGAGCACGAGGATGCATTCGCCGATGGAGACTTGGATTCGCCACCACTGGACTTTGAGGCTGACGAGGACGAGCTGGAGGAGGACCTCAAACGACATGTCGCCGATATGGCGAGCGATCTCGTCGAGTCTGGCGCCTTTGTGCACAACTACACTCATTCGACCACGACCACGCACTCTGTCAACATCCAACTCCCACTCCAGGGCGACACACTACACCGAATTCCGAACACGACGGCTTCAGCAACAGAGGCGGCTCAAGCGGAACTGCTGGCGACTGCGAACGAGCTTTATAGAAGGATGGATGCCGATCCAGCGGGAGGACTAGGGATAGCGTCGGACGAGGAGTACTGGGCGTCGTTGCCGGCGCATATACGCAACTTTGTACGGACCACTTATTCCCGCTTCTCCCCTCCCTCCTCCCCCATTCCCTTTCCTCTCCAAACGCAGACGGGTGGTGACCAATTTCCTCGTGGCCGTTCTGGCGGGGCAAAGGCGCAGGCTATGTACGCCATCGCACAACAGATGGTGCAGACGGGCGCGGCAGCAGCAGCGGCTGCCGCCAACAACGCCTCGGATCCTCACGCGGCGGCGGCGGAAGCGATGAAGGCAGCGGGGGGTAATCTACCATCGGGGATGGCAGGCTTAGCTGGGATTGGTGTCGGTGTCGGTGTGGGGGTAGGAATCGGACCGCCTGGTGGAGGAGGGATGCCTGCTGGGTGGCCGAGTTCGCTGCAGCTGCCGGTGGACCCGTCGATGTTCTCCGACGCGGCGTTCCACCTTGCGATGGAGCAGGTCGCGACGGGCCGGTTCGACGAGCACGGCGTGCCGGAGTCGGTGTCGGTCGGGGAGGACGATGAGGAGGAGGTGAGCTCGGACGGGGAGACGTTCGGAGTGCGCGCGTCGAGCATGTTGAACACGACGAACGCGACGCAGGCCGAGGGCGATCGGGATGGGCGGTCCGGGGCCAAAAATCGGAAAAAGAAAAAGAAACGGGCGGGGGTTGCCGAGAAGATACCCACGGTGAGTGAGGAGAGGCCTGCGACCGAAAACGGGCTGGAAGGCTCAGTACGGCCATTGATGGCTCCCGCCCGCCAAAATCGACAGGCACATCCCCCGCCAGCCCAGACGACACAGTCCCAGACGCCGCAGACGACGACGACGACGACCAACACCCCTCAAGCGGCTCACCCCCCGCCACCGAACGTCGCCGCCGCAGCGGCGGCAGTCGCAACTCATCCTCCCAGCTCCAGAGCAGCAGGCAAGCAACCAATGAACTACGCTCAGCAGCAACAGCAGCAGCAACAGCAGCCTCAGCCTGCTCCTCCACCAGCAGCTCGGACAGCTCCAGCACCCCCGAGGCAGCCATCGCACCATCACAACCACGGTCGACACCCATCGCCGCCGTCTTCCAACGCGTCCGGACACCGACCTCAACCGAATGCAAAGTCTCACGGAGGCACGGGCGGTGGCACAACCAACAACAAGATATGGTCGACGTCTTCGAGCGAGGAACGGGAGCGCATCAAGGAGTTCTGGCTTGCATTAGGCGAGCAGGAGCGCCGGAACCTTGTCAAAGTCGAGAAGGAGGCCGTGCTGAAAAAGATGAAGGAGCAGCAGAAACACTCCTGCTCCTGCGCCGTCTGTGGGAGGAAGCGGTTTGTCTTTTCTCTCTCTTCCTCTCTCCATCATCCAAAAAAATTTCCTCTGACGATTTTGATGCCCGGTCCCCGATTTCGTCATCATCCATCCATCCACTCACTCATCCTCCTTTTATCCGATTGTTGTCTACCGACTCTGCTCGCACTTGCACTCGCACACTCACTCTGCTTCTCTCTCTCGTATCTTCTCTGCTTGTCTCACTTCTCTCCGTTTCGCTCGGAATCGACAAAAAAACTGCGATCGATATCTCAAACCCGATTTCAAAACAAAACTCAAAATTCATGATCATGATGTGGAAACCCCGTCATGCAGAAACGCGATAGAAGAAGAGCTCGAGGTACTGTACGATGCTTATTACGAGGAGCTAGAACAGTACGCGAACTACCAGCAGCGCTACGTCTCCTCCGGCGGCACACTCCCTCCCCCGCCCGGGCCCGGGCCCTTTCCCGGCTCCGTCGAGCTCGACAAGAACGGCGCCGTCGTCGGCCACCCGCAAGCGAACGCGAACGCGAACGCGAAATCGCAGCAAGATCGACATCGGACGAATCGGGCGGCGAAGGGTCAGCAGCCGGTTCAGCAGCAGCAACCGCAACAGCAACAACAAGTGACGCCACAGCAGCAACAGCCGGCGGTTATGACGAACGGGAGGAAGGTGAATGGGCATCATGCGCAGGTGAATGGGAAGGAGGAGAGTGAGTTTGATGAGGATGAGGAGGCGGAGGACGAGTATGAGGATGAGGGAGAGTATGAGGAGGATGAGGATGAAGAGGATGAAGAGGAGGACGAGGATGCAGAGGGAGATGAGGAGGAGGACGAGGATAAGGCTGCACGGAGAGCGAATGGGAGGGCAGGGAGGAAGGCAGCGGAGGAGAAGCCGAATGGGAGGGACAGTCTGTTCAACTTTGGCAACAGCTTGGCCGTTACGGGTGCGCCCTTTTCTCCATCTACAAAGTTCTTACTGATGCGTTGTCCGGTGTGGCGTAGGGAATATCTTGACCGTGGCGGACGATCTGCTGAAGAACGACGGACAAAAGTTCCTGGAGATGATGGAGCAGCTCGCTGAGAGGCGGATGCAGCGGGAAGAGGAGGCTACGCAAGATGTAGAGGACGAATCTGACGAGGATGACGAGGATGAAGATGGCGATGGCGAAGATGACGAGAGTGAAGGCTCGGACGAGGATGTCGAGGACGATGACGAAGAGGAGGTACGTTCAATAAGATCTCCTCTCCCCCGCATTTCACACCGCCGCGCAGTGGTCGTGTGACCGATAATTGCTGACTGTTTTTTTTTCACCCGATTACCCGATCCGCGTTATCTGCACATGTCGATTCTGGGATGTTCTTTGTTCTGCATGGGGCAATGTAGGTCCTGACGGAAGAGCAGAAGATGGAAGAGGGCAAGAAGATGTTCTCCATCTTCGCCGCGCGAATGTTCGAGCAGCGGGTACTGCAGGCTTATCGTGAGAAGGTCGCTCAGGAGCGGCAGCTACAGCTTTTGCGTGAGCTGGAGGACGAGGATAAGGCATCGAAAGAGCGCGAGGCGAAGAAGGCGAAGGAGAACCAGAAGAAGAAAGACAAGAAGCGGTGCGTTCATCATCTTTTTTTTTATCGCCTGCTTTGATCGTGGTGATGCCTTTGTCGTGGGATGTGATGGTGTTGACTGTTGTATGTGACGCAGGCTGCAAAAGCTGGCCAAGGAGGAAGAGAAGGCTCAAAAGGCTGCTGAGAAAGCAGCCGAGGAGGCCGCTCTCAAGGCCAAGCAAGCCAAGCAGGAGGAGATGCAGCGCAAGAAACGTGAAGAGGAACGTCTCAAGCGCGAAGCCGCCCGCAAGGCTGCCGAGGAGGAGAAGCAACGGAAAGAGGAGGAGAGGCGGAAACGTCTAGCAGAGGAGAAAGAGCGGGAGGCAGAGCGGGAGAGGAAGAAGAAGGAGAAAGAGGAGAGGGCAAAGGCGGAGAGGAGGGAGAGGGAGGAGAAGGAGCGGAAACTGAAGGAGGAAAGAGAGGCGAGGGAGAAGGCGGAGAGGGCTGCTGCTGCGTTGGCGAAGAAGGAGAGAGAGGAAAAGGAACGGGAAGATAGAGAGAAGAGGCTGGCGAAGGAGAAGGAGGAGAAGGAGGCAAGGGAGGCGAAGGAAAAGGAGCAGAAGGAAAAGGAGAAAGAAAAACAGCAACAGCAACAACAAAGGGCTGCTGCTGCATCGGCGGCGAAGAACAATGTTCGGTCACCGACTTCTCCAAGAAATCCTACAGCTTCTGGATCATCTCAGCGGTCGCCTAACCATGTCACTCCGAAAAAGATCCTCAATAAACCCACTCCTGCGCCTGTCATCACTCCCTCTACCTCAAGCCAGTCCCAGGCTTCTCAACACCAACCTCCACATACTCCTCAATCCCAGTCACAGCAGCAACTCTCTCAACCGCCTCAACCCCAGCACCCTCAACACCAACAACCTCCTCGACCCGCTGTCATCACGGCCGCTCCTCAACCCGGACCTCCCATGACGCCACATATGGGCCACCCTATGCCTGGGATGTCGACCCCGGTATACTCTCCAGTTGCGAGTGGTCCAGGGCCCGGAATGATGTCTCCACGTGGCTATCCTCCGACACCTTTCGGCAACTTTGGTCCTCCAGGTCCGTCGAACATGCCTCCAAATGGTCTTCCACATCCACCTGGCCCTCCCCAACCCCATGGTCAACCACTTCCACCTCCAAACTATCAGCCTGGTCCTCGAAGCGCCTTCGAACAGAACTTCCCGAGAGAACAGCAGCCGCAAGCCGGTCCCTCTGGTCCTCATCCGATAGCTGCGAATGGTCCTTTCGGTAGGCCCATCGTTCCTCCAATCCCAATTGGTCCCCCGTCCAAAACTCCAACAAGTGCGACGCATATCGGTTCGCCTCCCGCCCCGGCAAACCTCGCTCCAGGTTCTGGCCGTCGAGCATCAGTGAACGACTTGGCCGCTATTGGAACGATTGGAAGACCAACTCCTATCGCACCCATTGGCCGTCCTCCAGGCGCAATTGGACCAAGTGCGAGCGAGGGGTCGATCGGATCTGGTTTACCTTCCTCTAGCTCGAGTGGCATCATTGGCTCTGGTGCGTCAGGCTCAGGTCAAACTTCGCCTATCCGAAGGTCACCCAGTCCGCTCGGGAAAGCAGGCGTTACAGGTTCGTTAGCACTTGCAGCAGACGACGACGAGTTCGTGTCGGAACCGCCTACTGGACGAAGGGCAGCAACAACGAGCGCTGCTCCTGGGTGGAGCATGGGCGGAAGTACGTCCATGGGTGGAGGAGGGAATATCGGTATGGGTCCGTTTGGAAGTCCGAGAGGAGATGGGCTGCATGGACATGGACAGCCGGGACATGGGCCAGGACCGAGGGGCGTTCCTCCTTGGGGCATGCCTCCACCGGTACCAGCACCTGCGTTTGGCGTTGGGCTCAATGCGAACGTCAACGCGAGTGGTTTGGTCGGCGGAGTAGGTCTTGGAGGAGCGCCGCCGAGGGCACCGCCGATTGGGAGCGCGTTGTGGACCGGGCCAGGTGGTACTGCTCCGGATCCACACTGGCACCCTGCTGCTCATGGACATGGACCAGGACACGGACACGGACATGTTAACGGGCCCGGCCATGGTCATGGACACTTCTTTGGAAGTCCGTTCGTGGTGAACAACTCGCCTGCGTCGCCGCACAATGGAAGTTGAGCGGTAGCGGTGACATGGTAAGTGGGTTGGTACCCTAGCGGGTGGAAGGAACTGTTTCCCATAAATTCGTTTTCATCTTTCTCTTCTCACTTCGTTTTTGCTTTATTGCTGCTGCTTCCATCCACTGCAATACTCTCATCTTCTCTCTGCCTCTGTCTTTCTGCGTGTTCTCCCGCTCGTCTTCGTCCCATCCATTCCTTCTTTATTTTCGCACTTCCAATCGTCCTTATCTTTGACATTTCTTTACCCCACAATCCCATCCTGTAGTTCTCGCATCGACCCGACGGAATGGGTTTCTCTTTCTTGTGACTCCCAATCCCTCTTGCATATCGCAGCATTATGATATGATACAACATACGATTCGTACGCGCACCACCAACGCCACTTGTTCTCACTAACAGCCAATCCTTTCATCCATGTCATGTGTCGCGACGCTTCCCCCAAAGTAAAAAGTTAATATGACGAGAAGAAGCAGTATATTCCATAGTGTACGCGAAAGGAAAGAGGAAAGGTGGGAGTCTGAGAGAGCAGAGGCCCCGAGAAAAATATGAGACGAAGAAATTACAGGCATAATTTATCGGTCCATCAGGGTCCGCGAAGGTTGGGTCCATAGGTAAGTGCGGTCCCACAATCGTTCCAGAAAACGTCGTAGAAGTCTAGTGGTGAGTATGTATCGTATTATAGCAGCTTGCTTGACGCAGCGGGAGCGACTCTACTCTTGATGACTTTGATGATCCACAGAGGCAGAGCGCTGATCGCCACAATCACTGCAACCTTCCACGCAAACCTGACGGACATCACGAAGCTTAGGTCTGCGATTGTGCGAGAGTGTCAGTCGCTTGCATTGAAAAATGTGGCCGTAGGTATAGAGACGTACCAAAGTACTCTTGAAGGAAGAACATGCTGACGGCGTAGATGAGGAGCGTGACAATCTCGGATACGATCATGTAGACATGCCTAGGGTAGCGTAAGTTATTAGTACATGCGTCAAACAGACCAGTGAGGGCAGACTGACCAGATCGTAACTTCCAGAGCGACCATGATGAGTTCGTTGAGAATCAGTGCGGTGAACGAGATGGCGACGATGTTCAAGAACTCGGTCTCGAAGAGCACAAGCGAGATAATCATGATTGCAGCCCCTATGCCACCGATTCATGAGTCGATAGGTCCATATATCAAGAGTTGACGGGTAACAGACCTTGGTAAACGCTAATCATGAGCCACATGAAGAATGTCTTGTACGACAGTGCTCGTCCCTATGAAATACAGAGTCAGTTCAGGCTTGTACACAATAACTAAACATTGTCTCACCTTGGTAAGTTCTTTATACAATTCAGGATACAACAACGCCAAATCCTCATTCACATCTCTATCCAATACCAACGAGAAAACCGGCGCCATCGTATAAAGCGTCGCATATCCAACCATCAACCACCCTTGATACAGCGCAATCGGTGCAAAATAGAAGATGGAAGAGAACACGGCCTGCATAACGGAGATGATGAGACCACGGTGGATGACGAACTGTGCCAGTTTTGCGGATCGACGGTAGGAGTTGCGACCGTGCCAGAGGAGAAGCTTGGTCAGGTGGCTGAATTGGTTGACAGAGAAGTCAGCTGCGAGCGAGGCTTGTCTGCCTTCTTTACCGACAATGCCGACGCCTATGAGAGCGAAAAATGAGTTCGTAAGACGAATAGGGGAGAAGAGAGAACTCACCGACGTCCGCCGCTTGAATCATGGACACATCGTTACCACCATCTCCTATACAGCACACACGTTTCTTGGTATAGCTACGGATGAGACGAGCCACATCTGCCTTCTGGGTGGGCGAACAGCGACAAGCGACGACAGCAGACAGTTTCGTGGTAATCTCGATAAACTCATTCTTGAACAGATTGAGGCAAAGCTGTACCAAAGACCTGGTTAGACGACGCCAAGAACCTGGGAATGACAGTGACGCGCTACGCATACCTGCAGTGATTCTCCGTCAATAACAAGACAGCAATCCAGTTTATTCTGCAGGAAGTCCAACTCGTCCCGAATTTGGTCAGATGTCTTCACTGCATGAACGCAGACGCTCAGTCAGGGCAAAGAAACAAGAACAATCGGTGAAGAGAAGAGACGTACGCTTCGCTACCTGATGAATATACTGATTCCTCGCCACCAGCTTCGTCGAGATAGCAATCACAGTTGCCGTCTCGATCTTGTCCCCTGTCAACATCCAAATCTTCACCCCTGCATTCCTCAGGATCTCCAACGTCGATCTCACATCCTCCTGCAACTTATCCTCCACACCCGTCAACCCGAGCAACTCCAGCTCCCTCTCCAACCCATCCGCCACAACCGCGTTCATCGCCTCGTTTCTCCCTTCCAATCTCACGCTAGCCTCCTGATACCGACGCTTAAAGTCCGCATAGCTCGCTTCCGACATCTTACGCCGCGCCATGACGAGCGTGCGCAGACCCTCCCTTGCCATATTCGCCGTCTCCTCATCCAACCAATCGTTCCTCTGCACGATCTTCGCCATCACCACGTCCGCCCCCTTCTGCAAAAACGTGATCTCCTGCGTCTGCATATCCCTCACCACAATCCCCATCCTCTTCGACTCCGACGTGAACGGGAAGAGCTCGAGGACCTCGAACGCGATGGTCTGTCCGGCCGGTGTCTTGAGCTCGATGCGCGTGCGATCTCGGAACGTGAGCGTGAGTCCGACGGATTCGGTCCATTTGACGATAGCAACTTCGTCTGGCGAGGACGCCTGGTAGGTTATGGATCCGTCGTCATTCGTAACGGGTGTGACGTTGTGGCAGAGGGCGAGGGAGAGAACGACATCCCGGACACGAGAGGACATATCACGGCGACCGCGGGTGGCGAGTTGGGCGCCGGTGCTGGAACCATGGCGAAGGTGGGCTGGTGTGGAGTCGTTTCATAAGACTATAAGAGGGGGTAGGAACGATCCGAGAAGAAAAGGCTTACAGTGATCGCCGGGTCCACTGAACGCGGTCGCGAGCTGGTGTGCCACTTCATCCATTGAATCGAACCCGAAACTCATCGTTCCCATATGCAGTTTCTTCATCTCCATTTCTGTCCGCCTGGGTATTAGCAGTGCAGTCGACATGGTCCTTTGAACAGAGAAAACGTACCATTCTGTGTCAACGTCCCGGTCTTGTCACTTAAGAGGTACTCTATCCGTCCAAGTTCTTCAGGAAGCGTACTGGTTCGGACGATCGTACCTGGAATTTCGCTGTCGTTCATGATCTGGTGCGCGTAGACGGTTTTACCCATGTCGAGATTGACTCGCAGACTAGAAGATAACATGTCTCGGGTCAGGCAGAGGTATTTAGGAAGGAAAAGGCGGTGTTTACTGACCTGATAGGGATGATAGACGAAAAGAGAATGAGGAATCGGAAGACGTAGATATACCACGAGCCTCGGAAGCCATTCAACGCCACAAGGAGCACCGAAAGCGCGAACGTCACAGCACACAAGATCTACGAGACACCACCATCACAAGCATCAACGACATTCAAAATCTAGCTTCCACTCGCGCAAGTTACATTCAAGGAAAAGAGAGAAAAATGCACACCTTCGCAAGTCGATTGATTTCCTCATCCAACAACCCCACCTTCGTCTTCGGGTGACTCGTGTTCATCACCGCTCGCGTTTCCAGTCCGGTATAGACGACCAATCCTACCGCACTACCCGCTGCCAAAACTGTATTTGACCATAACACGTTCTCGGCGGACAGGGGCTCGACGGTGGGTACTTGGACCATGGGGACCTCATTCGCAGAGTTGGAGGGAGGAGAGTTGATCGTGAAAGTGCCGATGAAGGTGTGAATGTCCTTGATGGGAGCGTCGGCTACAGATAGAAACACACGGAAAATACATTTGTGACGGTCCTATTAACAACAATGAAGACCAACGCACCATAGATCTCAGCATCCAACCCGCCCAGTTCCGCCTCACTAGGTAGTTTCTGTGTCGCCGGCACCGCAACTCTCAACTTCCAATCTGTCTCTCCATCTAGCTGATCCGTCCTTATGAAACACGTCCCTGAAGCATCCGACGTCCTCAACAACACCAAATCTGCCGGCACCCTCTGGTTCTTCTCTAGCATTACCAAGTCTCCGACACGTAACGACGACGAGGGAACCGAGCGTGTATACATGTGTGGTAGATCATCATGAGAATTGAGCCGGCCTGACTCTAGGTCCTCGTCATCGTCGGGATGAGAAGCAGTTCGGTGATGATGGGAAGGCGAACGCGATGTGGATTTCCGGTGGGGGGTGGATGTGGCGGAAGGAGAAGGGTCGAGAACGAGGTAGCGTTGAGAGTTGGCTTCACGGTCACGGAGATTGCGTTTATAGTCGTCGTAAGCTTCTTTGCCCATTGTGACGAGAAGAACGAAGGCGAGTGGTGCGATGTATGTTGCAATAAAGCCTACAAATCAGTAGATACATTAGTGGTAATTCGTAAAGCTACGATAATTCTCAGAGTACGACGCTCCATAAAGCCGAAAACGAGGAGATCAAGAGAATAAGATGGGACGTACCAATCTTCAAAGCGGGTATAAACTGCGAGAGGGCGACGAGGAGAAAATAAAGATTGAAAAAGAACTTGAACTGCTCATAGAAGACGATAGGGAGGAAGGTGAGGACATTGTACTTCTGATTCCGCACAATGTTTGGTGGATATCGTTTTTGGAAACTATCTGCAGAAGATATAGCTATTCAAAAACATGCTCGAGTAGGATTGCTGTATGTGGCACACCTGGTGGACGGAGAGGAATGGTACGGGACTTGTCTTTCGTTGAAGACTTGCTCTTCCGCGAAATCGTTGACCGCTGTATTCTATTAGCACAAATCAAACGGTCTAGAAATAGTCAGGTTTACCTGTGAAGCCGCGTCTGAAGGCCCATGGTCTTGCTCCTCGTTCGGATACGCGCCATCCTGCTCGCCTCCTCCGAGCAACGTCGCCTCCTCTTCTGCCTCTGCATCGTCATACTCCTCCCTCCTCTTCCCCTTCCAAAACGGTTTCCGTGACGATAGCGGGCTATTCGCGCCGCCAGTTGTGCGTGACATGTCGTCCCTTCGCTGGTTGCGTGAGGGTGATGAGCCGGAGGGAGATAGAGGAGAGCTGGGGGTATCCGAATCAGTGTTGCTCAGACGGGCGTAGCCGCGGGCCTTTCGAGAGTTGGATGCTGGTACGAGCGAGTGAAGCCGGATGTCAGACATTTAATGTCCAAGTATTATCCTGCTCGTCACTGGGAAGACATAGAAGAGCGTATGGTAAGGAGGTAAGCGGGAAAGTATAAAGGTGCCACCGGAAGCCTGCTGGTAACAAGCGTGGCACAGAACATCCTGCCGCTTCGTCACGTGAGGGTTTCCGTTCCATAAGCGCTCAAGTAGCGGTGGCGGCCTTCACATCCTCAACTAAGTACTCCTCAACTCCGTGATCGGGATAGTGAGTGGTGAATATTGGTACATAATCCATAGATGATAGAACAGCAGAAGCAAAGCTAGAAATACATGAGTACATCTACAAGCCTCATCAGGCTCCAGGCTTCCGCATACTCATCTCCCACCATCTGAACTCCATGCCCTTTTGTATCCTAAGATTCTTCCAATGCTCCAACAGACTTTCATTTATCGTGACAAATCCGTCCAACACGTCGTAGTCATAGTTTCTCACCGCTACGGGGGACCTGAGACCCTAGGTTAAGAACGGCATTTGGATAGTCATGAGAGCCTAGAACTTACAAGACCATATGCAAATGGTAGTTCTCTCTTGTCGTCGCTGTAGCTATGTGGCATGTCATCGGTCCCTGCGTATATTATGAGCCTCAATTTCAGATTCCCATCGTGACTGAAAAGCTTACACCACCCCTCTTTCGCAACTCCTCCCACAAACCACAAGTTCCCTTATGCGCATTCATTGTCCGAAAAAGGAACTGATGATTGCCTGCAACAAACGACACCACGGAGGCATGAGTAATCATAAGATTCTGAGCTTAAAAGGCAGAGACACAAACCATCATCCTTGAAATAACGCATCGCCGACTTCGTCGTCATCGTTGTCAACACCCGAGCATGTCTCAGCAGATGCAGAGGACCATCAGGAGGCTGAGGCCCCTTCGTCAGCTCAATCGCGTCGTCGTCGTCGTTCGCAGCCGGTTCGACAGCAAGGGATGGTCCAGGTCTGCCCGTGACAGAGGCAGATGAGTCGTAGGTGGCAGGATCTGGCTGCTTGAATGTTAGACTGATCGCCGCATTCAGGTGTCTTTCGGCGGGTATTGGGATGCTTTCGTGGCAGTGAGGGCTGTCACAACCCATGGGAGTCAGTACAATATTGTCGGAAGGGGCAGAGACGCAACGCCCACCACTCGAATTTATTGAAGACCTCTAGGACCTTTTCCTCTTCCTTCAGCGCTCCATCTCCTTCCTTAGGCACTGAGTCATCTTCTTCCTTGGGCGCTTTATCTCCTTCCTTGGGCGCTTCATCTCCTTCCTTCGATACCTCTTCTACCGCTCCTCCGTTCTTCATCGCCTGCTCCCTCTCGTATTCCTCTTTAAATTTTGCTCTCCTCGCATTCTCAATCTCCCACTTAATTCTCTCTGCTTCCTCTTTCGCCTTCTGCACCTTACTCTGCTTTTTCGCCGCCGCCAGCGCTTCCTCCGGCAACGCCACCATCCTCTTACATCCTGGACACTCCAGTCCCTCCTCAGCATCCTCCAGCTTCTTCAATTCCGTCCCATACAGGATCGCCGTAAGCTGAATTTTCGTCCCCGGATGGCGCAACGAGGCCCTCCAATCCGCCAAGTCGACGGTAGTGAGCGACGCATCCTTCCCCGGTTCCGTGATATCATAGTCGCCTCTGAAGATATATCCGCCTCCGACCCCGGGCCTGGCCCTGTAACACTGTCTGAGCATTCTATGCAGCAACTATCAGCACGAGATACGTCAGCCTTATGAAACGGGATGAAAATATAGATTCGCGAATAGAAGATAATAATTACATCTGGGCTGTCGCAAAATTGATATGGAAGAGAAAACTCGTCCCCGCCCGGGCCAATGAACGTGATGGACTTGCCCATGGGGGGCATTACTGGAGCTTTAGCCAGCCACTGATTCTGTCGCACGACATGTATAGTGAGCTGCTCGACGATGGCCTCTTGCTGTCGTTGCATATCGCCCAAGTCATTGAGACCATGTCTAAGAGAGCGCGCGATTATCAATGTCAGTATCATAGACGCATCGGCTGAGAAGCTGAATAGAGAAAACACACCCTTGATAGCTACCCATAAGAAACGACAGTTTCTGCTGATAATCAGCCAACCTCTTCCTCATATCCCCCACCTCCGATGCCTTGAACAACGCCCACCCAATCTTCCTCCACGAGTCCCTCACCCTCCTTCCCGTCCCTCCGCTCGCCCCCAAACTCGCCTTATAGCCCAAAATCGCAGCATTGAACCCCTGCAACGTCTTCTTCGCCTCTTTCAGCGTCAGCTCAAGCTCTTTCCGGACCTGCGCGATGTTCATGCTACGGTTGCTATTGGCAGAGTCGAAGATGACTTCATTTATGGATTCGAGCAGGGAGGCGAAGGAGGAGAGTTCAAGGACTAGGTCTTGGTAGTCCCGTGAAGCGCCCGTGCTCTCGCAGAGAGCTTGGCAACAACGCTTCGTGAGGCTGAGTAGGGTGACAATGTCACCGAATGAGCCGAATGAGAATACCACCAGGGACATGACGGGTGGCGAACGCAGAGAGTCGAGTAGGAAGACCACAGAGGAGAGGAGAATGAGAACACGCCGAAGAGGAAGCAGAAGGATTCGTTCTCAACCCGAGAACGCGTGAGCCCCGAGGATAAGTATTAAGGTTGGGTGGCGTATCGATGGTATGGCGATACGCAGAAAAGGGTCAACTTGCGGTGCATAGGAATAAAGCAAGGCATGGATCCAGAAGCTGGGACTCGTGGAAAGAAGAGACCTTGTCCTGGCCCAAGGATGGCGGCAAGTAGACATGCCCTGGGGTAATGTGGCCGAGAAATCGTCACGAGGACTTGCGGTGCGCTTGCGCCTGCGAAGTTCTTCAAGTGAACGCTAGCGCCAAAGATATCGTGGGTGTAGATGCGATGCTCAGTGTGAAGAATATGCAGAGGTGTCCATAGACCATCGAACTTTGCGCCAAGACTATAGAGTGAAGTTAGATTGATGAGAGCGGATGATATACGGGAAAAAAGAGAGGTCTACAAGGGTCTACAACACGAGCGGCGACATGAGGCTGCCAATGACATCCTGAGAACGTGTTCAGCCACCCAATATATCCCCTTCATGCGGAGGAATTCATCAGTCATCAGCGACGTGTGGCTTTGGTGGCACAGCGGCGAACAGATATCATGATCTGTGAGACTGAGATGGAGCAAATGAAGTCATGGCGGCTCTAAGCTTCATCGCGTGGGGCGAAAGATGCCTGAAGGCTTCAGCACCCTTCAACTTGACATCGTCTCCCCAGTTGCAGAAGACAATTGCGTTTCAATGCCGTAAAATCAAAGACGGGTGGAGAACAGTGGAGATCGTGTACTATGTTGTTGGTGACTCTGAATCCGAATACAACAGCCGCGGGTAACCCAGAAGTTCCAGAGGTGTCGCAGAGGTGTTCCATCAGACGAAGACTATGTTTTTGGACTGATTTGGGCTATAAGTATACGGCGATCATCATAACGGTCAGGCTGACGGCAAATACAGCAGTGAAAACACATACTTAAGTCTGCGGTCGTGACACTAATAAGTACTGCAGTCGGACTTCCAGGACAAGTTCGGGGCATCAGCGCTTCAGCGCTTCAACGGTACTCATCCACGTGGCATGGTCCGCTCTGACCCGGCAATTTGTATCGTTCGAATCCGTTTTTACAGTAACTTAGACTCAACGCTACAACGCGTCAACCGCCTCCCAGTCATCCTATGTTTTCGCTTACTTTTGTGGACTGGCTACGACAGGTATTAGCTAATTGGCTCTAATGTGGTTGTTCATCAAAGCCCATCTCTCGTCCTGTGGGGGTGCGGCTTTGCTTTAGCGTAGTACTCGCGCCAGCCGTCACTCTCCCCCACGCGTAGCAAACTTGGTCACCAGTCTGCATTTAGCGGCCATCATCGAACGTTCCCTTCCATTGAGTAGGTATCGCGCTCTATGCCGTTTCTCGCAGGAAACCTCACATCTCTAGATAGAAACAAGAAGCAGCTATCCCCCACAGGGATCTACCATTCTCACATGTATACATAGCTTCATTCGACGCATGGACAGTATCACAACGTGATGTTCGATACAATCCGCTTGGCGAGCGCGCCGCCTTTCATCATTCAATGGCGGATATAAATATTCGCTCTCAAGCGTATAAAACACTGCTGGGGGAGACGTTAAAGTTCAGGATAATAATCAGCCCCTTTTCCATTATCTTCTTGCCTTCAGCCAAGGTACAAAGCAGCTATGGACGATCATTGTGTCTACGCCACATCCAAGGTTGCCTCCAATCCCTTCCTTTCCTCCAGGTGGATTCGCCGAAAACGACATCTGCTTATTATCTTGGCTCTTGCACTTGATCTCCTCGTCCTTGCGCTGGCTTGGACAGTTCAACAACACGATATATTCCTGGACACCAATGACCACGTCAAGATGCTCCAGAAATTTCTCCCCGTAATTGGTGCATTAACTGGGCTTTGCGTGACCTCAGTGAATGTTCTAGCCTTTACGGCTTTAATCACAGAGTATGCGAAGATTAAGATGGTCGACAATGGTCTAACTCTTCAAGACTTGGGACATCTCCATTCGCTTGGTAGGTATCCTGATTTGATATTTATTACAACAAGAGGTCGCGCTCACCGTCTGCCAACAGCGAACACCAAACTCGTGTTTACCTGGACGCCGCTTTTCGCTCTTGCTTGTCTCCTTCTCGTGGGTGAAGGGTTGATTCCTACTGTATGTACTTCTTTTGTGCGCTCTGGCGTATGAACTAACTTGGACAATGACTTTAGGTCTGTGTGTCGAGCATGACACCTTCCGATTTCTCGTGGGTTACCACCGGAAGCACACCCGTCGTAGACTTCTCTGCTAGCTCTGGTATTATCCCTGAGATTGAGTAAGCCAGAGCCATTCCCATCCCCCAATCTCCTTTGGTTCTGATTGTCGTTGTGGGGGATGTCTAGGTGCGAGTACGCCACAGCCATGACTAATAACCCCAATGGTCAGTACTCTAATATCCCTTAGGTGTAACTCAGCGAACCCTTGTACTGACTGTCTCACTCAGCGTACAGCTATGGGACTAACTGTCCTATAGACTACGCTTACGGAGACATCTACAACGTATGCATTCGTTTGTAATTTGAATCCAGAACCTGAGACGATGATCTCCCCTCTTTTACTGTAGGCCGGTCTGCAATCCTTCCGGGGAACCTTCCCTACCAACACAACCCGCCAAGGTGTACGTCCATTTTACTGTTATTGCCGTATGAGGCCCGACTAATGTTTGGACTTTTCCCATGTTTGGTTCAATCACTCAGGTCTCTTACCCATCTTCGCTTCTCGGCCTTTCCGGTGCTTTCACTTCTGCAATGTCGACTCACGTCAGCTCGATCACCAACAACCAAAATCGGAATATCAGTTCAGACGACACCTTCGACACATGTCTGCCGAGAGTTGTTGCAGAAGTGAACTGTTCTAGAGAACTGGAAGATTTGCAGTGGTTCAATGTGACGGTGGGTCTGACAACAATTTGCCCTTCAACATTATATGTGACAACTCTTACTCACTCGCGTCGTGTGATCGGCAGTATGTCGCGCCTCCAGGAGGCGTACCTCAAGGTATGTAGCCTCATTTATTTCTCTACCTCTATATCACGCTAAGACCATATTTCTCCGTATAGGAGTAGTCGGTGCCTCCCTCTGCGACAACAGTACAACTCCCATTTCCTGCCAGGACCCACAATACGGCATTCAGTTCTCCACCGGAACCATCGTGGCGACCTGGCAGATGGATCCAAACTCGGGAAATTCAACTTTGAGTATGTACAAGTACGTCAAGCTTCTCTTAAAGACAACCTCTGCCCCCCTGAAGCATATTCTATGCATTCTTGTTCTCGATCTTGACCATGATTTCTACTTCGACCCATAGTTTTGCAGCATATGCTGATGCCATGACGTCCTCTCAAATTCAATGCAAGACTGCCGCTTATCAGACCCTCGAGCCCATTCGCATCACCGGCGGCGTTTCCGTTGAACCCAACCCGGATACCGACTTCAAGTGCACCAACAGTGGTGAAGCCCAACCCACGCAGTTGTTTATCCTGAACATAACACGAATTGCGGATATGGCTTTCATAAAGATGCAAGGGAAAGATGGAATATTGGAGCCGATTAGTTATGTACCCAATGGAACCGGTACAAATCATTGTTCATTCACCTCAATCAACCCATTCAAAAGCTGAACTCTGCCATTCATATCTCCAGACCGCGTCTTCGCTCTCCAGGAGGCTCTTCGCACCATGGTCTCCGTCGGAGCAACAGAGATGTACGCCTTCCAAACTTCAAACTCCACCGTTCTCTCCTCCTACGACACTCCTGCCTCTCAACAACCCTACACATATACTACCACCCGCACACGTCTCGGCTCCAAATCTGGGCACATTCTCGCGTTCGCGTCAAGCACGGTGATCCTCACAGGCACACTACTCTCTGGATACATCTACATATCTGCACTGCACTCCCCGGCATTGCATTCAAGCGCGGTACATGTACAAGGAATGACGAAGAATCATACGGCTCGAGATCTGCCGTTCAATCCACTGCACCCTGCGTCCATCGCTCTAGCGGGACTGAACAGGAATGAGCGAGAGACATTACCGAGACAGGTGGAAGAGCATCATGTTGCGGACCCGGATGGACTGCATGACGTTCCGATCGTGTTAAGGTATGGGTTCGTCAACGAGAAGAGGCTTGGGTTGCACATTAGTATCGATCCTTTGGAGGAGCCCACAAACGGTGCATCAGAGGCCTCTACGATGCTGCGGAGTAGGAATGACTCATTTCCGATATCTGAGGAGTCTGGGGGCTCGAGCTTGGGCGGAAGATACGAGCAAGCGGGTGAATACGGGAAGACGGAGCATCTAAAGTATTGGCCGGGAAAGCTTGAGAGTGGTATGGAGGAAGTGAAGGAGTTTGACCCGAGGGTCTTGTACGACGATCCTTTGCCTCTGAAGCCTGTGAGGAAGCCAATGTTCTAAGGGTTTTGGAGGGGCCCCTTCTTCCTACGGGGTTACGAACGACATGTCTTTGTGAAATGCCGGGTGACTTGGATTTGTACGATATGTTTCTCGCCGCTATTATGTTGGTATGGTATGTTTAGTCGCTTATCCTTGTACGTCTAGTACTCGGTATGTGTCATGTTTTGCGTGTTCGAGGGGTATTTTTTTCCTGGACATATCTGCCTTGTTTGAAACAGTCTTGCTTCTAGGCACCGAAAGAGTGAGACTAGTTTTTGTGTTCATCTGCACCAGAGTGCCACTCAACTTTTATCATGTACCACAGGAGGCAGCGCGCACCTCACGCCCCTCAAAGAATTGCAAGTTAGGACAGATCCTGGGCATAGACGACACTCGAGCTCAACTGGGCGGGTACAAGAAATCTTAGCCTCTCTTCGCAGACGTGCAGAGGCAGTCTTTTGAGTGTCTGTAAATACAGTTCATCGCCATGGCAAAGGTACCACATATCACAAAGCTCGAGAGGAAACTTGTCGATGGATCAGTCGTTGATGATTGTAATGCCTTGAAAGTGGGTTTCGAATGCTGGTAACGATAATCAAAATGGGCATCACATCATTGTTGTGCCAACTTGGAATAGCTCACGAATGTCATCACGATATTGCTCGCATGCGAATGTAATCTCGTTTTCATCACCTATCCGAAGCGTCACCCTAACGGGGACTATAGGGTGGTGCTCTGCCCTGGAGTTCATATCCGCAATCTTCAACTTCTCGCCGTTAACGTAGAGATATGCATCTCCCGCTGGACAGTGATGGTTCATGAGCTTGCGTATCCATTATTCCGACAGTTAGACATACCTGTTGGACTGTTGACGGTATAATGGACCGAAATCCATTGGGCACTTCCTGTGCCGGTTATGTTTGAAAACGTCACATTCCCATCCGAGTGGACTACGAGAGGTTGCATCGATGAGCATTGCTCGGAGGCCATGCCGCATAGGTCATGCTCGCCACCGGCATGTGTCAATTGTTCGCCCATGGCTTGGATACCTATTATGTCCACGGACGATGGTGGTCAGCGCCCCAGAGAGCAATCGGACTTCACCGCTATGCGTACCATTAGCATCACGGCGGAGTATTACTGCCTCAGCTGCATGATACCGCTTGTTCCTCGACGGAGTCTGGACGAGCCCTGTATTCATGTACTGAGTCTCTGCCTCCGCCACTTGAGATTCGTGCCTTTGACTCACCGGTATGGATATCAACCTTCCAGTACGCCAGATCTTCCAAGGACACGGTCGAATTCACATTGTTGACCCGAATGGGCAACCATTCATAATTGCTCTTCGCGGACCCATTGTTAACCCACGCATCGCCCATGAAAATCCATGTCGTCTCGTTGGTGCCAGAGATCTTGAGTCGAAGCTGTTCTGAGAGCTGTAAGTGTTCATAGACTCAGGCGCGATATCGACGGGAGAAGACCAGGGTCCAGAGAGTGATGTGGAAGAGAAGACTTTGTTTGGGCTAATCGTCGGGTATGAAGTGAGTAGTGAGTTTTGTATTTTAAGTCGTACTAGCGGGGAAGAAGTACTTTGGGTTATATGCCGTCTTATTCGACGATATCAAGTAGTACACGCCTAAAGTTGCGCAACTCAGCAGCGTCTTGGCCTCTGTGTACGAAACGGTCTACTCACCATTCGACTTGAGCATTCCAGGGGCTTCCCATGCTCCCTCTGCGTATTCCGATGGTTCAGTACGATGACGGAAGTCTGAATGTAACACTGCTGACCGATGTCAGACATCAATTCACCAACCGAGGGGTTCGCGCCTAACGTCCACGATAGGGATTTGATATATGGTTAATCCTCTGCTGATTTCATGGTCGCGGAACAAGAACCCACAACAGCATTAATTTGGAGGTTGTTCGAGTCCGCACTCGTCATAAAGTACGTCGCGCCTGCCGCACGGCGAAAATACATCAGACATTTATGTCGCCAATACATGGACGTGTTCTACTCACCGTCGTCATCCACAAATATCCCTTCATCGGTGTAGTTCCGATTATACGGAGGGAGACTAAACGGTACACCGTAGACCGAATAAGGTCCTTTGACCGTCGATGATACAAGGGCTTGGACGGTACGATCGACTTGGCCCCATATCTATTCACGGGGCGGTCAAACGGTAGGCAGGATGCAGCAGCCTGTTTAAGGGACATACATAGTAACTTCCGTCTGATTCAAACATTTTCGGTCTGTGGCACCCGTCAGCGTTGGAACAGCAGGTAGATCTCAGGCGGGAACAACGAACCGAAACATATTTCCGGTTGGCGCTGCGATCCCCTCATGTTTCCAGTTCATCAGGTCGGAGGAGGAGTGTATGTTTGGCAGATACGCATTATCTGCGTATGCTGAGCCGACCTACCCGCGTAACACATTTTGGTGCAGGGAGGACAGCGCCATGGGAGATTGACGTACCCAGAAGAATGTATCATTCACTCTCAGGATTTGACCTCCATGAGCATCAATCCGGTTGCCGTCCGTGTCATACCAGACCGCTCCAGGAACAATCCATGAAACGCTTAGAGCTAGTGGTAGGATCGCTAAAAGGAAGCAGATTATATGACTGAAACTGCCACTGCAAGAAAATATAGCCATTGTGATCGATATATGCCAAAGGCGCAGAGGAAGACCAACTAGTCATAAAGTAAAGGCCGGACGTCTTATATGACGCACAATGTTTGACGAGGTGCATGTTCAGTGGCTTTGCATGCTTGAACCTTCGCATGTCTTGTGTTTCATCAGCCGCTCAGGCATGCGAGAATTTAGAGCTTCGACTGTGCCAGAGAAGTCAGATGAGAGTCAGAGAGAGCAGGGCAAGTGGACGGGAAGCAGAAAAGCAGCACACCTGACTCTTCTGCTGAGGATGTTGTGGCGCCAACCGGCCCAGCGATACGAGCAGGCCCGCCGAAGTTCTCCTCTGTATGTTCAGCTGTCGAAGATAAAAGTGGCGCAAAGATTCTCCAGATTCTTGACTGCCTGAGGTTATAGAGGTCGATTGTAAGAACAGCTCGAAAACTCCATCAGTCGCGAGCCGGTAACGACCGACGCTGTAGCATCACGTTCAAACAGTCAGGTATCCGTCACGAGAATCAAGAAATTGTTTTGGTATCGGGTATGAGAACAGAGTGGCGGTTGTAGATAATCGTACAAAGAATTGTTGATGAAAACATTTGCAGGCAGAGATCGAAAGCTACCTAGAGACGGGATGAGCACGGCATACGGACTTGAACAGCACATTGATAGCGGGAATGGAAGCGCGACAACGTCAGCAACCCAAATTAAAACGAAATTGTCGATAGTGTTGATGGCAGGTGATAATACAAGTGTTGCCGTCGCGGTGACGAGGTTATCCAATGCAGCAACGCTTCCTGGACATATATATCAGTTATAACTCATAGGGAGGAGAGCGATAGCATACCATTGAAAGGGTATTGTCGAACATTCGATATTTTGTTATTCATGACCAAACCCGCACCGACCCATTGTCGCCACTATCACTTGCCTCTGCCAATAAACCCATCGACCCATCCCATTCCACCATCCCACCTGCACGTCCCATAACCCTCTTTATCTCTTCGACCCACTCCTCCTTGACCGTACACTCGGCGATCTTCAGCGTTTTCAATGGCCTTCCACTCGCCTGTCTGGTCCTCAGAGAGTTCATCACCCTAGACAACGGCCCCTTGGGATCGTCCTCGCTAACGACCCTCGACCGCGACCTGAAATCCACCGCGTACAGCTCCACACACTCCAAACACGGTAAAAACATGTTCTGCTCCAGTTCACCACGCCCCACATCCATCGCCTCAATCAACCCTATACCCGCTTCTCCGCTCGCACCGACACCCCTTAACCCTTTCATTTCTCCGAAAGCCTCCCTCCATCTCTCTTTCGTGACGAGTAAAGAGGTGGAAATGATGACGGTGCGCACGTCTCGGCCAGGTTCGGCTTCCACACCGAGGTGAGAACAGATGTTGTTCAGGAGGATGTCCGAGGAAGAGATGGTCGGGGCGGGAGGTGGGTTAGGCAACGAATAATGAGAAGGCGAATGCGAAGAAAATATTGAGGAAACGAATGGGTTGTTGATGTACTGAGGAGAAGGCGGTGTGGCGATAGTGGGGACGGAACGAGTAATATGCGCGGGCCAAGTGAACGAGATGTCGATTGCTGGTGGTGGGAGTGGCGACGAGCTGTCTGATGATGATGGTGAAGTAGTTGGCGAAGTGGTAGGAGAAGAGGGAGCTGACGACAATGAGAGCAGAGAGTGGTGGTGTGGTGAAGGGATGTCTTCGGCCCAAGTCGTAATTGCAACATGATTCGCATAGTTTTTGATCCAGAGAGTAGTCACCCTTCCTTCCACCGTTGTCTGCTCCTCTTCCTCTTCCTCGACATGCCCGTCCACTTGTTTCCTTATCAGCGCCAACAGGACGTCACATTCGTCATTGTCCTCCCCCTCGCTCGCACAATCCAGCTTCACCCTCGCACCCCGAGGAATCTGCAAACTCCTCAACAAATTCGCGCATTCTAGCGGTCGACCTTCTAAAAACAGCTCCTTGAAATTAGGTAGCCTGACCGTGCGGAACTTTAGCGGAAGCGAAGTGGTGTAAGGGGCAAGTGGCGGAATCGTGTGGCCCAAACGTAGAGTTTCAAGATCCGGCGAAGACGAGAGAACGTCCAACAACTGATCAAGTGTGGGTAGCGCACTATTGTCTAGCGGTAGGAGGTGGGGATTCGGGAGTGTCACAGCCAGGTGGCGAAGACCGCGGAAAGGCCACTCCGCCCATGGGACATGCAATCTCGTCAAGCTAACTTGCTCCAGTGCCGGTGTAACCCCTTCGAACAAGGCGGCCGGTAGGCGCACTGGCTGTGCCATCCTCGACCTCATGAAACCGCCAGTAGGTACTGTGGTCAGATGTAGACCCCGCAGGTGAGGCGCCGGGTGCGACAGATGTTTGAAGAGCGCACGCATGGAGTTATTGTCTGATCGGATATGTATGTGTTCCGTATGATCGAGATGCGAAGCGAGAGGGATGGCATCGAAAGGAACGAACGAGGGCTCGGTGAGGTGGGATAGCGAGATGAGGACGGCCTTCGAACGTAAAAGGAGCTCGGATGTCCAGGCCGATCCGAGAGTAAAAGAGATATTGCGCCAAAGGCGAGGATATTCGAGAGCTACGTAGCGCCAGTGACGACATACGTGGGTGACATTGATCCATCCGAGACTAGTGTATGGAGAGCCTTTAGAGGTAGGAGTTCGGGCGCGTCGGGGCGTATCGTCGATAGCAGCGAAAATCTGAGCGAGTAGTTCGGATGGGAGACGGCATATCGGGGAGAGCGCATTTCGATCAGTCTGAGACAAAGCGAAGGCATTGCGAAGAGCTAGAAGGTCCTTGTCGATGCTTGCGCGCACATCCTCTGCATGGTGTAGGAAATGATCATCGATGTGTTCAGGGTGGTCGAGAGCCAGTGCTCGGGGATAGGCGACGGAACTCCTGTACGCGCTTAGGTCGGAGCTGTAGTGATAGTTAGGATCTTGAAGAAAGCTCTCAGGATTATACACGATGCAGGATAGACACGTACCTTCGTTGTGCGAGCATAGCTTTGGAGAACAACATAGTTTGAGTTTTGAGCAAAGCCTGCACAATGCTGTAGTAGAGTATAGTTCGCGAAGAATGAATAAACTCACCCGTCAAAGGACAGAAACAAGTCGAAAGTGGGCAGAACAGGAATATATGGTCTTGAAGACTCCCTTGCGCGATGGTAGTTGGGTAGAAGAAGTCGTCGTATGACCGACTAGCAGCAGGAATGCAAAAACAGGACCGAAACACGTTCCACTTCTGCAACCGGCCCATGATATACTCGTCGAAGGCATTACATCAATCGTCACGTGTCGTGGCGTCCTGGGTATACTACGGCCGCTTACGAGGTCGAATTTCGACGTCTTCGACAGCGTCAAAGGGGCCCGAAAGGTATTCGAGCGGTGATTCAGCGACCATCCATGATCCCATGGACACAGTCCTACGTATCGCAGCCATCCGTGAGTTCATTCGAAGGCTTCTGAGTATCGCGTCATAATCGGATACCGAGGTTGTGCTATATATTTGGGTCGAAAACAGGCAACAGTTCCGTGGAAGGGCTGCTGGCAGAGGCCTATGTATCGAGCCAATCATGCGGCATGTATTCAATGCTCAGTTGACCCCTCATCATGCGTGGAAGGAAGGGGGAAAAGCGGAGCCACACAAAATAACCTTCGACCACTTACAATAGGTCCAGCAAGGATCACATTGCTCAGTGCAGGTTCTCTTGCCTGATCAACTACATAACATGTCCCAAACGTAAACAACGTTATTATGCTGTTGCGGTGCCCGAGCCGATATTCCAGCCATCGCAGCAAGGAATGCGGCTTTGACAGTGGCGTCGGCGGTCGCACCGCCGCCATTGAAGAACCGAACTCTATTGCCGTTCTCACTTCGCGATCCGAGGCTGATTATTCCCGCTGGGAGCATATACGCAGTTCGTGCGAGAATGCATCGAGGTCACACGAGAGAACGCACCTTCCTATATAAATGGCTCCTCGGCCAACAGCCTCAGCGTTGTCCCACACGAACCATCATGCAGCTTCGATACTGTTGTCTATCATAGTTATTTGTGGAGAGCCTACTCAAGAATGTCTTTGCGGCCTCTCGAGTCATTTGGCGACAGCACTGTGAAGTTCGCGCAATGGATGATGCTTGTAATCTGCATATGAAGCACAGTCGCCAGAGTGTCCATGGGTTTTGAGAAGAGCTCGCAGAACGTTCGTTCTCAGGGTGTGTCGTACGGTGTTCGATGAGAAAGTAGACGAGGTGGTTCACGAAGGGAACTTCAGAAAGACGTTCGAAGTGTTCGAGAGGAATACATCAGGCTGCAGCGTGAGAGAGATTGGGCGGCATGCTGATTGAGGTGCATTGACAAAGTAGACGTCTCGTCCACATGCTTTTCCAAGGGAGGACCAACCTGGCAATAGCTCCCATCCGGCAGCCGACATCAAATGGGGATCAGTAGAACGAGGGGCAAAGCCCGACATACGATGCGGGCGCAGAGGGACGCAGACATACGCGTCGGTGGCGTGGGAAGCAGAACAAGGATGAGACAATGCAAAGACACCAGTGCTCTGACGGGCAAGATGAATTTCGATAGTTCAGCAACAGATTCTTTCGACCATTCTTACAAACCCCAAGAAAAGGTTGTCTATCGCGACTCACACGATTGAATATCGCTCCCGCACGTAGTACTCACCCCTTGTGTACACGCCTTCCTGTGATGCACCAAGAAAGTTGAATGTTTTGCAAAGTATACAAACCATACAACACCCTAACGCCCTCATCCAACGATCCAAGCCCCACTCTGTACACTCCCAAACACAATCTGTCCACCCTGCGCATCCAGAGTGGCACCTCCATCCAAGACCTGCTGCGCCACAACTCCGCTCGAGCTCGCATCCCCCAAAACTTCGTTCAACCCGATACTCGCGTTGAAATAGTTCAGATTCGCAGCCAGCAGAAGCGTCTGATTGCTTGGAGCCAACGTCCATACACCGACGTCGATTCGATCGTCTGTGACGACGTGTTTAAATGTGGACGTGGATGGAAAGATGGGAAGGATGAACGGCGTGAGGGAGGGTACGGAGAGTGCGAGTGATGAGGCGGCGGACTTGATATCAGCGGGTGTAGGGTCGATCCAGGATGTCACGCCTACGTGAAAGAATATGATCGAAGATGAGCGGATCTGATTAGGACAAGGAAAATTGTGGGATCATACCAAGAGCGCCTGCATTGATGCCTACAATAGCCTCAATAAGCCATTCAGCTCCGGTGGGGAACCGCTTCCAGTATCTGCCATGCGAAAGCATAAACAAAAGTTAATTATGGACAGCAGACAAATAATGAACCTACGTGTCATTTCCGAATCCCTGAGGGACTGTCCACATCCTTCGAACCAGTCCGAGGTCAGTCAAGCGTATACTATTGCTCTCGTGCGTGCGGAAAATGTAGAACTTACCTTTTCTCCCTTTCCCATCCTAACACCTCGAACCTTTCCCTAAACGTTTCCACCCTCGTCCTAATATCCTCAAACTCCCCCTTACAATCATCACACCCACAATCGCCCTGTTCATCCGTGCAGACCGTCCCCCACTGCGTACTAAATGTCACATTATTCCCGATCTCGTACACATCCTGGAGGATAATATCACCACCAGATGCGTAGTCTTCGAAGAAGTAGTCGAAACAGTTGAGAACGAGCGACGTGGGGTGATACGGGTCGAGAGAAGTAAGAAGGGACTGCGCGATGGAGGTGCCGTTAGTTGGGTCGGACGGGCCGTCGGGCTCATCGGCGGAGTAGTAGAGGAGAAGATTCGCGCGAGACTTGAGAGATTCAACTTGGGCGGTTACGGATGTGAGGTTCATGTAAGTGCTGTAGGCCGTACGCACGAAAGTCAGAGTGGGAGAGAGGCGAGAGGAAGTGTGGATCTGCACCCTCGCATGTCATAGATGAGGTACATCTCCAGTTCTTCCATCCAATCGAGCATTTGGTTCAAAGCGGTCGTATTGTCGAACGAAGGGACTGGGTGAAGCTGGGCATAGGCCACATAGCATTAGTATAGACTTTTCGCGTTTTACAGGAAGAAGAAATTTTACTCACAACGTTGAAGCTATATCATTATCATGAATACATCATCCAATCCCACGGTTGGTCATGATCAGCCCCTATCCGTCGATATCCTGGACACAAAACTTGAGTAATTGACCGCTCACCCTTGCGCCTTCAATGTCTCCAAGACCGACTTGTTCGCATCCAGGTACCCATCAAATGATCCATAAAACCCCACAGGAAATACCGCCGCATAATCGCCATCTCCTCCCAGAGGCTTCGCCAACAACCCACCCGTCCTCAAGTCCATCTTCGTCACACTTCCGATATCACTCGGCGGATCGGGCAGGAACGAGAGCTGAGTGGTGGCCGTGAAGGTCGTGTTGGTACTATCGGTTGCGGTGCATGTCACATTGAAAGGTTCGGTTTGAGGCGTGAGTACAGAGAGATCAAAGAAAAGTTCAGCCGTCCCGTTCAGCGGAACTGTGGACTGTGTGAAGGAGACGTCGACGCCTTCGATACTCGCGGTCACGCTGAGCATCGTATCTGTCGCGTTTTCAGGAAGCGAGATTGGGACTGCTCCAGCTATCTCGGAGAACCGAACAAGGGCGTCGACAAGAATACCACCACCGAACGATGCAGAGTTCGCGTCTTCAGGTAGGTATGGACGCAGAGAAGGATTACAGCGCAGGGCGAGAAGTGGGGTAGAGCTGGATGCTGGCGTGGCGAAGTTGCCGCCTGGAGGGACGACGGTTTCATTTTGCATATATACTTTGCCACACCTAGGAGTTCATTGCTGTCAGTATGCTCATAACAAGAGTCGAATGAAGCGAAGACGGTCACGATAGGCCTCAGGTTCAAGAAACGCACCATGTCTGTGCCGAGACGAGAGGAAGTAGACAAGCTATCACAGAGACCAGAAAAGAGCTGGGAATAGAGACAAAAACCATGTTGGTACGCAATTGACAGGAGTCCTCAGCTCGAGAGGTCACCGTCAAGATCAAGGTCGAGGCAAGGCAAGAGATATTACGACCATATGTAGTAGAGCGTGTATTATGCGAATGTACCATGTGGAGACTTGGGAATTGTTTATTTTGAGCAGTTGATTACGGTCATCAGACGTGTTGTGAGAATATGGGCGAAAGCATAGTAAGGCCTGACACCTGTCTACTGTCTCGCAGGGTATATTCGAGGAGTTGCAGTAGTGGTTGGCGCTGTTTGGGAGGTTGAAGTTGACCTATTGACCTGGAATCTGGATATGCGCCACGTGGCACGTGGCGTGAGCGTATTCAGAAGACGTTTGGGCCACAATTGTCGTCCTGGTCTTCGCGTTCAAGTTCATAGATTGTTACCATAACCTCGTATGCTGTGAATTTCTGCTCTTGTGGATGTCGAATCTGTACTGACGATAGTTGAAATTTCTTGCTCTTCTTCGTTTATATAGCTTGCTTTGACAGACTGTCCAATGAGTGAGCATTGTGAGAGATTGTGAGACGCCGTCGTCACCAGAAACGCCCTATCCCGATTTTCGCCGAGCAAGAACGCATACATACATGGCAGTAACAGCTATCCAACTAGCCATTCCTGGCGAGATAACACGATTACTCCGCCAGCCATCCTACATAAGAGCAAGAGAAGCTCTCGCCGCCCACGACCGCTGATATCAGATCTTCAGAGGTAGACCCAACTACTGAAACATACTTGGATCGAACTTCCTCTTCGGAAGTGTCCAAGAGCGAGCCTGACCGTCCAACCCGGAGTAGGAACAATCCAAAAGTAGGTGTAAGTACTCGAATAGGGAGGTGCCAAGAAAATCGGGCTTTTCCTCTGTCAACGAGCCCGATTCACGCCGGCGGTATATAACGACGAGTCCGCTGCCCTCTTGTTAACGAGGCCCAACAACATCTCTGTCACCACATAACGGAGAGATTGAGACAGTACGTTGATCTCCTCAGGTAATGAATTTGGAGCATACCAGAGGCTAGGTAAGTCCGATAAAGCGAGCCCGATAAACAAGTGGATCCCAAGATATGTTACTCAGTTTCGTACTGAAGGTGACGGAAAGCCTCGGAAAGCCAAAGGACGCGAAGTAGTGCGAGATTTCGCCGAACCTTCTTGACCCTCCACCGCTTTGAGGACGAGGAAGGTGAAGATTGGGGAAGAGGAACTGGTCTAGGGTAGCCCAGAGGAGAAGGAGGCGTTAAGGTTGTGAGGGTTCGAGAAGATTGCAGCAAAATTTCCGAGAAGTTTCTTTTTAAGCTTGATCCTGATGGGTCTTTGCATCTTCTTTTCAAAGATACTTTGACGAAGAGGATGGGTGCTTGATTCCGTCTGTCCATCAGGCTATGGCGCAACGCAGGATGAGAGGGCGGAGGATTCCGCTTGGATTCCGCTGGTCCCGCCGGGACTTGCGGGTTGGTTGCAGTTCTCGCTTGCGGGGCGCCCGTGGAGCCCCACAACCCCGCCGGCCCCGCACTGTACGTCATCACGGACTTTGAGCGTTTGCGATCAACACACTCGGTCCGGGAAGACCGGATGTTTCCGACATGCTCGACGAAGTTCAACGACAGCCTTGCTTCTGGACGATTTCGAGCTGTTTCTTCCTCACGCTGGTCAGCCCTCTACCCACTCGTGGAAAAGATTCTGAAATGCTGTTTTACGTCGAATTGTGACAGTGTCCGGATTCTTCTTCTGTTGATCCCTCAAAGCGACTCGGGCACGGAAGGCCTCTTAAACTACGCGTTCAATTTGATCGTCTCGTCGCAAAATCATTAGCGGGATTATCGGATGATAAGTTCTAGTAGCTGGACGAGGTCATGGGGTCACCCACAGCCAGGAACAAAGCGAATTGGAAGGAGCTCCGGAGAATGGAGAATGTCATAATTTGCGGACTTTGACGAGTTAAAAGCAGCCCGCACCTTGCCCCAGATGGTTTCTTTGACGAACCCCCCACCCTGTTGTACAACGTACATAAAGGTCTCAACCTTCAGGGTGTGCTCTCATCCAATCGCGCTTTGAATCCACGACCTAGACGATACCTTCGACGACTAACACCATGAGGAAGTACCTCCGAGATGTGAAGGGGAAGAGCCTCATATGGTGTATCAACCTAGTGGCCGGTCTCGCTATTTTCTTGTACGTTGTTTCGTTCGTCTCTGCATGGCTGAAGACTACTGACCGATGCACATCATAGTTTTGGGTACGATCAGGGTATGATGGGAGGCGTCAACACGTCTCCAGACTACGTCCGGGTAATGGGTCTGGGCTATTCGACGTGAATTGTCCTCGTTACATTTCTACCAAACTACTTGCTCATTGAAACTGTTTCAGATATGAGGGTCCATCAGAAGGATGGGTTGCCACTATCACGGAGCCTACTAGGCAGGGTGGTATCGTCAGTAGTGCGTATCTGTTCTTTGTTCATTCTAGTGAAACCTTCTCAACTCGTACTTTTCTCGCCAGTCTATTACTTCGGAACTCTCTTGGGATGTCTCGCTGCTGGTATTATCGGTGATAAGTACGGAACATTAGACATAAATCAGTGTCCGCAAACATGAGGCTTATCAACTGCTTTGTATAGGATTGGACGTATTAAGACTATGTGGATTGTACGTCCCACTTTCACCAGTTTTCTCACCTCCCCGTTGAACGTGGCTCTACTTGCTGCAGGGTTCTGTCTGGGTACTAGTCGGTGCATCATTGCAATGCTCAGCTCAGAATATCGCATGGTAAGTTCGTGTCATATTACCAGTTACTCCTCCCTTTTACTCATGTGTGGTCTCTGCTCTCACACAGGATGCTCTGTGCGCGAGTCATCAACGGCATCGGTACAGGCTTCCTCAACGCCGTCGTTCCCGTCTGGACTGCCGAAGTTGCAACACATACGTCACGAGGTATGTTATCGTTTCTTCTTCTTTATCGTCTCCACTCTCATACGGATCCCTTTGGCCGTGCTTAGGTGCTACTATCGCCATGGAGTTCACACTCAACATTTTCGGTGTCGTCGTCGCGTATTGGCTTGAGTTCGGCATGGGATTCATCGGAGACGGTAACACTGAAGTGAGTAAATTAAGCCCACGTTTTTCTGCGTTCTCACGTCAACGGAACATATCTAACCTGCGTGATTGCCCACAGGTTCGATGGAGGGTGCGTTATTTTCTACAGGATATCGGGTACAGCTGGGATGACATCTAACTCAAATGAAAACATGTAGTTCCCAATCGCATTCCAAGTTCTGCCGCTTCTTGTGTTCATGGTACGGGTTTTTCTTCTATCCGTCCGCTGTTCACATTCCGTATCTTCCTCGTCAAACTTTGACTTACTTGAAACTGTACGGTCATAGGTCGTTGTCCCATTCATGCCCGAATCCCCCCGCTGGCTCATAAAAGCTGGACGTAACGAAGAGGCCCGACACATTCTCTACCGACTTCGCTGGAAAGAAGAGACTGACAGTACCGACGCCACTACCACTACTCTCTCCGAGAAGCGAGGTGACGTGCAAGTAGAGAAGGGTGACAGCGGTACCGCCACTCCAACCGGGGCCGAAACGGACATCACGCAACGGGAGAAATTGAGCGAGATGGCGCAGGCAGAGTACGACGATATCGTAGGAATTGTCGACCTGGAGAAGAAGCATGCGGGGCAGAATACCTATTTCTCGATGTTCTTCGGACGGCGTACGTATTCCTTCCTTGCTCTTGTCGCACAGTTAAGCGATCTAAGCTAACCTTACCATGATGTCTTTCAGACTCTGGAGATTTGCACATCGCACGTAGGGTACAGCTGAATATTTGGCTGCAAATTGTGCAAGAGTAAGTACCTTTTTGAATATGACGAAGAAAGATTCTGACGTTCTGGTCGGTCTTGTGTGGTTAGATGGGCTGGTATCGCTGCGATTACCGTTTATGCCCCAACCCTGTTCTCAGAGGCTGGATACAGTGCTCGCAAGTCTGAGTGGCTCTCTGGTCTCAACGACGTGCGTAGAATCTCCATCCCCCGCCCCCCCTTTTTTATTATTTTTATTTATTATTTTATTTCTAAAATCGCTGTAGTTCTAACCTCGTAATCATTCCTCATTCCCAGATAACATACTGTCTCTCTACCCTCTTTGCCATCTACACAATTGACCGTTGGGGCCGTCGCGTCGGTCTCTGGTGGGGCGCTGTCGCACAAGGCATCTGCCTCCTCCTTGCAGGAGGGTTCGGTCGTCTCCTCAAGGATCATCCTGAGAAGGCCGCGGAATATGGAGCCGCGGCTGCGTTCTTCATTTTCGCCTACACAGCGGTGTTCGGTGCGACATGGTTGACGATTCCTTGGGTATACCCAACGGAGACGTTCCCGCTCGAAGTCAGAGCTAAGGGTATGGCGTGGGGCGTTGTTGGCTGGAGTATCGGTGCGCCTCAACAATCCTATCATTCTTAGTATTCGTTCTGACTCTCGTCTCTGTGATCTCAGGCAACGGCTGGCTAACACTCATGAACCCCATCATGTTCTCCGCCATTGCCGAGAACACCTTCTACATCTTCGCCGCCGTCAATTTCCTCTCTATCCCACTTGTTTGGGCCTTCTACCCCGAGACGGCGAACCGCACACTCGAGGAGATGGACCTGCTGTTCGCGAGCAAGAGTCCTTTCGTGTGGGAAATGGAGAAGAACTTCGCGAAGTTGAAGGCAGAGAACCAGGGTGTGAGTCATATGGCGCATGTTGGTGAGCATCACCGAGCAGATGAGCAGATGGAGGTGGCTGGGAAGGTATAGGAGACCTCCAGTGTTGAGATGCTGTGGCGCTAGGCTCTAGATAGTAGATACCTCGAGCCTGGATTTACTTACTTCGCTTTTCTCGTCTGCCACGACTTGGTTATGTTTTATTAGACGTCTTGATATCTCATGTTATTACCTTTTAGTTTCTTGGGTAACGCAGATGCTGCTTGTTGGCGACACTGGGCAACAGTAGTCTTTTTTACAGACCTTTATAGTGATACCAATCGATCCAAAATCGATCATTGTTACAGGGCAACAGCGGCAACGGCAAAAGTAAACAAATAAACGCCACAGTGGCGTGTCGTGCGAAGAAAGAATCAACATCGCAATCAGTGAATCAGTTTGATTCAACGAAACAGCCCAAGCGTGAACAGTCTTCATCTTCAGTGCTTCACTGTGCTTCGCCCTCTCGCTTTGCTTCCGCTCGTGCCAACTTGGAAGTGACTTGGCCATGAAGTTATAATTCACGGAGTGGCTTTGCCTAGTTCTGCGCTTCGTCTACGAACATCTGCAACAATCAGTGGCGTGCCACTTCACAGCTGATTCTTGTGACGCTCACAGCCAACCACGCCACTCCTGTATCGGTCGACCCTTGGGCAACTTTTTTCTTATCGAGAAGCTCACGGATCGTCGTACTTGGGAAAGAGCACACATAGGGCTCCTCTTCTCTCGACATAGAGGCTTCGTGCTTCTAACACGCTTGATCATGCCGACAACGCGTTGTTTCTACTATACATGACGGTAAGTCTGCCACAGTGATCGTGTACCATTCTCTCAATCTACCATCTTCGCGGTCACAGATTATCTCACCAAATTATATTGAGAAACTGCTATGGGCGCAGTCCCTTCATCTTTCCAGTGGCACGAGCATATCGTGAGCTTCCCGTGCTTCATTTTCGGAGTTCAACGACATCATTTCCCCTCATGCTCCATATTTTTCCTTCATTTACTTCCGACCAGGCGAGCCTCATGCCGTGACGTGTCTACCATTGAGATCTGGTATCCGACGTGCATGCGGGAGCTGTTTGCTCACGTGAACAGCCAATGATTCGACGGGCAGGTTCTCGATCTCACTGCAATTCGTGCGTACGAGGTGACACGGGAATAAGGCGGTTGACCCCTATTCGTCGGGCCATCTCCCAGGCTGTAATACGTTCATTGGTTCTCAGTGTTATGTTACCACATATCCTGAAGAATATACTCAAGAGTCAGGTCTGAGTTTGAGGTGTTTCGTATGGTTCACCTCTCAATATGAGAGCGACTCTAGCGATGGCTCGCCACAGTTCTGGTGAACTCTATCTGCATAGATGATATTTCTGTCTCCCGGACTTCGGATGGTTGGGTGACGAAACCTTAATCGATCGAGCCAGTATAGCACACATTTACTCCAAAGGATCCGATTCAGGATCAAGTTCGGGATATTGGCTAGGAAACTTGTATCTGATTTTAACAGAACTTTAGGCCTTTGCGACATGTTACCTCCGTCTATTAGAACCGAGTTTTTTCTGACGGTTTGCCTGAATCGGGACCAATGGGAACTGGTGTTTCTAGTCGATAGCTCGTACACAACGCTCGTGCACTTTTCGGAGACCCGTTGGCAACCGTCTTGCAGTACTAGCAGACCAATGGGCATGGATTTTTTTTTACTACGCAAAAGGCTTGAGTTTCCCCGCCCGTTTCTCATCCCACGTCGGCACCCTCTGGGCCTCATTCTACCTTCTCATTCACCTCTCATAGTACTTGGAGCAAGCGAAGTATAACTTGACTCCGATTTCGTGCTTTCTATATCGTCTTCGAGGTCTACTCATGCCCCACTTGTGGCGTACACGTTCAGCGACTTCTGACCAGGGACTCCCGGAATCCGTTCACCGGGCAGCATGTCCATTATCACGAGGCTTTCAGGAAGTCGACGAAGAGGTGTTGACTATGTGCGCGATGGTCTTCTGTCCCACGAACTCTGTTCATCTTGCCTCGGGTGGGAATTGCCAGCGTAATTCCTAGTCTAGCCACACGAGGGTGGTGCAATGTCAGTGCTACATGCGTGTGCTATTGCGTCTACTGTGCCCATGATGTGTAGCTCTGCTTGCATGTTGCTACTGGCATTTCATGCAAGTCATATGCACGCAGCAGTCTCTAAGGCCATATATAATTGATATTTTCGTATTCATATGGTCTTACGTTGACCCTCTTTGGTTTGCCAGACCATTTGTTACTTAGCCCCAATGGCGATACGAGATGTCAGTCCCGGATTAACCTCTTGACGAACGCGCAGATAAGCCACGGACGTCCACACCGGATCATAGACAGGCTCAAATCCGTTAGTCGGATGTCCGCCGGATTCGATGATGGTATCGAGTCCGAACGAAGCATCGTGTTCAAAGCAAGGCTACAGGTTCAGCGTCAGGTGTCGCGAACAAGTCGCGAATGGTCAATGCTTCTCTGTAGACCATTTCCTCGTGACCAATGTCCAGATGTCAATGCGTCCGGCAACCCAAGAAGCTTGGAGAGGATCTGTATCGACGAGCCGGTGCTGAGCGTCTACAGCCAGCTGTGGCATGCAGGCCGAACACGAAGGCCTATGCACTCGAGCTCCTCCCCTACGCATGCAGGCTCAGTGTTGTCGTTATTCGCTTTGATCAGGGACTGTGATCGGCATTCTTCCGTCACTCTATCCTGTCCTTTTGCCTTCGTTGAGCCAATTGAATGAGGCCGAGGTATGCGTCCTGTCTCTTCCCGAAAACTCGGTCGACGAGGAGGCGCTGATCCAGGACATCGGCCCCCAAATAATGAATCTGAGTCCGACGATTTATTTCTCCAATATTTCTCTGACCCACTGACTGGGCCCAATGTATCAATACAGCAGTCTTTGTTCAGACATATGCATGGATAAAACGGATTCACAAGTTCGACCCAGATCCCATGTTCACCAAGGCGCAAAACTGACGGACAGACAGTTTCCGATGGTTTACTTAGCTCCAATCGACGCTTGCCAAATATTCCAACGATTAATTTTCCCTCTGTAGCTATCCTCTTATCTGATAGTTATCTTGTCTGTGCAATCCTTCAAGCCATACATTCTTGCCCGAATTCGACGGTCATCACGGACCGTTGTATTTGGAATAGACCTACTAGGAAAAGTCAGGAATCTCAAGAAGATGGTGACCGAGCGGGCGACGCGGTGTGCGGATGGCACTCAGCTACAATTCCGACGTTTCTGTGATGCTGAGCGTCTCTGTGTTCTGTCTTTGACCATACGCAGAAGCTCTTCGGCCCACATTTAGGCAAAGGTGCGCTCGTACGGTCCTTATCGATGGTGACATCTGTCCCTAGAGCTCTTATCGATGGTGATTTAACCCTCCGGAAGAGGGTGGATGAGTGGCGTTTTGGAATTCGGGCAGTGCAGTTGGTCAGCACGAGACTCGACTACATCGTGAATGTCGATGCAATTGCAAGAGGCTTGAGAGGGCATGTAGGTGAGGACTCATTGACTTTCCACGTCGAGTACTTCATTGAGGGCGTTTGCGGTGCCTTGAAAGACAGAAACAAGGAGGTCAGTGGAGGTCAGTAAGCTCTTCATATGGCGGATGATTTGTGGCGCAGGCCAAGCGTATGATTGTCATGGTTCTGATCTCGAGGATTGCCTTCTGTTCCTGCAGATTCAAATACCACAGGAAGCCTCGTTGCTTTCATTTCCTCGAGATCCGATACAAACCTCATACGCTTCCGTCGATGTGCAGCGATACCTCCGGACCCGAGATCATGGCTTCGGATATAGACAAGTTCACAGACGTCCGTAGCCCCTGTCGATGGAGGTTGCAAGATGAGTTCGGGGCAAGTCCATGATAGAGAAATATTTCTCTGACCGTACAGCCATCGCAGACGGCGCTCGCGATGGCGTAGTACAGAGATTGATCACGAGTAAGACAAGTACTGTCTTCATTTCATCCGCGTGTCCTATTGTTTTTGTCACGCCACTCATGGAGCCTGAACATAGGGGATGCTAGCCAAGGACATTGATTTCCGTACGCTTTGACTAGAACCAGTGTAACTGTTTCTAGGGGTCGCGGAACAGAATACACCTAACTCCTCCGGTGAGTGGCGTGGATATCCTAATACTCAGTTCAGAGCTTCAACCGTCGATCATCCTCTCACTCTTCCGTTCTTCAAAGACACGTTACAATAAATGAATCCTACAGTGTATGCCTACGGCCACACCCGGCTTCCATGCGATATCAACGACGCGAATACCTACCAGATGACCTCCCATTTTTGCCTTGTAAGTCCTTAGTACTCTTTTGTTCCCTCCAACGTGGAACGTGCAAGGCGATGGGGGCGTTCCACGACTGCGAGTCACTGCTGCCGCGATGCGGGTCACTCGTCCAGCAGCTTTCCTTCAAGGCTGTTGGAAGTCAGAATGTTCGTCCCGGGCCATAATAAACGCTTGCACATGTGGCTCACTGGGGCAATCCCCTTCTTCACCATATTTAGACACTTGGGTCAAGAGTCGAGAAAAGACAGGACCCTCTTTGATCGCTGCGAGCTCTAAAGCGTGAAAGTGGAGCTCACTGTCTGTTTATCAAGGGCAAGGACTGATAAACTGTGGTCACCAGTGGGACTTGAACATCTTCGCCGTTGGTCACGCCCATCTCTCGAGCCCCATACTCCCGTCTTCTTCGTGCGCCAATCAATGAAGGTAAAGCTTGATACGTCTCCTAATCGTTGAGGATTCTGAAGTCTAAAGCCTAAAATGCTACAAGAGTCTCGCAGAGAACAACGGAGTCCGACAAAATTTCTCCTAACAAAGCAGTACTAGCCCACTTTCTTTTCTCTGAGCATCAGAGGATCCTACTGAGACTTCCTGCAGAGCTACAGATGCACACTGTCGCCTTCGATCTGCTCCACATGAGTACCACAACGTGTTGTGTGGTCCGAGCCGCTTCCTGATAGGAGCGGGATGCTATGTCCTTCCATACTCCCTGTAACACCTGATGGGGTTGTTGGTGATTGTCGGTAACAGGCTGGAGGAACAAAATTGTTCGGTGAAGATCCCAGCGGGCGTCACCCAGCTTACGACCGGTTAATAGCTGTCACTGTAAAGTTATAGGGTATAAATTAATAACTCTTAGTATGACAGTTGGGAAGATATATGGAGGACATTGGGACGCTCGGACTCTCGGGTTTGATGGACAAGTTTAGACCAGGCTACACTGCTCTTCTTGTCACAACTCCCGCAGCTGTCGTCTTAGCTGCGTCTAACTCAAAGTCAGATGTCGATCTCATAGACACGGACGCACGACAGCCACCCACCTAGCGTGAGCTACTCGAGATCTCGAGGCGGCTCGTCTAAGGGTTTTATATGCAGATGGAGGATTTAGTGTACAGCTGTGCTCGATGAGAACAAGGGGCAGTTCAGAACGGGCGCGGAACGTGGACCAAGCATGGTGCCACCACCGCTACCCATCATCATCAGAAGAGTCGAACACTGCCGCGTTCCCGAATAAAGAACCTGATCCTGCTGTACTTACAGCGTCTACACCAGACCTACTCACACGACGAGGCGACGTCTTGTCACACTCGCAACGTCCAGACCACCGAGGAACTTGGGCCTCGTGATACACGGGTGAGGGATAAGTGGGTTCAGTGGCGAGACGTCTGCATCTAGACTACTTATTGAGTTCCAAGTTTCGAGAAGCTGTTTCATCTATTCAATTGGGGCAATAGTGAGGCTGTCATGAATGGAGGGAACGACGAAGCGGTTCGATTTAAGTTTATTGTGGCGTTATGATGCGTTGATGGTTTAGACCCTTTAGACTTTCGATCTACGACGGCGAGGTCGTAAGTTGATCTATCTAGTTAAGAGTGAGGACTAATGCTTCAATCCATTCTTCGTACGAGACAAAAAATGCAGACCACGTACCGTATCCGTATTGTCATTTGGCGAACAAGAAGAAAAGTAAGACACCTCACTCTACGCACTTATCCGGTCCTGCACGCACCAGCATCGCACCTAACGTACTCATTACACCTACCTCGAGTGGCACACGAGCAGGAAAATAAAATAAAAACACAAGCACCGTCATGCTTCCACACTTACACCGTACTCAAAAGCAGCAATACACGCCGCAACAAGGCTTTCGCCTCGTCAGTGCCTCGAGGCCTCCTATGCTTTGAAAATCGGGACGAGATCGCACCCACCTTTGCACCTTTAAATTTATCGTATTTCGCTTCACTTCGCCATCGGGGACGGATTTCGATCGTCCCGGCGAGTCAGGCGTGTATAAGGAGTAAAGGTCTGTAAGCGTGTCACGGTATGTACTTACAGAGATCTCGTAAGCGCTTGTGCAATTATGCATGACTTTCAATTGGAAGGCATGAGGCGGTGGGATTCCGAACGAGCTTTGGACATGTACCGAGCGATGCTGAGCGTGCTGCGTCCGCTGCGTCGACGTCCGGGTCGTCCTTCTGATGTGAACTGCCTATGGAAGAAACCTGTTAGCTACAGATCCCACGAGAAGAGTATACAGACGAAACAGAAAGACAGAGAGAATTCGAGCAGCAGAACAGCGCACACACATGCTTAATCCCGGGCCTACCTACGCAGCAAGATCTTCAGTCGAAGCCGTCAGGCATCCTCGGACCTCCATCGTCCAAGCTTCCTCTCTTCCTTCCGTTCCGTCTCCCGTAAGCCATAATGATATAGCGCAAGCCCAGCATCATCCATGAACAGGCAATTCGGAATAACAACCAGCGTGCATACCCCCCGCGCCGAGCACTGAGCACGCAATTGCGTCCTCAAGCTCAAGGTCAGGCCTCAAGGCAACCGGAATGGAAAATCTAGAGATGCAGATACAGATAAGTTACAGCCCGAGATTACAGATAATCATAATCCCAGTACCGCATTTTACCGCAAGGATAATCTCAGATGCAGATACATAAGTAGTACCTGCAGGTACCTGCCCGCCTCAAGGCCTGTGATCATGACATCGCACAACACAATGCAAGGTCAGGTAAGCAACCTGGGGCGAAGGGTTGCCGTATATAGTCAAGAGTCGTCCAAGGATCCGTATATGGTCAAGATGGAAGGAACGAAAGCCTGTGGCTTGTCTGAAAGTTTGTTCGTTCAGTGGCGGCCATGGCCAGGGGGCCGGGACGTGGGGTCGGAAGCAAAGAAAAAAAAACGATCCGTTGTGGCTGAGGTTGAAGCGGAGTGGAACTTTATTTTTTTTGCGTCCGAGTGGAACGTGCGGTCGGGGTGGCGAGATGATGATGATGATGGTGCGGGTGGCGAGACTTTGTTCGAGTCGGATGTTCTCAATCGAATGGTGTGATGCGGAGGTAAGTTTCGTTCGTCGTCGTGGTAATACAGTACGTCGTCGTACAAATTTCCATGATGGGAGAACCAGAACGACTCGCCGAAAAACGAATAAAATTATTTAAGCTCGACTCTTCCATCAAGGTTCAGACGCCCTCATAACCTACATGAACACAGAGGTCCTCGGGAGATGAACACACGTCATACATGGCCGTAAGTAAGAGATTCCTCAACCTGAAGCATCAATATTAATGAATCCGCACCCACGGATGTAAACCCTCAGAAAAGATCAATGTCGTTGCATACGCATACGTACGTGCATCCATACGGCTGTGCGTTCATGCGTTCGTCCATCTGAATTCTACGCATTCGAAAGCACAGTAAACTCCTCGGCTCGAAGCTCGAAGCAAGCAAGTATTCCTCACTCACTTCCATCTCGTATTCAACCACCGCCCGCTTTGAAATTCCTCCACCCTCTTGAACATAGCCACGGCAAAGCAAAGCACTGAATGGCTCAAAGACGAACCGAGCGAGGGCAAAGGGTTACCATAATCATCCTGGTATGTATGCATGCAGTCCACCCCATCCCATCCCAGACATGAGGCCACGCCATACTTACGCCACTCCTCAGGGCTCCCCGTCCCTGCATCCAGTTCACCTCCAGCCACTCAGTTGCACTCAAGGTCCAAGGACAAGGTAGAGCAGGAGGAGCTGACAAGCGCCCAAAAGTTTCGATGCAGGTAAGGACGGGTGAGAACCTCTTTTCCACTTTGGATGATTTGCGAATTCATTTCACCGGGCCCTTCTTCCACGGTTCACGTTCGTGTTCGTGTTGGTTGTTCCATTCACAATCGGGGTCCTCTGCGTGCTTGGCATTTGCTTCCGGGGGGTCATGAGCACAATTCGGAGTGGTCGGAGTGGACGGAGTGGAGAGTCGTCGGGTCACGATGCAGGCTCGGAATCGGACTTGGGATGCTGGATGCTGAGGGCAACTCTATGTATATAGTGTACGTAGGTAAATATGTATGGAGACGGGAGAGTCCGAACGAAGGAGAAGGAGGAGAAGAGGTTTCGTAAGGATGAAGCTCGAAATGAAAAGAGAGTGCAGGTCCGGTGAATAAAGCAAAGGACGGGGGGTGCGGAGTTGGAAGTTGGTCAATGCGTAAGCGAGCGAGTGACCATGGGAGAACGGAGTGCTGGACGTGTGGTCATAAGTTATTTAAACATCTACTCAGGCTGTTACTGTTTGGACTTGGGAAAGGAAGGCAGGGATGGATGGTGTTGTACGTACCCGAGGTCAGGCTGGTCTATGGAGCCCTCTGTGCGTAAGAGAACCGCAGAGGACTTCAGATAGATAAAGCAGAACGCAGGACGCCAGGACGACAGAAAGACAAGATAGAACGCCGTAGCGAGGGATGCTTAGACGCGAGAGAGAGAGAGAGAGAGCGCAAAACAAGCGTCATCGGGCGTAAAAAGCGTGCGCCCATAGTAGACGTTCATGTGCGAATGAACCAGTGCGTGTCGTTGACGTCGACGCAACTTCTGAACCCGTGAGCGGTGCGAAATCCAGGTCCAGTCGTACGTATCTCTTGACCAAAAAGCAGCTCGGATATGAAACGTTCAATTCATCAGACGAGAGAAATGACACGGAGATATGGGCGGCTAAGTTAGGACATTCGGTTCATTCGGTGGCGTCTGTGAGGACAGAACAATACATAAGTTGTGTCGCGCAGGGCAGAGATGCGAGCGAGCGGATGTCGACAGGGGGTTGACGTAGGAAGAAGAGCAGTGGGAAGACGGGAGGCACATTGGGAAGGGGGGAGAGGACGTGAGTCAGAAGTGCGTCGTTCGATACGTGATTTCTGTGATTCTGTGATGCTGAGGTTGAACTGAGAGCGGAAAGAAGGAAGAGATGGGTTTCGAGTGCGGAAATCTATCCCGAGTGACGAGTGTGGATGATAAGTCCCGGGATGTATATCTCGGATCTGAGTGGGCCTGCAACCACGGGCTTCTAGCTGGAACTCGGAGTCGCGCACAGGACTCAAATCAAAACAAGAGGCTGTGGGATGTAAGTCGGAAGCTTCGCAGGCTAAGAGAGGGGCTCTGAGGGTGTGGCGTTGGGTGATAGGCGAGGAGGAGATGGGAGAACATGAGGCTTGGGGGCAGGATTAGTGGAAATGAATTCGTTATAGCAGCATATGTATGTATGTGGAAGGCTGAGGACAGGAAGAGCGATAGGATGCAGCGTGCTGGGTCGAGCGCCGGGGCATCGTTGGCAGCAGCAGTTGCGGCGCGGAGGGATCAGGAGACCGGCGCGAGGCACGCCTAACGCGGCATGCGGACCGGATAAGGGCTTGTCGAAAATAAATAAATAACTGGGATACTATTTTGGGCGGGGGACAGAAAAGAAAGGGCTATAACGTGAAAGGTCGCGGTGTGCAGCACTCGACGACTCGAGCCTCTCCTTCCGCCTTTAAATGCCCCAAATCCTCAATCTCAAGTTTAAAGTACGCCCGTTTCCCTTTCCCGCCCACCTCCGCCTCTCCATCCCGCTCACGGAGGATGTTGGACCTCCCCACCTTCTTCCAACTCATGCCTCAACCTTTCCAGGGCAACAAGTCCTTCATAGCCTTCTCCAACCTCGGCGACACCGACTCTCTGACCAAGACATGGAAGGTATGTCTTTTCTTTCCTTTTATCCTATCTTTCTTTCTCGTTCCAATCTTTTTCTCGTGTCGTCATCGGTGCCAGGTCTGCACCAAGGTCGCCGGCTACCTCGAGCAGGGTCAACGGCTTGAGAACCTCAGCTGGCGCCTCTGGCATCTCCAGAACCTCATCGTCGACACCGACAATGCCAAGTCCAAGCGCGAGTTTAAGAAGCTCTCGAAACACATGAGCGACAAGCTCGACAAGGAGAAAGGCAGGTGAGCGCCTCTCCACGTCGACCGTCCTCCTTCCTCTTTCCTCCGAAACCCTTGACCCTGACCCCCTGTCCGCCACCCCCTCTCTTCGCCTACGCCACCCGTCCTTCTACTTGTAGGAGCATCGAAGAGCTCGAGGCTCCCGGCTTCAAACGCAACCACTCTACCGACATCATCTGCCAGCGCGCCGCCGAGAAGGAGCGCACCCGGGAAGCGAACCAATACACCCGCCCCGGCACCATCAAACGGATGCAATTTACTTTCTCCCTCGACCAGCCCACTCCCATCTCCTCCAACCCCGCCCCAGTCAAGAAACCCGACCTTAAGCCGTCCGCAGAGTTCAAGGACAATTACGCCCGTCGTGGCCGTCCCTCCGCACGGACATCTGCGGCCGAGGTCGACTCCGCCCCTACTCTGCCAGACGCCAACGACAAGGACCCTCCTCTCACCCAGCGGGGTCGCAAGCCCTCCGCCACCGCCGACGGTGGCCAGCCCGATACCGACGACTATAACGCCTCTCTCCGCTTCCCGTCTTTATTTAATAACGATTTTGGCCCTTCTGCTCTCTTGTATCCATCTCCCTCTGTAACGAACGGTATGACTTATGGCGAAGGCGTGCGCGGCAATTCCGGTTCCGATTTCTCCATTCTCCGACCCACAATTGAACTCCCCCTTGACGAAATCCTCGAGTCTTCGGATAGCCCCGATCCTTGGGGTGGCGTATTTTCTACGGGCGGCAACGACTCTCAGCAACACGATTACATGGACATCTCCCAGCACCCCTCCGACTCCGCTGATATCGACATGCGCCACGACCCATACTCCACCGGCAATGACTCACAGTACTCTTCTAACAACACTTACTCGATCAACGGCCAGACTCTCCAGTACCCGCAGGCGGGTTTTCAGCAGTCGCACCAGCAGGAGGCCCTCCCCCAGACCGTCGCTCCTTCGAAGCTTGGGACGCACAGTACCAGTACCAGCAACGCGCCTACGCCGACCAACAACGGCAGCAGCAGCAGCAACAACGGTACCGGCAACAGCAGCAACAACTCCCGACCATCACTGAGCGTGCGCACCCAGGGGGCGACGACGCGGTCTTCTGGACCTGGTGCGACAGCAACCAACCCGGCTACGCAGGTGCCAACCAACCATTCGGCACCTGGGGGAGTTAAGGCAGAGTGTTCGAACTGTGGCGCGACACACACCCCGCTCTGGAGGAGGGGGCTTAACGACGAGCTCAATTGCAATGCTTGCGGGCTGTACTGTAAGCTCGTAAGTGTTTTAGTCAAAATTTCTCTCGGCGCGGGTAGTCTGTTCTGATCGCCCTTGTTCTGTCAAATGCTGCGGTAACTAGCATAAGCGCCCGCGCCCGAAGACCATGCGCAACAACCACGGCGAGCGCTCCCAAGCAGCTCCTCGCCCAGAGTCCAACGAAGTTATGGGTCAGTCTGCCTATCTTTCTCCCTGTTTGCTCCATGTGACTAATTGGCTCCATTTCCCTCGTTTGTTCATTTCGCCTGCTGTTACAGCGAAGTGCTATAACTGCAACACTACCGCTACGCCCTTGTGGAGGAAGGATGACGAGGGCAAGACTGTCTGCAACGCGTGAGTCTTTTGTGTCTGCTTATGGTAATATTCGTTCATCTCCCGGAGGCTAATCCGACTGTTTGGCCTCTTCTCTCTTCGCCTTCGCCTTCGCGCCTTTGATCCACTCTCTGCCTTGTGATCCTCCGCCGCTTCTCCTTCCAATCAGCTGCGGTTTATAGTAAGTCCCTTTCCCAAGCCCATCGCCCTTCCACATCTCTTCTTCCAGAATGCTGACTTGTCTCCCTCGTGTTTCTCTCGTTCCCGTTCTGGTTGGGCTATCACCCTTCACGTTCGACTTGCGCCACAAAACAGCTTTAAGCTGCACGGTTCCCCCCGGCCCATCTCCATGAAATCCGACGTCATTCGCAAACGTTCCCGGCACGAAGCCCGCCGCGCCTCCATCAGCGGTGGCAATCCCCCCGATACGCCCTCCGCCTCCCCGGGCGCGTCCCGTCGCACTTCTCCCACCTCGGGTCACGACGGAACGAACAACTCCAACTCGCTCTCGCCGATCCTCGCCCCCGATTCGACCACGCAGATGAACGTCGGGCCCTTCGGGGGTGATATGGGAGACGCCTACGGGGATACGTACGCCGACTACGTGGATTATTCGAGGCACGGTGCGCATCATAACCAGGGACGCTCGAGCGAGCTCGTTGGTGCGCTGGGTGGCGGACAGGGTGACAGTGGTGCGATCTATGGGCCCGCTGGGTCGGACGGAGGGTTCCAGCACGCTCTGAACCTTTCGCTCGGCGGGAGTGGAGGACCTGGCTCTGCTGGTTTCCCGGGCCCCTACCATCCCGACTATATCTCGCAGATGCTCAGCTTCGGGGACACGTACAACGGGAACGGCGGCGAGAACTCGGACGTCGATTCGGATGGGCTCATGCGCAGGAGCCACAAGCGTCGTCGCATGAGTAACGACTCCGCGACCGACCCTCCTTCCTCCGCCGTCTCGTACTCGTCTTTCAGCGACTCCTTCTCGTCTTCCGCTTCCACGTCCGCGACGTCCCAGTCCCAGCGCAACTCGATGGAATTCCCCTTCTCGTCTTACTCTTCCTATTCCTCGCAGTCCTCGCACCACCATAACGGCGGGCACAACAACGGACACAACGGCCATGTCATCCGCAACAACAACGCGTTCTGGCACCCGCCTATGCTTCCCCAGGAGATGACGAGCTCGCCGCCGACGATGCATTACGATATCCATTCCAACTCGATGCAACAGTCCGTTCATCCGCCCATGCTCCTCCCCGATCAGAACCAGCACATGCACCAGCAGCACAACCAAGGCATGATGGGCGGACATGGTGGACACAGCGGACATCATCCGGGCCAGGACAGCCCGATGGATTTCTTGCACCCGCCGATGTTGCCGCCCGACGACGAGAACACGTTGTTCGCGACGTACTTGCATCCGCCGATGTCCCTGCCTGATGAGGGAGGACGTGAGCAGCAGCAGGGAGGGAACGGACAGGGCCCGCACCCGCCGATGTATCCGAGCGATTGGGGGTACGGAAGTAGCGAGAGCGTGGGGTATTAGAGGATGAGGATGACGACGACGAGTCGTGACGAGCTGCGCTCGTACACTCATACCCAGTAGAGTCGGTCGACGGCGTAGAGACGTAGAATGGCGGGAGAGGGGAGGTGATTCTGATCGTTCGGTATGGACATATCGCTGCTACGTTGCTTTCGAGTGCGCTGTCGTTCGCTGTGGACATTTTGTTGCACGCATATCATCTCCCGTCTCCCCCTCCCCTGTTTTCTCTCTCTCGTCTCCGTTCTCCTGGGCATACCTTTCTCTATCCATTCCATCTCAGCATATCGAGGAGTTTTACAGAAGTAGAGGTTCTTCTTTTTCGTCGTCGTCGTCGCTTCATCTTTTTTTTTGTTTCTTGATAGTCATGGACTTCCATACATCTTCATCTTCATCCGTCACTGCATGGGCTTCGTTTTTTTTTGTTTACTCATTGTGCATAGCATCTTTTTTTCGCTTCATCATTGTCTCACTTCTTTTTGCTCCCTTTTCTTTCTTGTTTTGATTCTCGTTATTCTTTCCTTTATCCCCTCCCCTCCCTTCCGTCTGTATAATCCCGACCCGATCCGATCCAAAGTTCTGTTCGACGTGTTCTGTACGAGCGACGAAGTCTTCAACCCAATCCAACGTACCTACGTACCACCTGCGAAGGGCTTCGCATTTCAAGCCCCATCAAATATATATTCTTTCTATTCCTTGTCTTATTTCCCGTTTGCCTTTCTCCTTCTTTATTTCTTCAACTTTAGTGTCTCTTTTTTGTGCTTTTATCGTCTCCCCTCAACCGTTCATCGCGTCGTACCTCAACTGTTCGTCCTCCCGCGTCATCGCCACATTCCTCGCCGCCCCCTCCTCCGTCTCCCCGCTATCCTCGTCACGAACGCCTCACCCACTCAAAACCCCTCCCCTCTCGGCTCCACACTCTATGCCATCCTATGCCGCCCTATGCCCTCCGTTCATCCTTCCTTGTTTCTATGCCCTTCTTTTCTGTTCTCTTTCCTTGTCGTTACCACCCACGCCTCGCTCGTGCTTACTTACTTATTGTTCCCCCGTTCAGCGCCCCCGATTTCAAAGATGTAGCCATTCTCCGACTCCTTGACTCCTTGTGCCCTGTGTGTTTCGTGCCCCCAGCCTGCTTGATCTGTTGTTGTTAGTTAGTACGTACATACTAAACTATTCGCCCCGCCCCGCTCCGTGTTCCGTGTTCCGTGTTCTGTGTTCCCGTTTCTTGTTGTTCTTGTTCTTGTGATTCAGACTTGTCGTTCTGTACATACACCCGTGCATGTACATGGCAGAAGTCACCACTTTTCTTCTTGTATACCCACCCGCCCACACCATCTACCCCATCCACAATGAGTGTTTATTACATGGTACGTAGGACGAAGCGCGAAGTGTACATGTGAAGTGCGGAGAAGAAGGGAGAAGGAAGGAAGGAAGAAGACGGAATGAAATGAATGAATGAACTCTCTGTAGCTATAGATGATGATGGAGTTGAATATACTGTTTTCGTGTGTTCGTGTTCGTGTGCGGCCTTTGTGTTCGTGTGTCCGTGGCTTGAAGGTGCTCTCCTGTCTTTGAAGCTGCCCGCGTGAGTGGCTTTGTGTGTGTGGGTGTGGCGTCATGCGGTCCTTCAAGTCCTTCGTTTGTTCGTGTGCATGCGCGTGCGACGCACCGTGCGAAACATAAATAAAATACAGGCCTTGGCCCAACTTCATACTTGTACGAGAACAACGGATATGAACGTGCGCCGTTCGATTGAAGTGTTCGAAGTCGGAGTCGGACGAAAGATCGACGCCACACCCGTCATCCGTGCATCCTTCCGAGGGCCTATCGTCTTCTCACCCTTCGCGATTTTTTCAGCCGTCCTCCCGTTTACTACGTACTGCTCTTTGTTGGGTCGGCACTCACGCTGGCAGTGCTTCGGGGCGGCCGGGGGTCAAAACTCGGTGATAAGTACGTGGAGAAGATTCTGAATTGTTCTTTACTCTGAAACCCTCTAGCTCAAGCTTCAGGCTTCAGGACTCATGCATCAGGCCTCGAAGCTTGGGTTTTTGCCTACACGGGAATAAGTACGCCGAAAAGCCCATTGTCGAGCCCCCGTCAATGCCAGCATGAATCCGAAATTTCAGTCCCGCCGGAAACGGATCGGAGGATCGGTTATAATAATAATACAAATGTGGCGGGCCTGTCAATGGGTACAGGTGCTTGGTTTAGATACGCGGCAGATTTGGAGGTGTGCGTGTGTGCGAGCTACGACACGAAGGGGTATCAGGCTCGGGAGGATTTCGGAGGGATGTTGGTGAATTGTGATTGGGACTTGGTGATGGTCGGGGCCCGGAGTCTACAAATATGCAGAGAAACACCAGAGAAATAACACGTTAAGAGAGGGAGACAGAAAAAAACAACAGGACGGGCCGAGTCCAGGTAAGTAAAGGGTTAACCGAATGGGTTACATCGAGAGTCGGAGTTGGAGGAAGGTGAATCTTGAGGGACGGAAGACCTGATGAGGTATTCATGGAAGTTGGAAGCAAACCGAAACTTCGAGGGTGAATAGGTAGCTGTGATTAAACGAGGACCTTCCTCTCCACCTCTACCGCGAGACATTGCGAGCACATATCCAGTCCAACCGCAATGCCTCAAAATTTGTAGTGCTGCAAATATAGAGAACACGAGTGGCGAATCCAGAACGTCCAGACTAGAGACCCTTTAAGGGGCCACAATGGCTCAGAATTGCTATTCTCGTCCATGGCATGTGAGAAAGGGGGGGAAAAGGACGTCCGTATCCAGCTAGCCTTGAGAAGACCATCAAGGATAGACGTCAGAACAGCCCGATGCACTGGGAATTAATGACCACCAGAGCAGTCCCTGTACCCAGTCATATATATCACATAGGTTTGAGAACCAGAAAGAGACCAAAGGTCGAAAACGAATCGCGTAATAAGACGATGGTCGGAGCAAAGGCGGGACAAGTGATTCCGACGAGGCATGTCATTAAAGGGCCAGACTCTCAAAGCGAGCACTTGGCCGTCACCGAAAGAGGATGTACGCCAGGACATGAACATCTGATTGTCAGAACTGAGTGATCGCATCGCGCCAACGAAGCCAACGAAAAAAGATAGTAGCGAGCCTTGCAGAGACAAGAAGCATCTATGAAGCCTCTGTAGCTGGTTTTCGAGGCGTAAAACACCAAGAAGAGCTCGACGTCAGATTCGACCCAGCTTGGAACGAGCAATTCGCCGACTGAGACGACCACGGGCATGGATCTACCCAAAGTAAGTCTAGCCAGGTCTTCCAACACAACAACGGCGCAAAACACCAACGGTACATACAGTGTACCCGAGCCTGGTCGTGTGGACCGTTCTCTTCTGCGATGTGGAAGGCCTAAAGCCTCGTCTGGGAACGCGAGCGGTAATCAAGAAGTCCTGTGTGGGTGGCTTTGATCGCTTTGACGAGGATGTTGGTCAGGAGTGAGATCGTTTTGCGAGAAAAAGAAGCGAGATGAGGCGGAGATGAAGGGCTGGTTCAATGGGAGGAGAGTGGCCGGACGTCATGAGTGTGTGATGTAGACGCCCTTCCTGCGCTCATGTACACCTCGTGCATAACGAAGTAAAACGGAATTGTTAGATGCTGGGAGCATGAAATGAGATGAACATATTGTGCAGCTGCCTTTAGCTTCTCTCAGAGAGGCGTGTAGGGGCGGTAGCCTAAGTGCTCGATCGGCACGTCACGATAAAGGCTGAGCCATCAAAGCAGTATAGGGACTAAGTTGAACAGGATGCTCCCAAAGGATGATGCGAGTAGCGGAAGACCCGCTCTTCCGAAGACGGAGCCCGTTGTTTGACGGCCGTAGGGAAAATGAAGTATAGATGTCGTCACCCGGAGCGGAGACCGTCTAGAGAGAAATCGGAAGTCCGAACAAGCGACTGGAAGAGCACCTGGTGCATCAAAAATGAGACATCATTGGGTCCTCGATTGTCTCACCCGAACGAAAATACATCGCATTCTCTCGAGAATTGGGAGCGAAGGAGAGCGAAGATGCAGAAAGTGTCTGGGATCCCATAACCGCCATTTCTGAGCTGCCTTTGTTCTCGATCTAGATAGGGCATGATCGTCGCTGCTGCGTTCAACGATGAGGATGCCCGTTCTCACTACACATCAAAAAAGGGGAATTAGACCAGGACCTGAAGCAGTGTATGATGCATTGGCGAAGGGTAAGGGACCAAAGTCCGGACCGGAAAAGGGATGGAGAAGAACATAAGACGCACAAGATCACCCAAGCAGAAGTAATGTGGAAACCATGCAAAGCTGTCAGACCAAACGGGCATGTTAAAACTGTTGTAGGTCAGGAACGTCCATAAGCAGTGCGGGAGTTAAACCGCAGACAGTTAGACGACAACAGGACTTGCATGGTGGTTTCATGTCCGGGAACATCTCGAATGGGGACGAGCGCTATTGTCAGCGAACACGTTTACTACGCTTGTCCTCGAGAGAAATAGACGTGTGGAGATGAAAATCAGATGCATCCACTCACGAAGGAACGTTTCATCCGAAGGCGATAGCGAGTCCCAAGGAAGGGAAGGCCGTTCTCGGACGGGGTGTCATGATCCGTGCGTATCAATGACGAGCAAGTCCGATTGTACGCGTAGCATGGGCAAGGGACGGTTGATGGATCTCAGTAAGACAGAAGTCAACATCCTCATGTTAGCAGCGTGAATGAGAGAAGACAAGAAATGGCAAGACAGGCCCACCAACACTGCGGCCTCCATTCCAGTTGAGCGCAAAGTTCCTTGTTACTGTAACCGAAGGTGAGATAGACGAGGAAGACCTGAATTGGATAAGTTTACATTATACGAGATTCAATTTGATACTGCGCAGTTTTTCTCCAGAAATTCCCCAACGATATAATGGTGGATAGAGACAAGACAAACTTCGTGTGGCTTACGCTAATAGCCGCGTGATAGCGGAGAATGCAGAACTATGGCAGGTGCCGACGCTGTGCCGCACATCGTCGCGGTCGTCCTCAACAAGCATACGCAACATTCATCTGCCCACGCCTATCTCACCTACATATACACCATGTCGTCGAGCACAAGCAAGAGAAGGGCCGAGGACAGCCCAGTAAAGAGCAAGTCGAAGAAGTAAGTCTCAAATCGCCTCCTCTTACGTTCGAAGTGGCGCTGAACGCGCTGGTAGGGCAAAACGGGACGAGGACGACGAGGAAGAGTTCGAAGCCTCAGCGTCTGAGGAGAGCGGTGTAGACGATGGTGCGTGTAGTCCTATATGGCTCGGGCGTTCTATTTCATTTGAATTGTGATTGACACATCTTCTCGGGATATAAAAGACGAACTACAGGCTCTAGACACATCCAACATCATCGCCACAGGAAGAAGGACACGAGGCATCCGCATCGACTACACGAAAGCCAAGCATCAGGTTCCAGAGGACGAAGACTCGGAGGACGAGAAACCGAAAAAGAAGAAGACCAAAGAGGTCAAGCCATCGAGTTCAAGTAAAAGCAAGCATTCTAATTCGTCCGGGGCTACTTCGTCCTCTAAGCCAGAGGTCAAAAAGCCAAGCTCATCAAAGAAAAAAGTTATAGAGTCGGAGGAAGAGGAGGAAGAGGAAGAAGAGGAAGACGACGACGACGAAGATTAGGTGACTGTTTCGTCTGTTTCTTGCGTTCTTTTCCTGTGGGGTGTAGTGCTGCTGCAACGGATGACTGGTCCTGATTCACGCACTCCTGAGTGTAGAAATGGCAGAGTGTGTAGTATCATCGCCTTGTATTAGAGTGTACAAGTAGTATATACCCGGTAGAAAAGTATGGGGCCGAACTGTTGCAAAGTCTCAGAGACTGCCGTGTATCGAACTACTCGCACTCAATAAATGACAGCCGGCCGGAAATACTGCGTTGATAAATGTACGACCCCTGTGGCGCGCCACTTTCGTTCAAGCGAACAAGTAAGGCTGCATAGGAAGCCTCGTTATAAACACAAAAGCGCTGGTTACATATCTTCGCGACCAAGAAAAGTTCTCTATGAAACGTCCGTTACATTGTCAGAGCTCTCGTAAACCTCGTCATCAACTCATGCGCCTCATCCTCAACCTGCTGGAACCTCGCCAGCCCACATACCTCGCTCTCAATGTGCTGAATCAGCCCCGACACCAACGTAAACAACCTCCTGCACTTCGGGCACTTGAACTCATCTTGGTCGTGTGCCGCAGAGTTGAGATGCCGATTGAGAGCGTGGATGGTGCGGAAGGTACCATGACAAAGGTAGCATTCATATGCATTGATTCGAGGATTGAACGCCAACTCGGTGGCTTGATAGCTAACTATGACAGAAGTTGGTGGGCCTTGAGTGAGTCGATGGGAGACGGAGATGGGGGATGCTATATTCAAGGAGCGAACGGCCGCGGTGACCTGATGGCGCGAGCCGTTGTGGCAGGCTCCTGATTCGATATGTTGGGCTATGGCGGAGGGTACCGTGAACCTGGATGAGCATAGTGGGCATTTGAGGTCTGAAGGTTTATGGACGCGAGACTGAGAATGCTATCGATATAGTAGAGTATATAAATACCACTGGCTTGGCATGGAAGATACGGAAAAGAGTGACGGCGCACCTGCTCCAAGCCTTGTGCAGTGGCGAAGTCGCGAGAGCAAACGAAACACCAGTTGTGACTGCTGCTTGCTGCGAGATGTTGAAAGAGGCCCTCCCTGTCCACGAAGACTCGGTTGCAAGAGTCGCAGAATGGATCCTCGTCGGAATCGGACTCAAACTCCTCCTCCTCGTCATCGTCGTCATATTCATACCCTGCATTGTTGTAGTTTCCCCGGTAACCAGAGTCGCTATTGTCCTGATGGACTGCAGCTGTCCTCAAGTGCTAAGGGGTTGGTCGGTATCGTGTCCTTGCTTGAGTTTCATATCATGATCGCGAACCAAGTAAAGCCTTACCTGATCCAACCCATTATCCGTCGCAAACAGCCGCTCGCACTGCTCACAGAGATGGTGGTCATACCTATCGCGACAATGCTGGAACCATGCTTCGTTGTCCTTGAACCATCGGTCACCACAGTCGGAGCAGTAAGACATAGTCGCGGGTTGTCGAAGGCTGAGCATTCATCGGCGCAATTAAGTACTGGATCGCTAATTGTGTGGCGCTATGTAAATTGCTGACCTCCCACGGTCGGCTGTCTGGAGATCATGTGCTAGCATGAGGTACGTCCACGAAAGCCAAAATGCTCCGTAATTTCCTTATAAACCATCGCGACTGCGTCTCTTACACTGTCTTACCTACTTGAGCTATGAGACACGAGGGATCCCTCGTGTGATTATATCTCTGCCAAAGGCAGAAGGTTTGGTAGGTCACGCCGTCGCCTTAGGACGGCTGGACACGAATGACCATGTCAGCGAAGAAAGCAAAAAGCACTGGGAAAACGGAAGATTCAGCGTCGAAGCAACGGCAAAGTAGAGAAAGCGCAGGGCAGAAACTTTGTGTCTTGTTCCATGTTTATCATGCCAACGCGCGGGAGTCCATACTGTTGGCAATAATGGTAGTAAGGTCTGAATACGATTGACTGAAGAGTGTTGGTTTAATAGGACATCGGAAACGGTTTAAGAAAAAGGACTGTGAACACGTGGTCTGTCACCGTTCGACTGTGATGAGAAATGCGAACAGATCCAGAGCTTGGCTGATAACTCACTTGCTATATTCCCGCCATAGTATCCCATTTCAATCATCTTCATCCTCCACAAAAACCTCGGGCACAATCTTCCGGATTTTCTCCAGGGTTTCCTCCGATATCGTACAGTCCGTGAGACAAAGCCATTGGACTCGACAGATCGTTTGAGTCCTTGTGCACAGCATGGATACTAAGTGATCCTGTAGCTCAGGAGTCAATCCGCCCGGGTACCAGGTGAAATCGATGTCTTGAATACGAAGGTGCGTCAATTGTGGGAATGCGGACACAGTGGATAGGCCTGATTCGGTTTGATTTGACTTGTGGGAAAGCAATCTAATAACTTCGAGGGGACGGTGGGAGAACTCCAGGTATTTGATGGATGGTAAGCGAGAGAGCACTTCCCAGACACCCGGGTACCCCCCTGCCTTCCGGACGATGAGCATCTCGATGTCGTTGAAGGAAAGCTTTTGAATAGCATTGATGATACATGCTATGCGATCATTAAAGGGTGACATGGGCGGATGCAGCCTGAGGGCGAAGGAAGGAGGTCGTACCGCGAAAGGAGCAAAGTCGGGACGGTCATTGGTCCAGCGAATCCGTCGTGAGGTCTCAAATAATATGGTGCCTGGTAGCGAATTATTCTTGACACCGTGACCAATACTGAGGACACGGAAAGGTAGGTGGCGTAAGGCGACTTTCGCGGATACAGCAGCGTACAAGGTATCGTGATCATCTTCAGGTGTCTCGGCACGCTCTACGAGAAGTGTGACTGCAAGGGCCACGGGATTTTTGAGAAAAGAATTCAAGAGAATTGAACAACTGGATGCGGACCCATGGAAAGTGAAATACTGCAGATTGGGAAGTTCGAGGGAACGGGTGCCAGATGGCGGGTGTATCACTGGGAAGAACACGGAGTTGATCTCTAGAGAGCGTAATTCTGGATTACGTTCCAGCAGGTCGAGAAAAGGGTCCATTGAACGTGACGCCTTTGAGCCATACACAACTAGGCAGTGAAGGTTGCGGATAGCCGGGACCATCCAGTCGCCCTCAACGTACGGCAGTTCCAATGAGCGGAATAAAGGTGCATTTCCTGCCAGGAAATTAGAGGGTATGGATATTGGATGCCCGAATCCGGTATGGCTGATGTTCAGTGCACGTAGGAATGGCGCCGGCCGGCATAAGGTCGATAGAGCGGTATCGATGGAGGACGGTAGGAATCCGTTTAGTTCGATATGTTTTACTCTGTCCAGGTGTTCGCGCAGGATGTCGATGACGTTCTTAGCATCTGCTATGGCTGACCGATTGGACTGAGGAGCGGCTCCTTTGAATGCCAAACTATGCCAAATGGTCAACGGTCTGCCCTTGGATCTGATTACCATCTCCGAAACCCATCTTGAACCCAGAGAGAAAGCAGGCGCGGCCCATAACGAGGACATACTCAAAGCAAAGTCTCTCCAATGGTGACACACATGTGTCACGGTTATCCAACCAAGATCTTGGCGGCCGGATGGAGGATGAGCGTCGGCTAAAATCGTGAAGCATTCTGCTAGTAATTCGACAGGAAGCAAGGATATGGGAGCCACTGAGTTGAGCTGAGACTGCATCAAAGCGATGGCATGCTTCATCGCATCAACTTCGCCGTGGATCTTTTGTCGAAAAATTTGAAGCACGTCCGGGTGAGTACGAGCAGATATGTCCTGAGCACTGGGTATTCGAGCCTGTGATGCGAGATGCCAATGGCGTCTGTCACGATAGATGCTGCGGTTAGAATAATGTTGATAATTCGACGGGAAGGCGGTCATGGTCACCTAGGTTCCGACTCCATGCCATCACCATTGATCATGATCTAGAGTCAAGTCAGTAAGCACGTTTATAAATTAAAATCGACATGTTCACGACTCACCCCGAAAGAGACACGGCTCGGACGACGGTGGTGGGAGGAGCAACGTTGGAGCAACGACTCAACCGTTGGCGCGTCGCGTTTTGCCCGGGCCCTTCGGCACGTAGGTCGCATCCGGAGTTCGTGTCACCGGCATGCTCCGGCCGTTCCTCCTGCTAAAATTCGTCTTCTGATGAACGACTATATCACTTTTTCGTTCGTGGGGCCCTATTTATCGGGCTCAGGACTGGACTCGGTCTGCTGGATGATAATGACATCGGCGCCAAAAATATTTTTCACGGCTTTCCTGGATGTAAGTATGGCTTTCATCGGACATTCTAAGGCGGAGAAGGGATGAAGACTCGGACGCAGACGAGAATGAAATCTCAGGATATAAAGGATACTACTGCAACCACGTTGGCCTTTTAAGGACCGAGAGTGTGATTCTGGTCACTAGCAGCATGTGAATAGGTGGGTGCATATATGATGAAATATAAGTAGGAAAGATGAGGGCGAGTTAGAGCTCTAGCGTGGATTTAGTAGAGTAAGAGTAGAACGTGTCGCCAAAGATTTAGTCGTAACACCGAAAGTTATAATGGGCATAATTTAACCATTAGAGGGATGCGTACGGTAACGAGTTTTGAAAGGAGTAGATGTGGCCCTCCCGTTACATTTTTTTCTTTGGATTGAAGGGTGAATCAACTCTGCTTAGACTCAAGACATTAAACTACCTCAGTGACGGAGCCCCAGGAGCTCGCAGGCTCGGGCTATAATCCGAGAGAGAACGCATAATATTAGTATACCTCATCCGCCATAACTGAGCATAAAGCAGGTAAGATAAACACGACGACTCACAGCGACACTCCAATTTGTCGCTATCTGGCCATAGCCATTTGCACGTTCCAAGTCACGAGTCTTCGTCTTAGATTGCGGACGTGGGCTTTCCGGGAATCGTTTGCTCCCGTTGGCCCCTCGATTAGAACCGGTGTAATGACTATCCCGGGGGGGATGTGTACCCTCGGCGAGGTAGGTGTCGCTTGTGATATAACTTGTGGGAGAAGGAAGGGAAGTGAATTTGAACTGAAAACACCCGAGGTACGGCACATAGTCAGTTATCCCAGGCTATCATATATATCCAGAGGTGCGAAGGAAAGAATCAAATGTGGGGCGTACGAACCACGGGATCCAACGTAGCCAATTGCTCAGACTCTGCCGTATCCTCCGTCGTGGAAGTATATCCTACAGCCATGGATTGAGATTGAGGACCGGACAAAACGTTTCGATGGTAAGTGCGGAGGTCATTCCGCCGGTTGAGAGTTGTAATGAGACAGATGAAGTAGGCTGTATCAGCGTACACGTGTGTCTGTGAGTGGAATAAACGCTATGGATGTGGATAGAGTGACTCACACCGCGAAAGAAGGAAAAAGAATCCAATGTAAGTCTCTCCAGCCTTCGACATGACTGCAGACTGAGGAGAGGGCAGGTCAACATGAGTCTGAAAGAGAGACTGAACTGGATAACCTACTGTGACGAGAATGATCAACGCAAGTATACTGCCAATGCAAATAGTGTTATATAAAGTGGTCGCTGAATAATGTTTCACAGGTTAGGAAAAAAAATGAAAATACCTAGTCACCATTCCGGTGGTAACCGTATATATGATTAAGCTTGTGACGAGCGAGTCCGTCCTGGCAAAGGTTGAGTCAACTCAGTCACGTTAGAACAACCTGACGGAACGTGAAATAGATGCACTTATTCAAGACAGATCCTCTCCTTGATCTCCATAACAAGAATATCATCAACAGAGAAATAACCCAGTCCGACAGGAGTATAGAGCTCAGGAGGAGGTACAAGACGGTCTAGACCATGGAAGGAGTTCAACGATTTTCGTATTCCTTATTGATATATGGCGTGTGATACGTACTGAAAGCTGGTATTCCTGAGAGAAATGCGGTAGGTTCAGACTGTAACAGAGGCCGAAGTGAGAACAGGGACAGGACCGCATGGTTGATCCGAAAAAGTACACTCACGTCTTGACAAAGAGATCTATTCAGCAGCACTTTCAGTGCGCGGTGACAGGTTCAGGGAGCAACGCCTCTGAAACCAATGCGACTCACATAGGCCGTCCACTGTTAAGAGACAGATAGATCATCGTAAGCGAAGGGCAACGACAGCGACTGGATGAAACAGCAGCGAAATGATGCTAGCCTATAGTCAATACAATGGGCACTCCCTACATCGAGGCATGAGAAGTCATATGGGGGTGAGCTCATGATTCAGCATGGCTGAATGGCACTCGGTAGACGTACCGCTGCTACCGTCATGATCCACGATCTATTGCTCACTACAAGCAACGACGTTGTAAACAATACGATCCGTATAAAAACGAAGCGACGTACTTCTCCATATTCGTTCGCAATAGAACCTATACGCCAATAACCGTGAGTTGATACAATTAGGGTAAAAACAACGGATAGTGGTACGGACCCTCTGACCAACGTATCTGAAATAGTCTATCCCCGAAAGTGTCACCCATAGATCGAGAAAACGTCGGTCACGTAGCTTTATAGACTCAACAATGTGTACTCACCGTCAACAGCACCATCGCCTGCGTTACATCATAGGTCGGTCCACGGACTCGTCAGATAGCTACCCATCCCACATCACCCCAACATTGGCGATACATACCGTGATTGGCCTATTCAACGTACAGGTCAGAGACGAATTGAAAGGTGGGCTCCGATGGCGAATCACACGATAGGTACACAAGTGCCTTCTCAAAGGACAAGACATCAATGCAGCGAAGAGGGTAGCTCACCAAGGGACAGGATTGTTATCTATATTTATGGTGCCCTCTTGTATGCCACCAATAATGAGGATATGCACGGATTGGTACACACCAAACAAGTTGAGGACGGTGTTGACGGTGTTAAACACCCTGCATAGATTCATCAGAGAAGATCAGGCATCGCAATTGCAGTGGAGTAGAACTGCCAGAGGAAGAGGCTGTACCAGAGAATCCCGACCTGCAGAAGACGAAAATATTGGAACGCGTCAATGTCTACATCCCCGGACAATCCTTCTAGAATTTGATAGGGGTTTGAAACTCGAGTGACTCACCAACACTTTCAAACGCATAGAGTCTCTTGGATAAGTCGAGTAGTATGTGAACGTCTGTACAAGAATCACTCCGTAGAGTCTGATAACGCAAAGATCTCCAAGAGAAGTATTGGCCGTCGCAAGTTCAAGTGTCGCAATATTGAAAAGCAGAGCGCAAGAAAGAGATATAGTGAAGTGAACTTACACAGCGCCTGCTATTTCACCGCCATACCTCGCTCCGATTGTGTTACTGATAGGATCAGTGCCGATAGGGCCTGCCATTCTTGAGAGAGTGAAGAGTAGGAGGAGGAATGGCCGGCCGGCAGCGAACAAGACGTGAAGTGACGAGATGGTACGAGGAGGAGGGAGGAGAGGATAAAGAGACGTCTCCGTGCTTCGTGAAGATGGTGGTTCACGTCTAAGTCTGAATTGAGATAAACGAACTCGGAAGACGTTCTCCACCGACGCTGTTCGTATGCAGTCCGACGCTACTGCAGCGGCCAAGTCCACGCACAGCCTAAGCGCCCAAGAAGCTGTGTCTGTCGGACTACGATGCCCTCGTCGCTCCGAAAAACTCGTTGGTCGCTTGTCGTGGCATATACAAGATACCATTTGAAACTCGTCCGCCGCATCTGAGGCCCAGAAAAATATCCAAATCGAGTGACCAAGACCAAGCTTGGGGAAGGTGTCTATCTCGACGACGAGATTTAGCGCCTGTCGGAATTCAACGTGCTCAACTTGATAGCGGCAAGCGCTCTGCAACGGAAATCCCGGACATAATTAGGGGCAATCATAGAAACATGCTCCTCGAGGTAAACCGGGCACAATTGTGAATGCTGGACCAGCGTCCTCGTACTACGCCGCACCCGGCGAGCAAAATGTGATAGGTTTCGAGACGCGACCTTATGCCTGTCCAAGATTTGTCGCTTTTACGGCGGGTTACACTGATCTACAACAATGTTTTACGGCTCGGCTTCTCGCTTTCTATGTTCACATACAATTCAGGTCTGCGGGAAAGCTGACCATCAGCACGACAACAGCGAAGTTAGGCGTCATGGCGAGAATATTCGTACCTCTACGAGCGCTTCACCTCGTACTTCTCCCAACCGACTTCTTCGAGTCTGTCTACCTTCGTCAAAACTTCGCTCTCCAACCCATTCAGGTAGGCCTCCATCTCTCCAACGAGACTAGGTATGCCAGCGGAAAGAATGCGCACTGCGAGCAATCCCGCGTTCATCCCGTTGTTGATCGCCACAGTGGCAACGGGAATGCCTCTCTGGAGACAGCGCCACACCGAATCAGCAAAAATCGGACGGATACAACGTACAAGAGACGAGATACTAACCGGCATCTGCACAATGCTGTGTAGCGAATCGACACCGTCCAATGAACTTCCTTTCACCGGTACTCCAATGACTGGCAACGCGGTCATGGCAGCGACCATTCCTGGCAAGTGCGCCGCGCCGCCCGCGCCAGCGATGATGGTTCTAAGGCCCCTCGACGCCGCCGATCTGGAGTACTCAACCAACCTATCCGGGGTACGGTGCGCCGAAACAATCGTGAGCTCGTAAGGGATCCCGAACCGATCAAGAATACGCGCGGCGGGAAGCATAACAGGAAGGTCTGAGTCCGAGCCCATGATGACACCAACGAGAGGATGTTGGTGCGAAAAGCCTGTACCGGGTGCAGGTGGTGGAGGGGCGTACCGCTGAACGTCAGACGGCGCGTCGGAGCCTGGAAGAGCCTGAAGGAGTGGGCGCAGCCTGTCGCGCAATTGTGCGTCGGACTCCGCGACGATGGTGATGTGGCCCATTTTCCTGCCTACGCGGCACTCCGACTTCCCGTAGAGATGAACGCTGGCACCGGGAATGGTCAGAGCCGTGGAGGCAAAGTTGGTGAGCTCGGGCATGGACGATGATGTACCGAGGAGATTGAGCATTGCGGTGGAAGGAACTTTGAGGGAGGTGGAACCCAGAGGAAGGGAGAGGATGGCCCGGAGATGATTCTCGTATTGTGATGTTTCGCAGGCTTCGATGGTATAGTGACCCGAGTTGTGTGGTCGAGGCGCGATTTCGTTCACAATGATTTGCCCTGGAATACCCGTCGGTAAACTGAGAGGAAAGGAGCGGAATCGAACGTACCATCTTCAAGGAGGAACATTTCGACACCGAATACCCCTGCGCCACTCAAAGATTTGACAGCAGTCTCTGCGACCGTTTTCGCTCGGGCAAAGAGAGTGGAGTCGCGGGTACGGAGTGGGGCGAAGACAAGGTGACAGATGTTATTTTTGTGGACAGTTTCGACAACGGGGTACGAAACGACATCGCCACTTGTAGTCCGAACAACCATTACGGCGATCTCCTTCGTAAACGGTACCCATCGTTCTGCGTACAGAGGCCTGTCGCCCAAAAATGATATCGCTTCCTGTGCTTGTGAGAGTTCGCGAAGGACAAAATTTCCCCGGCCATCATATGCCAATGTCTTGCTTTTCAGCATCAGAGGGAGCCCGAGGCTCCGTGCGGCAGAGGTAACGGACTCGATTGTGGAATCGACGGATATCGATTCGGCGACGGGGGTTCCGTGTTGTTGTAGATGCTCCTTTTGACGGAACTTGTTCTGGATGATACGGATGGTCGATGGACTAGGATGTACTTCCACCTTCTGCGTTTTCTGGACCTCCTCCAACACCTCTGCATCGACATGCTCGATCTCCACTGTCAATACGGCCACCTTCGAGGCAAGCTCCCTGATCTTTTCTGGGTCAGAAAAAGAGCCGTTTATATGCGACCGTGATGGGTCAGTGGCAGAGAGGATTTGTTTGGCAGGGCCATGGTCGCCAGAGTCGAGGATAACGACGTTGACATTGAGAAGAGATGCGGCGGCCACAAGCATTCGACCAAGTTGGCCTCCACCTAGAGACCAAACATTGGTTCAAATAATCGCAAAAGAGTAGGATTCAAAGGGCTGTATAAAAGACACTACTTGAGTAAATTTGTGGATAACCGAGCACGACTGAATAACCTACTCCCACCTAGTATTCCGACTGTTCTCGAGTCCATGACCGCCTATTTACACAAGGGGATGAATGGTCTAAATTTTGGCGTATGGTGAGCCATCGATGCGGGAAATGGGTGTATACAATCGGAACATAAACGCTTACCCTTGCAAGAGGAATAGAGAGGGAAGTAAGGAGGATGGCCCAGAGAGGAGAACTTGAAGTCGAAAAGCCTGTTGATCTTATCACTGCTAGGTCGATAAGTATATAAAGATCTAATCTAATCAGTGTGCAACATTTGATGCCACACCCAACTCCCTTGATTTAAAAATCCGCTCTCTGAATAAACACAGGCATCACGAAACGCGAATTCATCTCATACTTATGAAGTGGATTATATAAACGTCGGTGGGTGGTCAGACTAAGCCTCTGGTGAGTGGTGGTTGAAAGGTGCGTCTGATTGACGAGGCGCGCAGTAGCAGGTACATTTCCATTCATGAGTCATGAGTCGTAAGTCCGTATTGAATGCGCACAATGAGACGATAAAGTACAGTACAGAAGAGCAACCAAACCAACCCACCTCCAACCCGTAGATTCGACCACCGCTACTTGGTAACCAAAAGGCCACCTAAACCTGACTAACAGGCTCATACCCACCCCTCCTTCCCATTCCACCCATAAGCCTCTCCCTCAACCTCTCCCTCAAGCCCTTCCTCGCCCCACCATTCAAACTAACCCCATCAACCTCCCCTTCCTCCTCCCTCCTCCTCTTCGCCTCTCTGAAGCCCTCTATAGGCACCTCATAAAGCCTCTCATACTCCACCCCAATCTCCCTCCCCACCGTCCAGAAATCTTTACAATTACTGACTATACCCATATCGAATGGATTGCTTGCTTTTGACGCACGTGCGAGGCCGGTGGTTGCTTTTCCCGTCGTGAACCGGTCGAGGCCGAGCAAATGAAGAAGGAAAGACGAAGAAGAACCACAGGCAGAGCAAAGCCCTTTATTCGTATGTCTGTGTCCCGCATGCGAATGTCCATGCGTATTCTCAAGCCCTGCGCCTTCGCTCAATAATCCCTCTTCGGGCGTTGCCTCGCCAGAAGATGGTGGCGTGGCTGTCCCGGACGCATGATTGTGTCGGTGTCCCATCTGTCCCGCCAGACTCGCTCCCCCGCGGCCGCCCATGAAACCGTACCGTCCAAGGTTCGAGACTTCGAGCGTCGTCATTTGGCGGGCGATCTGCCAGTACTGTGAGGCGAGGAGGACGATGGTCCAGACGAGCTGAAGTGTTGCCCAGATGGTTACGGCAAAGAGGAAGGGATCGGTGGCGGGGAGGGTGCAGATACTGGTTGGGAGGAGGCAAGACGATGATGGGGGTAATGGAGGGAGAGCAGAGAAGTCTGAGTGATACGGAGAGTTAGTGGATGGAAAAACTCGGCGCAGTTAGACTCACAGGCGAAGGAAAGGTAGTCGAACAATATAATGCCGATAACAAGCATGGTCACGAACATCACGAACTGTCGGTGGTTGTGTACGCCCACTGTCATGATGAAGTCAGTAAAAAGTGTTTCGACTCGCTCGTTGGATCACGCTTACCGCAATTCCACACCCATGGGCAATGACTGTTCACTGAGGTGAGTATGGGCTCAGAAGCTTTCGATGACAGTACTCACTGGTCAGATCTCGCGATACACTTGTCACATATACGACAGTGCTTCGACCTGAGTGGTTTGCGGGCCTACAAAGAACCAGAACAGTCAATACAATTTTCTCTGGAGTCCAACGACGTGGTCACTCACCATACACGAAATGCAGAATGTCTGGCCATTCAACCTTCCCTCCGACGCCAGATCCTCAATGACTGATTTGAGCTCTGCATCACTCGCTGGCGCGGGACATGACCCCGGATCGAGCGTCATGGAGCGGAAAAAGTTGTACGCGCATAGACCAAAGGCCAAGGCGAAGGTAAGGTGACTGAAAGGGTGAGACTCGGTCTCTGAGTAGTCGCAATGTAAGCACCGTTACGTTGTAAGACAAGGACCAGAAACGTACGTTGAATGAGTCGTGTGGCCCAGCCATACGCGACCCAGATCATAGAGGAGAAGATGATGCCTGCGAAGTAGGGACTCGCAGTGACGCTGTCGGTATACGTCGGGCGGTTGAGAAGGACACGGGTGACAATCTGTAGTGTGGCGTCAGCGTGGAGCGATAAAAAGGTGAGAAGAAGTGCAGTACGTGATGCATTCCAAAGAACTCGGCCATAGCAAGTATGATGCCAGTGTACCAGGGGAGGATCGTGAGGGTCGTGAATATGAGGAAGAGGAAGAATGTAGGCAAGGTGAATATTGCAAGCTTTGTGTTGCGCTCGCTCAGCGGTTTGCTTCTCTTTCCACCGTCCTCCGTGAAGCCCCCCTCCTCGAGCGCCCTCTTCCACGCGCCAAGACTCTTCAACTCCACCGCCATATCCCTCGCCGTCCTGCCCTCTCCATCCCTCGCGCCGAGCTCTGCTCCCTTCTCAATCAGCCTCCGTATGCACATCCTGTTCCCTCTTACTACCGCCCAGTGTAATGGCGTCAGCCCAGAGTCGTCCTTTGTGTTCGTGTTCGCCCCATGCTTCAGTAACAAATCCACCGAAAGAGCGTCTCCCTGGTACGCCGCCCACATCAGCGCTGTATGTCCGTTACTGTCCCTCTCGTCCACGCTTATCGGTTGATGCAAAAGGTAGAGCAGCGGCATGATACTGCTTGAATGTGTAACGAGATGTAAGGTGTTGTACCCCTGCGAGTCCTTGATGTTTGGGTCGGCGCCGTGAGCGATGAGGAGTTGAATGACATAGAGGTAGCCACCGCGGGCTGCCCATTGCATGGGTGTCGCAACAAGGTCTCCACCAAGAGCATCGACTTCGGCACCCTGGTCGAGTAGATAGCGACAGGCCGCTACTTGAGCGTTTATGGCTGCCCAGTGAAGGGGTGTGATGTTTTGCGAGTCGCGGTCTGTGGCGCGAGCTTGACCGGACTCGAGGAGTGAACGGAGGACGTCAACATCGCCACGCTGAGCAGCAACAAATACATTCTGCTGCAGCACGAAATCATCATCGTCAAGGTTGAGCAAGAATAAGACGGACTGCGGGACGCACCTCGGGCTCTGACGTAGTTCGCACCTGGGAAGCAGGTGCGGAGAAGTCTCCGGCTGCTGCAGTAGCAGCCGTCACAGACGACGCGGAAGGCTCGCTCTTACCGTTCGCCGTGTCTGTCATAGTTATATTTGTGTCGTGGACGTCGTGGTTGACGGCAAGGAATGCGTAGTGGCCGTGGTGGACGCCGGTTGCTGTGCGACAGAGCCTCGCGCGGGCCACTCAACTTCTAAATATAGCCGCATGCTGGCGTGGCGGCTAACAGCTCAGTGTGGCGCCCCTTTTGTTCTGAACCACGTCCATCATGGCGAACACATATCAGATTTCTTTCGTCTCTAATGGGATTATCGCAGCCATGAGGTATTTGTTTCAGTGTCTGCTACCAAGTTTGAATTGTCTGACGAACTGACTTATGCCAGGATCACATTATTCTTCTCATGTCGCCGATTCCTTCTCGGGAATCTGAACACAGATATTTCAGAGACTTCACGGACAAGTCTAAGTCTTGACGGAATCCCTCTCTCCAGTCTCCCAGAACCATCTACCACACCCAGACGACAACGCTCTTCATCCATGACCGGAAAGAAGTCGTGGCAAGCGTCCCTCCCAAGGACCTTATTCTCTTGCTGCTTCTCGGAATGCTGTATGATGTTCGTGATGTTGATGTGTCAAGGCTTGGGCGTTTTTAGTACAGTGTAAGTGGTCGACCATAATTGATGGTACTGGATAGTTTATAACGGCTGTATTGAATCCCACAGGACACGCTTTGGGAGCTGGCAAGCGTCCTTGATCATCTTGCTGTCCATCATCCTCGTCCTTATACCACTGTCGCTGAGCTTCATTCTCACTTCAGTGGTGGGAACCAACTCTTCCGGTGAGACTTTGACCATTTCTTGTTGTGATCGATTGGTAGAATTGGGCCACACTGTGGCACCACCTACACTTGCCTATACTTGCACGGTCGGATGAATGTCGTTGCCAACGACATTGAAGAGTCAGGCATTCGCCTCGCGCGGTTCTCATATGTAAACTGGATATCTATTCTGTCCACTATTTGAGATGCTTTTTGACCCATCCTATGGGGGTGACGTGACCCTGTTGTCTAAATACTCCCGCTACTCCGGCAATCTTCCTCTACGCTCTCATGTTAAGCGCTAACAAACTCTTCTATGTCCTCCAGTTCTTCTCTCCCTGTCCCGCCTCTCCCTGTCCCTTGTACCCCTGCTGCTCTACTTCCTTCTCCTCTCGTACATACCTCTCCCCGCAGCGCTGTTTGATGCCCCCTCACCATCCTTTTTTTCGAACATCATAACACCCGCCCTCGCTCGCCTCACCATCCTCGGAACCATCATTCTCGGTGCTCTGAGCGGATTCGGAGCCGTCAGCGCCAGTTGGGGATATTTCCCTTTTGGGTGGGGCAAGAGAGGGTACGTGTCTTACCCCGTTTTCGTTGATTTCATTGCTACAAATGTTACACCTTATACGGTGATATGGGACTGACATTTGATCTTTCGTCGTATATAACACAGGAAAATCCCGACAGAGTCAGACATCGACATCGCCACACGAAGCCTCGAACGCGTCGAGCTCGACATAGAGCGTAAGAAGAAGGATATAGAAAGAGAGGAGAGGAAGGAGATGGAAAATAAAACCGTACGTTTCCTTCACTTTCCCTAGAAATCATTCCTGCGATCCTATTCTGACACAGGACGAACGCTCAGAATGGTAATTCGAGTTCGTGGCTCTCTCGAGCAGCGTCTTCTATCCGGGGCGACAACGGTGCGTCCCATTCACCACCGCGCTTCCCTTTCCTTGCATCTAATTGCATTGTCATCTCACACGATCGCTCAAAACAGAGCTCGCCAACCTCAACACCGAACTCTCCTCCCTTCACGACCTCCAACTCTCTATGTCCACTCGGCTCTCCTCCCTACGTGCCCGCCGAGCCGAGGTCGCATACGAGAAGACATGGGTAGGAAGAGTCAGCGTACTCGGCCAAAGGGGCATGGGCTTATACTGCGTGTTCCGTGGCTTTAGCGTACGTATTATTCATTTTTCCTTCGTCTGGGAGGCGGAGACGGGCAAATGGTGAATATACTAACGATTGTTTCTGCTCGGCCGACAGTCCATATTCAACATCCTCCTCCCTACCCGGCCTTCCTCCCCAGACGACTCGACACCGATTTCCTACCCTGACATCCTGACCCACATCCTAATCACCCTCTTTCCCTCCCTATCCTCCTCTGACTCCTTCCTCTCCGCCGCAAATATCACGTCTGTCATGCGTCAACTGAACCTTCTCCTCGTGGGCGTCATCATAGCGGGAAGTGTTCGGCGAGTACTCAAAGGCGTCGCTCGAGCGCTCAAGTTGAGCGGGAACGGAGTGGGCATAGGTGGGAGGAAGGAAAGGGAGAAGGTGGGACAGATTGTGATCTTAGTGCTCGGTGAAGTCATGGTACGCTCGCCCCCATCTCTCCCCCGCCCCTCTCTCATCATCAAACTCGCACGAGAACTAACCGCACCTCCGGAAACAATCTCGACAGGGCATATACCTCCTCTCGACCCTGATCCAACTCCGCACCTCCTTCCCACCTCCCGCAGTCCCCGCCATCCGGATCCCCACGGGCGAAGTCGACCCGTCACAGGGCGAGATCACCAATCTCTTCAGCACCCTCCCAGCATACGAGATCTTCGGCCCTGTGTTCGATTGGAGCTTTTTGCTGAGTGTCGTGTTGGCAGCGGGTGGAGAATGGGTTAGGGAGAGGTTCATGGGCGGTGGCGGGGACGATGATTGAGCGGGCCATCGTTGGCAGTGGAGCAGTTTATTTATGTAGGTGTCACTGTTCATGGCAGTGCGGATAACGAATAGATCAATTCCAATTGTACACGACAACAAGGACTTTTTCATGGACTATAATTAATACCTTAACCAAAGCAATGAAATCCCACGCTTCTTACATTTATTTCTACTTTGACGTTCATACAGGTCCGACTAGCAAGACAACTATTCTCGCTTTACACGATCCATGTCTATCAGCCCAACCAGTCTGTCACTCCCGCCTTCACGAACCTCTCCACTCCTTCTCCAATCGGTTCTTCTCCACCTACAAGATCCATCACGAGCCCCTTTGCGTCCGAAATATCGATGATCTTCGCGATCAAGGCTGCAACATCTTCTCGCTATACCGCGCACGCCACACAACCGAAAGAGACGATGGCAGAATTGACCATCAGCTTTCCACTCAATCTACCTTTGAAAGAGCCTATACTTACCGAAATCGGAGGATACAAATGTGTCCTCCCGATGCCCGCCTTCCCCGTTGCCTTCTCTTCCGTCAAACCTCCAGGATGGAGGATGAACCAGGGGAAGGACGTGCGTGCCGTCAGGTCCAGGTCGGCGAGGTATTTATAGTGGAAATATATGCCTAGGGCTGCACGCATGCGGCGGGAGACATCTAGGTCTTTCTCGTTCTTGGTGTAAAGAGCATTTCAGTGTTGGTGAATGTGATCGAAGGGGAAGAAGGAAAGACAAGGACAAGAGCGAGGAGTGGCGAGGGCCACAGGGGCAATGACGTAAGTGCATTGTGGCAGATATCGATTTAATTAAGTCGAGGAATTTTAGTGTACATTATAATGAACAACAACGCTCGTCCGGACAGGATAGGAAGAAACACATAAAAATGATCTGGCAAAAACACTCACATAATGCTTCGGAATCACGTCCGGATTCCTCACATCAAGCGCACTCACAAGCACCAACTTGGGTCTTCCCTTCCCTCCCTCAGGCAGGCTCTCGATCGCATCGAACACCTTCACTGCTCCTTCGAAATCCACGGCCTTCGTCCTCTCTGCCCCACCCGCAACTCCCGCCGCCGCAGAGAAGACAACGACGCCCGCATCGGCGTCCTTGAAGGCCTTAGTAAAGTCGGAGACGGACGAGTCTTCGATGGACAGGACGAGAGGTTTGATATTGGGTGAGATGGCTTCAAGCTCCGGGATTTGGGCGGCGTTGCGAATTATCGAGGTTACTGAGTGCGTAGATCCGATGATGGATTGAAGCTTAAGGGAGACCTGTCATGCAGTTGGGAGACGATAAGCCTTGAGCTAAGTATTCTGCGGAAAGATTGTAAGTGTTATAGACCCTGCCATGACCACCGACAATGACCACGTTCTTCGTTGGCATTCCTGAGGTATTACAAGGAATATAATCTGAATGGACTAGAGGACAAGGGAGCAATGAGGGGATTTCGGACCTCAAAGAATGTGTGGGTCCCGGAGGGAGGAATGTGCCACACCAATGACCAAGGATTTATTACGCCACATCGCGTGACCCTCCGGTTTTGTTTGGTCCAATTTGGTGACGGTCTGCGTTGGCGGCCACTTTTTTTTTTGTCGTCGACGTCGTCGTGCTCAAGCTATTATTCCGGGCAACGTCGGTCGCATCCATGTGGGCGTGATATTAATAGTGCTTGCGATCTCATCGCGCATGGATGTTTGAGTAAGGACAGCTCAGATTCCGAAGGTACGCTCTACTCATACTTTCCCCCACATCCATCGCCATCCTTTCTGCATATGATGTCCGATCAGAATCGCATTGAGCGCGGGGCTTTCATAGTCTCGTGCATGAAACGATTTTACGTGCTACTGCACTCTGACTCTTTTCGTATCTCTGTTATCTTGGTCGAAGTGCGCTGGTGCTGATCTACTTCTCTATGCACAGGTCCAAATCTTCGACGCGATGTCTATAAATGTTTAGCGCACCCATAGTTGAGAGAAGATAGACATAGTAGTGCTATACGAATGTGTGCATCACCATGTAAACAGATGGCACAATCAAATATCAAACGGATGAACGTGCGTAATCTCCAGTCTCCGCGCAGCCAGGAAATCCCGTGGAAACTCAAGATTGGAGTCGTACATGACCTCATTGACATACTGTTCAATCCGGGAGATACCAGGATGGTTTCGTAGATCATCAACAGTGTGGCAGTGTAGATGATTGAGTGCTATTCCACGCTGGGCTCAGTCTCTAATGAATTTCAGGAGGGGAGAGAGTTCCAGAGGTCAAGTAAGGGGAGCGAGCATGTGAAGAGTAATGGGGACACGGGCAAACCGCTATTCGTCGAGGGATGCACAGTGACGTAGAACTTGTTCCCATATTTCCCTTGGTGTTGCTGACTCGGGTTCGACCGTCAATGGAGATGATCGATGTTCCCGTGTCCCCGCTTCCCCCACGCTTCCAACCCACGGTTGGTCTTGTGCCCACCAGCCTTGCATTTCAGGGAATCGGGCCGTTCTCTCGCAAGCAACATATCACCGGAGAACAGCTCCCTCTTATCATGTCAAAGACAGGAAACCCCGAGTCGCTGCCGGGCGTTTGTGCTGTTCTCATCATCCACTCATCGTTGTGCTCGCGCTTTCGTCGACAAATCCAGTCCATCTCTCATCACATACTGATGATTCGCCCTGAACAGATCAATGCGCCTGTACACGTGTATCACATTTGGTCCAAAACCTTTTGCAGCCTCATCATGTAACCCCAAATCAGATGATGCTGCTACGAATCCTCATCAGCGGTATTCACCGGTGCTGAAACAGTAGCACGGCGATGAAACAGTGGCACGGCTTGTCATGTTTGCCCTCGTTTATTCTGCTTCCATCATGTTCAGCCCCATCCCTGATGACGGGCCAGTCGGTTTATAGGCTCGTACGAGCAGTGTTCACCAGCGCCAACCTTACCGCCCTCTTATCCAGGATGAGCCAAGTTATAAATTTTAATCCTGTTGCCATCTCCTCTGCTGCATACGCTCAGAAATATCTCTCAGGTTCGTCCGCTTTATCATGGCAATTACTCATGTGAGTGAGATAATATCTCGGTTACAGCAATCGGTCTAGCCGTCCTTCTCTACGACCACCTCCTTACGCTACCTCAGGAGTGGATGATTATGTCGTCAAGGTCCAGTATAACACCGACAAAGGTTCTGTTTCTGTTTTTGCGGTATGGCGTGCTTGCGTGCCAATTGATGGGTGCCTATGGTGCGTCCGTCAGGCTCTCTAATTCCTCCCTTCTCATTATCTCCGTTGTTTCTCCATCAGTGATAAGTGGCGCTGTAGATACTATGTCAGAACTGGTGAGTTCGCAGACCATGCACCGTCTCCCGACTTTGAAGCTGATAAAGACCATGGAATATAGTTGTGAGTGTCAACCTGATCCCTTCAATATACGATATAACAGAGATGTGAATTGAAACTGTGTAGTTGCAGGCGGTGGTTCTTATCCACAAGCCTAATAGGAACCATCTCTCTCGGAATGGCGGACCGTCAGTATTTTGTAAAGACTGTGTTTTACCGAAATATTGACTGTTTCACTCTAGTTATTATGATTAACCGGGTATACGTCCTTTGGGACCGTCGTACCAAAGTTCGATCCGCCTTATTGTGCGGCTTCATTATTTTCTATGGAATAACTGTGGCCTTCGGTGTAGCGAACATATATATGCTTTCAGGTGAGTTCGGTATTTCCTGGCTTTACAGGAAGTGAACTAATCTATCCGACAGCTGACCACGATGCGTTGCTGTCCGAACCAAATGTCTTTCATACCTGTTTCATCCGTCGAAAGCCGAACATCTGGTCCGGGATATGGGCGCCTCAGGTCTGTCAATGCGTATCGGGCTGTAACATGTTGGTCATAGCTCACCGATGGCTTTTGTTCATATATGAAGGTTGCATTCGACTGCTACATCGTGATCCTTACTGTCTTGAATGCAGTAGATCGTCCTCGGCAAGCGGATGCAAGGATTATTCATGACCTGCGTCGCGATGGTGGACTGACCTTCTTAGTACGTGTGATATACCTTGTGTTTTACATTGCGCTCACTTCCTAACCAATGCCAGGGGATTTTCGGTACGTCTTGATCCTGCCGTACTTTGTCTTCCATGTTACAATGCGTGTTCTGTTCCATGTCTCTTTGGAGACCCAACGACTCAACATAAAATAGGCGCTTATATCATTGCATAATCCATTCAACAGCTTTGAGATTAGTGAATCTTGTGCTCGGAATATATCCCAATGTGAGTGCAATGATGCCATGGAAACTGACCTCGCGGTTGTTTCACATTTTCACATTTGCAATCCTTCAGGTTCAATTTTCGGTTATCGCGTTTTTGTGAGTAAACGTCGTATACAAATCATAATCAACACCCTCCTACGTGTCCGGGTACTAACTCGCTCTTAGTTTCAGCTGGGCACTAGTTATCACACTCATGTCTAGGTTGTTCCTGAGGGTGGAGTGTTTGATGGAGCTGGGATGTCGAGGCAGGTTTGGCGACTCGGAAAGCAGCGGATTTATCATACAGGAAATCCACGAGCTTACCGTTTTGCGTTGAAGTGCGTGATATTGTTAGTGATCCTTCGAAGTATTGGAACTGAAGCGTCTGGAATTTATAACTTATATGTCAGATGGAGGGTATAGCTTTGACGTCACAATCACACCATGCAATTTTCTTCTATTTATTTAGCAATGTGTGCTCCAGCTATACGAGTGTGCAACTATCCTTACAACTACAGCTCGTGGACAAACGACAAAACGACAATCTGATTGGCTGGCCAAGCCGGCAGAGTCGTAGTCACTCGCCAGCTGACCGACCGATGAGGCAGCCTCTGCGCGAAATTCTGAGTGCGGTCGACGTCGATATATAAGGCGGCGGCGGCGGCTCTTGCAGTGTATTTATAAATCTCACCCTGTCGGCACGAGCACCTTATGCTTTTGTCTCAACCCGCTTTCCAGCGTTGAATGGGGTATGCCCGGTGGCGGGCAAGTGGCGAGCCCTCGCACGGCAGAGCTCTACACGGCAGTTGAAGTACTTACTGAGATCTAGTTCACGATGTGGGATTGTGGGTGTGAAAGCCTTTCTCCGTGGAGTTCTCATGCCACACGGAATGTTTTGCCAGCCTGGGGGAAAGCAAAACTGGAGGGTCTTTTGGAGAACGGAGGGGCGAGGCGCGAGTTCGAGGAAGACCCTTCAGGCGTCTTTCTCGTCAAGCTTTCAGTATTAGTCGAGCGATTCCTCTGCTACTTAGCACCGTGCGTAGCACGGGCTCGCTGCTAGTATCATTTATACAATATACTGGTTTAGAATCCATAAATACATGTACGAATTCCCGAGACCTATTGATACTCTGAATCTAGTCGACCTCGGAGCTCGAACTAGACGGAACTTCACAATAAAGGGCGCCACCTCTTCAGCCCAACGGCAATTTAATTATTCACTGTCCACTTGGCTTCCGTGTTGGAGTACACGAGAATAACCGTGTACTGTTTCATATGAGAAGGAAACGAAGTTAGAGAGGCAACTTTGTATCCTGCTTGCGCTGTATTCGTCGGACTTCCAATTTTCGGTTGACCCTGCTCTGCACTACTACTGATACCTGTTTGTTCGTTTTTATTCTTACTTTTCTCTGAGATACTAAACTGTCGCCCTAGAGGCCCTCCAGAATATCTCAGGCATAGCCTCGAATACGCTGGAGAATTGTTTTCATATAGTAGCTATCGCGGTAAGCTAACTTGAGATCGCTAGTAGACGAAGGGCCGTTTTTCCGGCCCTGAGGACTACAGGGTATCAAAGTCTTTGTATTGCACGCCCGAGACAACATTAATAGCGACAGGCAAACGCTCAAAATACAGTTCCACTGATCTCCATCCACAAACTAAGAACACCTTGTCGTAATAATTTCGATTGGGCCATGAAGACCAACTTCAAAATCAAGTTCGCAACCAAGGACTAGGCTGAGGCCAAGGACTACCCACTTTCCATCTCGTGATCCTCAGAACCCTGCTCTCCTCTCTGCGCCAGTGCCCATTGCTTGTCGGTAGAGGTATGTAAGGGTAAGCCCTTCATAAATAGACTAGCAATGAGGCCGATTCCTGAAATCCCAGCAAAAACTTCCCATACAACCTTCAAGCTATTCGCAAAGGCGACGCGGACCTCATTTCGGAGAGGCTCCGGTAGATCTGCAATGAGCGGGATGGTTGCGTAGGCAATAGCAGTACCGCCAGGGACCTGGGCTGCAAATGCAGCAGGCATTCGCTTCTGCAGTTCGTTTTGAAGAACGGCACCGCCTACGGTCACACCCCATACCTACGTAGAACGGAGATTTCAGCTTTCGTATACAGCAAATAAATTACTTGAAGAAAAAACCTGAGCAAAATTCCGAAGAAACATGAAGTATGCCAAAGCGAGTGCATTCTGCGAAACAGGCACTGTTCGAGACATGAGATACACAGCATAGATAATTACACACTGGAACATGACTTACCAGGCGCAAGGACAGGGAAATATGTCGTTGTTGTGAGGATGCCAATGCCAACTGCAACTAGGACCTCGAACCCAATTGCATGGCCCTTTGGAGTATCTTCATTCAGGGTACTTAGAAGACCGGTGCCAAGGGTTAAGAGAATCCACGAGAGCCACAGTTGCGGCCGGTATTTCTGTGTCTTGTTCACCGATGCACCGGAAATAATGCCGGAGGGTGCCAGCACAAGTGCAACTCCTAGCTGATCGACTCCTGCACCGACAGGTGAGGCACCTTTACAGGCCTGAAAGTATACTGGAACGTAATCTAGAGCTCGGACATGAGCGAAGTATAACAGGAAGAGCGTAAGTACTAACATATGATACCCATCATCACCACGGGCATGACAAACGTCTGGATGTAACCAGAGACACCAGTCATGGTAGACATCAATGTGAATGGCACCTGTATACATAATTAGTCGATTTCCCTCGATGAGACGACAAAGAGCATACAAGTGGATACTTTGGCACGAAAGCTTCGTACGCAAGAAATATTATCAGTCCAACTAGTCCGACGACTAGAGGGACCAACACTGGTGCCGAGTCCCACGCATGCTGTACGCCACTCCATGTTAAGGCAACTACACACGCTGTAGTAGCAGAGATGACTATAATATTTCCACTGCAAATTGTTAGATGAATGTACGGTGTACTCAAAAAGACACACGTACATCCAATCGACTCGCCCGAACTTCTCACGCAGTGATCCAAGCGGAGTGTTCACTCTAAGGAACAAAAGCATGAGAGCACCCGCTACACCACAGATTGGGATATTGAGGTCTAGTACAGAGTTAGTTACCTGTCAAGTTCGAGCAGGTTCGAAACTGACAGAAAAGCCATCGCCATTGGCCCGACTGGGCGAGAGCACCGCCAACAATGGGACCAACTCCGCCGGCAACCGCCCATGCACTATCTCATCATCAGAACAATATTAGAAAAATTCTGCGTAATATTGGGTGACATTACCCACATGCCAATCAGACCGTTGAATACTCCACGCTCTTGTAGCGGCACGAGGTCTGATATGATTATGGCAGTAGTTGAAGCAATACCACCACCGCCAAGTCCTTGGACAGCTGATAACAAGCTGATGAGCAAACGATGCGATATGGCGGCTAGGAAATAGGGCGTGAAAGATAGTTACTTCTTCCAGCAATCAGAAAGTTCATGGTTGGTGCAGCGCCACACAGAGCGCTGCCTAATGCCATGATACACAACGACGAGAGCATGACAAATCGCCTTCCAAAAATCTAGGACAGCCTATTAGATGGAAAGAGTAAACTCGTTGAGATATATAACATATACCTGAGCAAAACCCCCGCTCATCGGTATGAACGCTGTGGCGGACAGCGCGTACGCTGACCCAACCCAAATGAAGTCTGAACCACTGAGATCATTGACAATTTTGGGCAGCGCTGTGGATACGGCGGACTTTCCGAGGAAAAGTCATATCCAGACTGAAAACGGCTGATAAATGGAGCGACAATGGAAAGAACACACCAGCTCTAGGGCTGTTATCATAGTAGATATCCCAATTGCAAGGAAGACTAGCCAGAACCTATAATCTCGAGGGGGTTTCACCGACGACGGCATAGTTTCACCTGTGCTGGTGGCAATCATGGACATAGAGACGAGGGAGGGGACTACAGACAGGTGGATGTTGAGAATGCGCTACGAAGAGAAGAGTAGCGACAGTTCACGTGGGAGCGGGAGGGTTGCAATGTGGCCACAATACGATCTCACGCTAAGTAATTTTATGACTCGCTTCCATCAGGTTTCACGCTGTAGATTTTCGACCTAAAGTTCGTCCCCGGTCCACCGGGACCCCCGAACTGAACCTGTTCGGGGGGACAGTCCACTGTCCCCTCCCCTTGTGACATCCCCATTTGGGTATATCTGACGGAACATTTTCTATGTTCTCTCAGAACCCGACAAAAACATACTCAAAAAGGTAATTGTCCCCTGTCCTCCGAGCTCAACGAACTTCGGAGGGGGACAGGCTGGATTTGGAGGGTGAATTTCTCACGCCACTGATGAACTTCGGGTCGAAAATCTACAGTATTTGGGGGAGGTAAGCCAGTCGAAGGTTTTCTGAGCGGCTGTGCGTAGTACATCAGGATAAACCATCACCGGATATAGCACTGGGGGCCACAACAGCCGCGATTTCCGCGGGAGAACATACGAGTATCTAAAGCTTGGCTCATGGCCAAATTGCCGGATCGGATTGTGGTCCAGAGTTGGGTAGTAATTTTAGGGAAACGATGAATAAACCAAAGGTTATAGAAGTCTTTTTCTAGCAACGTAAACCTTTGAAGTCCACGCCAGATTTAGCGTGAGAAGCGGTGAATTTTCATCGCTACAAATACGCAGCGTCCAGGCTGCTGCAGAAGTTCAAGGTACTTTCTCTGGTACAATTACCCACGATCTTTGAGCGGGTACGCTAGAGGTGGTATCATCTCTGCACAAGTTCCCAGCAAGTCCTTCCGGAACTATTGAAATCCGAAGATACATCTTCCTGGCACCGGCTGAATTATAGGACACCGTGTCCTTCGTTGCATTCCAGAAGAGGTCCCCGAGGAGCTGCTTCCTACTTAAGGCTATCTTGGGAGTGAGCTTGATTCATTGGTTCTCGAGCAAAAGGGATACAGTATCGTCGGATGGGTATCAGAATTCACCCTTGTGGCGACTGTGCTGCGATCTGATATATGATATTTGAGCATCATTACCTACTGCAGATAGGGGTATTGTTCCTCATGGGACCATATTATACCCTGAATACACCTTCCTTCCTTCCTTCCTTCCTTCCTTCCGTGTATGCGTCGCATGGAATCATGATGAGAGGCTCGAAGGATCATTTTGAGTTGGGACTGAAGGCACGTTCGAACTTCCCGATTTGTGGGAGCAGTGGAGCGATACCTAGGTCGGGACACTGACCGCGAGAGTGAACTCAACAGGTCAACATTCAATATTCAAATGACAGCTTGCATAGGGTTCTGAGCAAGAAAGGAAGGGCGGCTGCTTGCGGGTGCCCAAATATGGGCAAGCGTTTACAATCATCAGTGGTCCTCGCTCAGTAGTGCATAACCTCTCAGACTCTCGAGGTGTTTGAATATATAGGAGACCGATTTCGCCGTTAATAAATAATGAAAGGATATCGCTGCAAGTCTGAGCACAACACGCCGTGATCTTCTGCAAGAAACCGAATTTCCTTTTGTAAGCACATCTGCTCTCGGGACAACTAAAGCCCAGAGCAAGTGATTGATTCCCAGGTCCGTGCTGTGCAGAACCTCTGTCAATTGGGCGTCGATCGAAGAAGATCCATCGACTGTGCACCACCGACTGTTAGGCTATCGCCTGGACCCGGGTTTATTTAGGGAATGTATGTTCCGGACACCAAATTTTGAATCATAAGAGATATGAATGCACTGCAGCTCTCAAGAAAGTAGCGGTCTGATTAGCGATTCATGATAGAGCTGATTTTGTACGCGACACCCTTCTCTTCCCCACCATTCGGGCAGGTCACGCAGAGGTGGCATGACTGTAGCGCACGACAGAGACGAATATCATGATTTGTACAAAAGGTCCAGAGTAGAAATACGCCTCGGAAGGAAAAGGGCGGCAGGAATGTGCAGTGAACTAAAATCAGAGGCGTTTGTCCTTGTCTTTCTCTAGCCTGGCGGAAAATTCAGTGAGTCCGAACATTCTACCGAAGAGCCAGTCCTAATACGAATGTAAATAAGCTCGTGGGTGTGACGGTGAGATAAACAAACAGTCTGCTCACAAAGACGGATAGACCCAAGAATGTATCAATAATCCAGCATGGCCATATTTTGTTACCAGCCCACAAGCATGCACGTGGAGACACTTTCAAACTTTCCGCCACAACTTGCTTCGCGTACTTATCAGCAGACATTGCATTCTCTGTAATGAAATAAAGATTGAACGGTCCGTATTATGAAGTGCGGGTAGAGTCCTATAGCCTCACCTTGCGATGTATTGACACGCTTGGAGTGGAAAAGGTCCTCCATAGGAAGGTACATGGATGTTTCTGGCATCTTCACCGGTTTAACTATATTGCTTTGAACGCTACCAGTGATGACCTGGAAGACAGGTTGAGCGGTGTGTACATAGATAGAATAGAAGGAATACCAACACTGAGAACTTTGACTCTGAGGAGGGAGTTCAATCGGCGTTCATTTTGAGCGGGTCAAAGACGTACCTGAAGGGTGCAAGCTCGACGCGTAGAGTGTTGCTGAAGGCGTGTAAACCAGCCTTGCTCGCGTTGTACGAAGCACCGAATGGGGTGGGCATGATTCCAGAGACACTGCCAATCTGGACAATGCGACCGTCTCCCGAGGCAATGAGAAGACGTATAAATTCCTGTACCATACAGATAGGAGCAAACAGATTGACTTCGAAGAGATCGCGGACGCGCTGCATGTCCATATCGGTGACGGCGAAAGTATACCCTATTTCAAGATGGAGCAAAATTCTCGAGGTTGAACAAACGGAAGGCAGGATTACTTACCTTGTCCCCTGTGTGATCCCAAAAATACTCAGAAGAAAGGTGTGTAGATAAGTAGACTTAGAACGCACGCATTATTCACCAGAATGTCCAACTTGCCTCCGGTCAGGGATGCTACATCGTCCCGCACCTTGCGAACAGCGTCGATCTTTGTTACATCGAGGGCCATAGTGATTAGACCAAGCTCGGTAAGATCTTGCATGGCATCAAGAGACCGAGCTGTGGCCACGACACGGAGACCTGGACGATATTGCTGAACACGAGCTCATGGTCTGTGACAATGTTCTCACCTTGTGCATGATACTCAAGCGCTAAGGCGTGGCCAATACCGCCATGGCTACATCCAGTGATAAAAACGGTCCTTTGTGGGGACATAGTGCTCGACGGGAGTGGGAATCAGCAGCTTGAACGTGTGAGTGAAGAGGAACCGAGGGTGCTCTTGAAGAGAACGAGGTTCGCTCTGATGTGCCTAAAAGCCGCGGTCTTACGGAAGGTCACGGCATGTCGGCTCGGCTCTTCAATTATCGGGTTTCCCGGTGCTCGCATTCGTTCACGGAGATTGAAAATTCTGGAAACAACCTGTATTTAGCATCTATCCGAGAAGCACTATCTACTTCGGTGCATCCTTACTTCTGTTGTCTACTGCTTAGTCGACAGCCCTCTGCCATGCTTCCTAGCGCGAAGCACCCTACCCGCGAACTGGCCCAGGGCACTCTCTTTCGGACTCACTGCGAAGGTCTTGCCACAGAGGATCGCGTTCGACTGAGCTATGAACGTGCAAAGGCTATTGGGGCTGCTTATCGTACGCACAGGTCAACTTGCATTCCTACATCAGTCACTAACAACTCATTCTGCACTTAGAACTTACAGAAAATGATCTGATCACTTTATCTCCTAAATTTTGGGAAATGCACACCGATCCTATTTGGAGTATGGATGGTGCTGCTGGCACGTTGATCACGCTCCAGTACAACTGTTGTGCCGGAACGATTGCAATGTTCACCTCGGAACAGCCGGTGTTGCGCGACTTACTGAAGGACGTGCTAGATTTTCGTGTCTCGTAAGTCTGCACGGCTTGTGACACCCCTCAATCTGCCACTCACCCCCGCGAAGAGGTCAATTTTGTTTGACAGAAGTCGGTCATGGCCTTGATGTAATCCATCTGCAAACGACCGCAACCTTACTGGAGAGCGGGGATTTTGAGCTGGATACGCCCAGTGAAAGCGCAGCGAAGTAGGTCAAGCTTTCCATTATCTAGGAATGTCATTCTAAAACACGATTCAGATATATGCCGCCGACTGCACCTGTCGGAATCCCATGTCTTGCTGTAGTTTTTGCGCAGACGATCGTGCACGGAGAAAACCACGGAATCAAACCTTTTGTTGTTCACCTACACGACGGCAAGAATATGACCACAGGAGTTACTTGCAAGTGAGTATTGGTTCTGATGACAACAGCCTAAGGTACTCATAATACGAGTAGATTACTTCCTCCCCGTGGTGGCGCTCGCCCTGTGAACCACTCCCTCACGTACTTCCACCGGGTGCGAGTCCCACGCTGGGCTTTAATGGGATCCCTCGCAAAGCCTGCCGATCCACGCGATGCATTTTTTCGTAATATCTCCAGAGTTGCTGTGGGCACCATCGCCATCGGATCCCTTGGCGTCCCAGCTCTACGAGTTGCTTCCTGTATAGCAGCTCGCTACAGCATGCGCCGTACCGTGGTCGATGTTGATGGGGGATCCAAGCCGATAATCGCATTCAGGACTCAGAAGACACCGATCATCACCGCCCTCGCTCAATATTTCGTGATGGAGGCCTTTCACAACTACGCTATCGGAGTATTCTGCAACGTCACTGTGGATGCCAGGGTACGACATGCCATCGGCTCTATCCTCAAGGTCGTCATGATTCAGCATGCACAAACTGCCCACCTCACGCTAGGCGATCGATGCGGAGCACAAGGTCTCTTCGAGGTCAATCAGCTGACGGCGATGCATGTAATTCCATCAGGTTTATTGTCTCCCGTAGTAACTGTTTGCTGAACTTTGTAATTGACAGGCTGACATGCGTGGGACGGCTATTGCTGAAGGTGATCTTCTAGCCATCTCGATTCGTGAGTGTACATATAACTAACATAGGAATAACTACTGATCAGTGATTATAGGACTTGCAACGGAACTCCTTCTCGGGCGCTACTCCGTCCCTAAGGCGTCAGATTCGACTGCTCTGTTATCCAGGCGCGAAACCTGTATGTTTTCAGAGCTGCGTGGGTTGCTCTCTGAAATACCCCATCACCGCAGCGCGGCATTCGATCGTATGATTCTCCCAGAATGTCTCGGTTTAGTGCAGGCCATAGGTCATCGTATGGCCTACGAGGCAGCAGTAGCCGCGAACGTTGATCATGATCTCATAGAAGTTTACGTTACTAGTTGTGTGAAGCTTGATTCTGCCTGGTATGTGGAGATGGCGGGTTTATCTAGAGCCCAACAGCGCGAGATGGAGGCAAGCGCTATCGACTCAGTATTTCCCAACTTGGAGAAATATATCGACATTTTGGATGTTGATCCTTATATTTCAGCACCGTTTGCCTCTGACACGCAGTGGAAGTGCTATATAGATACACTTACTACATTCCGATCCGATGGTGAAAATAGGTCGTAGTCTACGCGTATAGCCATTGAGACGACGTCTTACCCAGTGATGTTGTCGTACATTTTATTATACATTGTGACCAAAAACGTTCTTGGACATTGTTCTCTTGGGGGACTCTCTCATGCTGACGTGTGACCTCCATGCGATAGCACCACCTCGGTAAGTCAGAGAATCGTGAAGTACACAAATAATCGAGGAACTTCAAGTCGAGACGAGTCTCGGGCGGCTGCCTGCGTTCTAGTACGTTGTGGGAAGATCCGAGCAATTGGGCACTCGAGTGTAACTCGGGTACCGGCACCTTACTGCTATTTCCGCGTGGAGCCCTTATAAGACCTCCACAATACGGCATCCAGCGTGTGTTGACCTTCCCCCAAGGCTCTCAGTAGCGTCTGATCATACAGCCTTTGCACATGATGTCCTTCCTCAGCATCGTCTCATCGGTGTTTCTCTCCATTGTTCTCGTTCTAATCTTACACCGTCAAGCTCGGGCGAAGCTTCCCCCAGGTAGAGCACAGATGCATCCTCAATATAAATTCCTACCTTATCATATTGTTATTCTAGGCCCCCGTGCGCTTCCTTGCATCGGTAACTTGTTTCAGATGCCACGCCATGATGTAGCTCGGTCGTTCACACGATGGAAAGACATATATGGTATGTAGGCTAAACGGATGCTAGTTCACTCATTGACTTCGCTTTACAGGAGACATTTTCTACTTACATGTCCTAGGAAGAGAGTTCATTATATTGAATTCAGCCAAACATGTTCTAGAACTATTCGACCAACGTGGAGCCTTCTATAGCGACAGACCCCACTTGGTCATGGCCGGCGATCTTGTCGGAAAGAACAAAGCAGTCCTATTCCATCCATATGGAGAGGAGCTAAAACGTCACAGGAAACTTCTACGAAATGCTCTCGAGCCAAGACGGTGTCGCGAATACTGGACAATGATCGATACTGAGATGCGCAAATTGATGGTTTCTATGCTTGAGTGCCCAGAAGATTTTGCAGCTCACATACGAAGGTAAGGATTGCGCCTTTTCTCGCCGAGTGATTCCTACTGATGTTCCGTAGAAATGCTGGAGCAATAACGCTTCGCTTAGCTTATGGTTATCAAGTGCCGTCCGGGTCAGGCGACGATCGCTTCATCACTCTTGCAGAAGAGCTTGCCCGCATTACTGGAGAAGCAACCAAACCAGGACGGTGGCTAGTTGACTCGCTTCCTTGGCGTGAGTATCTCACAAATGTAGACAATTCTTTAATTGATCATCTTGCTCGCTCCAGTACGCTATATGCCTTCCTTTTTACCTGGAGCAGGATTCAAACGGTGGGCGCAATCTGCCCGAAAAACAATAGAAGAATTCTCCTTCGCACCTTACGATTTTGCGAAAACCCGTGTCGTAAGTAGGCAGTCTATCACATCACTTACAATAGTGAGCTACTGATAAATTCATCAGGCTAGCGGAGAAGCACTACCGTCATTCGTGACTGAATCCATTGAGCTACTAACAGCGGAGACTGCGGCTCCTCTGAGTAAGGAAGATGACGAACTTCTGATGTGGACCGCAGCCAGTATATACTCCGGTGCGTCTTATCCTTTGAGAACATTTCACGGTTTTTGAATTCTCTGTTCCAGGTGGAACAGACACCGTACGTTAACTACGCATTCCTCCTTCTCCCGAGTCATCACCGTCTGAGAACATGAACAGGAGGTCGCGACCGGGACGGCTTTCGTTCTTTATATGGCACTCTACCCTGACATTCAGAGAAAGGCTCAGCTGGAGATTGATACCGTTGTCGGCAGAGATCGGCTACCTACTATGGAGGATAAGCCCCACCTTCCCTACGTAGAGGCTTTGCTGAAAGAGATCTACCGATTCAATCCTGTCGCTCCTTTAATACCTCACACGACTCTCACAGAAGATAGCTACCAAGGCTATCGCATTCCTAAAGGCAGTTGGATCATGGCAAATACATGGTGCGGCCTCTTATAGTTGTCTTTATTTGATTCTCATTCATCGATCGCATAGGGCCTTGATGCATGATCCCGACATATTTCCTAGCCCTCATAGGTTTTGGCCTGAAAGGTTTTTGGGTACGGATGATTGTTGTTTAGCTGATCCCAGAGATTATGCATTCGGCTTTGGTCGAAGGTATTGTACCGAACATACTATTTTACATGATTTACTAGGCTGATTGTAACTTCACAGACGCTGCCCAGGAATCACTGTGGCGGAAACGACCCTATTTCTCATGGTGACCTCCATCCTGTCAATATTTTCTATCTCTCCTCGCGAGGGAGATAGGGCTCTAGAAGAACTTCGATCTGTAAGGTTCAAGGACGGTCATATCTCGTGAGTGTTCCACTAAGTCGCTCTGCTCATTTTCGATTTGTTAATTTTCTTCAAAGTCACCCCGAAGAGTTCGGATGTAATATTAAACCACGTTCCGAGGCTGCTGCAGCCCTAGTGACTCAATTCACGACAGAAGGGTGAAGTGTTGCATTCAAGCAGTTCATCTTCTATGCAATGTCGATGCTTTTCTTCAACTTTTCTTGCCGGAAGTTTGGGCTACATTTATTTTCCTGACATTTACAGTCAAGCACGATTCCTTATGTTCTGTACAGTCAGTGTGTTCGCCCTCCGTGAGAGTATCCAATGGAGATTCCTCGGAACTGGTACTGAAAATTTCGGGACTCGGTGCGAGCATGGCAGTTTGGTGGAAGCATTCAATTGCAACGGAAAACAGTATAAAATCAAACCATATGATCGCACGTCCTAGTGGTAATCCAGGCCCCTGGTTCGGTGTGCGGTGTGCCCGAACCTCACGAGAGTTTGGCGAGGTATCGAGAGGACGTATAGAACATTTTCCGATGCTTCAGGCACACCGCGATATCGTGGCTGGAAATAAGTTTCGATGTGACGTGATGCAGCGATCGGACTCAGACACGCGTACCCTCTCCGGGCTTCCCTCGATTGTTCCCCTGTACCAGCTGTTATTACCACTATTTTGGCGATAGAAAAACAGAAGTCATGTACATAATATTTGCCAGCCCACCGCAACAGGATCGTCGATCTCTCTAAAAATGGCTAAGAACGTTGTGGAGGGGTGCTTGACTTCACTTCTCTGTGAACGAATCACTTCATGGCATGCGATGATCGTCGACGCCCTTTGAGCCCCATTCTTTCAGTGAAAATATTCCAGAACATCCACCTGATCACCGATAAAACGCTGGCATGGGAGCCCTGATGTAAATAATGCGGCGCACGGATCACTTTCCTAGAACGAAAGGAAGTTGGGGCTTGTGCGTGTGAATTGATATGGCTTCAACCTACCCACCTTTGACGCAGATTTCCCTTTTTACCTTCGGGTATGTATTGCCGGTACAATATCGGACAACTCGGAGCGCTCTACAGTTACGTTTACTGCCGAGGATCTAGTAAAACTTGAAGGATCAGGCGGTGCTGGTCGATGTGTTTATTCGATTGACGCCTAAAGGACAGCTTACATTGGGTTCTGAGAAAGAATGGAAGAATGGCTGCTTGTGAGCGCCACGCTCCGTGTTAGCGAGCACTTGGATGATCACACAGAATCTCGAGCAAGCGAATCCGTGCAAAAGAGCTACTTACCATACGGAAATTTCCTTCTGTGCGAAGTGATCTGTCATGATATCAGTTGGGCGTCAATCGAATAAGACCCACCGCCTTCCTTCCTTCTCCTTGTTCCCTACCGCTGACAGAGTCTAGCACACAGTAGGTCGTGTGGCTCCGAACTTGGGGTTCCATTTTTCTCCTCGCATCTTCGATGAAGTGGCTCTCCATCAGACCCTTCTCGATTCTGATTATTCTGGTGTCAGCCTGAAACATCGTGGGCCGCAGTGTGCATCCGTCATTAGCTCATTAAAGAGCCGAAGACCATCTGGAATGTTTGTATCAATGGATACCGAGGAACTCCGGAAGTGGAACTCAATGTGTTTGGTGTATCAACAAACCCTACCAATAATAAAACTCTGCGATGTATTTGGATGCGTAACTCCCACGCGCAACCTTCTGCAGCGCGCCTCGCAAACTTAGAGTACATAATTCATCGCAAGTGAGTTCTCTGCGGGGACTTCTTGCATTTCCTCCTTCACCCGCCGCCAACTCGCGCTCTCTCACTTGGTCAATCAAATGTCTTCCGCCCCTGTCACCCCCACCACACGCCCCCAGCAGCTCAATAGCTGCGTGTATATCAGTCATTCTCCCAGCCCCACGGGCGACCTTGCTTCCTCTTCACATCCCTCGTAAGTATTCCGTACTTACCATGTTCACGACGTCGTAGCTTATCCCGGCCACAGTATTGTTCTCTTATTCGGATGGCGTGCGTATCTGCTATACCAGACGCCACGAAACAACTGCTCATCATTGATCTCATTCAGTGGATGCGTCACCCAGCCACCTTCAGAAATATGTCGAAGCTCATCGGGAAAATTTTCCAACCTCTACTATTGTTCTCGTCAAAGCCTCTACATCTTTCTACTGGACTTCCCAGTCTAAGAGGGTGCGTACGTCCCACTATTGTGGGCCATAATGAGATACTGACTTCTGCGTCAACTATTAGGAGTCTCTTCTCATGCCTATCGTTGACGTGATCAAGTCCGCAATGAGCGGGGGCCCTCGTTACCGAGGATTACTCCTGCACGTTCTGTCTAACGGTATGACACCAGCAGTCGATTTATACGGTCCACTTCGTCTTATTTCTCGCATTTACCAGGGGGAGGATTTCAATTCATGACTCTGCGTAAGCTTCTTTCGAAGCTGGAAGCTTCAAGGACTGGGGCATCTTCGTCTATTAAAGCCCCCACCGCTATGATCCTCGACTCCGTTCCCGGGGACAAGGGCCTTCGGTCTGCCATCGCATCCTCTACCCCTTCTAACCCCCTCTTTCGCGTCCTTTCGATCCCTCCAGTTGTCATCTTATATGCCTTATTCTACGTCATGAACGCATGCGGAGGAAACCCTGCATTCTATCCTGATCTCCGCGCATCTCTCAACTCTCCAGTTCTCTTGCCTTCGGTAACCATCACAGCGGATTCCAAGGATATTCCCCGACTGTACGTCTACTCGCATAAGGACAAGATGAGTCTCGCATCCGATATTGCGAGACATGTAGCAGATGCGGAGTCGAAGGGCTTCGATGTATCGGTCGAAATCTATGGGAAGACAGCACATGTATCTCATGCACGCAGCGATCCTGACAGGTACTGGGGAGCGATCAGGGACATCTGGTCCAAAGCCTTGGCCACGTATTCGAGTGCGGCGCTTTAGATGTAGACTTCATATCTTTCCTAGCGTTAAATACCAAGATGAAGTATGACATGGGTTGCAAGAATTTAATCGAAACTTCCGGCTCGAACTCTCTCTGTATGTACACGCATTAACAAATTTCTCGCTAGCGAGTTTGTTTAGGATGAGGTTTTCTTCCTTGTTGGTTTATTCACATATATTTGTTTTGGAGAGAGACAATGTCTTGATCTTCAAGTTGATCATATCTTCGAGGGTACCGACTACGTTAGGGTGTTCATGCTACTGCGAGCGCTCTGTGCATACTCACTTATTATACGAGTCAGGTTGGGGTCGGGCGGGGCATATGAATCGCCTGTATATATGATGCAGCAACTTTCCATTGCATTCGCGCGAAAACCTAGAGCAAAAGTCCAAACACAATAACGGTTGATGATGGTTGGTTGATGGTTATAAACGACGGCGCGAGGACGCACAGAACACTCAAGTCGCTGTATTTGTGTTTCTGTCCATCAGAGAACCTAGATTCCTATGGAACATCCCTGAAACACCTGTTTCGGCTGGTGTCTATTTTCGCTAGATAAATCTGTATCACAAATCACTATCCACTCTGCAACCACTCTGTCTGGACTTCCGACTGCATGAAACGGGAAGCCATCCAATAAGAAAAGAGAGACTATTCACCTCATCACAGATGAATCATCTACACACTGTTGCACTGGTCTACTCGACAGCCTGCCACCTGCCACCAGGTGAATCCCGAAGTTCCTCCCAATACTGGAGATGTTGAGTCACGTGCTGTCACGTACTATCCCTATCTCATGGGGAAATATCTGAACATAACAAGCATTTCAAGTTCGCGGCTCAAAAAGGAGATAGCAGATGTTGACGAGACTTGGAACTGTACAGCCTAATAGACTATGTCAGTTTCAATTCAGTTTAAGAATGCTAAGGACTTTTGAGCTGGACTCTGTGCTCCTGACAAGTCACGGAATTGCCCTCGAGTAAGATCGCGCAGAAATATAGAAACTCGACACAGACAGGCACAAAATCGACGCAAAAGTAGGTTCAATGGGCCGCCGTCACGAGCCCCGGACTAAGGTACAGAAGAGCGCCGAAGATCTTTATAACAGACGTCTCAGGCTGGCTGATGCCCGTCCGCGGATACTATGCCTGACCCAGTAGTGCAAATCTTACAGTAGTGCAAATTCCGACTTTGCACCTCGAGTTCCTTTCCGCTCGTCTTGAAAATATTCTACAGGTTGCAGATACTGGATGGAATTGTCCTTGGGTACTTTTTTTGACGAATGCCATGCATGAACCGCCAAAATACTTGATAATGTCGAAAATTTGCACTTCGGACTCGCGACGCGCGTCGGAATGCTTCCGGCCCGCCAAAAGTGCAAATTTGCATTACGGGGTGCAGGCACTCGTCGTCGCGCTCGACGTTGACAACCACATTCGTGTTTTCAAAAAATGCTGATAAAATCCTAGTACATAGCTGAGATGTATGCGCCTATGTCTGGGTAAAAGTTTTGCTCAAACAATGCACGATGATTGTGCACAGGGCCTTGATTTGCAGAATTTGCAGAACTGGGTCAGACGTAGTAGGCATGACTGGAGTGCTCGACGTGTCGATTGCGTGTCGAGGCAGGTCGAAAGATGGCGTGATCAGAGCTGTCGTAAGTACCTGGCATAGGAAGCTGCCCACTATATATGTTTACTTCCGTCTGGGGTCATCGGCTTTTGTTGATTCGTTTGAAGTGAAACTTCAGAATTAGAACAACAGGACCCCGGAAGCTCCAAACCTTCATAATTACGTATATGTTGCACTGCCTGAGCCAAACAATTGGGTCATGCACATATCTGCTGTTCATCGACATCAGCATACTTGCTCCGCAGGATCGTGATGGACAGAGCTCTTCTTCCGCTGGAGATATCAGACCCTTTTTTAGAGGCGCTTACCCGATGAGCTGTAGGCCGCACGTAGACTTGGCCTTCGATTACTCACAGCTTTTGCTACGATCAAAGCTGTGATAAAGCATCAGCAGAGCCCCTTCGACATCAGCCGTTTTCGAGGATGAAGACTCCACACGAAACGTTTGATAAGAACACACGCTCTAAAAGGAGGTTCCTCTCAACTACTTCATCTTCCAAGTTGCCACCCTTCTCCACCTGCTTAATGCCGTCTCTCATTCCTCTCGATAACTTGCTCGGGGTCGCCTTTATTGGTGTGATCATATCAACTGCGTGAGTGCATCCGTGAGTCGGCTTAAGCCTGAAGCTGACACGTTATCGTAGGATCTATGGTATCACTTGCTTGCAGGTGTATCATTACTACACCAAGCACTGCGCGCAGGACAGCGCGTTCCTCAAATCATTTGTGCGTAACAAAACTCTTCGGATTGTGATTTCACCGCTGATCCAACTGATAGGTCGCGGCGTTACTGTACGCTGCTTTCATTCCTCACAATGAACATCCTCATCGCTGATCAATAATCAGAGTCCTTGATTCGCTCCATGTGGCACTACTCGCAACTTTTTATTATCATTATACCGTCACCAATTTCGGCGACTACGCGGTTCTCGCTGAAGATACCTGGTGAGCCAAGAGAGAGTCTATACTTTGTCGTGGTGCTGATATCTCCGTTCGTCGTGCAGGAGCTTACTTGTATGGCCCATTACCTATGTCCAAAAATACGTAGATTGCTAATCTATACACCAGACTCAGGTTGCAGTCGGGGTGGGTTATAGTCCTTTCTGTGGTCAAACTAGCTCTGACGACAACCGTACAGGATATATTGACTCTATGCGTTCAAATGTGACGGCATTCAATATTTGATCCTCCTCTTTTCCCTGCTGACGTGCTGGCGACCCTTCATTGGTAAAGGTTCTTTGCCTTTCGGATATATCAACGTACGCTTCAATCATAAAGTTATAGACCCAACCGAAATCCTCATTCAGAATTGCATTTCAGTCAGCGGGAATCGAATGTTTATTCCAATTGTCATAGTGCGTTTTCCAGTAATTTGTGTGTACGTTTCACATCAATTGAGCACGCAGTTTAGGTATTGATGGCCACAATTCAGCTGGGTGAGTTCTCTGTATTTATTGGCAATACTTAAAGTTCATAATTGCCTTTTAGCACTGGCTATAGGTATGTAGTCCGATGCTCAATCGTTATAAACATACTTACATGATCGCTACCAGCATACATCGTGAAAGGGTGGGTCTGATGGCACAAATTGGAAACCTATCACTGAGTGCTTGCGTCACTTCCCTAGATTCCACGTTCTTTTCTTCTCGAACTCTGCCGCAGACATCGTAAGATCGTCCGGCCTCCTGTTACAACTAGGAGTTAACGATTCTGTCTAGCCGTATACTACAAGTGCCTTGTCGATAGATATCGCGTGCGATACCATCATAACCATTACGATGATTTACTATCTCCAACGGAATCGCTCCTCATTTGAAAAGTGAGTCTTTGCTGCATATATGTGTTTCGACATGCTCAAATTTCCCTTACGTTCAGGACTAATCGCGCGATCAATCTGCTAATCACATACGCTCTAAACACCTGTGAGTCTGTCAATGCTTAAGAACGAGAACCACATCTCATATAGTAAACATGCTCTCGTCTGTCTACCCAGGTCTTCTCACCACGTAAGTGCTGAATTATGCAGTATTCGGGTCGTAAACTCTAACGGTATTCCTCTAGTCTATGTACTTTGGCATGCTTGATCTCGGTAACTTATTTCCTCGATGTTAAACGTCAGCTTCTGACTAGTGATCTGCAGTGGGTTACTTCAACAAATGCTCTGGTCTATGCATTATTCTATTTCATCCTCGTCCGCTGTGAGTGGAAGCTGTCTGCTCTGTATGTTTACGTCTGACATTCGCCACATATAGTGTATTCATGCTCTTTCATGTCGACGTCAGTGTGCTACCTTGGCTTCTGGTTCTGTGTCCGACATACTGACAGCGTTTGCTCTAGACTCAACTCTAGACAATTTGTCAGAGCGCAGCTTTCAGGTACAAGAGACGCGGAGGAGGTCATTGCGTTGTCTACATTCCAGGCAGCCCGTGGTGGACCTTCCCATGAGACATCGACTGGTGACCAGTCGCATAGCGTGAAGGAAACAGCATCGTCTCTTTCCGCTGTGACGTTCAAAGATGGCACAAAACATCCACAGTTGACGTAGATTATTTATTAACGACAATTCCTCTCGCTGAAGGATCATCATACGGTGTTTTATGACGACTTATCTTTGTACCGAACAACCTTCTTATATTGTCTGGTTCGCTGTTGAATCGATGTAGGGACACGAAGTCGTTGCCTCCTGCGTAATTTATTATGTTCCCATTCTTTTTCCTCTCCCATGTTGAAGACCAGGGCCATATGTACCAGCTCCATTTGTCTGTAGTATGTTTCGAATGGTTGTTAAATGGTCCCATGTACATATTATTTGCAACTCGAATCATTGTCAAGGCTTGATTTTGTGGACAGGACAAAGCTAGAAGAACGTGCCGAGGCTGCAGCTCTTTGCATTTGACAGTTGAAAGACTAGAACATGAACCACCAGCTTCAGTTGGTTGTTGGAGACTCCAAGTTGTGGCCCAGCAGCGCCACAACATTGACCGCCGGAAGGTCGGCCGAGAACCGGGTTCATCACTCAATACTCGTAAGTACGACGCTTTCTTTCTCACCAAACCAACCTGGGTAAAATCCAGTCGTTCTCTCCACGGGTTCGCTTTACACATACTCTGTTGTCCGGCAACTTGAAGCTCGCCGGGTCTTCCTTCATGAGATCTGCAAACTTCAGACACAACCGGGTCAGCATCCCGACCATTTCAGTGCACTGGACTCGCCGATCTCGGCCTTAAACGTGGCGACCTTTACCATCAAAACAGACACGGCCTCTTGGTCGAACGAGGCTGCAATAAAGAGAGAGCCTGCTTCTACAAAGTTGCGATTGTGGCGGAGGTGCATCTGGCCGGAGGAACGTTGATACGGGGTGACAAGTTGGGGAGTTATGTGAATTGGACTGCGCTGGGCTGGACGTCGGTGGGGACATTTGCAAGTCTTAGACAATACCTATGAGCTTGGTTTCTGATGTGTGGGGGCATACAGAAATGAGTAAGGCCTCAGCGGCGAGCAATGCAGCGGTGACTCATGGCTCAGTCGTGAGTAGTTCTGGTGTGGAGAAGTGACGGTGGGTGCTGCAAATCATAGAACAATATAAGTAATGTGTGGCGAGAGTGACCTCGACAAGACAGTCCGTTATGACGATGTTCCCAGACATGAGAGAACTTGCAGCTTGAGGCCTTCAACATAGAGAGTACACTGTACAGTGAGCCCTCGACTGTGTAGTGTGACGGCGTTCGACGACCTTAATCCAATGGCCACCAGCTATGGTACCCAATTGTAAACCAGAAGGTCTCTTCGAATAACGCAGAGAAGCTGCAGAGTCAAGGTCAAATGCCGTAGGCGTGAAGCGAACAAGAACAGGAAAGACGTGATCTCTGGCGCAAGCGATAGATGTGAAAGTAGAAGCTAAAGAGGGGCAGACCTCCTACGAACGAAGCCAGTCAGCGGCCTCCTTTGTATCGAGAAGAAACATATCATCAGTCCTCCTGACCCGATGAGCGGCGAGGATTGTAACAGGAACAGGTATTTCCAGAGACAGGACGGAAGCCTTGACCTTGACGAGAAGCTCTGAGACTGGGCCTGCTAAGACAGGGTCACTGTCCTTCACCGCTTCCAAGTCAATTGTGACCTGACGAGCTTGTAATTCCGCCTGGAGCACAACTTACAGATCCAAACCACTAGCAGAGCCAAAAGCCGAAACCGACGAATTCACGAGAGACTCCGACAGGAAGGGACCAAGCCAAAACTAGATCTAGAATCCGAGCAGTGAGAGTCTTAGAAGCCGTTGACAGTTCAGCCGACATAGCCTTCAGTTGGTCCATGCACTGGAGAGACTCGTGAACAGCGGTAAGGTTATCCTTCCCCGTAAGGGATAAGGTGCGGACGACAGACTCAAGGGGTGCGGCAGCAGAAGAGACAGCGAGCACAATCTGATCGAGGGCGGGCCAGAGGCGCTGGACGACACCACGCGTGACATCTTCGACGAGGGCTTCGGGCTCAATTCGCGCTGAAGGTGGTGTTCTAGGAATCCCAAGAGTGTCTCAGTATTTTTGATGGCAGAGGAGGCGGTAGCAGGGAGGGTGGGTTGCTGGTCTTGATGTCACGGATGCGAAGGAGTATAGTGCGAAGATCGGTGATTGTGGCGGGTTTCCCGGGCAGATTGAACTGCTTAGAGAGTGTAGCTCTTGCATCGGCAACTGCGTAGGGACAATTAGTAGAGGACTGGGACTAGGACAGGGCAGGGGAGATATTGCGTTGAAGGGTTTTGGTGAGATGGGACCGCGGTCGTGAATGGCAAGTACTGACTCGTCGACAGGCTTGAATCTCGACATTGCGCTTTACGGGTTTGAAAGAGCAACGAGAGAGAGACTGTGGTGGAAGTATACGAAGAGGACAAAAAGTACAGCTGGCGGTTAAACGAGTCGACGGTAGTGCTAAGTGGTCGTTCGCGGAAGACCCTGTATTGCTCACATAAGGGATGTTGATAGACACAGGTAAACAATGGCATAGATGAAACGTCGTATGGAATGCGAACTTACGATGTCGAATGTCAGAGGAATTTACTCCTGCAAATCAGATAGATCACGTTGCTCCTTCTGTGTTATAGGTAGCAGGGGTGATGTGCGTGATAGCACCACGCTATCCTGATTCTACTCACAACGAATCAAACACTGTCCGAAAAGAGAAAATTTGAAAAGACATACCGACATGACCATCTCATTGTCTCACTCTGCGTGTTGTTCTCGTCAACACGTCTACTACTTACCCTGGAGCTGCATTGGTGGGGTGAAATACTGGGAGTGAAGGCTGCTTAGTCTCCTTGAGCAGAGTGGCCAGTCGTTCAACCGGGCGGCGCGAGGATCACTTTGTCTGACGCCCTGCGGCCTGCGCTTTGATATTGAAGCTCCGCTTCAAAGGGGGCCTGTCCATTATATACGCCATCCGCTTGGAAATTTTCTCGTGGCCGAGCAACCTCGGCCACAAGATTTGGCACCCCGAGTGGCACTGTGGCGGCGATCGAAATCCGGTCGCAGTCGCTTTCCTCTTGGCTTCGCGACACATTTTGCTTTGTTGCGGACAAGTTCACCCACTATATAGTTGGGGAACTCCATCAAGAACTCTTACCACATGAGGTGCATATAGCTGATCTGAGCGAGTGCTGACTGAACCGGCCTGGGAGGAAGGGAGAAGGTAGGACAGGTTGTGATATTAGTGTTCGGCGAAGTCATGGTAAGCGAGCCCCCATCTCTCCCTCGTCCCCTTCTCACCACCAAACTCACACGAGGACTGACCACACCTCATGACACAATCACAATAGGGCATATACCTCCTCTCGACTCTGAAGGTAAGCTTGATTCGACCCTATTCAAGCTCGATTCAAGCTCATCATTTGAATGACGGCTGCTCGACTCCGCACCTCCTTCCTACCTCCCGCATTCTCCGAAATCGGGATCCCCACAGGCGAAGCCAAGCAGTCTCAGGAGATCACCAATCTCTTCAGCACCCTCCCAACATACGAGATCTTCGGCCTTGTGTTCGATTAGAGTTTTTACTGAGTGCAGTGCTGGCGGCGGGCGGGAAATGAGTCAGTCGCATCAATGTGTGCGTTATATTAGGGCCTGCGAGCCCATTGGCATGGATGTTTGAGTAACGATAGCTCAGATTCCGAAGGTACGTTTTACTATACATTCAACCACTTCCATCCCTATCCTTTCTACATGATGTCCAATCAGAATCGCATTGAGCGCGGGACTTTCATAGTCTTGTGCATGAAACGATTTTACGTGCTACTGCACTCTGACTCTTTTCGCATCTATGTTCCCTTGTTCGATGTGCGCTGGTGCTGACCTCCCATTTTACCTCTTTGTTTACAGACTTAAACGGTGAGATGTCTTTAATTTGTTCAGCGAACCCATAGTTCAGAGAAGATGGACATATTATTGTTGTACGAACGTGTGTATCAGGATGCAAATAGATGGTACGATCAAATATCAAACGGGTGAACGTGCGTGATCTCCAACCTCCGCGCAGCCAGGAAATCCCGTGGAAATTCAAGATTGGAGTCGTACGTGACCTCAGTAACGTGCTGTTCAATCTGGGAGATAGTAGGATGGTTTTGTAGATCATCAATAGTATGAAAGTGCAGATGATTGAGTGCTATTCCACGCTGGGTACAGTCTCTAACGAATTTCAGCAGGGGAGTGAGTTCTAGAGGACAAGTACTAAGGAGAGCGAACACGTGAAGAGTAGAGAGACGAGGACACGGAAAACCACTGTTCTCTGCACCAGTAAGAGCGGACAAGAAGTCCTCGGCATCGGATAAATCACCAAGGGGGAAAGACAAGGTCTCGAGGGAAGGAAAGTGGCGTAGAACATGTTCCCATATTTCCCTCTGCTCAGAATGCCATATCCATTCCGAATCGCTAACGGCTGGACCAAACCACAGCTCCCTAACCTCAACACACCTCAGCCTCTTGCCTATGGCCGACAATGTGCTGCTAAGAACATCCCCTACACTGAAAGCCTTGACGGAAACGGCAAGCTCGAAAGCAGCGACATCGTTACCTCCGAGAACTGAAAACCCCAGCTCATTCGGTTGATTGAACTGGAGAACATGGAGGGCGTCGAGGAATGATTGATATGAGGCAACCTTGGCCGGTAAAAGAGACAAAATACCGTCGTGTAGCACGCTGAAAAGCTCTTGTGCTTCCAAATGAACGACGGTCTGCGCCTGGAATGAGATGTTCTCCATCATCGCCTGGATGAATCTCGATTCCGCCCTCATCGTTTTGATGGAGATGTAACGCAAACTACGAAGAAGTATGCGCCCGCGGTTCCATACATAGTCTTCCGGGAGAAGGTAGATATCGCCGCCTAGAAAGTCGAAGACCTCCAACGACGGGTTATGTTCCAGGAACTCGAGTAGACCAGTGAAATAGGACGGTTGGCTGTTGATGGAGCAGTGGAGAGATAGGTGGCTGAGTGCAGTGTACGGTAGGGGCATTCGTATCTCTTGAAGATGTGTCAGCGCAACGGACGAAGACGGAGTGCTGGAGGACGCGAGCTTGTGGACGCGATCAACGACGGTCTTCGAAAGAAAAAGGGGTGGTATGACCGTAGGGGCCGTGGACACGAATCCGTCACGGAGAGCTATGGGCGATTGGAGATATACGTTAAGGGGCCTCAGCTGCGATCTCTGGAGGAAGAGGGCGCTCAAAGAGGTGCTGATCTGGATATCCAATGTACACCATAGATGTGGGACAGCGATGCAGATCAATCTCCACCATTCGCATACGTGCGAGAAGGTCAAAGAAGGCCACCAAGCGGTCCCATAGTCGTGATCAGCCTCGAATTGGCTTGTCGCATACAAGAAGATGCGGGCCCAGAGCTCGAAAGGTATACGTCGGACCTGGAAAGAACCAACTTCATGACTGGAGATGGGCGATAGCATGCCTGCAGACGAAACGAGATTATGATTGCTATCCATAGCCGATATCGTTTACTAAACAGACAGCTTGATATTAGCATGGAATGAGACAGCGTCATAAAGGTTGACTACTTGCTGTGGTAACACGGAGTTGACACGGAGTTATCGAGCTATAGCGAGCGAGTTTCACCTCCGCGATGGGACGTCGTGGATTTCCTGTACTAAAAAGATTCGTCGAAGAACTTCTAGAGTACTAGAGGAAAACATAACAATGAGCTATATTGACCAAACAGGGTGACAAATGAGGGCGTATACACAGAGAACTTCGATGATACCAACCGCGACCAAGATGACATATCGACATACCAATTTGGGCCTTTCAAGAGATCAACGCGATTAATATTGGCGAAGAATCACTTGTGCAGGAATAAGATGTTCAAGCGGCAGCAGCAAAGATCTCAACGACGAAGACTGGCAGCAATTCTGAGGTGTTGGCGTGGTCAAGGACAGCACCGATGGCGACGAATACAGGAAGGTGGACGTTACTGACTCGGGTCTGGCGGTCAGCGAAGCTGATCGATGTTCCCGCGTCCAACCAGGTCCAACCAGGTCCAACCCACGGCCGGTCTTGTGTCCACCCGGCAAAAGGATAACACTGAACAGTCCCAAAACAGGCAATAAGTAAAGTCCGGAACATTCAAGAACGAAAGAGCGGAGGCAACTGGGCAGCACAGCCACCCATTCAGCGCCGAAAAACTGATCGTCTGCGAAACGGAGGCAAAATAGTAAAGCACCTAAGAACCCACTAACAAGTAGCGGGAATATGAGAAATCGCAGTATGGGTTTATCACGAACAGATACCCAAAGTAAATAAACAGAACTACCAAAAGGCCAGGAGATGGGCAAGAGATGGGCCGCCAGCTGCAGTCGATTGTTCGAGTTGTGGCCCGGTAGCGCCGGAAGGTCGGCCGAGAACCAGGGGCATTAGATAGTGTGATAGAGCATGCACGGCGGCGATGAGCTGAGCGGTGATCGTGTCGAATAAACATATCATTTCCTCTACAGGAACTCATCCAGTATAAAGCGAATGACAAAAGACCACACGAATATAAAGAAGAAAGATGGGGAGAATAGCTCGTATGAGCTCGAGAGAGTTAATCGCAGCACAAACTTTGGCCTCGGACAGAGAACTTTACAGTGCAAGAACTCACCGGATTTTGCCGGCAATTATGCCGCCGACAGGTTCCGTTCGGGTTTCCCACGCGTCCTCGTTTCTTTCCAGATCTGCGTCATGTTTGGCCACAGGACGCCATTTACCAGCATTGTTGTGGCCGGTCCTCCCTTTATAGACGTCTTGCAATGACTTAGGTATCTATTTCGGCCTCTATTGACGCCGCATTTAGTGCGCCGTTCTATGAAAAATCGTAGGTCTTCACACAGGTTACGATCTAAAGCATACCGTATTCCTATCGCGTTCATCCCCACGGCCCCTGTCTCCTACTATCCACGATGACTTCCCCTCACTTCGACTCTGGTCTGGAGAAGGGGTTCAAAGGGATGTTCAACTCCCAGAAACCCAAGAAAGTCGTCGCAACTAAAGAAAAGGCCCCGGAACAGTTCTCCAAGTCGGTCTCCGCCACACCTTCTCTACTAGATGCCGCAGGATCTGTATCTAAAAATTCTAGTCTGCCTCTTGATAACCAGCAGGATGCCAATCTAGACACGAATCAGAGCTCAGATTGCATCCCTAGCTCTTCCCCAAGTAACTCTGGAAATAAAGCTGTCGACGAGAATACCAAGACAACTTCCGAACCTCGAAAGACCCGCTTCGTATGTCGCTTTTGGCCTCGTCCGCCTAATGCACCACTTGGTCCCATCAAGAACGACCCTGCTATTGTAGGTAGAACAGCTGGACGAGGAGGTCTACCGCTTTGGGGCGACACGCTTGCGGATTTCTTCATGTATGATGTAATTGGCAACGTTCAGGATGTTTCGACGAGCAGTAGAATGTTGAACTGGATCGAGGGGCTGTATGACGGCAAAGGCGATCTGGAAAGTAGAGAAGAAAAGAAGGAAATGCAGAGGAAGGAGATGGAGAGCGCGGCCCCGGAGATTCATGATTCGAGGCAGGAGCCGAGGCCGATGTTTTTGAGGCCTGAAAATGTCTTGAAGCTCATCAAGGAGCAGGATGTGAAGATCAGGGAGGGACAGTATGAGAAAGGAGTCGAGCGTGTAGAAGACTCCGGAAGGTTGAAGGAAGAGGTGCGTTCTCTGCTGATTTGGCCCTGTATTGAACCATCTAGAACCCTTTCCATGAACAGAATCATCGTGACCCATTTCACCCGAGCAAATATCCCCCACCATGGCCCCTCCCTCCTTTCTCTCATCAGACTCCTCTTTTTCAACATCGCATACCGTACCACCTCCTCCCTCAAAAACTCGTTGTTCACGACCCAGACAATGTCCTCCAAGTACGCTCTGGCTCCCCAGCCACGGACTCTAGCCACTCCGAACTATGCTCCAACACTACGCACACCTACAACCTCTCACTTTCTCCAGAGATGCAAGCCTCGAATCTCGAAAAATGTCAATCCGCCCGTGACGATTGGGACATAAACCACCGTTATGACACCGAATTCGATGGATTTTATTTCACTTCGGACCTGAAGGATATGCTCGCAGACGATGATTCTGATGACGCCGACGGCAGCTGGAAAGTTGTCCCTGCGCCTATTTTCGTTCCTCTTCCTTCCTCCGTTCCCAAGGAAAAGCAACCCCCTTCTTTCGAGCTTCCTGTCGCTCATCTGTATCTTTCTGGAGCGAAGGAGCGACTGAAGGGCACGGGAAATCATTCGGTGGTTTATGAAGCGGAATGGGAGTTGCCTAGGGTTTTGCTTGAGTATATATCGAATCAGAGAAGGGATGATCTGTTCATTGACGAAGGAGGGTTCAGGAGGGAGGATATATGCTGGGCATGCGTTCGAGATGCTTTGAAGGTACGGTTAGAAGAGATGGAGAAAGGCCCGGGTGGACGCACAGAACCAAAGTCAACCTCTATGGGTCTCCGCACCGTAGAACTCCACCAAAAACAATGGGACACCATCCTCTGTCCTCCCACTGCATGCACTCACACCCTCCTCCCTTCAACCGCCACAGTGCGCATCACCGCGAAGCTATCCGTTGAGAACGATAACCACCTAGTCCGAGAGGCCGCGAACTATCAGAAGTTCGATGAATCGCTTTTCCAGCATTGGAGCGGTCTTCATCTTGCGCCTCCGCTGAGGGATCCAACACCGGTCGGTGCGGTGGTCCCGCAGTTTTACGGGTTCTATCAACCGGCTGTGGGCGAGGACGAGACTGGAGACGGTGATGCTGAAAAGAGAGAGAAGAAGCGGTATCGGAGCAACATCCTGTTGTTGGAGGACTGTGGGCAGCCGATCAATGTCGACGAGCTGGATATAGATGACCGGTACGTTCGATTCGTGTCATCGGTCCGTGCTCCCATTTTTGAGTCTATTTCATTCATCAGTCAAGAATGTGCTGCACTCCTTTTCCGCTTGCACTTCAATCACTGGACGCACAACTCCTTCTACCCTCGAAACATCCTCGTTCGACAGGGCGATATTTCAGAGACTGCCTCCTCTGGGCCTGCCATACGTCACCGTTACACATGCAAACGCCGTTTCAGGCTGATTGACTTTGGACGAGCCATTCAGTACGATAAAGAAGGAAATGCAGTATTTCAGGATGCGGATCAGGAGATCCGAGAAGTCCGGGGGAGGCTTAGACTCGAGAGGATTCCAAATGGGACGTGGGTCAATGTACCCCATACGAACACAGGAAACGAGATAGAGAAGCTCGCAACGGGTAGGCGTCGCGAGGAAAGGCAAGCTAGGCTAGGGCTGAAGATATGGGAGTTCATTCCGGGGCCGAGAGTTGTCAGTGAGGAGGAAGCCGATTTTTTTATTTGATTTCGTGAGAGTGAATCGATTTCAAGGATTATGCTAATAAGCTATGTCCAGCCAAATGAAATATGAATGTTCCTGCTTTCGAAGATGCCTAACACCGTTCAGTCCACGGGAGATGCAGCAAAACAGGGGCCGGAGTGTAAGTTGCTTTCCTCTACATCAAGCCAACCTAGTTCAGGCCCAGTCGACATTTTGGTTTTGACGCATCTTCGTATCCGGGAAGACGAACCAGCGCTGTCGGACGTTCTACTGCTGACAGCTCCGAGTCCGCAGGATGGGACAAATCGTCGGGGTCTAGCTCGGTCTATCTGCAAGCCTTCGAAGTACAAGACAAGGTTTTAATCGGCATACTGGAGTACTTTAAGCGATCTTTCAGGGCCCCACGGTTTCGTGAAATGGAAGGAACCCCTGCCAGATGTATCGTCAGTCAGATACCGAGTAGCGAAAGAGGAGCACACACCGGAAATAAAAGTTTCGAGTCATTATTCATGAGAATCATCAAACTCTCCTTGTACACCGTCCTCTACACCATCCCACTCCAAATTGGCCACCAAGTTATGTAGAAAATGAAACGAATCTCTCCTCAAAATGCATCTCAAGACGGACAACCTCGTGATAGGTTCTCCGATTGCTTTTCGCCTCATCAAGATATGTGGTAAGGCGATCAGAAGGGAAGTCCCTAAATCATCCATATCTTCGTTGAAGTCTACCTCGCGGATATCGATCGAGGTAAGGTTTGGGAGGAAGATGTTCTCTTCCGAGGTTGGAAGAGTGCCATTAGATGTCAAACTGTGCAAATCATTCGCCTCCCCTCCGTCGCTGCTTTCGATGACTGCACTCGTGGTTTCAGAGAGGGCATAGAAGAAGGAGATGGCTGTGTCCCCACGAACAGATATGTGCTGTAAGGTACGGAACGGGCCTATGTTCTCCTTCCATAAGTTCTTGCTCATTGCTCCATATGGTCGTATGATGATCGTGAGGTTTCGTAGATCATCGAGATGGAGAAGGTCAAAAATGTATGTAAAAGAAGGCCTATGCGAGGAATACTGGACCGACAAAGAGACCGTGGTCGGAGAGAGGAGGTGGCGAGGCCATGGTCGTACAGTAGTATCGGTGAGCTCAAGGCCTGAGTCTTCCCAAGCGTCGACGCGCATGTATCTGCGCCCGTCGATGAACTGAGGGCGAATAAACAACGAACGAATGCGAAGAGCAGACGGTGCTCGTGTCAGCTGCGTGACGCTAGAGAACAAGGGTTCGAGGTAGGTGTCACTGACGCCGATGGTCTGTGTCTGACTGGCGCTGATATGTATGTGCTTTGTGGACGGAAATAGGACGCGCTGTAGAACGTAAACACAATTTGAACCAAAACCAACGAGGTGGAAGTCCTCGAGATGAGACAGGACCACCGGGGCCATCCTAACCTCCGAGGTAAGCCCGTGAGCAATATCCGGAATGTAGTGAACAAGCCTCAGGTGGCGCAAGGACGAGGCAGTTTGAAGCATAGTGAAGAAGTCAGCAGAGGAAGGGAGAAGATCACGCCATACGGTGGATCCGCTGCTGCTCAATAATGCTACGTGTGCGTCCGGAACCTCGAGAGAAAGATCGGTGACCGTATGCAAAACCGAAAAGAGTCTCGACGGCAGTTCCATTCCGAAGAGGGACAGTCGACGTAGTTATGGAGTGTGATTGGCAAAGATGGTGGCAGGAAATGATGGGGAATATTGGGCGGTCAAATCGAGGTTTTCTAATATAGGGGCTGGCGTACCGGCCAATGACATGATCAGGGTTTGCAGCTCGATTATAGGCTGCGGCGATGAGTCGTCGATGAGAATGATCTCTCTGATTCGCGACGAGTGAATCTGTATCAAAGCAAGCAATAGAGCCTTTATTTCTTGGGTGATTCCGTGAGTCCTCAGGGGGAGTGAAGTGGCTTTTGCACGGGAGAGCATTTCCGTCGTCCAACGGGATCCAAGAGAACAATAGACGTTTGCCCACAGCGTGGGCATACCAATAGACACTCTTCGCCAACTAGCACAGACATGAGAGACATTGATCCAACCCAGCCTTGAGCTTGCAGTAGAACCTCGATACCAGTCGGGCTTGTCAACTGCGGTGAGAAACCAGAAACAGCGATCTAGGATCTCTGTTGGTAATCTCGAAGGGAGAGACAGCGCATTCCGCCGTTCTCGAGCGACGCGGATCGCTTTTGTCATGGCAGAAAGCTCATTGTCCAGCTCTTGCATAGCATGACTAACTGCATATGCATCACTTCGAGCGGATAGTTGGAAGAACGATGCAGTTCGCGCCATGATGGCGGAAGTCCAATATTCGACGGCCTGTTCGTCGGATGCCTGATGGTCATGGGGGCTGTCAGAGAGCTGAGGTGGTATGAAGTTTCAACAGCCCTGAAATCAAAAACAAGACGCACCATAGTAAGAAGATCAAAGAAAATGTGATTCAAAGATCAGGCCTCAGGGGAGTCGGTGACCGCCTCGTAGTCAACCTAGTAAATTGAGGTGCTTGGCGGCGTTCAGACGTCCGGGTGCTGTGTCACAGGATGGGCTAACACATTGGTCAGTTTTGAAAAGTCCCCCAAAGAATACGCGCGTACCGTTTGTATGATTAGTAGGGAGTAGAGAGACAGAGACGTCGTCGAGTCGTCGTCGACACTGGTCTACTTGGGTGCTGTGCGACGACTTACTTGGAAAGGTGCGGAGTTTGAAAGTCAGACGCCACACAATCGAGCTGCAAGCGCTCAATCGGCCCTCCGATTGCAACATCTCAACGCTCTCGAGGAGATATCTCATGCCCGTTGCCCATTCTTTGGACATTCTATACTCAACGCAAGCACCCTAATATTTCATCAGAAGTGTCAAGCAGTCGGGAAAAAAATCAGATCAAGACGCTACTGGCGCCACGAAGAATGATACCAAAAACAGGGGTAAATGAATATACGGATGGATGGACAGAACTACAGAGCTACCAAGACAGACAACAAGATGAGATCTACAACACGGACTTCTGTAATCATCAATACATCCCGGCGACTACGACAGTGGCTACAGCTTCATGACTTCTTCTCAATGGACGTTTACTTGAACTGCAATAGTGAACAAACCAAGTCAGTATCACAGCCGCAACAACCAGAAGAAGAAAGGGTAGGTGAAGAGACTTACGTTCTTGCCATCGACCCACTTCTTTCCATCGATCTCCAAATCCCAAGCCAAAGCGCCCTCGAAGAACTTCTTCTGCTCCTCGTTCGACAAGTCGAGCTTCTCGTACGAGTAGCTCTCCCAATCGGGTGCGCAATCGACGACGGGCTGGATCTCCTGGCCACGGACGATGAGAGCACCAGTGATGATGGAGTTGTTGGTCTCGCCAAGAACACCCACGGAACCGAACAAGTACTTGCGCGAAGCCTCGAGACGGTTGAAGAAGCCGCCGATCTGGTTGGAGGACATGAAGGTTTGTGTGAGTTCGTTGTTGTACTTGAAGTCCACGCGCCAGAGGGAGTAGCCCTCCTTGTCGAAGCTACAGCATCACATATCAGCACAACGATCTTTCGCCAGGGAAGGACAGAGGTTGAGAACTGAGGAATGGTACGCACTTCTCGTAGAGCCACTCAAGGGAGCCACCAGCACCACGGGTGTCCTTGTTGGAGTACGCCCTCTTCCAGTCCTCAAGGTTCAACGACGACTTGGGCAGATCATCCAAGGGGTTCTTCGCCTTGGGCTCGGCAGGGACCAAGGGCTCGTCGTCATCCTCCTCGGCCTCCTTCTTCTTCGGGGCTTTCTCAGCTTTAGGGGCCTTCTCGGCCTTAGGAGCCTCCTCCTTCTTCTCCTTCTTTGGTGGTGAGTAAGCGGCGGCCTTCTCCGCGAAAGTGGTCTCGCCGAAGACAGACTTCAGGCTGGGCTGGTTAACGATCGTGTTGAAGTGACGGAGGGTGTTGGGGAGTTTTGAACGGAGGGAGGCGTCGACAGTGAGTGAGAAGGCGCGCTGGAGCGCAGAAGCGAGGGCGATGTCGGCGAGGGTGATACGCTCGGTCGCGAGGAAGGTGCGGGTGACGAGGGCAGCCTCGATGGTGGTAAGGGCGGCGGTCAAGTGCTCAACGCCATATTGTTGGATCTAGACAACTCAACGAAAGCTCAGACATCCTTCTCAGATCGATTGGGAAAGAGAAGAGCCTACGGGTTTCGAGTAAGGGACAATGGTGCCGGTGACGAGGCCGATCACAAACTCGCTGTGCTGAACAACTTGTGAGTCAACGAGAGCAACCCATTGGTCGACAACAGCGGCATCCTTGGCGTCTGAGCCAAGGAGAGTGGAGTTGGGAGCGAGGGAGGCGACTAATATCGAGAAAAAGGTCAGTAAAACAAGTAAGTGAAGGAAAAGGAAGCCATAGTGAAAGCGAGGTGGAGAATGGACGGTGCCACACAAACATGTGCGACGATAATCGATCGCGTTCAAGCTGAACCAAGTTGAACATTCGTATAAACAGCCCATAAGGAATCAAAGACATCGATTGTCGCTCAAAGGAATTTACAACTGCATACGCTTGCAGCCTTTCACCAAAGACCACTCATCTCATATGTGCATTACTTCGGGCTCAGGCGTGACGCCACCTCGTTGAACCGAGGTTCAAAGGAAAACATGCTCATCCGAGAAGATGATCGTCACAATCTCTAGTGTTTTTGTCCATCCCAATCGAGAAAAAGACACAGATTGAGAAGTCTACTCACTGTAACGGCCGACGGCACCAGCGCCGAAGACAACGAAGCCATCTTTGTCCTCAAAGGTGGGAGTAACGAGGGTACCAGCCTTGGGCTCCTTCACGTCGACAGAGACACCAGCAAAGGCAGCGATGGCGTTGATCTACATCGTCAATGGGACCACGATCAGATTCGACGAGTAAAAATCAGATAAATCCGGTAATAATTGTGTGATGCAATACGCACGCGCTTGGCCTCCTCGGGAGTGGCGTAGACAGTTCCAAGAGACATCTTTTTGAGAGCTTTTGAGCTTTTGGATCGTAAGTAAAGAGATAGAGGGAGATGAGAGCAGCGAAGAGGGGAGCGGTGGGGGAGTGGCTGAAATTTTTGGTTATTTGACTGACTCGCGCGGGCTGGCACGCGTGTAGGGTTAGGGCGACGTGCTCCATCCATCGATTGTCAACGACTGCCCGGTCCGACCATCTTCCTCTATTTTTTGTCGGGCCTCAAGCTCTGGGGGATGAGAATGTTATTTAATATCATTGAGCGCTCTCTTACTCCCATAAGCTTGTACTTTCAGAGTGAGAGGAAGCTCAAAGCCGATTTCTGGCGGGCCGAAGCTCGTCTGTAGTGTGGCACCACCATGTTGGTCTGTGGCAACATCTCAGATACGGATAACAATACTTTTTCCGCTAGCGAATGACTGAGAACGTTGCAAGACTACGTATGTATAGTTGACTACTTACTCTTGTAGCACAGGCATACAGCGGAGAACCTGTCTGAGTTCCGCCAAATTCTTGCACGACCGTTTCGTGTATTCTGTGCTGAAGTATACTTTTTAAGGTCCATGTTTGCCAAAAATGGATGATTTTTGAAGAAACGTAACCACCTGAAAGGATACTTTTACGCGTAACTTTCTCGGTCGCCCTTCAGTTTCAACTTTCATCCCGTCAACGGCCCTTTGTAGGTATCTTACTAGCCGTGAGCTATCTCTACTTCTCCGTGTTTTCTGTAAGTTTATAGACGATTTCATACCATCTGTACAGGTATGTTGGGTAGAAGACTGTGACCTCATCATCCCTACAAGTCAGTATTGGCTAGTAAGTCCTCGGTATGTCCTCCTGTTTTGGCTAGGTCCATAAGTGTAAGGATCTTGCGCGCTTCGTCACCGTCTACACATTTGGGTCTGCAAAAGCTTCCAGAAGGTCTCACGTATGACACCTCGATGGGCAGCTGGAAATATATCTCGTCGATTGGGATAGATTGCTCGTGTCTACTCTCAGCCCGGTCGCGCTTTCTTGATGTTCGTCACTAGGACATCAACTTCCTTAGATGACAAGCGAGGTACTCCTTGTGTGCCTCGTCGTGTCCAGCGAAGATCAACTGTGGTATCACGAAGCTATACCTTCCGCAGTCTATTCATTCCCTGTTTCCTACGAAATCTAAGGACGGTGCGCCATGGAGATGAACACAGCCTTTGTATGTATCTTCAGCTTCAATGAGAGTGCGTATATATCCTCAGCATGGTGACGCACAATTCTGGGAGACTTCGATGCCAGTTATATGCCAAATTGTGGTTCTTTGAGCCAGTCAGAGGCAGTGGTTCGTTAGGGCCAACCGTTGTGTGGATCTGCACATCCACCATGCCGATGGGCCACGGTTCACGTCGAGGTTTGATCTGTGCACGGCCTCAAAATCATACTTTCGATCGACCACTGTACAGTGTATCCATCAGGCTAGTTATTGCACTTCGTCATTCGGCCCGCCGGGCGGCGAACCAGACGTGGATTTCTCCGAGCTCTTCGATGCGTTCGTCTCCAGTCGTCTCCTTCACACCAAGCTTTCTCACATTCGGACTGTCGTGCCAATCCTCACGACGCCCACTCAAGGCCGTCTTGACTCGTCGCCCAGTGCAGGGCCTGCTCAGTGTTCCGTCGGAACTGCCCCGGGAGATGGGCACGGATTGCATAGCGTTCTGAACAAAGTATGCGTCTGAACTGCAGGAATCCCATCGACGCTAATTGTGGATGGGATCAACAGCGTCTTGTACGTATCGACTGCGAGAAGCTGTGTCTCTCGAAGCTTGGATCTGCGGTCATTAGAAGCCATGACGAACGCGCGCGGGGTACTTATGCGTACTCGATCCCGTCGGAAATCCTTTCTCCTCTGCCTCAACGAGCTACTGATTATAAACCTTCTCTTTCTCCATATCCACATCTTCCTAGCTTGTCTCTCTCTAGTGCGTCTATATGGACCAGTTCTATAATCCCCTTGGTCAATATCACCACTCGTATGCTTCCGGGTCTCAAGACCCGTCCGGCTCTAACCACAATGACTACGATATGCAACACACGACCGAACTTGCTTCAACGCCATCTATACAATTCTCACCAGACCACGATTTGCGTTCGTTTCTTTCTCAAACACACCAACAACATCCACAACAGCAGCAGCACCATCATCACAATCTCTCCCAGATCCCGAACTATGCCTCTACATCATCTCACTCACAGTCTTACTTCGACGCGTCTAATACACACACGACCTATGACCACTCCCCATCTCCCCAAGACCAATATCTCCGACCTTCATCCTCTCCCGGTTTACCCACCGCCGTCGATCCCGCCATCCAACTCGAACTTCTCCGTGAGACGAGACGTATACGAGAACTCGATCTCCAAATAGTAGAAGCGACTCTACGAGATAGCGAAGAAAAGCGCCGGATACGAGAAGCAGAGCTTGCGATGGCTCAATTGGGAAATAGGCCTAACGCGCCTTCAACATCAGCATCCACCCCGAACGATAACCAGTTTCACTCTCTTGGCCATAGTCCCAATTACAATCATGCACCAACCCCGAGTTCGAGTGCGAGTGGTACTGGGAGCGTGCATGATGGAGGTGGTGGTGGTGTTGGTGGTCTCAGCGGCGGCGATGGCGACAGCGGCGTTGGGACAAGTGGGAATGCAAGGCCACGGTCAGCGGGGGGCAGAGGCTTGATGGGCGAAGTGAGCATCGACGATGTCCTCGACGAGGCACACTGGGCCCAGTTCTCCTCGTCATGGATAGGCGCCGAGCAGTCTACTTTCCTCGGTGCCGGTGGCGGCGGGATGCAAAGTTTCGGTGGCTTCGCACCCGGTTTGGCGATGTTTGACCCGGTCATACCAGTCCTGCCAGAGCCTGGAAAACTAGCGAAGTCGATACTCGAGCAATCACTTTCCGCTCCCCCATTTCCCCAAGACTCGCCTATCGATGATGCTGAGGACCAGGACGACTCCCCCTCAGGCCAAGCCGCGTATACTCCCGATGATCCCAGCTCGAGTAGTGCCACGAAGTCAAAGAAGACAGGCAAGATCATCGAGACGAAGAACGTCCATTGCACCAAATGCAACCAGCTTATTGCCAGACTTGTCCTCCGAGGCACGCGCGAAGAATTGGACCTCCCTTGCGACCTTTTGTACCAATGTCTCAAGTGCGCGCCCCAGACCTCTGTCCCGCCTTCTGCATCTGGGACGAGGTCGGGATCGAGGAAGAGGGCAAACGAATTGGACGATACAGAGAAGTTTGTGACTTGCGATGTGTGTACGCATGTGAGGGGGCACGGAGGCTTGAGGGCAAAATCGAGAGAGCATATCGAGTTCACGGCTGAGGTGAGCCTTGAGCTTCGCGTTTGGTCTTATGTGACGTGTGCATTTTTGGCTCAATCCTGTGGACTGACCTCCCCCCCGATTGATAGTTCATCTGTCTGTCGTGCTCGGAGAAGTATCGTCGGTGAGTTAAGTTTGCTAGCGTTTAGCTTGGTTTGGCGGACGCTGACCACGAAACCAGGTGTACGAACTGCGGTGGAACATCTGCTCGAGGTATTGTCGGCAAATGGAGGTGCAAGGAATTATTTGCTGGGGGAAGGAAGACTTGCAGCCTCTCGCATGCGAGGTACTTTGCCTTACCTGTCTTTGTCTTCACTCACCAACGCTTACTGATTGGCCATTTTACGGTGTGTAGGTTGGGAGCGTTGGATATGGAGCTGGCGGTCTGGGTGATTCCCCAAGAACTGCAAGGCGCCCCTGAACTTCCTGCGCTCCTCGAATGCTGCGAAGAGACATGGAGAGAGCATATACTGGGCAAACTTGCAGTGCCAGAGGTAAAATTCAGCCCACAATCTATCTGCGTAGTTGTTATGCTCACGCACACTCCGACCCTCCAGGTCCTCGAACATCAATCCGAAATGCGTAGTTACTCAGATATCGAGAAATTTCTCCTGGTCTATGAATTTCCCGGGAAAACGCTTTTCACTACCCCCACAAAATCACCAAATCACCGCCGCTATGTCTCCCTCCACTGGGCCAAAACTCGAACACGAAGAAACAAAAACAAACCTGAGTGGGCTTTGGTCAGTCACGAGGAAAAGATGGCAACGCAATCCAGCAGCGATGGGTGGTTGACATATAACACGAAGAGGTCGAACGTTATCCGACCTGCGGGTGCGATACTGTGTGGGATGTGGATGGTAGAGTGGATCGTTCCTGGTTCGTCCTCTCTTTCTTAATTTCTTCCCTTATCATCGTAGTGGAGAGTTTGAGCTTACAGGTGCTCGCTGTAGACAAGACTGCGGTCGTTTCGACAATCTCTCCTTTTGACGCAGTAACCACGGACGAACGTGCTCCTGTCCACTTGTCTGAGATTTTCCGCCGAGCATTGCAGGAATTAGTGAAACATAACGCCGAGCATCCGAACGACTTATGGGCGCCACCTGAACATATCTGGATGCTCCTCAGCAAAACGGGCGTTAGTACGTATTGGACCCCCCATTCCTCGTACTTAAAACTGTACATCATTAAACCTCTGCTCACCTGACTCTTATTCTACTCTCTCTCCATTTTTCGACAGCCAACCGTCTACGTGTAACAGATGGTCTCGAACGACGCTCTATCCTTCCTCTCGATGAGTACCTCACCCGCCATATCGAAGCTCGCCCCGAGCAGTTCGACCCACATATATGTGGACTATCAGAGCATTTGATCCAGCGACGGCCACATATGAAGTTCGAGGTTCAAGTCAGGCATATTGGACTAGGAACGACGCCAGAGATGGTTGAGAAGAGGGCAGCTGGAAGACTGAGGAGGTCAGTCAAGAAGGGGCGGTAGGTGTTGGTAGATTGAGATTATGCTTGGGTCGAGGTGTTGGGAGCTCACTTCTGCGCGAGCCTCCCTGGTTGGCGGCGCCTCGGTACTCTGGAGCGTTTCGATGGCTTTTCGAATGTCCGAAATCGAAGTTATCATGCATTGGCGGAGGTAAAGAAGTACGGGACACATTGATTCATCTGTATGGTAGCATTCATATCAGCTCTCTTTCTCTTCTCTTTTCTCTGGTTCAACATGGACATGCCGCAGTAGAAGTAACGTAGACACACGGAATATTCAAAGATTTTCTATCTTGGCTCCCCTGGAGGTATTGTAGCTGTATAAGTACTGTCAAGGTTAACCTAGCAAAGCAGTGCCATCACCGTACATGTAGCAATCCTGATAAATGCGGGGTAGAATGATCGTAACTTAGCATGGCACTCAAGTTACCTGGCCGTGAAGTTTTAGTTGTGGATCATTTTTCGGTCAGAAATGAGGGATCAAAGTACCGAAAAATCATGAACAGACTCTGAGATGATATCTATCTCTAGTGAACAGGAGTAGGTATGACCCAAGTAGAGAGGATGAGGGGAAAATATGCGTGAGAACATAATGAGCCACCGAGATTCGCCGAATGAGAAGTTCTCACGAGTGCCACTCTAGCCAAACTCTAGCTCAACCGCGCTACGTTACCGTCATCGCAATTAGCGGGAAGCGAGTTGAGTGCAAGAACGGCGTAGATATTTACTCCTTTTGTATTGATGGAACGCTGATATAAATGCCGACAGGCCATGCGTCCGTCGCAACATTTTCTCCCCCCTACGTCGACGCCGTCACAATGTTAATGGGCATTGTTCCACCAGTGATTGCGAATAGCCATCAGGCATGCTACCATTGCTTCAAAAGCCGTAATGTGAAACTTCAGCGATGTTCGCGCTGCCATAGGACCGCTTATTGTAGCTCGGGTAGGTTCAAAGCAGCCTTTCAAGTCAATACCACTTATTTATATACTTACGCCCATCCGTCTGATAGAGTGCCAAAAGGTTCGTACGCACAGTACATGGGTGGATTAGGCACCCATCGGGGCAACACATTGACGCAGCGCTAAAAATCATTGAAGGCCAACTGGAAGAGTCACAAAGGCATTTGCAACGCCCTATCAACTCTCGGAAAAGAGCCTTCCCAACTCCTTCTGGCACACAACACTTCTAAATCCCTCCCACTCGGTCTCGAGGATCTGACCAAACGCGACACAGTACAAAAATTGCAACTCTGCGAGCGTATTCTTTCGCGCGAAACGAACGTTCTGGAACGTAATCTTCTCTGTTGGGAGCCGCGGTGCCTCCTCTGGTAGGCATCTATTTCTTGTCAGATATTGCTTCACGTGTTCTTCGACGCTGATACATACCTGTAATAAAAGTATCAGAACGGACCAGACCCTTCGCATTCAGGAGAAGGCTGGAGCCTTGAAACCCGCCGGCGCCAGGCTAACGCCCTGCCCAACATGTCGTCTATCCTTCACCTGCTCGCCCGAGCACTGGAACCTTGTGAAAGACTTCCACTCCAGTACTCCATGCCCTGACTCTCCCTTCGGTCTAAGCCAGTGCCAGACCAACTCTTTGATCTTTGCTGACAGCGAATTCGAAGCCGCTCATCAACAGGCGAATACCCAAGGCGGACCCTTCCAATGGGCACCAAAGCGCACTGTCGAGCGTTGGTCATCTTTACTGGATCCGGAAAGGTCTACTTGGGAGACCGAGTTTGGGGAACTGTTCGAGAGAGAAATGGGAGTGAGCGGGCCTAGCACGGACAGCGTTGATGCGAAAACCAAGCTGCGAGCAGCGAGTGAAGGGCTGTCCATGATTGTGACGATTCTGTGGGCACTTGAGAAGCTGAACGAAGGGGATGAAGCTTGGACGCAGAAAGAAATATTAGAGATTCATGTCAGTCGCTCTCTTTCTCTCTTTGACGTGTGATCACTGAATTAGTGGTTGCAGATTCTTGGAGCGTCTGGAGATATTACATTCGGAGTCAATGGTTTTCGAAGAGATCTTACATCGTCTTCCGGAGGTGAAGACGCTCAAGGTATGGACTCGGAATGAACGATTTCTTCATGAGAATGTCCAATTACTCATGAGACCATGCACAGCTCGTATTCTGTGGACCCGAAGTTGAAATGTATGTCCCACCGTACAGGTTGGGCAGGACGGTCGAAAAGCACTTGTGCCCGTGGGTCCAACACTTTTGGTTGTTTCCCCGACGCGTACTGACGGCGTTCTTTTTACGACGTAGGTCTTGCAGGCGATCAGGCCGTAAACGAGTATACACCCATTACGCAGAGTAAGCCAACTTCCTTGCTCCTTGCTCGAATGCGAGCAACAAGATTGATTGACTTGCCCAATCCAATCGCCGGTAGGACCTATCACGACTTTATCTCTGCCCAAGGGCCTAAATATGTAGTCCCCGACCTCGCTGTCGCGTTCAACACCGGTGCCTCTCAAGACGATGTCGATTCCTGGCGCGAGACGATGGATATGCTCGTCGATCGCGAAGTTCCGAGCGTATTCACGGTGCGTTTACCATCGTCCAGCCCTGTTCTCTAATTTTCCTAGGTCGCCTACCTTTTCCCCCGAACTGAGATTGTTTTTCGTGCAGGCATATCATAAGGAGGAAGCCCTCGAAGAGCAAGAATATCTCTCCGAGGCAGGCGCACGGTTTGTCATGGAAGCGAAGATTAATCCTTGGGGGAGCATGCTGATGAAGATAGAACCATATAACGTGTACGGGTACTTCGCGACAAACGGTTGGATCGCGGGCATGTTCAAGGGAAGACGCTGAAGCCAAAGCCAATGGGACCATGTACGTTCGAGGAATCAATTCGTATGAGACATATGAACCGGCGATCTGTGTCTTTGTGTACCACCTCGTCATGGCATTGGTTTCTCTTCGTACATAAAGTTCAAGAGCAGAGCACTAACAACCAGAGCTGGTACTCCTTCGAATCATCCGCTAATAGCAGCGGTGGTTCTTCATGGTGAACCGTCGATATATATCTGGGCATATATATGGACTCAAAAAAATACATGAAGTACAAGCACCTGGAGATTAAAATACAAGAAGATGTCCCGAGAACGCCGGCTAGCTAGGGCGGCGGAAGCAAACGACATGAGGGCGGAGGTGGAGGTGGGGTGTGAGATTCATGTCGGAGTAGCACCATATATGAATATCAACCTGCAAACAAGGGCAAGTATTAGCAACTGTTCACTAGCTTGTGCAAGACTAGCGAAAGCTGGAGAGGAAGAAGAGTTCAGAGTCTAATTATAAAGTCGACACGGACGATTAAGCCAGGGATAACTGATCTGATGTTAGGTTTTTGCATCATGGTGAAGGGTCTGGGTACGAGACTGGGAAGAATAAATCGAAGACAAAATGAGCACTCACCATTGGGGGAAAATCAGGATGCGTTTTGAACCTTCAATCGTAGTCGGGGACACCTCGATCATGACTGACGAAAGACAGAAACCGCAATCACATTGCCCAACAAAGTAGAGAACACCAGTGCAAGTCGTCGGTATGAACGACGTCGATGGGAGAGGGACGAAAAAAACAGACGCGCTCATCCTGAAAAGAAGATACAAAAACGCGACAACTTTAGGGTAGCCTCTTTGCCACGGTCTGTCCACGTGGGCGCGTTCCGGGCACGGAACGGAGCTGCGGCGCGAGTCCAGCTCAAGTTCGGCAACCTCTGTCACTAACTCCCATCATCGTCCTCCACAGCGACCATGGCTCCCGTAGCTCCTGGAGGTCTGTAATCATCAACATATCGCAGTTTCCACTATGCTCAATGTTGATTAAACTCTGCCTCGCTCCATGATTTACAGAGCCGCACGAGAGCCCGAAGCCACAACCGATTGGCAACATAGCCTTCACACTATTGATCACGACGGCGACAGTATGCCTGCTCTTCGTATTATGGAGGCGAGCAGATGCATTGAGAGGAGCGGTATCACATCAGTGAGTGTTTCGTAACTGTCAGACGTCCATGGTGCACTTGGGCCACCTCCTATCCCGGCGTAGCACTACGTCCATTTTCCTTCATGTCTATAAACCTACCACCCGCTCATACTGTGATAAAACAATAAACTAATTTCCTACACACCTAGATTGAAAACATGGTCCCGCCGAGAAGGCAACATTCGTCTATCAGAAGATGATGGCCCTTCCGCCCAATCCTTCCTTGAGGATACCGTCTACGACGCGGATAACGACCACATAGAAGACTCGGACGAACTCGCAGTGCAGAAGCGCGTCGAACGTATCCGTCAGCAGCAGGAAGGAGGTCAGGGTCTAGGCGAGCATTGGCAGGAAGTCGGCGCCGAGTTGAGGACAGGGGAGGGGAGCGGCATAGGGTCGGGCCCCACCTCACCATTTGGTGTGGGGGATGATGGTGAGGGCGACGATGAGAGCCGAAGGGCTTGGGAGAGTCATAAGAGAGGGGCATCAGTTTCGAGCGAGGCAACAGTTCGGGGATGACCCAAGGCGCATTTGTGAGCCCTACCAACCATCTTCGCGTCTTCGCTATGATGCTGATGTTTGTGGGATCTCCATAGATACACTGTGTCGTTGTGACGTTAGCTAACACTTTGCTGCATGGACATCAGCTTAGCATCGGACGTTTCTCGTTCTATCGTTTATGCACTGTTTATTTTCCTACTCATGACCGCCTTGTTCATTCAAATTTTATCCTCTTATTTTCCCTATAATTGATCTCACCTTCCTCATGATCAGAAACCTTTCTCCATCCGTTTGAGCTCAATGCAGCACCATCGCGAGTCACCGCTACCGTGTATGACGCTGTTCAAACAGCGGGGAACATGTATGGGCCAGGTGCTTGGTAAATATAAACACATTGAAGGGTAGCGTCTATTTTGTCTAAACCACAAGCTCAATTTGAGAACTAACAATTTTTGTTACGCAGACTTCGTTAATTCAGACGTACCTGACTGGGCGATGCTCAATACTCTAGACACAACTTACCGAGGCCTGACTTGCGGTTCCCCTTCCGTGATTTGTCCATCTCTTGTTTCGGTCCGCTTCTGGGCGCGGGCGCGTGCTACATTTGCTGGAACTACCTCACAAGCAAGGCCACAACGCCCGCCCCACAACGGACCGTTTATGGTTCTGCATCGCGCAACAGCGACTTTGAAACCTCGTCATAATATCCCATGATCCCAATCCGTCTGTATCTCCTCCAACATTTTCGGTAACCACGCCCCTAAGTTTCGACCGACGTGGCTACATAAAGCCGGCATTCCTCGAACCTCCCTTCCCCTCTTCTCATCTGTTGTCGACATTACCATCAGAACTGACTCGGGAGCTCTGCCCTCTTCGCTCTGAATCAGGGAACTTTGGGAACCTACCGAAGACTTCTCCCAATCCTCAAAGCCGCTCCTCGACCGAGGTGCTTCACTCCTCGCGATACATTGCTGGTATTGCTTCTAGGACCGTTGCCTCTGCCTGTATCACGCCAGCCTTACTGCCCCATCTTATCCTTCATCTCGAAGATTACACAATAGAATCTGCCCTCTTTTTCGAAGACGTCGGAATCCCTTCCGACGTCGTAGCGCATACAAGTTCTGCGAAAAGCCACACTCCGGTTGGACAAGTCGACCCAGTTGACTCGTTCTTTTGGTATGCGGGGCCACCTAGCTCCCCCCACCTGTAAATTGAACCTCACGCGGTACAAATGTCCGTCTCCCAAATTGAGGGCTAGAGCACGTAGACACTCATCGGTGATACAGCTATCAAGGATGCATCTGTAAGATTCCACGAAGACTCCTTTCTCCTCACGTCTGCTGGAGTGTTCAAGTACTCTTCCGATGTAGCTCCTTCGGTACCCCCAATCGTGTCTCTTTTCGACTTGCCCAGGACACACCGCCCGAAGGGACACTGTCCTTGAGCGGGATTCTCTAGGAACAGAAACAAAAAGGCTATCCCATCGCATGTCTGTGTCTTGTGTATTGCGTGATTCTGGGGCAAGTAGGCCTGAGCGGAGGTGGACGCTGTTCTGGATGTTATTGGACGTCTGTACATACAGGGGGACAGATGCTCTTCGGACCCACAGGGACCCTGTTTGCTCCCAAGCTCTTAATCATCAGCTTCGTCATCGGGCGAGAGACGGATAGATCTCGTGGACTATTTTGCGATCGAGGAATCCTGAGCGCTGATGAGAACAACCATAGTTATGTTCATGATGCAAACAACTAGCAGTCTACGTCTCTTCACCAGTAAGCACAATTTTCTCGGGTTGAAGTATGTATGTCGATTCGAGGAGAAGTCATCAGTAATATTAAACCTGCGCACTATGACCCATAGACGACATTCATACACGACTGCGAGGTGCACAAACCAGGTGCGCAGAGCCTTGTAGAGAACTAACGAGGGGTGAAATCCGTGGCCGTACATGCTTTACGCGAACTCCTTCACAACTTGGCATTGGTTGAAACCGGAGTCGCCGTCCATCCCATCAACGTGTACCTTCGTAACAGCCCGGTAGCCAAACGCTTCGTAGGTTGGTACCTGTGCACATCGTTCTCAATGAGCTTGTTACGATACGCATGAATGGCCACGTGATACATACTGTGGTGTCATACGTATCGAGTACGACACAAAGGCCGTTGGATGCAGCCTAAACAGCGAGGAAACAACCACATCTGTCAAGAAACGGGTAACAGGAGGTGCAACACACGGTGACATACTGCAGCTTCTCCGTACTTCAACAATAGACGTCCGATACCCTTCCCTTGATACTCGGGTGAGACCGCGAAGCTGTTCAAGCACCAATTCTGAAGCAGAAATTTCGAGCCATCCGGGTCCTCCGGCCGACCAAATGCCTGTTTGGTCATCTCCTTGAAAGCTGGTACCATCTGTGCACAACAATGGTCAGTCTACTACTGTAACGCCTCACGATCGGCGTCATGTTTCAGGCTTACCGACGAAAAGTACCACTTGTAGGCCTCGGGTCGCTGTTCAATCGCTTTTGTTGCAAAGGCGTTGCTCCCTCTGCTTCTCTGCGCATCACTGGGGACATTCGGGAGGTCAATATTACTGATCAATCGCGCAAGAGAGAAGCAGCACATGCCGACGCGACATACCTGCCTAAGCGTTCGGTCCCGGGTGGAAACCATGAAATAGTGCCAACAACTTTCTTGTTTGCGTCTTCGGCGACGAAGAGTTGCCCTTCCTCTAGTGCTGCACCGATCAAACCAGTATTCATCATGCGAATGAGTTCGGGGTCATTTCCCGTCAGTGCTTTCCGAATTGGATCTGTCGAAAATCAGCGTAAGTCCCTAAAGCATGGTACCGATGCTTCACTTGTACCTGCATCCGAGAATGCTTTCCCAAGAATGTCGATGGCAGCAGACACTTTCTCCGGTTCGGAGCCTACAGAGACCCAATCGTGTTCCATAAGCATTTGTATACGCAGAGGAAGTGAATGAGCTCGCCATCGTGGATTCGATATATCGAGACAGCTGGTGTACTGTTGGGTGCCATGACTATGGGGTCGTGGTAGATCGTTGCAGAGTCGCGCAGGCTTCCAGCATGAGATAGTCATAGGACGGAGATATCAACAAAAAATGAAATTGGTCTGACTCGCCCGGAGCACGCGTACGGAAGGGCACCGCCGGGCATTTGACAAATGTACTCTGACATAGGACCATCAACCTTTAGTCAGGTCCGCAGTGTTCGTATATTGCGTGGTGCAAAAGCAGATGTCAACACAATTCTGCAACAATAGCCTTGGACGACATAGAACTCAGTGCGATAAAGAGAAAGTTTGTGGTGGAACGCTGACGGTAAGAAGGGAAGTTCAAGCACGATAGAAAGTCACACTGTACTAGAGTTAGTAGCTGTATGTTGACGAATAAACGACCGACACTCACTGGAGCGAGAGTATCAGAAATTCCCTCCTTCGTAGTCGTACGTATACCCACCATCCTCGTACACATACATCCCTTCTTCATAGTATACCTCATCACCGTAGTCCTCGTCTTCCTCATCTTCCTCGCCTTCCTCGTCTTCCTCGTCTTGTTCGTCGTCCTCTTCCAGATCTCCGCAATCCCCATCCCAATTGACCGTGGCAACTTGGCTAAGCTCATGGACCCAGTCTTCGAGCACGGTACAGTAAGAAATGCCCAGCTGCTCAATCGGTTTTCCAAGAGCTTTACGTTTGGCGAGAAGGGCTTTCAAGGCAACATGGAAAGGCATCTCCAGCCCAGGAGTGTCTTCTTGGAAGTCAACCTTCTCCAGCTCGATAGACGTAAGGCCAGGAAGAAACAAGTCTTCTGCGGAAGACAAAGTGTTGTTCTTCGATTTCTTCTTCGACGATGACGGGGTTCCGCCAGACGTTGACATTTGCGCCGCTCGGGCGTCAGCCAAGGACTTTCCGCGAACAGGAACTACGAGAGCGCTGCAAAAGGAGATGGCCGAAGGACCGGTGACGGAGACGTGGTCGAGTTGTTTCGTATGCCGGAGGACTTGTATCCATTTTCTGACGTCCAAGGCAAGTGACGGCGACGCTAAGCGTAGTGTATGCAGCTCGGTCAGATCGAAGAGGGTCGCGATGGAGGCGAAGGTAGGTTCCTGAGAGTAGTTGTCGTCCAAAGACAGAGAGAACATGGCTGGTTTGGGATTGTAGTATTGGTCGTGAAGGCCATCGGAGGAGGAATCCCACGCGCGGACCTCAAAGGTTAGATTGGTGACGTATGGATTGATAATTAATTTGGCAATACGAGGAGCTGCAGTGTGGCGGGTATGGGCGCTGATAGTGGAAAGTAATTTCTTTTGTGCTGCTATGTTAGATGGATCTCGACGCGTGCACGTCAGGTGCAGTCGTGAGCTGGGCGGGAAGTTGAGACATCGAAGTACGGAATCGCAATCTTGCACCGTGCCCGTAGCAAGACACAACGATTGAAGGTTCGGGAACGTTACGGAATTTGCGTTGGCAGGAAGATCCGAAACGCTCGGTATCGAAGGAATGCAGTTTCTGAGGCTGAGGTTCGTGACATGGCTCGCAGTTTGAAGCATGGAGAAAAATTCGTCGAGAGAGGGGATAGCCGGGGTTTCAGATGATGTTCCGTGATACGAGCGAGGAAGTTGTATGGAGAGATCTACTACCGTTCGGAGAAGCGGGAAAACTGCTGATGGAAGTTTGAAACCTTCGAGAGAGAGACGGCGCAAACGGGGAGCCTGGAGAGCGAATAACGAGGGGGATAGCGGATGAGGGTCGATACCCCCGGATACGGTCATCGTGAGTTCGAGAGTCTCCAACATTGGGGCTGGGGTGGTGATGTCGACGATAGACGATAGAAATTTCAGATCATCTTCGACAGAGAGGTCTCGGATATGATATATGTGGTCGCAAACTATGGTGCGGAGTAAATCTCGACATTGTGAAGGTAAAGCCTCAGCTCGGAGGAGTAGCGGGGCTGCCTTTGAGCAAGAAACCATTTTGGCTGCCCACTGTGGCCCAGCGTGGAAAGTAATTCTTGTCCAAAGTCTCGGGTCTGCCAAGGCGACCTGGCGAAAGTGGTCGCAGACCCCCAGAACCCGCATCCAGCCAAGCTTGCTGGAGCTGCTAGTGATAACTCCATACGGCGACCTCTTGGGCTCGTCCATAAAGGTAAGCCACAGGAAGCAGCGGGAGAGGATTTCTGAAGGTAGTCGGCATATGGGGGAGAGGGAGTTGCGCCGCGCTCGAGCAATGCTCATGGCCAACATGATAGCTTCCAGCTCTTCATCTAGACTTCGTCGAGTGTCGAGGATGACCTCCGGCCTATTGGAATGGGGATCTGTCTCAAGGGATGAGAGGCGGGTATTGATCGCAGCTGTCCAGTAGCCTCGCGCAACGGATGACTGTTGATATACATGGGAATGAGTATTATATCGCTTGTTATTGGTCAAAAAAAGAGATGTGAGAGAACGTGTTAACACCAAGCCGCGACTATTGCGATTACTGAAGAAGGACGTGGACGCCGAGGTGAGGCACCCAAGTTGAACGTAATTGTCTCATTGCGTCAGCAACTCACTGATGTATGATCCAGAAAGTGTGTCGACTACGTGTCTCAGCTCAGCACGCTGCGATTGACTGTCTCCTCGAAATTCACATAATAATGTTATCAATTATGAACTGACCGAGTCGCTTTGGAAGGTAGCAGCTGCATTGACCTCAGATGGAGGGACCAATGTGGCCATTGTGTTCTGAAGTAGGGCGTTAGTGTCATATGTTCTCGATAGGATCGTGAATCGCGTACCACCTATTTCTGGCGTGAATGAAAGGAAGACAAAATGATAGAGCGGCGCGATGCGCACGTGGTCTGAGTAAACGCCTTCGGAGAACAAACAATTCAAAGTCCGACAAACTACGTCACTTTATCATCACATCCGGCCGCTCAGTGCCACCTGCAAATCTTCTGTGTTGCAGGTTTAGACCACAACGAGTCCATCTGGGGGTGAGCACGTATGTCTAGGTGGTCGCGATTGCTGCTGTGAAACTGCAGGAACATACGGATACATGGTGACCTATACAAAGATCTCAGCTTGGACTGATTCATTCATCATGGTTTAATAGCGACGATATTGGTGCTCACGCTCGCAGATTTATTGACGGTTTTGTGCTTTAGATAACCGCAGGATATGGTGTTTCGAGTAGGCTTGAAATTCTATACCATTAATCTCTCTAGCTTGGCTACTTAGTCGCTATCATCTTCCCTTGCCAACAGTTCACCGGCGTCTCGTGTTTATCCATCAGTGTCTGCTTCCCCACTGGGGCTTACCAGGATCTGGTATTGGCCTATTGCGACAAGCGTACTCGGTACTACCTACTCATGATTGTCACCGGAACCTCTGAACTACAGATACCGTGACGAGTGGTAGCACTTAAATAACGCCACCCAGACATATGTCTACGACGATCAGTTTCTGACGGATAGGAACGGTGAGGAAGACTTTGACGTCATCACCATTATCTGCGGTTGATGTATGGTGTACGGTGTACTTTTCGAGTGCCCAACCGTGAATCTCCGGCGACTTCAAACTTGCGGGCAAGCCGTCTGTGTTTCACCTTCTTACGGGGCTGTCTTTTATTCTCTGGCCTAGGTTATGGTGGAATACTCTACCATTCCTCTTGATGGGTATCTCAGAGACATCTCAGGCCCCTACCGGTACTTATTGTCGTGCTGGAACTGGATGTGAGGTTGTCGAGGCCGTGTGGCGCATTTACCGTTGGTGGCGAACAGTCAGTGACGTCATCTCTTTACGGAGCCGAGGCCGAAGACTTGCGAATTCAACAAGGACAAACAACCGCTTCACTTCGGGACCCGGGTCGACTAATTCTCTTCAGCTCAAGAAAAGAAAAAAACTCTCAAGACCAAACAGGCACAACCGTCCGTGTCGTCTATACTTTTCGCCTCGCCACATGTCGCCACGTCGAGACTGTGCATCCGTAAACTTTCTTCAACTGGGAGTTCTGCAATTTGTCCAACATGTTTTTTTTTGCTGCCTGCGGTGCACAGTCGACTTCGAGCTGTGACTGCGCTGGCATAAGCTTGGATCCCCAGCCGCCCCTGTTATAACTTGGACTCGCTGCGACATCGGTAATTGTCGGTGGCGCTCAGAATTCGTTGGTACCGGTCCTCCCGTCAAGGATATTTCTGGTAAACGACCATGCATTCGACGAGCGTGATGGTGACCACCCTGTCTAGACTAGATCGAAGCTCTAAAAGGAGCGCACGACGGTCAATACCACCCGCATGCGGCGTCCACTGCCCATTTCAGTTGTCAGTCGACCTGCGAGTGTGTTGCGAGAGCTGCGGTTATGCAGGAAATATGGTGGGTAATTGGTGCGAAGAATTGAACAGATCGGCCAAAATTAATGCTGGTGGGTCGAGCTCCAATCTCGAACACAGGAAAGATTGAAGGTTGCCGCCGGGAAGATTATGCGGGTCTGGTGCTATTTTTATATACGTCCGTGGCTGTCAAGAGAATATCAAAACCTCCTGAAAAGTTTGACAGTTTTATCGTCACAGGGAGGAAACGGAAGCAATCGTGCAAATATGAGCTCCTACCTTCTGCTCCTGTAAAGCAAAGAGAACTCAGACGATATCATGCACCTGCCAGCTGTACACCGAAGACGAAGACGAAGAGCGTAGTGAACGCGGTCAGAAGAAGCCGAGAACAGGCTGAGACCACCAGGAACATATATCTTGTAGACGCTTAGGTAAGGAGACCCCCGGTCTGTCTTATCATCAAATGGGCCAAATATTCCGCGCCCGCACGGCTACGCAGCAGGGCCTGAGTCCAGCTGCACAGCGTCGGCCTTTTCTCCTCGCAGCTACCCACGCCCACGAAACGCCATCACCCATCACCTTTGCCCTCATCTCTCATCTCTTTCTTCATCTCCTCATTCTCCCTTTCAACTTTTTGGTCTAACGACCGTGGTTCACCACCATGTTCTCCCTGGCGCTCCTCGCCGCCGCTGCTTCTTCTATCCTCCCCACAGCCTCAGCCACTCTTGCTCCCATTGTTCGCAAAGGTCCATACCTCTTCGACTCGTCCTCCGGTGACCGCTTCTTCATCAAGGGAGCCGCTTACCCGGCCAACTACGGCTCCTCGCAGACACAACCCGATGGTTCCATCTCCAAACTCGACCCGCTCGCCAACACCGATGGCTGCAAGCGTGATGTCAGTTACTTCCAGGAGCTCGGTATCAACCTCATCCGTGTGTACCAGGCGAACTCGAGTTTGGACCACTCGGAGTGTATGAGTGCGCTGGACTCTGCTGGGATCTACGTATTGCTCGATCTGGCGACACCGAGCGACAACGGCGCTATCAGCTCGAGTTCACCGAGTTGGAACACGGGCTTGATGACTTCATTCTTGAGCACGGTCGATGCGTTCGGAGCGTACACTAACGGTACGTTGTTCGCTTCGTCTTCTATCATTGATAGAATGTCTTTGGCAGTTCATGTCGGAAATGGCGGATCCTCCTCGTACGTTCTCTGCTTTGAGCGTAGGGCTCCGAGTGCGGCTGGTCATATGCTTCATTTGGCGAGAGGCATCGGTGCGTTCTCGATGTAATGTCCGCCTCTGGCATTGTCATTTCCCGTTTCGACTGCGAGGAGTCCCGTCACCGTTTCTATTTTTGGACCACGCTTCGAACACTGTTCTGCCGCGAGTACATTGGTCTCTCCGGATCTACCGATGTTTTTCTGCCTTTTAGTTTTCGCCTGAAATGTTCGCTGGCGGACGACGGGTGCAACATGCACAGCCAGATCATTTTGCGGCAGCACGGTCAGAGTTGTCCTGCCGTCGGAGACCGACTTCTTCGTGAGCGCGCTGGAGCCGCCTATCGTCACACTAGTCTCGGTTGGGAGTCGCTTGGACTGAAGAGGCAGTTTTCTGCCATACCGTCTCATGTGGTGGCGGGCTTCGTAGCCCATCCGCGGCCGAAACTTAACAAAAATAGTATTTGCGCCTCGGGATTGCTGCGGGAACAGTGCTGTCACTGGCCCTCCTTGTTTCCTACCCACACGCATCAGTCCATTTATTCGAGCCATGCGGTAAGGACGCCAACTGTTTCAGTGATGCTGACCTGTATATTTCTCAACTTCGTATAGTCCTTGGTTTCAACGTCGGAAACGAAGTTATCACTGCTACGACCGATATTCAAGCCGCACCCTATGTCAAGGCCGCTCTCCGTGACGTCAAGTCATACATTTCCACTCACGGTTTCACCCAACTCGTCGGTTACACCGCTACAGACACGCCCAACTCTCGCATCGCATTCCCGTACTACCTTGCCTGCGACGATTCTCTCGGTGGCAGCGGCTACTTCGACTACTGGGGGCTGAACATCTACGAGTGGTGCGGAGAGTCCGACTTCGTGACCTCCGGCTACCAGGCGAGGACTGCGGAGCTGGCTGCGTTGGGCATTGTGAGTACATGTTCATAGCTGGACTCAGCCTGGTCACTAAAACATCGTTTTGTTGCGTAGCCTGCGTTCTTCTCCGAGTACGGTTGCAACTCTGTCGAGCCCCGTACTTTCGAAGATGTTCCGGTCCTTTACAGCTCCAACATGACCGACGTCTGGTCTGGTGGTATTGTCTTCGTACGTTAATTCACTTCGTCTATCTCAGTAATATCGTATTCATCATCTTGAACAGGAATTCATTAACGAATCAAACGACTTCGGTCTTGGTAACGTCTCTTCGGACGGCAGCTCATACACCCCCAGCACCGACTTCACAAACTACCAGTCCGCGCTCTCTTCCGCCGCATCTGCGATCCCCACCTACTCCCCGCTTGCATCGTACACCCCCACCGTCACTGCCCCTACGTCTTGCCCGACCACGAATGACACCTGGACTGCCTCCAACACGCTGCCCCCTACGCCCAACGGCGATCTCTGCGACTGTGTCGTTTCCCAGCTGAGCTGTGTGTACAACCCCTCCGTGATCTCGTCCGTTGCCGAGGTCGGGACCGCCATTGGTGTCGTCTGCGGTATCTCCTCCAACTGCACGTCTGTCTCCGGTAACGGCACCACTGGTGTTTACGGCGACTTCTCGATGTGCGACCCTACGCAGGTGTTGGATATTGCCCTCGACGCGTACTACGAGTCCCAATCACGCTCAGCGGATGCTTGCGACTTCTCGTCGTCCGCGAGCTTGAAGACTGCGTCGACTCAATCCGACTCCGCTGCTGTCGCCAGCGCGACGAGCAGCTGTGTCGCTGCGAACGCGTTCGCCAGTGGAACGGGTGTGCCAGAGCCGACGTCGATTCCCGCGGGTGCGACGACTACGGGTACGGCGAGCGTCAGTGCGACTAGTGGCGGCTCGAGTTCGACGAGCTCTTCGTCTTCCGCCACCAACGTGGCCGGTACCGGGTGGCACGGAATGGCGATCGCTGCCGCTGTGGGCTCGGTCGGGATGATGTTGGGTGCCATCGCGCTCTAGACTTGAGGAGTGATTGATTCTGTACGCCCCGCGATGTCCCTGTCTGGTTAGGACCTCGGATTGTTCGTTCGCATGAGGAAAAGGAGGTAGATGGATGAAGGCTTGGATATCATAAACATGGACTACGCTCGTCGTTGGACTTTTACTTACCCTTACTCGCTACTGATCTGACTCTTGTGCTATGCTACCGGTACCAGTACACCCTATCCGCACTCATCACCACCTCATCATTCGCACAGGCGACTACCCGCCACAAACATCCCTCATCTAGCATGGTGACCACCAACTTCCTTAGAATTCACTCTTTAACAACCCAACCATCCTCTCACTGCATCGTCCTTCTCTTTCGCATATACGATACATTTCATTGCTTTCCCCTCGTTTCCTCGTCGGCCATCACGCTCGGCGGTCCGCTCGTTGTTGTCGCCCTTCTGCCCAGCTTTCGATGGCGCCCTTTTGCTTGATCTATCTACTTATCTATTGCTCGCTCGCTTGTTTATATTCGGAACCGTTGGTCTTCCTTTTTCCTCGGCTCGACTTCATCTATGTGAACGATAGCTTGTTGTTAGTTTTTGTTTGTGCGTTTCGATGATGAACGATGCTCGTTTGCGTCCATTATTGCCGTCCCCTGTGCGAGTCTGTTCCCTCCGAGACCACATTAGTGCGAGCTCTCTGTCGGTTAGGGTCTGGAGGAGTCGTATAGAAAAGTACTGGGTGGACACGAAAGTGAAAATTTTGTATCAGGCCCAAGCGATTCAATTTGGCGCACACATGATCATTGTGGCGCTGAACCCGAAACAACGGGCGCCACCTGCTCAAGTGGCGTAAGTATGAATGAAGTCCCCGGCTGTGGCCCATCGGGTATAATGTTGTCTCCCCTCAACTCACAAATGCAAGAGCGATAAGCTCATGATCCTATTAAGTATTATGGTGAATGCTTCTAGTATTCGTGGCGGAAGTAGCTGGCGTAGACCTTGAAATGGCGTTTATCGCTGAAGTCGAATTCTTTCTGTTGGTGAACAAACACAGGCAGCAGCAGTTGTGTCAAGATCGCCCGAAAGAAGTGACTTCGACTGTGGCAGCTGTATGAGGCATTACCCCCTGCGGCCAAGCTCCATCCGCCTATCTCAAGTGGGAAAAGAGGCTAGGGTATAATACGAAGCATAGTCCCTGGAATGAAGCCGAGAGTTAGGTCAGAAGCTGGAGATGGCTCTATAGCGGAGGCTACTATACTCGTAAGAGGTACACCACTGGCCATATTCCGTGGCCAGTACGTATTCTACCACTCTGAATGTCTGGCACAGTACGGCGCCCTCTGAATGGAGGTAAGTAAACAAACAAAAAAAACCGAAGAAATTGTACCTTATTCGTGGGACTATCGAGCGTTATTGTAGAAAACAAAACACGTCCGATGAAATGAGATGCAAAAATAAAGCACGTAAGAAGACCCCTATAGGCTCCTCGTGACCCAAGACAGGCTCCCTGCCCAATACATGACGCAAAGGGGAGCGCAAGGTATCCGAGGGGTATGCGGATTTCATTTCTAAGATATACTCCTGCTGACCCTGATGTGCATACCTGCCTGTACGTGTATAGCATGGGATTGATGCCAAAGCTTGAGCTTGCGAGGGGCATCCATCTTTCAGCTTCCCCTTCGAAGAAATTCGTTCTATTCCAAAAAGACACCGAATAAAATTGGTATCGGGGAGTATCAGGATCATGAGGAGTGGGGCCATAATAGTAAATTGGATGACATCGTATTGCCTCACAATGCGGCCAAGGCGTGTGATGGATCGTACCGCTTCCCGTGTGGGAGCTTCCGTCGAGTGCTGATTGGATTATAACAAGGAGTCCAAGAAGGTGCTTTTGGTAACGTATTTTGACCAACCAATGGTGCCGCGTGCGCGAACTAGCGGTATGAGCTTCGGCGAATGGGAGGGCTGGGATGATTGGTCCATCCTCATTGGATCGTCAGTCTCATTGGATGTTGAAGGTTGCACCGCTCATCTAGCGCCAAGTCCTTCGTAGCTGTGGCGCTATCTTTAAACGAAAGCAGACTCACGATAGCCGTTCTTTTGTTGATCACACCCCTCTTCCTCGAAATATAAAGTTCATACCGCGGTGTCCTCATCTAGCTAGTATACCTACACCGAGGTCTCTTCATGTCTCCCACTACTTGACCATTCAGAGAACGCCGATGGACATCAGCCGAGAGTGGGGTCTAAGTCTTGTGTTTGATTCTGGAAATGAGATGCCCAAGCCGGACGAAATAGAGCAAAGTTACTCGACGAACCTGACTTCTCATTGTAACTGCAAGTTCTCCGGCGTCAAAAACTTGGGCATTCGTAAAGGCTCGGGTAGTGGGAATCCCCAGTGCCCGACTTCCGCAGTCGTGCGATATCCTCAGTATGATTATCGATCGAAAGCCACACGCGATATTCGTCTTGTCTTCATCTTGCAAGGTCCATCTCTTGAGGCAATATTCGAAAGCTTGAGACGAGTCAGAGATTGCGTGATCTACATTGACCCGCATGAACATGGAGCGGCGGAACCTGCCTGAACGCCACAATCAGCGATATCAATAACATACGCTCATGACTGCCACCACCGGCCTTACAAGGGTAATCAGCGAAAGGTACCACAATGAGCGTCGAATTCGAAGTGAAAGTACGTACCAGATTTCGGAGAGATAGCGACCGAACGCCCAACCAAGTCTCACCGAAGCCATGCCGAAGGTGGTGTGAATGGACTCCATGGCCACCATACAAACTCTCGTCGAAGGAACTGATTCGTGGAGGGCACCTTACTCAACGGGCAGATAAGTTCAACCACCGGGTGCGCACGATATTGAATGGTCGTGTATGATGCGTGATGTTCTGCGCTTCCACGCATGGCAACGAGCCAAGGACCCAGCAGGCGATCGATGGGGGAAGGGCTTCGACTTACGACAGTGTACCTATGTGGCACAGTTTGGGAAGTTGATTCAGCGAGCTCGAAGATGTTCTTGACATAAATGGCGAACTGACTTCTTTCTGTGGTTTTGCTCGAACACGTTGTGCATCTCTATATCTGATCTAAGATTGGGTACGGGTCGTAGAGGCCAACGGCCAACGCTTGTCTCCCTGAGAGGCCTGAAAGCAGCAAACACAGTTGAGAACGTAGAAATCGTGAGAGTCGGATATGACGTACCGTAGTACCTATCACTGTACCATTCTCAGTTGATGCACATGAAGCGAACGCATATACGTACAACTCGCTCCGAGCCCTCGCGCCACAGTCCTAATCGGGCTGATCTTTTCGGATAGGATTCACAGGGCCCGGAAGGACCCACGTCTGCCTCAGGCCCGACCAGTGTCCTGACCAAGATGCGGATGATACTGGGTCACTGTCTGGGAGAAGGTCAACGCAGTACATCGACTCAGATACTTACTGTATTAATGGAGCACGGCTCGAGAGCGGTGATTATGGCATCCCGTCTCCACAGCCAAAGCGTCAACCCGACCCCTGTACACCACGCCTAACTGAAAGACACGGGACATCAAATAACATACAACTCAAGCCCTGTATTGAGGCATGTGAAGCCAGCGTTTGGATCAAGAATTATAACACCTATTCGGCCGGCATCCCAAGACGGGGTAACCTGCAACGTACAAACTGACTGCGTGGAGTGTCCAAGGTCGTCTTTCAGTCCCGAAGGAGCCCTTCACGGAGGGTGAATGCTGAAGTCTGTGACAATTTCCGGGAACAACATGATGGAAGTCGTTCATAGCGCAATGTGCGTCCGGTAACACTACCATCGTACCTGTCAAAGAGCGAGACTCACTGTGTAAGTGGAGCCTGAGGGTGAGAACGAACCAAAACCAGTGAGCGCAGCGACACCATGGCAAGTGAATCCACTACTTACCACCGAATTCACTAACGCCGAGAACCTCGCGGAGGGGCAGGGACGGTTTTATGTTAAAACACGACACGATGAGCTGGATTTACGTGCTCAGTGGTAGGTCGGAAACTAACAAAACCATCGCTTGACGGACATAGAGCGTTGGGGTAGAGCCAAAAGGAGCACACGAAGGCCCTGCTTACAACAAGCGGACGGTACCGTACTGTACGAAGCCACATAATGCTGCTTCGCTCCTAGAGTCACTTCTGCTCGCCCTCGACGGTGAAGTCAAAACGGGGAAGACGAAGCGGTGACTCAGAAGCCCCGCAAGGTTACGGTAGGGGTATACAGCATGTGTATAATTGAATCGCTCGAAGCATTTTGTTTCGTAGCGAGGTTCTAAAGGGCGCTGTTTTCTTTCGGCAGTATGAGAAGCAGACTTTGGCGGTGACGCTAGGCCTGGCGTGGGCGTCACGGTTATGTGGAATAATCCGTATGACCTGTGTAGCCATATCGTCGCGCAGCACATCGCTGAACCCGGTCATCTTCGCGTGCAGTACCATGCCGCAAGAAGGAGAACTGGGGGGGCGTAGCAGAAGAACCAGTAGTCAATGCCAGCAAAACAGCTTACCGAAGGTCGTGCAGTGACTGCGCCAAATTCGCCGGTCAGGTTGTGAGCGCTAACCGGCGTTCTTCACAGAAAGGGTGATATTCTGAAGAGGAAGTTTCTGAAAGCGCAAAAGAGACAGTATCAGCAGTCAAAGCGAGCATAGAGGTTTGACCGGGGTCATGAGATCAGCAAGGGACGATCCTTGTCGCCTCCAAGGGGGATACGAGGTCTAGGAATGAAGCCTCCCGATATGCCAAGCGAGACGGCGTCTTGAAAGATTGGCTTGAAAGAGTGGTTGGAGACCCGGCAGTACGGAGATTGAGCGAAGCAGCACGGTATGATGGAAGAGACGCGTAACACTGCGTAGCAGTATACGTGTGAGTTTGTGCCTGTACTTGCCGCCTTGACGAATAAGGTCGTCCTGACGCCACGTATTTGTGAGACGGTCGACTTGGGAAACGTAGCCAAGCTCAATTGGATACCGTGCTGACCAAATACATACTGTGATTGAATTCAAAGATCACGATGTCATGGCACATGCAGCAGAATGGGAAGCGAAGCGCAATACGTACCTCGGATCTTCAACTGGGTGTGCACGGTAACTTCGAAGATTGTAATGGCAAGCATTCGAATCAGGATGTTGAGTGTATCCATACGTATCTCTAAATCTACTATGACGCCTATAGGCACTTCGAAGATCACGATAGAAAGTCAGTAGGAACACTACGTCGTATACAATGCAGTGGAAGTACGTACCCCTTTCATAGCAGACGTACGCACCCCGAGGGTTCCATGAAAGGGGCTGTCACGGGCTACATCACCTTCATTGACACCCTCATGAAGCGCAGCTTCCAACCATTCAATCGAGAAGGACGTCTGAGTCGGAGAGCGAGGTGCGACCTTTGATGAATGCCTAGCACAGACATATCAGACCATCGTCCATCCTCGCACGAACATCGCGTGAACGCATCATGAATTTGGATAGTACTCGATTCTGAAACAGCGCTTCGAGTAAAGGTCAAAGGATGAGTTGAGTTGTGCTCACGAGCGTCTAGTAGCTGATTCATTTCACTATTTGCGCCTTGTTTTGCGGTCGAATGTGGAATCTGATTCGCAGCCCTCGCAGGTATGACGGGGGTGTGATACATGAATGTGGCATTGTGTGGGTGTGGAATCCATATCCGCTATATGCCTGGCCGGATGATTGGGGTTAGTGGATCCGTGAAGAAGGAGGAAGGGTGAACATGAAAGCGTGGTAGACCGAAGTGGGGCGAGCCGCGGAATCTTCAAAAGACCGTGACGTGCGACAATACATGGACAGGTCAAGGTGAGTGTGTCTTGTCGCTGAGAGAAGGGAAGAAACTCGCCGTTCCTCGCGCTGCAGCCACCAGTGGGAGGTCGTACAAGATGCAGCATCCGCTGACTCTCACATCGATGAACCCTGCAGTGTGGCCCACCGCTAAGCTTCCTTAACATCACCGTCCGTCTAACCAGTGATGTAACCCATGACGTTGAGCTCAATCGCCCCATTCTCTTATGCATGTGTCCGCAGCTTGACTTCAAGACACCGCACAATCAACCTAGATGCAAAGGAAAGGAGGATCGTCACATCGCATGCACACGAGGCACATACGGCGGCGACCGACCAGGACCGACCTCAGCGAAAGTGCACCACTCTTCGAAATGAAGATCTATGATACTGACTGACAAATTCGGATCAACGGATGGAACTAGGATTTTACGGCAAGCGGTGGTACTTAACTAGCTTGTAAGCTGTGCTTCCAGCAGGTGGACGAGGAGACTTCCAACTTCCATGCCAGATGCGACCTGTTGCGACCTATATCAAGGCGGAGTTCGAGGCACATGAAAACATACATATGACACCTGACATCGACGGTAACCCAGCCCTGAGACTGATTGGAGATGTTCGATTTGCATTTGTATTTCGGCCTAAGGAAGATCAGCCTACAAATGTTGCCTTCTGTAGAAGATGCAGGGAGATAATGAAGAATGAAGATGAGCGGTGGAAAACAAGCTCACGGCTGACTGGGATGTTATATTTCTAAATTGTCGGCACCGAGGCATGACGGAGGAGGGAAAGTGTTGCCAAAGGGTAATTTATCATATACCGCAAGTTTGAGCTTGAAGTATGCTGTCAAACTTGAAAGTTATGGGCTGAAGGTTCAACGAGGTTGGCTTTGAGGAGGAGGATCGTCGAGGCGTGGCTGTCTTACATAAGTGACGCGCTTGGAAAGGTGGCGGTGGCGCCGAGCAATAACCGCAAATCCAGAAAACACGGACTCGTCGCAGAGAGCTTTTGACGAGCCTTCCACTTTAGAATGTCAATCCATACCTCGCCACTTCGGTTTGAACCCGTGCCAGTCGATGATAATGTATGCTCAGGCAAACTGTCCTAACTTGTATATCCCCAAGCGTCTCTAGGCTGAGTGAAGTGGCGGAAATGAAGGAAGATTCCACCTGATATGACTGGAACACTTGACCTGACGACATTGACTCGCTTGAGATGTGATGCGGAAACTCTTCTCGTCTTCGAACAATTTAGTCGACTTAGATCGTGAGAGGCGACCTGAAAGGATTGTGCGATACCTCATGGATGAGTTTGCGCCACACGGTGATTCGTTCAACGATCGCTCGACGGACTCCGAGTGGAGATTCAGAAGGTCCGAGTTGTGAGGTACTTGTTGATAGTTCGAAGGAAGCAAGGATCGGCGTCGTCGAGGACGGATATGGCTTCCAGGAGATGGTACGCGGATGACTAGGACTTCAGTTGTCGGGCTTGATGAGACAGGCTGTTTCCAACATGACGCAGTCTGACTACTAGAGCATTCCAGTCAGAGGGTAACAGCGTGGCAGACCAAAATATCAATGATGGACTCACGATAATGCGTTGATAGTGGCTTTAAACATACCACACCCCGGAGTCCGGAGACTGACTGAAATGTAAGACTGTGAATTTGTAGCCGGCCTACCGTGCTACTCGACAGATCGCCCTTCTAAACCGCCCTTCTTCTCCCGTCTTTGTCGGTCTTCCAATGATTAGATAGACTGCACCCGTGTCCGTGAGAATAACACGAGAAAAGAGATCACGACCGTAAGGCGTCATCTAGGATGCGGCAAAAGACCATGGCAGGCGTGTTGATAGCCAGCATCAGAAGGAGAGTGAATGGCCATACTGAGGTCATCGTCATGCGACCCCATGATATCGTGAATTACGCACCGAAGACTTCGAGGGAATGGAATGGTCGACTCGAATTTTGGTCGTGTGCAGTTGAAAAGCCTGTCGGGAAAACACGTCTTCTGACTAGACCGGATTCATATACGCTTGTCGACTTCAGAAGAACATCTATGCGGCCAGAAAAAACATCACTGTGCTGCATAACTCACAATGTACACACAATCACCGTCACCTCCCTCGCTTGCCCTTCCGCCTCCCTCCGGGGCACCTCCCTTCTCGGCGCTTTCAAAGTCGCCTTCAGCAATCAACTACATAAGTAATTGAGGATGTACGTACGTTACATGGGAGCCTGCCTCGACCGAGGGCTATACTCGTGAATGGAAGCCGAAGAATCATTTCGAGTTAGATGGTGGCTGGAGGTCGATGGGAGGACGGCAGGCTGGGTCGGCCTTAAGTTACTAAGCGCACTAGGACCTCCTAAGTACAATTATGAGTCCTGAATTTGGAATCATCCAGTTGACGTACTCATGCGTTTGAGAACATATGAGGATCTAAATGTAGTCGTGAGTATGAGAGCTGTGGCAGGTACTCAGGAGGCGAACAGTGAGAGAGTGGGCACATACCTGCTGTACACGGAACGCCAGCGGTCGGGATAAGTCAACGCGGCCGCTATCAATTCGTTCTCTATTGTATTTTTTTGATCATGACCATCTAGCAGTTATGCACTCGAAAGCACGACTCCTTCGTCCCGGTCGCGAAATTGTGGCGGTGGCGCGACCAAATGTATCTGGGTCCAAGTACTCTGCTGGGCGCCAAAAACACATAGAGAAAAGCGCAGGAAACCGCCGAAGAGAGTCGTGGGATAGCCTTTTCAACATACAAACCACATAAGGATATGTGTTCGGACGACGGCAGGGAGAGCTGTCAAACAAACGAAGGAGCTTGTCCCGATCCTCTCTATAAGGACCGAAGTCGTCCTCGACCATGCAGTACTTCGTACGTACCGGAAAATGCGACTGGTCCGACTCCACCATAAACGTACGGTGTTATGGGCGTCTACTTATGCGGCTTCAGTGATTGTCATCGACATCGATCGAGCGGGATGACGGAGTGGTAAGTAAAAGCCCGTCGCGGTGAATGGGACGCGTGCATACGGCCTGTAGGCTGTGGACGCGGAGCGCCCGCCGCCCGCCCATACGCGCGAACAATGAATATCAACACATCCTGAAGCGGAGGCGGAGGCGGGGTCTTACAGTCCACTGGTGTCATGAGTAGCTATAACAGAATAAGAGAAGGCACATGAGTGACCACAGGTGCCGCCTCTTGGCCTTTCTCAGTCGCTTCACACTTGGCCACGCCACCTGAGCTCGAAAGAACCACAAGGGTGAGGCGAGCTGAGCCTCGAGAGCTCGAGAATTTCGAAGCGATCAGTTGTGAGTTACATAGAATGCCAGTGGTGTGAGTTCGAATTCGGGGGTCGATGTCGAGGCTTCGAGTGCTATGCTCGACTGGAATAGAAGGCATCTGGATTAGACAATGACCACGATCAAAATAAAAACAAGAACACACGGGTCCGAAAGAACAATCACGGCTTTTGGGCTTAAAAATCCTCGGCGCCCGGTAAGGCAACTGAGCAGTGAAAGTCCTCGTATAAGTCGCTGAATCCCCAAGCGAAGGGTACCACTCGATCTATCATCTTAGACTCGGGCATTCGGAAAAGCAGGAACGAGACCAATGGAGATGGACCCAGCCATTTGTGCAGAAATACCATCCTCGTCCTTAGACTGTCCAGAACTGAATTGATCTCGTCAGGACGACCCTGAACCCTTTCCTTCTGCACCTAGGTCTCTGCCACGGCATACCTATGCGCCACAATTGTGCATCACCCTGAACTGAGCCACGGGAGCGTCTAGACGGTCTATTCAGCTCGTAAGTTCGCTCGCTTATCATAGAGGCCATTCAGAGAGGGTGACGAGAATAGTGTGGTACTCAGCACTGGCAGGCACTGTGCCGGCTCTCCAACTGACCTCTCTCGGACGGAAGCGATAATCCCAAGTATCCTAGTCGCGGGTGTTGCCGAAGGTGTGCTGTAAGGAAGGTGGGTCCACATGTATTCATGTACTAGTACTTGTGATGCGACTTGCCAGCATGCAATTGTGTAACACTCTGGGATCACGGAGATAAGTTCCACAGGTCGGCAAGTGAGCAAAGTCGCACTGGAGTCATGGTAGGAACGTCAGGGATGAGGACGATACATAATACGTACGAAACTGCGAGGCAACCAGGGAGACAAGGAGCAAGTGACTGGTGGTCCGGTGGGACGCTGACGGGCCGCGTCTTCTCGGTCTCTTTTAGTGTATGTTGTTGGCTACCGGTGACTTTGTTAAGAGCCGTAAGAAACCACGCAGCAAGATGAGAACGACACTCACGTACAAAGCAGGGATAGACGGTCAATCGGAGACAGGAGTGGTGGCCTGCTGACTTCGAATGTCGGTGACGAGCCGTCGCGATTGTCTTGACCTTCTTGTTTTGTTCTGTTTTGTAGTAGCTTTTCGGGATGAATAGGAACGCAGTCTGGTTAGGTATAGCTCAGAGGGGATATCTTCCGGTAAGCTACGGAGGATAGAGAGAGATAGGACAGTTCAACGTAAATTGGCCGAGGGCGAACAAGTACTGAAGGTTGCAGGTCACCGGCAAGTAACCGACACTGCATGGTGCTCACTATCAGCTGCTGTCAGAGACACGAAGGACTCATAGTGAGATCGAATGATCCTTCAATCCTCCGAGCATCCGATCGCAATAGGCTGCGTTGTCGGTAGTGGACCGTCACAAGCGAAATCCCTCGGAGGGAAGGACTCTCGTCCGTGGGGCTCATACTTATTGATGGATGCTAAGGATTTTTCGAGGGAGAACGAGACGCAAATAAGGGATAGTCGATGATTTGGAGTGCGCATGACAGGACAGCAGAGCCGTGAGACGACCGAAGAAAGACAAGAGGTGTGCCCTTGGAGAAAGCCGACAGGTACTGAAGCTACTGAAGGTTCGAGGAATCGGGTTGTTCTCTCTGCAACTTGGCGCTGTCGCGGAGTCATGAAGTACAGTACGCGATCGAATGATCCTCTATCGCTCCGAGCATTCTCTCGTATCGGAGGAGAGCAACCCATTAAGGAAAGAAGATCGTTCGTTTACAGCTGATATTTCATGCCGAAAGACAAGAAGACGCTAGCGGAAAGATGACCAGAAGCGCTGTCAGTCTAAGGTGTCAGAGCAAAGAGGAACCTGAGGTCCCTAGCAAGTTCTTGAAACAACTTCGGAGCGCGGAAGATAAGTTTGCCTGAGCGGCTGCGAGCTTTCACCGATCCGAGCCGAGGATGAGAGTGGTGGTGAGGAATGAGATGGACGTATTGAGTAGAAGAAGATCGCGTTGAGCGAAGACCAGGAAGGGGCAAACCCTTGAGACGAGGTGTTGGTTGAAAGCTGGCTTGAGATGTGGCGTGGCACGAGGTGGCGAACATCCAACGTGCCGAACTCGCCGCCGTTCCGTCGTGGTGAGGCTGTGCGATCCTTCCTATACTGTATTTGCCCAAAAGGGGGAGTCATTGGAAGCTGCCCTTTATGGGCAGGCTCATGCCCCCATTAGGAAGTGACGTGTTGTCATCTTGAATCGCGACGACGACGAACGAAGGAGCGGCGTTCATTTCTCTCTGCATCAAGGCTTGCAACCTTCTGCCAAATGACATGATGATATGAGATCTCGGTTCGATTTGTCTGCGGGTGGATATTTTATGATGTGCGTTCCTTCCTTCATACCAGACAGGACGTGGCCGCGTCGGAGTCCAAGCGACAGATCATTTCCGAGTGTCGTGAAGCGAGTACAGATGAGCCATCTTGACATACGCATGTTTTTATCTGGAATGAATCGTCGGGTGCAGATGGATGGGACGACAAGGTGATGATCAGTGGCACCAGGGAAGGGGATAGGGACCGGAGGACGACGACAATTGGGACGCGAGAGGATTGAGACGAATTCCGAATGGAGGAAAGCAACGAGCGCTGTCGGTTGGGCGGTTGCGGGAGGAGGGCCGGAAGATGTTCGTAAGCTATTTTCGGGATGAAGTAGCCGACGTGAGCGGAAGAGGAGCTGTGAGCCCGCCAGTGCCCGGGGAGGAGGAGAGAAAGATGCAGGAGATCTGAAGAACGGGATCGCGCGGATCTGATGAGGAGCGATTGGTAATGGCGCACGAGGCTTGGGCCCTGGGCAACGTAACGGAAGCGCTTCTGAGCGCATCTCCCCATCCATGAGAATCACACTGCAGCGATCTCCTTGAATATTCCAATATCCGCCCGATCCCATCGTTCTACTTATCCCATTATTCGCAATCCATATAAAGCCTTCCCGTTCCGCCTCCCTCGACTCCCCATCGCTTCCCCCATCAGCCCCCACGCCCCTAGCCGCCACCCAGAATTTGTATACTGTCGCCATGCAGCAGCACCAGTTCAGCTTGCGCCCTGTAGCCGAGCTCTCTCGTTCGCCGTCTTCAGCGTCTATGACGCCTCCGATGCACCATGGCCATACTCATAGCCACAGTCCTGAGGCTCAACTGCCTCCGATTCATCATCATGCTCCTGGTCCCTCTGGTTCTGGTCAGATCAGGAGACCGATCTCTCCGAGCAATCTGCCTCGTACGTCCATACATTTGCTCACTCGTTTCTGCTACTGGCCACACACACCTACTGACGCCACACTTCACTTCACTTCACTTCACTTCACCCTCTACCTTCTACCTCCTACCCCACCCTACACCAAATAGATGTCGACCTCCTCCCTCAGGGTCAACCCCCTACGCCTCGCAACTACCCACCACCACCCACTGGCCACGAACTTATGCGCCTCTTCCCTCCACCTCCTCCCGACCAATTTTCTATGCTCAAACCCGGTCCTACCTCGATCTACTTCCACCAACAAGAACGCGCCTTCTTCGCCCAAGCGGGCAAGGAGATCATCAGAGTGCGTGTCGAAAGTGATTTCCAACCATCGGGCGCCCTGGGCAAGGGAGGGATGGAGGGTATGAAGAGGGGGGAACCGTGGACGGCGGCGGGTGCGATGGCGCAGGTTCCTCTTGCGCATGGTCAACAGCAGCCGGTGAAGCGGTCGGGGTCGAGTTCGGCGCCTTTACCGCCACCTCCAGGGCCTCAGACGCAGCGCCACGATATGCATCCACAATATCAGCATCCGTCGCCGCATGCTCAACACCCCCAGCACCCACAACTTCTCCAGCATCAGCAACATTCGCAACATCAGCCTATGCACGCGCACGCCGCGCCGATGCAGCCTCCACAGCACCAGCATCATCATTCTTACTCTGGCCATGGTCACCCCGATATGTCACCACATCAACAACAACACTTTCAGCAGCAGCAGCAGTTGCAACAAAGCTCGCCTCCGACGCCGCATTACGTGCATCCGCAACATCCTCAGCAGCAACAGCAAGTTCAGGCGCCACCTACGCCCGTATGTTTCTTTCTTTCCTAGCCACTAGCCCAACGTAGCTAACGATGTTCTGTCGGGCTAGGTCAACGTCGGAATCAGCGTCGAAGAGTGGAGGGCTCCCGTCCCTGGGATGGCTCCGCCGGGCGAGAGTCGACGGCGGTCGGGTAAGCATACGAAGAGGGTCGTGGTGCGATGAGCTCTTCACCTGCGCGTCCAGCCTTCGTATGCTTCCCTTTTGTCCGCTGGCTCGGTCTTAATTGCTCTTCTGATCGTTCTTCTTGATATGTTATACTTCTTTCCCGCTCTCTCTTGCATCTTGCATGGTCCCATTCATAGTCATCGCCTCGTGTCTGTTGCATGTCCTATAGATCTTATGCTACACGACTTTTATGTGCCTTAACGTCCCACGTTCAACACCGACTCTCGTCTTTTTCCCGTCTTCATCCCCTGGTCCCGTCGCATCCTTCCCCTGTTTCCATATCCGTACTATCGTATTGCTTTCTTGTTTTCTTTATTTGCTCGCCGTCGTGTCGCTTAGGGCTCCCAAAACAACGGTCAAAGTCGCAGTATTCTTCTCTTGTCTTGTGTATACCCACAGTCATCGTAATTCTGTGTCCTTTGTACATTATGCATCTGTTTTGCCGAACGCATCCCTGTCTCTTGTGCCGCGTCTCTGTTGTCCGATCCCTCCAAGGCTAGCTCCTTTGAGTTTCGACGCCTACTCGTCCCACAAAGAAGGTGGACCCCCGCGGTGCCAAAACATAACGCAACGTTAGAAATGGAGGTTTATTTACTTCCGTCGAGTCTTCGATCCATCAGGAATCATGATCAGTAATTTTGCTTCCGTTCCAGTCAAGCTACGTCCCGTTCCAGCGTCCCAGCTCTCGTTCCGGACCTGCCCGATCCTGGTCCCCGTCCATTGCCCAAGTATGTACTTACTTGCCCTTCGATCGTTGATCCATATGGTGATACTGGCAGGATATAGTTCCGAACCCGAACCGACGATCGTGCCTTGGAAATGTCAGTGCGGGGCAGGCTCCGAGGACGAGTCTTCCATGCGTTCTGTCTGTCTGTCTTGTCAATAATTATAAGGAAGCGCCTGCCACAAGTGTCGCAGGATCGCGACGAAGGACGGGATGATCCTTGTTCAGATCCTGTCACAGTCAATATCGGTGTCACGTCCAATCATCGTGGCTCGATTAGTCAGTCAGTGTACAGTACGGTACACAGTGAGTACTTACGGTAGTCACCTCACTCGCGTCAGCCATTCAGTTACAGTCAGTGAAGTCAAGCACGAATCGGTCTCTTCGGCCTCTTCGGTGTCTAACTGACTTGTTCGTTTCCTGATTTGGGCGGATGGAGAGCAGTCGAGCGTCGGGTTTTCTCTTTCTGGATAATGACCTCGATGGTGGCAGTCCTGTCGATAAAAGTCAGACAAGAACAAGCTTAGTCTTGGGCGGGGATCTGCCAGTGAATGAGAGGCTGTGAGAGGCGTGTCAGGATCGTAGAAAACGGAGGGCGGCGGTGTCTTACGCTGCGACTTCGGAGGGAAAGGAAATGTGGACCAGAATGGGTTTTGTTATTCGGGGTACTTAAGGACTATATAGAAGCGTACTTACATCGAGTTTATATGACGTTGAGCTTGAGCGTTCGAGCGGATGCATATATAAACGCATAGAAAGACTCGAACGGGGTCGATACGAATGAATTATAGCGATACGATAGAGTCGTAGCGCTACATACGAGCCAGGTACGGGCCGATGTGGCGAGGGGACGAAGATCAAGCGTTGAGCTTTGAATCAGAATTGCTTCAGAATGACTCGCCTGGAGGTCAGTGCAAGGTGGTGGATCCTATTCACCCGTCTTGATACTCCGCGCATCGCTCACAAGAGGAAGAGGATTGTCCTGGATCATCGTACGAACAGATTCTGGGCAAGCCATCGGGCCTGAGTTCCTCCACGCTCAGAGGTTCCTTGAGTCATATATCGGCTTCGTGCGTTCTAATGATGATGAGTCGTTGAACCTACTCCAAAAAAATAAGATTCAACAACGATGCTTGGAAGTACTTGATTACTCCGCGTTGATGACGATGTTGAAGTTGAGCCACCGTCTCAAACCAGAGAGCAAGCCTTCTAAATCAATGCAATCGATTTCTAGCGTTACAATATGAATCGTTGGCGAGAGTTGTGCGCGGCGGCCGAGCTCGAGATGACGATGTTGCAGGGGGGAGATCGAGCGAATCTGCCTCGATGGCAAGGAAGGTGGTGAATCCGATACACCTCCTGTGATGCGGAAGCAGCCCTAAGAAAACATAAGCAGCCACTTACTTACCGTATACAACCACAAATCTTCGGAGGAAGTGACTTGAATGGCAAGAGAGCCTCAAGATCTCCGCCTCGTCACGGTGCGGGCCCGAAAACATGAGCCTGCCAGCCCCTGTCCATCCATGGCCCAGCTCTCTGCGTTAGGAAAGATCTGCAAGTTCTCCGCGAAAGAAGATGAATCGCGGTTCATGTATCAAAAAATCACTAGAGGGAGGAACTGCCGAAGCGGAAGCAAAAGATGGACTCGGACGCACTGAGAAAAATACGTGCCGACTCCGACTAGAATTCAATGTCCGCTGGGGTGTGGCGTGGGGTGCCACAGGGGTTGAGTTTGGCTTGACTCGCTGGCACTCAAGGTTTCAATTGGCAGCTGACTCGGTCTTTGCACCGTCGCATTGATACTCTCAGTCTAACGGAAAGGAGATTGTGCTACTGAGACACCGAACGTGTGTACCGATTGAAGTTTGGTCTCCGAGGCTTTTAAAGCCAGGCGATGCCGAGTCACTGCTATCCGCGGCATCTCAATCTCCTGCAGCCTGCTCGATGCTCACCGAGACGAAGCCTTCGGTTTATCGCCGCTCCTGCTGTCAACTTTGCCGGCTTCGTGAAGATGTCGTCATACCAAATCTGGAGTCCCGATTCCCGAGGATGTATTGTCTGCTCTGTCTGAAAAGATAGAAGATGGAGATTGATCGTCCGAATCTGTCAATATCCCTGTCACATTCTGTCATCTCTCGAGCCGCTTCCAGTCATGTTGCATCACACGGGTTCCCACACGGCTTCTTGTTTGACTCGCACATATACGACTGCATACTGTAAGATGCTCGCCGAGATGTGCCGTGCGAACCTTGCAGGTAAAGGCTGAGTATGTGGCGTCACAGCCCTGAGGATCATCAGAGCCTGAGGCAAGTGGACAGGATGTGAGCTTCGAGCTCCCCGGCCATTGAGACTTGCCATTGAGCGGGGTGTTTAAAAGAAGAATATGAGAGGTGTGACGGCAGGCTTATATCCGTTGTTATCGTAATGCGGCCGAGCAGAGCAAGCGCTTGAGCTTATTCGCCAACCGCGGACAGAGAAATGAGTCGGAAGGAAATGTTGTGTGGGATTCGACGAGCGTAGGTAGAGGATATCTGACACTAAATCAACGTTTATGAGCTCGGCACCATGACTAGTTGTAGAAGAGACCCAACAGTGTTAAGGCAAACACAACTTGCACGGACAACATCTAGAGTTGGCAAGGGTGTAGTTTCATCAGGATAAAGTAGACCTTGTTCAAGTGGAAGTCCAACTACTCAGCGTAAGTATAACGAGATAGAGGTGAAGAGATAGAGAGATAGAGAAAGCAATTGTTGCAGCTCGGAGAACCTCAGCCTGAGGGTCGTTACCTGTTTGCTGAAAACGACAACAAAAGAGACCGAAAGGATGTGCTGCGCTTTGTCGAACATTCGTCTGACGAAACTCATGAACAGCCTCTGGCATCACCACGCCCCTCGTCTTTCCCCCAAAAGGACAAAGTGGAAGACACATAAGGATATACATATGTTCAAAACCGTCCTCAGCTTCGTAACGCGGCACGAGGGCGAGTTTCGTAGGCTGCAGATGATTGAATTAAGCAAGCGCGAGCCTGAGCCTGCGAGTCTGGCGGTGTGTGCCATGGCGTAAGCGTCGACGAATCTGGCACATTCAAAGCTCCAATTTCCCGGCTGTTCATATCCAAAAAGGGACAACAAGGACTACTTCGAGTTAGACCCATGGATGGTTCGGCGGGAAGTGGACGCCCTCTATTTTCAAAGTCACGAACATCTGTTAGCTAAGTGCTCCCTTATGGAAGTCGCACTGGCCCGTGAATGAGCTGTCCGTCATCGTGATACACTCCACTTCATACTCAGCTAGCGCTGATGATCCGGATAGGTTATAAGTAGACCGTCGATGGAATGGAAGCAGAAGCCTCGTCGTCTCGCCGTGTCCTGTTTATATGTGGCTCCAAAGGAACGCAAACTGGCTCGAATGGGCTCGGAGAAAGAGTTATTATAAAGAGCTCCGATGGTGCCTGCGTGGGCTTAGTGAAATGAAGAACTTCGTCGCCACACAAGGCGCGTGCGGAACGAGGATGCGGGTCTCGACAATGAAGTGATCTACCAATGCGGCAAGTAAGAGAATAGAAAAGACCCGATGCAGATGGCTATATTGAGACCAAGAATGAGTGCAAGGAATTCGAAAGGTGACGAGAAGACACGTACTCATGATACCTCGTATTGAACCGAGATGACCGTAGAAGGTATGCAGGTGACGTTGTTTCGTTATGGAGATGCCAGCATCGCGTCGCCTTTGGATGCTCCATTCCAAGCCCAAGAAGAGTAAATACTTGCGACCTGCACTAGAAGAGATGGTTGAACACCGATATATCCGCAATGTGTTTCCGACTAAGCCTGAACTTGACAAGCTGACCTACTAGAATACCGAGCGTCGAAAATCATATTCATGGCACAACATCTGGAAGCCACAATGTCAACTTCGGAAGTCAGCGCTTCGACTCGACTCGTTCCGCGTTTGAATACTTCAAGGAGAGCAGGAAGCACTCCGCAGCATGGAATTGGAATTCCGAAACAACGAAGCCTCGGGCCAGCAGAGCTTTGATAGTGGGTGCAACGCATCATAACCAAGAGGAAGAAGAAGGAAAGGAAGAGAGGAAGGAGATATAGAAGAACGTCTTCGTTCCGAGCTCCTTCATCGCTCGAGAGCTATAGCCGTGTTATTCCATGCATAATCGTGCTCTGCCAAGTTTTATTTAGTTTCGTGCCACGGCCGTCATCGGAATTGAGCTCGCTTGAACGGAGAGGTGATACCATCACCGGTATCAGGTGTAAAAACACCGTAGACGCATTGGGTAGGCTAGAACCTTGGTCCGAGGCGGAGCCTGTCGTGTCGTTGTTGTCGATGTAGCTGTGTCCCGCCATAGTCCTCGGAGAGTCAGAACCGTCGGAATGGATAGCTGTAAGGCGTGCGATTGCGCTGTGATGGACATACGTAGTAACGATCAAAGACGAGCGTGAAAATGAGCATCGTGGGTATGAAGGTAGAGGTTGAGATAGAGTGAAAGATAGGCCTGAGCACATGGAGGTGCGTACCTTCGCTGGGATAGTTTTACTTGCAGACGAGGCACATTGGAGCTGTGTGACCGGTATCATCGGAACGAACGTATGAACATAAGGGGAACAGGATACACACCTAAAGTCGTTCGCAGGCGCTCTCTTTCGTCGAAGTTTCAAGATATACCCAGGAAGATTGAGGGTACCACGACGCGACAGAGAGAAAGCTCTATCAAACCATGACCCTTGACCGCCACGGTGGAGATTCCATACACTGCCGGAATGTAGAAAGACGCCGAAAGCAAGATGGGACGTCGTTATTGACACGCAAGATGCATGAGAATATGATCACGTTCGGTTGGTCGGTACGTACGTACTTATTCTGGCATCTCCGGCCTGTGGCACTTTTGTGAAGATCGCAGTCGTAACAATCGAACATTCTCGGACTTTGAATCAAAAATATAGTGTGGGTTGGGCGCTGAAAGAATTTATGATAAATACAGTCTTGCTGAGCGCTTTGACTTCGGAGGCTTAGCTCTACGTAGCATGAAAGATGCGCGATCGGACGGAGAATAGAGTACACACTGAAGTTCGGACTGGTTGCCCAGCCAGGACTGACGCTTCGAAGATGGAGACGTTGCGGTATTAACCTATGTTCAAAGAAGATGAAAGGGGGGACAAACCAAGGCTCTCAATGAAAACTGTTAATCAAGTATGACTGATGGAAGAATGAGTGCACGACTGCGGCTACAGTAGGTAATGTAAAGAAGGGTGCGTACCTTTCATCAGCCCTCTCATCCCAATCGGAATCAATCTCTCTGGTGCTGGGAGTTGATCTACCGGTTGGAAAATCGTCATCTAGGCGTCTAGTTCAGGTTACAGCTAAAGATACTCTGATACATTCTTCTTAATGTGTTCAGGGCATTCACCCTCCATGCTATTGTACCAGAGCCCGTCAAGTTTGAACATGCATACCCGCCTCGTGAGATATGGCAGGACATGGCGCTGTCATATCATGTCGTGAACATGGTTCAAGTCTAGAAGCGCATGGCACCAGTGCTTACGATGTTTTGAGAGAAAATCCGAGTTCTCCTGAGATATTCGTGACTCGGCGATGTGCAGTGATCCCATCGGCTCAAAAGAAGCACGTACGATGATTTGGGCCCGAGGTTCCGCCAGAGAGGTAGGTTGGTGCTCACTCAGGCGGTTCGGCTGAAATGTCGACGACGTATTACAGTTGCAGGCGTGCCTTCAGTCACATCGGGACTTCCCTCTTGCCAAATGACTAGTAAGTACCTTATGTGAGAGAGAAGTCACCGTTGTTGAGAGGAGGTCGGACGCTCATCTGCTTGGATGTTATTTTGGTCGCGCTATACCGTAGCACAATCATGGAAGGAAGGGTCAGCAAAATGAAGTCGAGAGCAATATGAGACACGAGCGGAATGAGATGATAGACCTTGTACGAAAATGACAAGGTACACGGCACAGTGGCCTTTGAATTTGATGGAATAGTGGCGTCTTATGTGGCTGAGACGATCCCAGTTTGCAGTAGTATTGCGGCCTTCTTCTGAGGTTAGGAACTTTAGGTGCACAAGTTGTGGGCTACGTTGCGCTGCTATGTTGAGCCAGAATCCCATGGGGAAACGATGCGCAGATGTTAGTGTGAAGAAAGCTGCATATATAAGTTAGCGCCTACGAACATAACTCACCGGCATCGAAACGCAAGAACCACACCACGCCACTGCTAGATGCAACCAATCTACGGTAAGTTTGGCTCTGATCTCGAGTTCCTGGGAGGGTATTGATAAATATAAGCAGCCCGGCACTTACCACTTCGCAGTTTGACCAAAAGTGACTTCTCACACCAAACCATCGTCCGAAGCAAGCCAGGCCTTCTGCGCTTCAATGTACATCCCAACTACCCACTACAAACAGTCAAACTTTACTCGAGGTGAGCGACCTGAGCCTGGGCCGGCAGGTTCCATCGTATCTTATCCTTCTCGCCATCTCGACCCTTTATGAGAAATAGAATTGATATGCGGAATGTGGAGGAGGCCTTGGCAGTGACTGGTCTCAAGATATGACGAGCGCCATAAGGCGTACTTTCTGATATAGTCGGCGAAACCATGGGGGTAGAGTGGGGATTCAAGAGCGTGTTCGGACTTGAACGATGATGCGGATGAACGGTCTCGCTTCCGAGAGATCCATTTAGATTCTCGGGTTGTGAGTAGCTGGATTGGTCAAGGTCATGGCAATGATGGCGTCTGCTTCCAAGTCGGTGAGAGAAGCCAAGATCCGAGAATCCCAAAACTCGATGAGGACACCTTCGCTCAGGGGTTGGAAGAGAAGGTGTAGTAACATGATGGAGACGTGCATGTCCGGATAATTCGAGCCTGGCGCTCGAGTATGAGTATGAGAAGTGAGAATGGGAGGCACGTCTGAGCACGCGGACTCACTACAACTGCCCTGGTTCTTTGAATGAAGCTTCGACTTCTCTTCTCTTCCACAGCCTCATGAAGATTCGAATGCGCGATGCGAGGCGTTCCGTTTTTGGGAACGTGAGACACGATGAACTTTGTTTTCCTGTACTGGTATGTAGTGGCGGAGTTTCGAGGAATGGACTGGAAGTCGAGGCATTGATGATGGTCCATTCACGCTGCGGAGATATTATACAAGAACGTCTAGAGTGCGATTGTCGTGCGATGGGGAAACTCACGACAGAAAAGTCTCGGTCAGGAGATTCAAGTATTTGGGCTTGTCAGTATCAGGACGAGATGCCTGAAAATTCAATGTAGGGCATTTGAGCTTGCCCATGACAAACACTAGAGAAAAATTTTATCGTGATATATGCCCTAAACAGAAATATCACATCAGTAGTTGGTGATGACTTCGGAATTGTGCCATGCACTACATGCCACTTAATCCTCGACGAGTGGCTCCCAGTCTCCCGATCCGAGAACTAGACCACCTTCTTCAATGGGCACAATGGAACCAACCACCAGAACAATACAACAAAGGAAAAGAACATACCTGGACCCGCTCTGGCCCACTCTAAGCAAGTCAATGACCTTTGCGTCCATATTAGGCTCGAAGAGTGAGGGTGGATTCGCAATCTATGTAAGTGATGCTCCGCCACCTCCCAGGTCGAAAAATTAGAGGCGTAGAAGGAAAAGACAACTTAGATAGCGTAAACAGCTACGCCGGACATCTTTTCCTGATGCCACAGGAAATGTACGTCAAAGCCAAGCGAAGACACAGCCTTTTCATCCATGGGCATAGCAGGCACAACCTAGTCGAACAGCTCGCACTCGACGGACTGAAGCGGCTCTATCTTCAGCGTGGCGCGATGCATATCTGCACAGCTCATGGTGAGATGAGGTATCAAATTGCATGTGATATGGAAGGAGTACTTGCCTCAAGAGAAAATGTGGCTCCAATCATAGTATCGACGAGTCGTATGGGGAAGAGAAGCAGACCGCACGAGGTCTTCATTATGAGTTAGACCGCAGCCAACTCAGACTCCGAAGACGCTTCGATGGCGATGTGGGTTGAAAGTGAGAGAATTAATTAGACAGGTAGGCTGACACAGCCATCGAGAATGTAGCGGAGTCTGAATTGAAATTGCGGTCAACCATGTAGTTGGTCGAGAACGACCAAGACATGCATATGTACTAGACTACATAGAGGATCATCGAACGAGGGCATCATGCATGTTGTGGTTCTGAAGCGTCCTCGATGTTCCTCGAATACCGCATGAATGCTCAACCCACATGGAAGGACAAAAATACAAATTCGCCTACTCTCCTGTTTGGGATTGCCGCACGGGGATGGAAGTTATGAAGTTCAGTGAGAGGCGAACGGCAGACCATGGCATATACTACCTTCGCTATGGTTTTGGCAACGACCCTCCAAGAAACACAGGTCGGATCTCTTAGAGAAGGGGCAAGATACAAGTGTAAGTGCATGAATATTCAAAGCGCCAACTCAGGAAGGAGCGAGTTGAAAAAATCGTTTCAAGGAGCAAATGAGCCTGTGAACACTTCTAGATCGCGATCGGCAAGAGTGATATCTATGTATCTGGTTCCCTTGTCGAATCTGCATGGCTTTTTTAGGCATGGTGGGCCTTTGCAAGGGCCATGGACGCCAATGTCGACAGCGCATAGTCTGCTATAGTCTGAAACCTCTATCTAGCTTGTGAATCTGTGGCGTGTGAGTATAAATTGAAATTTGAACCCCTTTGTAGAGCCATGGGCTGCCATGGCCAGCGGCAGCGTACGTGTGACGAGCGATCGCCCTGGGAGGATAGATACAATTCGCGATCAATAATCGCACTTCCTATCCGGTACAAACTTCGTACGTCACATCTCGAGACCCCCACCCAAAATTTCACAGAGGGCGACATGGCTTACGGCAAAAGCGCTTCCCGTTCTTGCCTGATGCATGTGTGAAAAGACGAGAAGACAAAGGGAACAAGTAGCACCTTCGAAAGGCATCCTGTTCTACGAGGAACGGGAATGAGGCGGATGCAGAAGAAATAGACGGCTCGGCTTGCCACGAATCGTGAGTCGTGAGTGAATGCTTACCCTCCGGCAAGTCAAGAACAGCGTATCCGCGATTTTCGATGGTGCCGCTAGGTACGTACACACTCGCATCGGAAAATCCATCCACGAGTAGAACAAAAGGACACTGCGTGTACGCCACACATACGTGCTCGTCAGCCTGTCTCAATTTCCCAAGACGATATCGCGCACAGGATCGAGAGACCTCGGGAATGTCCGGTCAAGGGACGGTGTAGGGACGGTATACTTATGCAGTCATATAACCGTAGTCTGAGAGCGAGCAGTTAAACATCGTGTAGGATTGACGCTGGGAACAAGCCGAAGCACTGCTCAGAAGATGCACAGAGCAGGCAATAAGAAAGTGGCATGATGGCGGGCCGCATAAGTATCTCGGCGATGGCCTTCTAGCAGCGTGTGCCACACTTCCTCCTTGCGTCGTGGGTGAAATGAAAAGGCTGCCACATGTATGGTCTCAGATGGTCTCTGAAATGGAGCCAATACGGCGTCATTCATGTATCCTCAGATGCTTCTACCTCAAGCAAGTCTTGGGAGGTGCTGCGGATGCGAAGGAGTCGTGTAAGCACTAAGCTACCCAGGCTGAGGGAAGAGTGTCTTTGATACCGTCGCTCTAAACCATGTGAGGTACGGACCTTGATCGATATGGACGTGAGGTTATAAAGGCCGACAGGGTTAGTTCCCCTGGCAGGTAAGCAACCTAACGCCGCAGATTAATGACGGTTTGTGGTTGAGCAGAATACGAGCGTGGAAAAAAGAAGGTTTGGAGAGAACGTACATCCAAATAATCTCCGTGATAATCACAGCAAAGATAGACCGTACGAATGAGTTCGAAGGGTTGGAAGGCGCCCTGAATTCAACGTTGGCGAGTTCGCGAAGATGTGAGAAGCTTTGAAGCTGAGATATTCGAGAGCAGGACGTACCTTGTCGACAAAGAGCTCTCCGAAGAGCCATTGGTGATACGGCGAATCGTATGGAGCCCTCGTTGACGCAATCACGGAGATGGTTGTACAGCTTACATGGGCGACACTTCAAAATATGGTACCGGTATACCTGGTATATCGAAGCAAGAAACGTTGTCAGGAAAACTCACCTAAGGCGGGAGGAAAATATCAATGGCAAATACATACGTACAGCGTTTGGGTCAAGACCGTCAAGTGACGCTCGGGGGTTGTGGCGGTTCGTCAGAGAGTCGTCCATTTCGAGTGGTTGATGAACTTAGGATATTTGTAGATTTTCTCGGGGCGCATATTTCGTAGAATCTATATGAGAAGAAGAAAAAAAATTGAAGTTAGATGTAGACTCGCTAGTAGGTGTAGAGAGATGAACCCGACGTTAGTCAAAGTCCTTCTCGGCGTTCGAACATGCACAGACAACCGCAGATCAAACAATAGAATATGATAGACTTCGAAGAGGGTGTTACAATTCCTGGCATCCGCAAACGTACGTGAAATCATAATCGAAGCAGTGACCCTCTCACACAAGGGTGTCGCCAGGCTCACCGTATCGACAAGTCGAGGGAGAAGGCATTCGTGCTCTATGGAGACAAAGAAAAAGACCAATATTTGCAAAAGAAAAACAGACTCACACTATGCAACGGACTAATCGCAACCGAACCAATGAGCTTTCAAGGTAACGCGGGCCCGCTTGCCAGCCTTGTTGTTGATCGCAAAATTGACGCAAAATTGAAAGTTGTTGCAATTGGAGAGCGAAGTAGAGCGATGTGACGAAGTAGCTGTAGCGAGAATTTCAAGCATCATCCGCTCATACCCTTCCAAATGTTTTTGAGTGACCTTCAGGATCTAGCGCTCACTGTTAAGTCAGAAGTCAGAAAAGGAGAAAAGACAACCAACACGTTTGTTTGTCGTTGTTGAATTCGGAAGCCTTCGGGTTCTGAATATTTGAATACCTATGACGTCATGAGTCGTGCCACACCATCTAGAGCGGCTCTCATTCGCTGGGCTCAGCACCCATCTACGGGCTTCGAGTCAGACTTTTCCGTCTCCATCTTCGTTGAAAGCCTTCTTAATCAAACGAATTGTCCACGATGTCTTCTGCTGCCCAAAAGATATCTTCAGTCCTTCTCGCACGCACACTGCCCCCACTCTCTCCGTCGTCAATCTACGACTCATCCCTAACATCACAAATTGATGCCCTGAATCCCGACCCAGTATATCTGAGAGCCGCATTACACTTAGCAAACGACGATATTGACAGGGCTCATGAGCTTGCACAGGGTGACGAAGGAGAGGAGACGAGCGATTATCTACACGGAATGTTGCACAGGAGGGAAGGAGATTATTGGAATTCGAAGGCACGTTCCTGGCGTTGACACCAATATTTTCAACCGCCAATCTTCCTCTGTCTAGTGGTGGCTCGGCTCCGGCATGCGCACGGTCCATCCTGTTCTAAAATCCGTTCATGGTGGCGTGGCCGGTGGAAAGAAGTTCGTAGATGCGTGCGAGAAGGTAGGCAAGGGACGGAACGAGGACTTGGAAAACAAGCAATGGGAGGAGTTGAAAGGCGTAGTGGAATACGCATTGAAGAAAGCGGGAGGCGAAGAGAGGAAGTGAGTCAACGCGAGTGATTCGTGTATGAGGATGAACAGGGAGTAAGCGTGTTGTCCAAGCGGCGGCACAACTGTGTAGTGGGAGGCAGGATAGACGGTGAGGGCTGGTCCAGTGTTCTTATCCAGGTGGATCATCTGCATAAGTATGGATGTTTGTATTTTCTTCTGTGTCTGTATCACTACCTGCGCATTTGAGCGAACCTGAAAGAATAACGCTCCCTCTAAGCGATTGTCTGGTGCAACGTTCAATAAAGACAGTGCTACACATCCACGTGCTCCTCTGATATTTTATTGTAACCATATAATCATCATCGAGCCTTTGGTACCGATGTTCGCAAACTGCTTAATGTCTCCGAAGGCGCCAGCTAAAGAATGATGAGATTGTTGGAAGCCCTGGGCGTGGACGGAGCTCGACGCAGGCAGCCGTACGGATGCTACGTTATACGAAGTGTGGTTGCTTTGTCGTGGAACGTACGACGAGATAGCGGGGAGGGAGAAGAGAGGCCACATCTTTACTGTCGGACGAGAAGGGCGTGATGGGCGAAGGTCTATGGCCCGGGAGACACCGCCTTCACCGGCCGGACGAAAGTTGGATGGACCTGTAGAGTACATGCAGCTGTCGAACAAGCATAGCGATACAATGAGACAGGCAAGTTGATGTGCAGTGGGGATTGTCTGAGTCGCGTGATAAACCGCTCGTAGGCTTTCTTAAGTATCATCACAACATCCTTTGACAACATATTCCACTCTGAAGTCGGATGCTCTCTGAGAATAAAGAATATGAGAGTCAGTGGCATGTATTATTAAGAAAGGGACAAAGGGGGCGCACGTGTAGACAAAAAAAAGGTTCCAAAACTCGAAAGTCGGCATCGGGACAAAGCCTGACGCCTGAATGGCGGACAGACAAGAACCTGCAGAGAAAAAGTGTCGGTCTGTGTGAATATTTACGTTTAATCTTGTCCGTCCTTCAGAGTCAGCATTACAGTCGTCACAGATAGGAATGTACGACAAAAGAGCGATCAGTCGGATCCTCCGAAGTGTAGCACCAGGTAGCACCATTCCTTCGCAGTTTTTAGCAGTACATCATATACGAATGTTGCATAGCGAACTAAAACTCACGCGTATTGTCTACAGCAGAAGTATTGGAGGGAATTCAATATGTCTCAACAGCAAGATCGCGGAATACTCACAATGTTGGCGTCCATCTTCTTCCAACATCTCCAAGATGTCCCATCTTCGCCTATGAACCGATACCTGCCTCAAGCTAGCTCGTCTATCCCAAGACCATCAGGGCACTCTGAGTAGGGTTCGAGTACAGTATCCTCAAAGGAGCTCGCCGCCTGGCAGAGTTCAATCTGAATCATGAACAGTGGCAACATGACAACGCTTCTGGTGCGGTTGGTCATTCGACGCCCGTCAATCACAGGACTGAAGTGAGCCAAAGCGTCTGATTGTACGCGATGAATTTCCCAGGTCAATTATCGAACTGCAGCAAGGGAATGGTTGAAAATCGACAAAGGCTAAGATGATGATGGTCCGTTCAGGAGCCAAGTTCTCGTAAGTTCGCGACCGGCAAGCGCCGGAAAGTGGAAGGGCAAATCCTTATTGTGTTCAATAACCACCACGTCGAACCTCAAGCTTCAAGGTCAGCGTAGAAATATAAACTCTCGAGCGCCCCATCCACAAAGATGGATAGTAGTGAAGTTCAAAACGGGTAAGTCTTTGACTTGGACCAGTATTACCATAAGAATCCAAATTGGAACCCACCTCGGTGCCACCCATCATACTAATATCGACATTTATGTCCCCAGGCAGCGCTTGTCCCAGGAACAGGACAACCCCTTGAACCCGAAAGCTAATAAGGTCAGTGCTCTACCAGTTTGATCTCCTAATCGATATGCCCGTCGACTTTCGCCACACCTGGAAGTCCTGTCACTTGCTCACATTTTCTACAATCATCAGGCCTCATCCGGGGCCGATAAATATTGGACCTCCGCATTTGCTTCTCGCATTAATACAGTTGATTTCACGAACCCAACCGGCAATGTTGACGGAGCCATTGTCGCCCGTCAAGTGTTAGATGACGAACTTGAGGCCCTGGCAAGGATCATGGCGCTAGCTCGGGCACATCGAAATGCGCACTCCCTTCCCTACCGCCTTCCGCCCGAGATATTGGCGCGCTGCTTTTGGTTCCTCAGCGGTGTCGAAAACCCAAACTCTGGAACGACCACCCTGAGCTACGGTGGGGTGGCTCCTTACAGACCACGCATTGGTTGGCTCAAGGTGCTACACGTATGCGGACATTGGCGTCAAGTCGCGATTTCATATCCTCACTTATGGGCCGACATCGATTTCTCGCTTGGATCAACCTGGGCTCGGACGATGGTCCTTCAATCCAAAGCAGTGCCTATCACGTTGAATCACCATCGGCTCTCTAACGAAAACAAAGACTTCATACGAGATATTTTGCAAAACCATGCCCACCACATAAAGAGCCTATCACTCACGTTAGCCCTCTCCTGCAAAACCGACATGCTGTCGTCCGTAGTTGATGGCCTTCCTCCCGCACCGATGTTGGAAACTCTGACCCTCTCGACGTCTCCTGCGCTACCGCGTTCTGGACGATCGCAATCACTTCCTACTCATCTCTTCATGAATCGCACACCTTGTCTTCGTCAACTCGCCATTCATGGAGTCGTTCTCCCGGATACAACATTCGCAATTCTATCTAATGTCACCAACCTCACGCTGTCGTTGAACAGTTCATATCGCGATATTCCCCAATTTACTCGTGACCCTGGCATGCCATCTGTACAGACAATGCTATCTCTCCTGGGCAGCCCCAGCCATTTAGAGCGTCTTAGCCTTACTCACATTCTTCCCTGCATCTCTAAAGGAGCTATGTCCTCCGGTGTCGGTATAGTCCCTCTTCCCTACCTGACCGAAATCCGACTTGAAGGTCCCTCTGTGGGTTGCGCGTTCATGTTACGCCACCTCGACTTCCCACAAAATGCCCGACTCTCTGCCCGAGGCACCGCCGACGAATCTGTCTGGAGCCATACCGAGCGCATATCGACCCTCTTTTCTGCCGTCGCCTCCCATACTCATGGCGACAAGGCGCCTCGTATCCGTACACTCGCAATCTTCTCTTACCACAACCTCGACCACCAGGGCTGCGATATAAAGGCGTGGGATATCGATGTCGGCGACGCCGGATCTGATCTTCCTCCACAATACGATTATGGATTGGACACCGCAGTCGTTCAAGTGCAGATAGTTTGCGACCGGGACCAAATGCCATCGTTCGCTTCGATCAGCGGTATTGTAGATCTCACCGAGTTACGCACAATCGACATGGGCAGCATGAACTGGACCGTGTTCTCAGATTCCATGCCGACTCTTGCGTCCTTGAAACAGCTGCGCAACATCTCGATCAGTGGGATGACGTCCGTACGAGCTTTCCTCTCGGCTTTGGTGGAGCCCGTGAGCGGGGAAGGCAGGTCCCAAAAGCCGGCTGGGGGAAATCATGGGAAGAAGAAACCTTGGCCTCGTGTTCAGGCGCACGAAGTGTTTCTACCAAACCTGATCTCGGTCGACATCGTGGACATGGATTTCGACCCAGACTTGACGAAGCTTTTCAGATCTCACCTGAAAAGGCGGAAGAAGATCGGGAAGCCTATACGGCGCCTGGGTATCATCGACTGCATTATCGACGAAGGTTTCCTCGTGGAGTTGGAAACGATAGTTCCGAAGGTGGATTGGGATGGGTACACAGGGGACGAAGAATATGATGACGATGATGAAGACGACGAGAACTCTTTCGACGATTCTGAGGGTTACGGTTCTGAGTTCGACGACTTTGCTTTCTGAATCTCCAGGTAAAACGGTTTTATCTTTTCATAGTCTGTTCTACGATTGACGTCCTTCCTCCTTCAGAATGAACATCTTCCCTGAGTTGTGCTTTGCCCTAGCAGATACAGCGAAGGCGAATTTGGTCGTGTTTCTTGACATATTTTCTCTCCATCTATTTTCGTCGTCAATCTGTCTTTCAGGTAATACTACAACAGTCGTACATCACCCGTAGTAAGCGGTCATAGGTACATATTTATACTCCTGCGGACTGAGAGATAGTTATCAAGCATCTCCATCGAAGGATCACAAATCACAGCTTCGCTCCCTTTCCCTCCGCCAGCTTCTGCCCCCGCTTCAACATCGGCCTTATATATTCCTACAAATGCGCGCCACCGTGAATAAATGAACAATATGTACAACTTTGAGAGAACGCACCTCGTATCCAGGGACGACTTCCGTCTGGTTCAGCGGCTCGCCCTGCACGCGTTCCCAGAATGCCTCGTATACCCTGCCGTCATACACACCGAGCACGCTGAAAGACCAAGTAGAATCGAGGTGTGGCATGAATCAGTCTTTAACGTTCGTTCGTTCCTAGATGAGAGAGGTAAATTGCATACCTATCGAGCTCCCAGTCGGAGAACCCAAACGCGTCGCCGAGCGCAATCGATTCTGGAATAATATGGAGACAAGACGTCGCGATAGCGTGGCGGAGGTGATGTGCCGGATCCTTAAAGTCTCCGCTGGCTGGTGAGGCCGGAGTGACCAAACCGAAGGAAAGGAGGTCGGCGAGGCCTTCTTCAACAGCGACAAGGAGATACTATGATAATAAATGAAGGTAGGGGCAGGTTAGCAAACTACGAATTCAGAGAATGATGACTAAAAGACAGACCGAAGAATACAATCTCGCGACCACGGCTTTCGTCGCTGCAGGCAGCTTCACGTCTTCCAGACCACGGATCATGTCAAGTATCTGCGCCGCAACGAACGCCTCCGTCACCGCGTTCGCAACGCGTCTGGACGCCCCTGCATCCAGCTCCTTGTCCAGGTCCAGGGCGGCGTGCGATCGGACGACGAATGCCGCTCGCCACTCCAGTAGCGACGCGAGTATGGCCGGGTCGGACCAATCCGATGATGAGGTGGGCGAGGGTGGCGGCGTGGTGTTGGATGGAAGTAGACAGCGGAGGTACGCAGAGGAGGGCGATAATTGCGTTGGAGAGGATGATGCTGTTGCTGTCGACGATCGAACGCGATGGAATGCTTTCAGGGCTGCTCGAACGACCTGATGGTCAAGGACGAAGTTGTCGCCTTCGTATCTATAATATGTAAGTATCAGCATCGGGTGCTGATTTACTAGCATCGGTGGCGAGAAGATAGAAAACTGACGTTGCGGCCGGGAGATATTGAGCGTAGAGCGATCCCAAGCCTGAAAACGCACTGAACCCGTGGCCGCCCATCGAGCGTCGGGCGACTTCGACATCGCGGGTCGTGATCGTCGTAGAAAGCACCTTGAGTCCACTCGTGGTAGCGTGCATCTCGGCCAACGTGGACGTATCTCCAGCGGCGAGCTTGGCTGAAGTACTCGCGAACGATTTGGACTACCGGGGGGGGGGGGATGTCAGCATGGGAGTGCGATGGAGATTAGGTTTTCGTAAAAAGGCTCACGAGCTGCCTTCCGAGCTGGAGGAACACGTACGCCCGTGCGAGGATGGGGACGAGCCGGTAGTGCACGGATTGATACGAGATGACTTGTTTCTCGAGGCCGTCGGCAGATTTGGAGCCTTGCCTACGGACGTGGGCATAGCGTATCGAAATCGTCGCAGCTGCACGAGCATCATTAGCCAGTACTTCATTCAAACAGAGGGAGAAGTCTCTACGCACCCTTGGCTAGTACCCATCCGGCGGTAGTGACCATCCTGGAACACCTTAGTCACCGAATCATCTACGGGTCAACAAACCGATAAAATGACTCACTGCGACCGAATGTAAAGCATCTGCACTACAGTTCAGCGGGTCGGACCAACTTGATAGCACATGAATACTTACCCCTCCATAACTCATCTTCGCGTGCGGCGGTTGCACATACTTGCCTTCGGGCGTAACCTGCGCGAACTTCGACAGCATATGTTCTTTAGGCACTCGTACGTGGTCAAACTGTGCGAAACCGTGATCCTGGTTAGCCCACCCGCCCATGGCCTTCGGACCTATTGACTCATGTTCAGTTGTGTGTCAAGTATACCAGAAGCGAACCCACCGATGTCGCCAATGTTCCTTCCAGGAAGGAGGGTATGGTCATCTGCAAGATACTTCAATCAATCCTGAGGGTATTCTGTATCGTTCAGGCATGTTACGCACCCAAAGAGCGAAGCTGCACGAAGAACAAATGTGGCCCGACATCCTTCCCACTTGGCAAGATCAACTTCGCCTGTACAACACCATGCGTCGCCGTCTTTCCAAGACTCCCAACCCACCACTTCGTACTCGTCAGCGTCGGCGAATTGATCTCGAACTCTTGAGTCTCGGGTATGAAAGTCGCGGTGGTTTCGAGAGCGGAGACGTTACTGCCGTGACCGAGCTCGGTTTGGAGGTAACAGCCTAAGATACCGCGGTGTTGGATGAGGGGGCCATATGTGGCGAGAAGGGTCTCGGATCCTTGGCTCGTGACGACGGGCTCGAATGCTATGATATGGACCAGGTTATATTTGAGTATATGAGAGCATGAGTATGAATTTGTACACAAATTCAGAGGAGAACATGACGGACGAACCGGCCAAGTGAAGGTCTATGGGTGCTCCGTCGTCGAGCAGACCGATCGCATGACGCGTATCTTCGTCCGTCCAGCCGTGCTTTTCCTGTAGCTCAGAGATGTGGTTCATCATGGACAGTACGCGTTCGAATAGCTGTGTCCGCGTCATGAAGAGTCTATTATGCGCTCGACCCAACCGTGGTTATTTAAGGTGCAGTGCGGACGGTGAGGATCATACTGGCATACCGTTTCGACTTGTCGAAGACCGGATCTGAAGACATGATCTGAGCAATAGATTCATGTCGTCTCCAATGCTGATTACCATCTATGCGAACCATCAATACAAGACCTCGAGACCCAACACCACCGAATAACAAAACGAACCATGGAGGTAATCCCTCAGCGCCGTCACATCAATCACGCTATTTTCTCGGGCCCTCTTCAAGTCAGGATTCATGATACCCAAGACTATTCTCGCAAGAAAGTGAAGCGCAGAGATGCTCAGAGTTTGTGGAGGTGTGCGTGGTCGGCGCAAGAGGTATAAACATCGTGATGTTTCGTGCGCTTGAACTTGAATGAGGCTCGTGGAAAGGTGACCGGCTTGCGTTGACGTTGAAGAACCCCGGCTCCGGTAACCCCTGACGCGGGTGCGGGGAAATTACGAATTCGGAATTGGCCGGCGCGACCTTACACGGCGCCACTCACAGTTTGTGGCCCTCTCCTCTCGCTCTGCTTGATTGCCCTTTTCTCTTCTCAGCCCTTGAACCAGGAGGAGCCAAAGCAGCCCACATATGGCAGATCAAACTCGCAACTCATAAGATTCAAACTCAGGTATATATACTAGAAAGCTCAAGAAAAACAACCGTCACCGTCAACGTCACCAGTGACACGAATGGAAGGAAAGAAGAAAGATAGATAAATATACTGCGGGTAGACTCGAAACCAGTCCCACGAACGAGCGTGTTTGGATCTGAAGACAGTCGTTCAGAGCGATAATCACGCCAGTGTCGCTCCTCGCTCCTTGCGCCAATCAGATCCGCCCTCAGACTAGCCCGCCCCACATCCCCAACCCCCCGAACACAGCTCCCAACCCCACAATCAAGCCCACATAAGCCACCACATGCACCCCCACGCTGGGCAGGACGAGGTGCGTGTGTAGGAGGGCGAGACAGAGATGCATCGTGAAGACGGAGAAGAAGATGAGGGTAAAGGTGCTGTTGGTGGGATAGGGGTGGGCGGAAGGGTGCGGGAGGTGTGGAGGAGGAGGGTCGGATGAGGTTGAGGGGGTGGAGAGGGTGGAGAGAGTGCGGGAGGAGAGGGATATGGGGGAAGAGAGGTAGGTTGAGGACAGGAGGAGGGTGAAGCCGAGAGAGAGGAAGATGGAGGCGAGACGGAGGAGGATGAGGATGAAGACGGGTGTGCGCTGTGTTTGTGTTCCCAAGAATAGATCAGCATCCGTACCACAACTCCAGAATAGTACGCTCAGAAGAGGAACGGAAGGAGACACTCACGATGACAGGATAACCATACAACTCCTCGAGTTCCTCCCTCGTCTTCAACGCCGCGAGCTCGTCCAGGTCTTTCTCCACCTCCAACTCAATCTCCGCCTCGCTCACCCGTCTGCTCATCGTCCCCAGCTTCGGCCTCCTCCCTGTTCCCTGCCGTTCCCCAACCAGGTCAGTCTCCACATACGATCCACTCATCCCCTCCCCGTTCCCGTTCCCGTTCTCTCCAGCAGGCCCAACAATCCCCTCCTCCCTCTTCAGCCGTTCAACGACCACCGGCACGTCCTCCCTCTTCACCAACACATCCCTATACGCCCCCACCCATTCCCACCCCTGCCACACGCCCACCCCCACCTCGACCACACTCCACCCGATCGCGCCCATCCAGACCCTCCAAAACACAGGATCGAGAGGCGTCGGGAGGACGTGATCCATCTGATGTCTCAGACCCAGAATCGCGAGCGGCGCGAGGCGGAGGGAGGTGCGGAGGAGGACGAGGAGCGAGGTGTTGAGGATTGTGAGGGTGGAGGGGTGTGTGAGGAAGGAGAAGAGGATGCGGGGGGAGAAGGTCGTTCGGGAGGGGTGTGGGCCGAGGAGGGTGGGAGAGAGGAGGTAGGAGAGGAGGGTGTAGAGGGGAGTGGAGAGGATGTGGGAGAGGGACCAGAGTGCAGATGATAGGAGGAGTTCTGGGAGGGGGAAGGGGAGGGAGGACGGGAGGGAGGAGGTGTGCGGGAGGGGCGTGTGGTAGATCAGCCGAGGCAGGAAGGAGAGCAGGACGAGCAGGCCGAGAGAGCAGATCGGCACGAGCGTGTATTGCCATAGTAGCATTTTGTACGAGCCTGTTCGTAGTCACTTTAGTTTTCCACTAGAGTTATTTTGTAGTGGCCAAGGGACGACATACCGACATACAACCCTCTCTCCTCCAAAAACTCTTCATTATCCACGTCCACCAACCCACCATCCTCTCCATCTCCATCCTCGTCCTCATCCACCTTGGGCAACGACCCGCTCCCATTTCTACGCCTATACGCCTCCGGACTCCTCGACGACACCAACCTTCTTCCACCAGCCCCCTCGTCGCCACCCTGAGTCCCCCCGTAAGACCGTCCCCGGCCGTCTAACAGAGGGCGCTGTTCGGCGTTGGTGTTGGTGTTGATGTTGATGTGCGGACGGGGATCATGGTCCGAGAGCGACGCGGTGCTGGACGAGGAGGCATTCCCAGATGAACCTAGAAGTTCGCTTCCGGCCTGCTTGAACGCCGCGGTCGTGTCGAGCAGTTTTCCGAGACCCATTTGCTCGCGGTCGTGGTTGGTATGAATGGAGTCTCCAAAGAGAGTCGTTCAACGTTCGAGCTCGAGGGCGAAATTCGAACGGAGGACCGCGTTACTTATCACGAGCTAATTTCAAAGCAAGAGAGATAACGTCCAGCCAGCCTGACGGATGCCAGGACAGAAGAACAGACAAAGACGACTAGAGGGTAAAAATCGATAGTCCAACGACGACAACAACTCGTTGCGAAGAGTGGATACTATATAGTCATAGACGCTTTGGATGGTGGAAGATGGCGAGAGGCGGTGCGAGGCTTCGAATTCGTCTCGTCCCGTCACTGCAGCTGGGCGTCCTGGGCGTGTTGCGCAGGTCCTCGGCCATTGACAGAACGATCACTTTTCGCCAGTGGGCAGGGCGCTCTTCCATTCTGTGGTGTGATGCATTCGGTCGGATGATCTACCGTTCCAGTGAACTCGTGCAGGCGCTGTGGGTCACCGGGAAGATCACTTGCACGAGCTTCTGCACGATGATGCGAAAAAAAACACGTCTTGATGCTCGAAGTCCTCGAAAGAGCAAACGGTCACAGCACAATAGGATTCAGGAAGTGTATCATTTGTGGTATTTGGGAAAGGTCACTACAAGTTGTACAGTACTAAGATACAGAACAAAGACGGAATGTGCGGGATAGACAGGAATGGTGTTCCTTGCCTCGCCATGGAGGGGCCCCGGAAACATCAACAACCTGAGCGTGACACCACGGGATGCGAGCAAGATGTACGTGTACATAGAATCCTGCGTCGCATGACACTGACAGTCATTGACGCGACGGCTGACCAAACTGAGACGGAGAGCCAGAGGTTTTGACGTGCAGAGATATTAACGCGCAAGGACATCGTGATGGTCGTCGACTACATAACTAGACTCGACAGTCTTCTTGAAGCTTGAAGTCTAGAGCTCGAACGAATCGCGCCTTAGAGGACCCTAACGAAAAGAAAAAACTTCATCAGCACGGAAGTCCCAATTCCCAAAGGTATGATGAGAAACAACGACAACGAAGTTTAAAAAATCAGTTACTCGATGTATATCAACAAGAACCCCGCTCATCTCCACATTTGTACACCGGGAGACTTCGCGAGCGGGGTGCATTCGTGTCCGCCCATCGAAAGAGTGTATCATCATGTTTGTTTTATTGCCACCCTCACACACCAAATACCGAACACCACGCTCGACAGAAGAAAGACGGAAAAGATGCTCACCATTCTGTCTCGATTCACACCATTGGACATATAAACACCTGAAAAGGGGGAAGAGAAAAGAAGGTGTTAAAAAGAGCGTTCGAAGGGGACTGGAGGAATGGAAGGGAGGGAGGAGGGAGGGTCAGACAAGGCTGAAATCGATATAGGTCTTCCACAGTTTGTTTTTCGGAATGTGGTAAAGTATGGTATGTGTTTGAATCATCACTGTAGTATGTAGCACGAAGCATGACATCGTGAAAAGCAAAAAGGCTTACCATTCTCAGTCAACGAAGGTCAAACGGAGAGAGAAAGGAAGATGGACGGAAGGACGGAAAACGCGTCGCGAAAAAAATAGAGGGTTGATGAGCGTCGGAGATCGCCGAGTTGTAGGAGAGGTAAAGATAAGATAAGATAAAATGGACTCCATCAATAATTTCAGCACTTTCGTTCTCCAAGCTTCCTGCACCTTCGCCACACTTCGCATACTTCGACGGAATCCTAGAAAGACCAGCGCTTTTGTATCTCTAGTCATACCTCTGCTCACATTGCTCTATCATCGCACAAGACTGTATCCTTAGACCCTACCTATTATATCCCTCCGATAAACCTTCCAAAAACCCACAACTTCACAAATGGAATCCCTCCTCCGCTGGTCAATCGAAAACTCAGCTCCTGCCTCTACCTCAGACGGTACACCCGCGCCGACACCACAACCCCGAAAAGACCTCGACCCAGGAATTATCGATGCGATATTGGGGAGGCCGGATTCGGAGTTGATGAAGGAGGCGTTGAGCGCGGCTGTGGATGAGAGGGTGGGAGAGGAGGGGAGGGTGGCGGCGTTGGATGATCTGGAGATGGTGTGTTATTCTTTCTGTGTTTTATTTGTTGACTGATGTATGAGAATGTGAGCGCGGGAGTGCTAATGCTGATGCTGATTGGATTGTTTGCAGTTGGTTGAGAATATCGATAATGCGAATGGTACGCTCACCGCACTAACCCCAATGTGTCCCTTGTTCATCCTCTCTTCCTCCATGGAATATAGATCTAGAAAGACTGAAGATGTGGGAACCCCTACACGGACTTCTTTCAGCCCCAGGCTCGACGGACGCCGTGAAGACGCAAACGCTCTGGGTCATCGGTACGGCCGTGCAGAATAATCCGAAGGCACAGGAAGCTGTATGTTCTTTTCCTTGATCTTCTTTGAATGTTTTGGCTTTTGGTTTGCGCTTTCTTGTGTGGATGCCGTGCTTTTGGTCAAGCAAAAGGCGGGAGATGGCTGGGCCACGGGTGTGGCGCCATGACGAGCTCGTCGAATAGACCTCGTGGGCACCAGCCAATTGGCGCACGTCTTGGCCAAATTGGCCGGTTCACCGACATTCATTGCTCACCCGCATTTCATCCTGACAGGATATAAAGGGTATCTAAATTCGTGTAAATTCAATTAGAAAATAATCTATGAGAACGAATTTCACCAAACAGGGATGGCCATTTTCTGCATGAGAAGTACGCACCAGCCAATTTCGCTGACGTCAGCGAAATTGGCTGGTGCCCACGAGGTCTAATGACGAACTTGCCTGCGCACGATACAAAGTTTGTTCTCAGACCAGAGACTACTCGCATGCACGGATGGTGAGGAGACCGCCTCCTGATATGTTTTCTGTGAACGAGGCGGTATGAGCTCGTCCACACAACTTTGCAGACATCACATTGTCAGGCGAAAGGGCTCGGCTTCCCCGTCTACCATCGCTACCTCCATCTATCACATTGTGGGTCATACTGCGAGATGCACAATCTACGTATAAATCCGACTCGACGGAGATTTAGAGGGCGAAATCACTCTGGTCGGGTGTGTGTTAGGAGATAGCTGGGCCACACCCGTTGCGCTACACGTCTTCTTGCTGGTTCGCGTGCTTACTATCTTTGTTGCTATTCTCTCCATTCCATGCGGTCGGGGTTTTTTTTCTTCAATATTGGGTGGCGTTTGTGAAAGTCGCCGTTCTCGGAGATAGGGGCTGCGCCACATTCGGTGGAGGATCGCGTGTGCTATGAATAGCACAAGGATTGAGATTATACGACGAAAGCCTGACTGGAAAAGAAACAAGGCCTGGTATCGGTTCTCGCATATCTATGTGTGTTTTCGGATCATTTTCCGTGTTTCACCCTGAATCAATAAAGCCGTCGCAATGGTCTAGCTTTTCTCTCTCATATTTCCTTCCAAGGACGCGTCAACAAGTGCTAACCTCCTCTCTTACAGTACCTCGCCCTCGACCCCCTCCCCACCATCCTCGTCTTCGTCTCTCCCTCCGTCCGCTCCTCCCAACTCCGCTCAAAAGCAGTATACTGCCTCTCGGGTTTGCTCAAACATAACGCCAAAGCCGTAGATCAGCTCGAGGAGATCGGGGGATGGGAGATCTTGGGGGCTGCGCTCGAAAGTGAGTTTGTTCATTGCCCTCCCCTCCATCTTTGTTTCGTCCCTTCCTCAGCGTCTAGCTCGGACGTATATATTGATATATTTCTTGTGGGTTAGATTCGGATATCAGCGTCCGCAGAAAGACGGCATTCCTCTTCAGTACACTCCTCACCCCCGCCTCCACCCCCGACGCAACTCTAGCTTCATCCGCCTCCGCCTCCGCCTCCACCCCCACCTCACCACCCCAGACCTCCACCGCCACCGGCGCAACCTTCCACTCCTCCGACTCCGAACCCTCCGCACCGGCACCCATCCACGCAAACTCCCACGCCTCCATGCTCCGCGATCCGTCTTCCGTCGATACTGCGCCCGCGACGCTCAAAGCGCTGAGGGAACATGGCGTGGTGGGTAGAGCGGTCGAGGGGCTGGTTAGGGTCGTGCCGTGGGGGGATGATGGGGAGATGGGGGCGGATGAGGAGGGAGAGGGGGATGTGGATTTTGAGGAGAAGGTCGTTGGGTGGGTTTAACCTTTCTTTTTTTTCATGCCTTCTGTGACCGGAACGTTTTGTACTGATTCTGAGCGCGATTTCTTTTTAGGTTGTTATACACTTATGTTACGCGTCACGGTGGGGGTTTCGAAGAGACGGAGAAGAAGGATCTGAAGGAGTTTTTGGGGAGGAGAGTGAAGAAGGCGGAGGAGAGTGGGGAGGGAGAGGTGTTAGGGCTGACCAGGGAGGAAGTTGGGGTGTTGATGAGGGCCGTGGAGTGATGGCTCTGAATTGACGGGTAGGAGAGGGACGCAGTAATTGACATACATCATCAATCAGTTGCTTCGGTTTTTCTCGAAACCAAACGAACACTGAGCCCTGACTACCGTGAGTTGTTACGAACGAGGGCACTGGATTTGAGTACGGAAAGCATGGACAAGGACGCATACGAAAAAGAGTACATTATACGTGACGAGGCTAAGTTCTAGCCCTCGACAAGATTCCACAGAAAAGACTCATCAAACAGTCACAGTATCACAACCAACATTCGCATACCCGTTCCGTCCATTGATCTTCTCGCCAACACGCAGTTCCTCAAACCTATCGCCCATCTTCGCTTCGCCTCCTTCCGTACCCGGAACATTGATCAACGCGTCGAGAGGCGACTCGTCCGGATCGAGAGGCTCAGTGAACGTTTCCAATCCCTCCACATATCCCTTCCACGCCTCTTCCGTCACGCAAGGCGCCGTGATGACATGCTCCACGTCCATCTTACCCAGGAACTCCTCCATCCTCTCATAGACTCTATCGACCGCCTTAGCCTCCATCTCCCTCTGTTCCATCCTGCTCAGGCCCGAGATCCCAGAGCCCGCAGCGGCGTCTAGGTTCTCGACGTACCAAGCCGAGTCAAGCTTGATGCACGACGCGACGTAGAGCTCAATGAGGGCAGGGTCGATGCCGCGCGCTATCGCAGCGTCATAGGCCATGCGGTGTCCTATGGCTTGTATGAGGTTCGTACACTCCGGAAGAATGGACCGGTCGAACGCAGGGGAGTAGTGGTGCGGCATTATGGAGATGAGGGCGCGGAGCTCTTTGAAGAGGCCGGCTTCGTGCTGGGCGAGGAGACTGGTGGGGTTCGTGGTGGCGGGAAGCGTGTACTTTCCCAAGAGGAGTTCGGAGGCGAACCCTGACATTTTTGGGAAGATGTGAGTACGGTAAAGACGAGTAAAGGAGGAGAGTGGGCATACGGATGGAGATACCGAGTAGGTCGCCCTCGGCGATTGCAGCACCGCGAATATCAGCCTGGACGAACAACAACATAAGAGGTTAAAAACGGTAAAAAAAAAAAGTCGGCAATCATTAGGTCAAGAAACGTACATGAATCGCAGTGATCTGATTCACTTGGAACAAGCCCTGAGAGCCACAGCGATCTCCCAAAACCAAGTTCGCCGCCTGCGCGTGGCTCATGATCGTGACCTTCACGATCGCCGCTACAGCGTGTCTCACCCTCGGGTCTAACGACATATCCCGAAAGAGAACCACCGCGTTGTCGTGCATAGCTTCCAAGACGAATGACTGGGCCAGAGCCGTCAGGATGGGAATCTTCTGCGTCCTGAAAGACATGATCGGACGGAGTTTGCCTCCGCTGTCGACGATGGTGCGACGCATACTGTAGCGGGCGGCGATGGTCGAGGAGACTTTGAGGGAGGAAATACCGAAGCAGGAGATGCCGATGGTGCCGATGGCGACGCGGGATATGTTCTTGAAGAATGCAGTGCGGGGGTCGGTCGGTTTGTTGGGGGTGCCAAGAAGGGCGGAGAAGGGAAGTCGAACGTTGTGGAAGTAGGTGAGGGAGTGATTGAGAGGACGGGATCCCCCTCTCTGAGGGAGAAGCCTAGAAAGCCCTTTGTCAGCTCATAGCTTGGAAATTACTGCGTACATGAACTGACTTAGATGTGATTCCAGGATACATGTCCTTCCCATCGTTGAGAGGTACGAGGAAGGGTTTGATACCACGGTCTTCGCCCTCGATTATTGCACGAGCGAAAACAATCGCAATACACGCCATTCCGATAGGCGACGTGGACGGCATGAACCTAGATCGTGAACATTGTATAAGTTAAATGGATGGAGTTGAAGGGGAGAAGACCGGGCATACTCACTTCGCAGCGTACTCGTTAGGAGTGTTCAGTTCAAACTCTCCACTGGGAAGTAGAATGGCCGTAGTTTCCATATGGATGACGTCCAAGCCGTGGCCTACCTCAGTGAGACAGAACTGACCACTAAAAAGATTCGACTCGAAGTGAGCTGTCTTTCATGTCAGAGAAAAGATAGACAAAATACTCACGATACATCGTAGTTGAGAATCTGCTGGAGCGGTTTGTAGAGGGCTGGTTGTTCCTTCGCGAACATGACTAGGGTACCAGCACAACAGTTGTACTGCAGAGTGAGGAGCGTGCCTGCGGCGCCGTCCATAGCAAAGATGGGATCGCTGTGCAAGTTCCAAAATCTCGGCGTCAGCAAGAGAACATCCTTGGCAGTGAGGGCTGCATTAGAGGCGATCGTGTTAGACTTCGAACAAAATAAAGACGAGAATGATGCGCACCGTAGGTACGCCCAATAGCCTGAGCACGCCGGTAGGTCAATCGTATGCGCTCCTCCACGGACAAATTCTCTGGGCGGAATTGGAAGAGAGGAGACTGAGAGAGCTCAAGAGTAAGACGCATTGTGAATATCACGGTAGATGATGGGGATGTAGGTATTATCTGTCAGCCGTTTTATACTCCTGAGAAACAGGCCAGGCCTTAATTAAAAGGTGTTGAAAGGACGATGTTGATAGCACGAAATTGCCCACCCTCAGGCTTACAATTAGTCTTTGAGTATTGAGCAAGCACGTGGGACATGAATGTTTTTGCTTCCTGACTTGAAAAAGTCTACACGATCGGTACCATGGACAGCTATGACCAAGCTGCAACTGTCACAAGAGTGGTCAGTATGCAGTTTTTGCGAAAACGAACAAGAGTAACAAGATAGAGAACCACTTCTCTCACCGGAGTAGTACAACGTCGTCGAGGAAGTATCTTCTACAAGGTTTAGACTGCATTTGTTTTCGCCATCGATAAGCATGCTGTCTAAAGTGAATGTTTATGTGATGTGTGGTTTTTAGTATTAGGATCCTGCGATAAACATACGGCTAGAAATCTGCCACTTCCCAGACGGAATTATTGACAAAATTGGTGCGTCCAACGTCATAAGAGGGACGTTGCAGGATCCATATCGATGACTATGAAATGGAAGAGTCTTGAAAGTAGGCCATGGTGTGCCCGACACCATGAGGGCGACTACATCGCTGTTGTTTTCCGACGTCAACAATGTAGTGCTAGGTGCATCTGAAACCTTGCTTCAAACCCTGGGTCAGTATTTTAGTCGAAAGGTAAACTGAAAGTAACACTCACGATGACATATCCGACGCCATTCATTGTGAGTCACGCCTCATGATCGTCAAACAAGCATGTCGTCTTGCCCTAGTGGGCGAATGGTTCATATCATGCTCTCCACAGCACTAACATCCGGAGGGCGATCTTTGCGGAGGATTAATCTTGTAGAATCGGCTCCGAGTGCTTCAAGCGCACGCCAACGATGTATACCAACGGAACGTGTATATCCAGAGTTTTGGGCTGCGTCATCGGCCGACAAGATAACTTTGGGGATCCTGCCCAAGAGTCTTTCCCTTCAAGACCTATAATCCACATTAACGAACCACCAATACAATGCCTCGCTTTCGTCACTCAAATGCGACATCCGAGTCCTTCAAATATTTACACCTGCGACCTCGACCGCATGCGCCCAAACTTTCGCGACTGCCTCCCAATACTTGACCGGCTCATCGCGCGCCAACGCGATGTGCGCGGGTCCGCTAAACTTTTCCTCCATGACGTCGAATCCCTTCGAGATAGCCTCTTCGATGTGGCGCTCGACCGTTCGGCAGGGGACGAGATCGTCGGCATCCGAGTAGAGGTAGAGGCGTGAGACCGAAGAGGATGTGGCGTCAGTGAGACAGGGTAGAACGTCAGGCATGTTGAGGGTAGAACGAAGCTCGTCAAATACCGGCGGATTACCCCGGATGAGAAGATTGAGTGCATAGAGTGCGTATAGGCCAGCTATCACTGGTTTAGCAGCAGCGTGAAGAACGGGCTGCGAGGGTGAGAGAAAGATCATGGCGGATCGAAGGCCATAGTCTCCTGGAGTGGAGTCCAGGACGAGCGCCGCGGGTGCCTTTTTGGCGGAAGGTTGAACGAAGTCGGAGAGATGAGACTTCATGAGTAGCTTGCGTAAAGCAACTAGCTGGAAACCGCCGCCTGAATGCGGAGATCAATGAACATAGAACCGGTTAGTGGCGGAGACCCATACCATTAGACATGACATGACAGTATGTCCCTCTGTAAGCTGAGTTCGCCGACAGTTCTTTCTTGAGTACATCAACGACAGGCGCGAGATGTTTCTCCTACTCAAAGCGGTTGGGTTAGATTCGGAGTGTGTGCAATGAGGTCATGCTTACCATCTGTCCTTGAGACGTCCACATACATGGAGTATCCGATGTTATGATGACCATAGTCGCCGCAGGAAATAGATCTCGAAGGGGAAACGCGTATTTCTGCATCAGTCGGTGGGAAGCGTCCACTGCTGTACGAGTAAGTCTCGAGCAACGAAACCGCGAAAGAAAGAAGCGTACTCGAGCCGAAGAAAAGAACGAGTCTACAATGAAATCAATGAGACAGTTGGCAAAATGACCTGGGAGAATTGATTGCTCACGACGGATGTACTTGGTTTACAACGCCCACCTTCCCGCGGGGGTTAGAGAAGAAAACATATTGGCTCAGCTGCTTGAAGCGGGAGGTTAGACCTTCTTTTGCTATCTTGGAGGACATTGATGCAACTTGTAGGAGGGAACTCGGATAGTCGCGTTGACAAGAGGCTGCATTCTCCGTTCTTTTCTAGCTGCGGCAACACACATAGCCCGTGTATGACGAAACTCGAGAATAAGCCATGCGTGCTGTCTGCATGAGTTTCCCCGGCGTTCGGGTGTGATCCTGTTGACCGCCTTTGTCAGACATAGCGTTTCCGGAGGGGGTCACGGTTGTGGCCTTCGACACAGGAACTTCTCCACTTGTGGCAGGAATTTGCAGTTCCCTGTATATTGATGTCATGGTTCATGAAAATCTAGCCTAAGAGGTTATGGTTAGAATCTCGGTTTGAGTGTGTGAATTTTAAGTATGCTCGGCTAGCAGATCTTTCTGCTTTTATGACAGTTCTGCTAGTATTCGAGTCTCCCACTGTAGCATGGAGGACTATTATATAACGGTGTCTTTGCCACAGATTAGGCAGGTCACTACAAACTGTCACAAGGGACAGTTTGGTATGGTTTAACTTCATTCTGTACACAATAAAGCTCATATCAACGGCCTCGTTTGAGACTCTGAAAGCACTTCACGAAGAGTCATATAGTAGACTCGAGACGAACCTGAGACTTCAAGTTGCAAACTGATCTGGCAGACCAATATTAAGCCTGGGGCGAAAGTACGACTGGAAGCAAGCTAATGGATACCAGAGCAGTAATGCGACTGAGGCAAGGGTCTGATACACCAGAAGACCATGGGGAATACGTGTGCAAGGGGAGAAATCTGACTGCGCGAAAGGCAAGTTGAAGTTTGGAAGGGAAGGAGGGATACGGAAGGAAGGCGGATCGGGCCGGAGGTGAACTTTATTCGATCTCCGCTCGGAGAGTGGACGTGGCGTTCAAGTTCTCCAGCGTATACCTTATCCGATCTCGCGCTGGTCTCTTGACGGAGAAACCCTTTCTCTCTCTTTGAGGCTAACTTCATGGTCGTAACTTATTTGTCTTGAGCTTGAGCTTCATTTTCTCTGAGTCGAGAAAATTTTCTACGCTTCCTAAGTAGCCTGTAATAGCAAAAGGGTCCGATCTACTCGATGGCTTGTCTCTATATCTTGAAGTTAGTTCTGTCTTCCGTTGAATATCTGCACGCTACTTAGTGCACCATTGGATGCGAAGTATTACACCTCCTTTCACCGAACATGAACAGTCCTCACTTAGACGACGCTCAACAAGAAAGTCGCCTTGACCAAGGGTCGACGTCTTCTACTGGTCGAACCCTCACAAAGGCCACTCCTAGCCGGGGAACTAGGTTCTGGATGGTGTTCATTGCTGGACTTACTGTTGACCTACTCTCGGCTCTCGATCTGGTACATATGCCCTCATATTTGACCGACATTTGATTCAGACTCATCGTCTCTTATTTGCACAATACAGACGGCGGTCTCCACAGCGCTCCCCACAATCGTAAATCATCTGAACGGTTCTGACTTCATATGGGTCGGTAGTGCGTACTCAATCGGTGCAACTGCCGTTCTACCACTTGTGGGAGGCGTGGTCTCCATATTCGGCCGAAAGCCTATTTTGCTCGCCTTCATCACTATCTTCGCAATTGGCTCTGCGATATGTGGAGCTGCACAAAACATCAATACGCTGATTGCAGGTAGAGGTATGTATGTACCATGTTTTTTTATGAGCATCATGTTGATGAACTGTCGCGATCTATAGCGCTTCAAGGATTCGGTGGTAGTGGATGTGTTGGGACGACGATGATCATTTATGCTGATTTGATTCCCCTTCCTGAGCGTGGAAAATTCCAGGGCGTAACTGCATCGTAAGTACCTCGGTAACATGTCGAATGCATTGGTTCTGATTTATTCTCTTGAGTAGGGTATGGGCATTTGCTTGGTGGGTAACGATCACCAGTTAGCATTAAGCATCCAACTCATCCCGCCTGCAGCGCGATTGGACCTCCCATAGGTGGCGCTTTGGCCACTTCCGGTGCATGGCGCTGGTTGTTCTTCCTGAATCTGCCGATATGTGTGTTAGCAGCGACTCTCGTCGTCATATTCCTGCAAATTCGCACTCCAAGGGAATCACTTCGCAAGAAACTGGCTCAGATGGACTGGATGTAAGATGGATCCTGTTCCTCATTTTGGACCAAATATAAGCTGATGCTTCATTCTCGTTTTCGTGCTATAGCGGCTTGCTCATCATCATCGGCGGGACTATGTGTGTCACGCTCGCCCTAACGTGGGGAGGTGTGCGGTACGCATGGGTGTCTGTTCAAGTCTTGGTACCCTTATGCCTTGGTGTCGCCTCTATCATATTTTTCTTCGTGATTGAGGTATACTGGGTGGATGATCCTACTGTATGTCTATATTTGTTGGTGTGTTTGCGCCAACCGTCCAATTGTGCCACAGGTTCCTCCATTCATCGTATCTGACCGAACGACCCTCAGCGGGTAAGTCCACCTCATACAATTAGGGCCATTACTGACGCTCATGGCGGCTCCAGATATATCAGCGTCTTTTTCCACGGAATCGTGTCCATGGCCATAATATGTGAGACCTCCAAACCAGTCTTGTATGTCTATCAGTACTTATATTTCACCAGTCTACCTTCCGGTATACTTTCAAGCCACCCACCTCGCCTCCGCTATACAGTCCGGAGTAGACATGTTCGGAACATCTTTCGTTGTCCCAGTCTTCGCCATCGGTACCGGTATCTCTGTCCAAGTCTTCAAACGCTACCGTCCTCAAAACCACTTAGGGTGGATGCTTATCGTCATCGGCTTCGGCGTCTTGTCGCTTCTGGACGAGAACACTTCGAAAGCGAGATGCATCGCATATCAGGTCGTGCTAGCGGCAGGAATAGGGATTGTGTGGATCAGCACGGACTTCCCCATCCTGGCTCCGTTGCCGTTTTCAAACAACGCACATGCGCTGGGGTTCATGATATTCGTACGATGCTCTGCACAGGTAAGTTTCGTTTTTGCTTGCATGCACGTGCACCGACTGAAATTGGGATTCTACAGGGCTGGGGGATCATCGTCGGAGGAGCCATCCTTCAGAACGGTCTTCGGGAGCGCCTTCCATCAACTTTATTATCTAGCCTCCCACAAGGAACACAACTACTAACCTATTCTGTCATCCCGCTCATCCCCGAACTCTCGGACCAGCTCCAGGCCGACATTCGTGTTGCATTTGTGGAGAGTATTAGATTGATTTGGAAGACCATGATTGGTTTTGCGACTGCAGGTATGGTGTCGTCGCTCTTGATGAGGGAGGTACCGCTGAGGATTAGTATGGATGAGACATGGGGCCTGAAGGTGGGAGATCACGAAGTTAGAGGACAGACATGATTCCCACCCGGTGAATCAGCCACAACCTGGAGTGTTTTTACCTATATGTTACGGGAGGTGCACATGGACCACAAATGAGCCGCCTTCTGAAATCATCCTTGCCGACCACGAGAATTGTCCACTAAGACTTCAAGTATCTTGTATCCTAACAGTTCTTGTCTGGAGTTCGTTACTTCATCTCGAGAAATTTATACGTTCCAACGCTAATAGAGATGAGCGCGAGATTAGGGCCGAATTATGATTTCTGGAATGTGATAGACCAGTTGTGTTTGCTGAGGCGGGCTGGAGGCCGGGGTCGAAGGAAGGTGTTTAAATAATTGCAGCTCCAACAAGTCATCCTCAGCCATATAGACACAGAATTGAACTGTAGGCTGGGGTTCTAGCGGATGGCTCCAGTAATTGAAATCCACGGAAGCTGAGGCGTACACAAGTGTAATTGGGTGATAGAAAAAATGTGCCAATACGGGAGTGCGTGGACGCGGTCAGAGTACAACTAATAGTCGTCAGTCCCACTCCAAATGTCAGTCAGGATGAGATCGATGGCACTCGAACTGCGTGGTGTAATCTTGCATGGGAACGACTTGGGGTGGCTAATGGGAGAGATGGTCAGACCGAATAATTACTTTGGGCAATGTGCACAAACCGACCTCACGAATCCTATGAAGATAGTGTTAGTGAGTCTCGTGGGCATATTGATCGAGCATCTCACCTCCTGTGAACTGAGGTTTGGTCAAAACCTCCTTATGAGGGTCATCTCCTTGCTTGATGTCAAACACGGCGAGGATCGAGGCGATACTGATAAATAGAGTTCCCATCGCGTAATGATATCCAGGGCAGGCCCTGAGTGAATTTATCAGATTTGCCATGGTTGGAATAGGTGGTCCGAATTTACCTTCGTCCCAAACCAAATGCGTGAGCGCCGGGCTCCACTGCTTGTGGTCTATCGATGGCCATGAATCTTTCCGGGTGGAAATCTGACGCATCATCTCCATAAACTCGACGATCTCGGCTCATTCCCCTTATAATAATCGGTTCAAAGGTGATGAGATTATGTATATAGTGCAACAGAAAGGTCATACCATATATTAGGCAAGACGATACAGCCCTTCGGCAGGTAATACCCTATGAGGATGACCGTACTTAGCAAGAATTTTGAGTGATGGCAGAAAACTTGCCACAATACACGTCATCCTGCGATAGCTGATGTGCGATGCCTAATTTCAGTGGTCAGTACGAATTTAGCACCTGACATGAAAAAGTACTGACCCATAGGTGTCGGAGGATGATAGCGTAAGGTCTCCTGAACAATCGCGTTGATGAAGGGAAGTTGAGGGCGATCGGAAAATACAGGAAGGCGTTTTTGCTTGAGGAGTTCATCTAATTCCTTCTGTGCTTTATACTGCACATCGGGATGCATGGTCATCATCAAGAGAAATGTGCATATTATGGAGGCATTCTGTATAATTATATTAGTTCAATGACGATAGACTCCTGTAGAGAAATACAGGGGCTTTGGTACTTACAGATTCGGTACCTGCACCATACAACGAGCCGACGGCCCACTTGACGGTGTACTCGTAGTCAGAGACAGACTGTTGGCGCTGTGACTCGTCTTCAAGCAAGGTTCTCGCAAGTGAATAGTTTTCTTGTCCTTGAGACTAACGTGCGGCATAATCAATAGCAGAACAATGCTAGTCTTGTGACACGTACCAACGCAGCTTTAACCTCAGAAAAGGCTCCATCCACCATCTCCTGTCCTTTCGACTTAGCAAGGCGTGCAAGACGCTTAAACCCTGCTCCTGGTACCCATGCCGGAACGTATCTAACTATAGACTTCTTAGAGATGTAATCAGGGTCAAAAGAAAAAAGAAATCCCACGTAATGGAATGAAGTCGACCAAGAAACTTCCTGGTATCACGGCATGCTGTATGAACTCGTGTGTCTCTTTCGATAATTTGACATACTGCGAAGTTCATCAATGGTTCAGTTTTCGTTAGCACGAGCACTCAACTTGCACGAACCTTATGTCTCGGGGAGTCTATTTTGATCCCGTACGCGTTCTCTACGATGTTTTTCCCAATGACGCTGAAACACGTATGAGGAAAGGGGTTGCTATCATCGATACAAGTGTATCAATACTAGGAGCTGAGGTGGTCAATGAAATCACCACCTCCTTGATATATCAAGGAAGGCGTAGTATACTTAGCCATTGAAACCAGAGGGTTCAGTAAAGTGACTCGTCTCAGTACTTTAGAGTACTGAGGCTTCTGGGGCACTATGGTATAGTACTGTGCTAGTAAAAGTGCGCAATGCTGGTTTGTGGGTATAGTACTTTTGCTCGTTGTAGTACTTTCTGCTGGTATAGTACTTTTCGCTTGTTTAGTACTTTCTGCCAGCCTAGTACTTTCTGTTGTCCGCAGTATTTTCTGCTGGTGTAGTACTTTCCTACCCTCGTAGTACTTTCTGTTGGTCGTAGTACTTTTCATCGGTGTAGTACTTT